TTAAATCGGTGCCTAGTATAATATCAGAGTGTTCGGTCCGGTACGGGCGCAGTTTAGCTCCAAACAAGGCGAAACTTGCGGTGTTAAAATCTCATTCGATAACGTTTCGAATGGTATAGGTCACGTCTATTCACTCCGACATCTCTAATTCACTTTTTTTTTAAATCGGTGCCTAGTATAATATCAGAGTGTTCGGATCGGTACGGGCGCAGTTTGACTCCAAAGAAGGCGAAACTGGCGGTGTTAAAATTTCATTCGGTAACGTTTCGAATGGTATAGGTCACGTCTATTCACTCCGACATCTCTAATTCACTTTTTTTTAAATCGGTGCCTAGTATAATATCAGAGTGTTTGGATCGGTACGGGCGCAGTTTGACTCCAAAGAAGGCGAAACTGGCGGTGTTAAAATTTCATTCGGTAACGTTTCGAATGGTATAGGTCACGTCTATTCACTCCGACATCTCTAATTCACTTTTTTTAAATCGGTGCCTAGTATAATATCAGAGTGTTTGGATCGGTACGGGCGCAGTTTGACTCCAAAGAAGGCGAAACTGGCGGTGTTAAAATTTCATTCGGTAACGTTTCGAATGGTATAGGTCACGTCTATTCACTCCGACATCTCTAATTCACTTTTTTTTAAATCGGTGCCTAGTATAATATCAGAGTGTTTGGATCGGTACGGGCGCAGTTTGACTCCAAAGAAGGCGAAACTTGCGGTGTTAAAATTTCATTCGGTAACGTTTCGAATGGTATAGGTCACGTCTATTCACTCCGACTTCTCTAATTCACTTTTTTTTAAATCGGTGCCTAGTATAATATCAGAGTGTTTGGATCGGTACGGGCGCAGTTTGACTCCAAAGAAGGCGAAACTTGCGGTGTTAAAATTTATTTGGTGCACTTTCCAATGGTGTAAGTGTTTCCGCACGGTACGAAGAAATTCAAGCGTTTTTCAAATTCGCACAATGCGAAGGTCTCTTTATGTCAGTGCAAGGTGTGTAAATGCCGTTTTCACTATCCTTCTCTCCTCATTTTTTACATTTTCTCGGCTCATTAGGTTTGCTAAATATTGCAAAGCGTTAGCTAAAAATTTCAGAATTTGAAAAGCAACTCACATTAGACAGAGTAGGCTTGCAACAATAAAAAAATATCGTCATCTTTTTGCAACAAAGCTTGAATATTCTCAAAAGAAAAAACTCGAAGTGTTTTTGATCGCGATTCAAGCCAGACGGGGTATGATTAAGCCCATGTACGGCTGATAATCCTTTTTCCGGGTGCAAATTCGCTGCTCATCGTCCACTCGTCCGTTCTGCATGAGCCGGCCCACATTCGATCCCCTTTTTCTCGCAGCATTTTTCGTTCTGGTCCACAAACCTTGAGGCGACTGAAGACATTTTATTTTGTCTCTTCTCTCCTTCACAAATATTTTTGGAAGGAGGCATGAGCTGTTTTCTTTTTTTCCATTCAGTCTTCCTTCGCCCTTCCGCGGGTATTTTTGATTTCGGGCCTTTTTTCGATGTGGAAGCGGGCTGTTTTCGGAGCCGGAAAGAAAGCGTGTTGATTCAAAGTTGTGTCTGCGGGAAAGGATTTTTTACGAGGGTTTATTTACTGCGCAAACTGGGGGATGAGTCATTCAGATTTCGAGATTTTTTTGGGCGAAATTCTTTGTGTAAAAAGTTGAATGGGTCAGCGGACAAGGGAGATTTATTTTTCCATATAATAACATGGGAAAGAGTGAAGCAAACTTTCAAGGATTGAATTTTTGGGAACTACGATGGCTTTGATTTTTGAGCATGATATTTCCGCTCAAAAATAGCCTCAAGGTCTTATTAAAGTTATATTTTTTTCTTGATTTCGACAATTTCTTATTTTGCAAATATAGTTTGATAAATTTTGTAAATAGTTTGACAAAATTTGCAAAAATTGTAGCGCTACGATTTTTTGGGTCAGCGACAATTCGGGTTAACGATACTATAGCTCGCGTAGGTTTGTAGTTGTAAGCATGGGGAGGCTAGTAGAAGGCTTAGTTAGTGGAAATAATAAGATTGATCGGGTTCTAGGACATTTTATCACCTATTTTTTTAGGTATTTTACATGTACTCACATCAATAATGCCTAAATAAAAGTTACGGATCTTCGTTTTTTGCCCCAAATGTTGGCCTTTTTTACGTTACAGTAACTCAAAGAAAAGAAAACGAACGTCAGTAATAGCTAAAAATAGAAAAAATGGACATATTGCAAGTCTCCGCAGAGCTTTCGCCGAGCCTTTGCCGAGTGTCCAACGGCTTTTCCAGGACTTGCCAGGCATTTCTTACAAAAATTGTTGGGCATCCACCTGCCTTACTCCCCTTATCGATCGATTTTATGTTGACCCAAACTGTCGTCGACCCGAAAAGTCGAGACGCACAGCATTCCGAGGTTTTTTGTCGCCACACGAAAACTAAACGAAAAATATGCAAAAACGCGTAAAATACGCTATTTTTTTGGATTTTGTAGTGCTCTAAGGGCCAGAATTCCCTTATTTTTGGATATGTCATAGAAGAGGCTATTTGCTATCGAGTGGTACCATTTTTTTTTAAATTATGCCCTCATAAAGTGCATTTATCCATGAATAAACAAAAAAATTTTGTAATTTTGTAGCCGAAAAAAACCGTTGTGGGAAGAAAGTAAATAGGACCTGTATATATATCATTGTATAGGTCTTTTTTCACTCTGGAAATCAATTTTTACTCTTTTTTATTTTTGGGCTAGCTAGTTATCAGCCGAGGCGCGCAGCCCTGTTGTCATTTTGAGCGAAAATCGGCACCGATCGTGGCGCCAAAAAACCTCGGAATGCTGTGGGACGCGAAAATTGTAAAATTGAAAACTGAATGTTGCCAGCATTCAATTTTTTATGACTCCATATCCCTTTGAATATCTCTAAGAGCTTTTCCAAGTCAAAGTAAGCTATCTTTTCATTGCGCTGATCGTTTACTTCGAACCATTTTAAGGGCTGACAATAATCCATCATGTTATTGTGCGGTTGTTTTTTTGTCATCTAGACGCTCCACCGATTCCATTTTTAAAGACCCAACTTTGTGTTTTTTACGCTTTTTACAGACGGCTGAAAACAAAAGCAGCGATTCTTTTTTTGTCAGACGCTATTTCCAAAGAGTTTCTGGCAATTCTTGCAAAACAAAGTGCTGCAAATTTGGCCAAATTTTTTACCGTTTTTGTCGTTCCAAGTCACTCGCGGCTAGTCTTTGAATTCGCTTTCGAACAAGTTTTTTCTATGTTCTGTTACATGCTTGTAATCACTTTTATCGCATCTCCCATTCAGGTGTTTTTACAGGGTTGCCATCTTTGTGGGCCGATTTGAATCGGCTATAACTTCTTTATTTTTCGGCCAAATATGAAGATTCTTTTTTCCCTTGAATCCTCACAATTCCCCATTTTATTTTAATACCAAATACGTGGCAGAAACACAGAAATTGCGCAATTGTCTCGTGAACAACAAATGATCTCAAGAAAATATAGAAAATCGTCGTATCTCGTGAACGGTGGAAGATGGCTGCGACAAACCCGGGTTCAAAGGTTTTAGAATTTCGCGTAGAATAGCCTAGAATCAAAAAAAATAAAATTATCACTTCTACGGGTGAAACCCGGAGGCATAGATATGAAAACTTTGAAAGGCATAACTCAAGCTTCTTTCCTAAATTTGCCAAATTTTTTCTTTTCAAAAAAACGTCCGCCTTTATAGGGAATTAAATCTACAGTAAAATGCCACAAAATTAAGACCCTTGAGGCCCTGGAAAACAATTTTTGCAAATTCTCCCCAGTAATTTCATTGGCAAAAAAATTCAATGACCACTCCAAAAAACCACCGGAATTGAATAACACCCTGAGGGGATATTTCAGTAAAAATTTCATATCCTAAAAATAGGGGCTCTGCGAGTCTTGGAACTACAAATTTTTGTCAATTTGACCCATTATTCCCCAAGTTATTAGCTCAATAAATCTTCCATCCCTGACCCCTCGTTGTGACTCTCGGTGACCTTGTCTCCCTTTAATTTTTTTTCTTTTTATTTCGTCCATAAATTCTCACAACTCTCCGCTTCCGTCCCGCTGTTACAATTCAAACATTCCCCGGCCCTCTCGAACGTCTCCACGCGAGATTAATGCAAATAAATTCGCGTCTCGACAAACTTGTTATTGGCACTTTTTTGAGGAAGCGCCGCCGTCTTCGAATCCGCCCCTCTCCGGGCCCGAAATAAATGCCCAACAGTTCAAAAAGAGCCTTGTTTTCGCCGTCGGCTCCAGCGAACTCGAAGTGGGGTTTGTTCGGGGAGAACAAATGAAATTTTAGAACCCCCCGGTTTTCCAGATTTTCTGACCTTTTCACTGGCAAAACTATGTCAAAAGGTTGCTAAGTCCTATGTGTCTGGAGAAAAATCTTTAGAGAATTTACCATGCGGTGAATCGCTGTTCAAAAGTCAAAAAAATCCAGAAATTTTGTTGTTTGTACACAAGATTTTTTAAACAGTACCCCTTTTTGAGACCCTTCAATTTTTTGAAATTTTGCCTGTTTGCTCTGAAGTTTTATATAAAAATATTTTAGTTTGTCAAGATTTTTTTTCAAGGGAACACGGAAAATTAAGAGGACCGGTCAGACCGAAAAGTTTCTTGGCCAAAACTCCGAATATCTTAATGCGGATCGGGCTTATAAAAGTGACCTTCACAGAGTGCCTGAGGATTTTTTTTGTGATTAAAAGTTGAATACCGAATATGTAATAGTGTCCCTGATGTCAAAAAATAAAATTTGTATAAATTTTGGTATGTTGTTTCACACATATTTGGCAAAAGAAAAAGTTTGTTTAAATAAAAATCCAAGGGTTTTTTGATAAAACCCTAAGGGGATATTATGAAAAAGCTAGCATACACAAAAATCAGGAGCTCTGTGGGTCCTAAAAATGTGCTTTCACAAAGTTTTACCCCATTTTTTCGAGCCAACATCATCGATTTTTATGGGACATGTAAGATAGATAAAAGTGCTGTTTGTCGATTGCATAACACCTATATACTTGAAAAAGGTGACATGCCCAAAACCAAAGTCCCTAAGCGTCCTAGAAATACATAAATTATAAATTTTGATCCTTTGTTTCCCAGGTTATTGGCCAAAGAAACCTTCCACATCCAATTCGACCATCCTATGCATCTCCTTCGCGATTTCAAAGGCAATTCGCACATTGCACCTTATTTAACAACTCTGAACTCAACAAAATTCTTCCTTTTCAGCTCACACAACGCGCCATGGAATAGAGTCTAGGGTCTGTTTTTTGCCGTAATCAACAAGCTAGACCAGGTGGATTGCAGCCGGAAGTCGATATAAATAAACAATTTATATAGGGTACAATGTAAGTCTTTTCGATTCGAGTCTTAAGGCATTCCTTTCTTTGTTTAATTGAGCGGATTTTAGAATGCATAACGAGACGTCCACATACGAAGTGATACGGAAGTTTGCACATGGCGTCATCGACTTTTGGGACGACCTTTTCGATGTGAGTTTTGTACAGGACTTGTAAGGTTTGTTTTGCCGGTAACTTGAAAAATACTGGACTCAAACTTGTAAACATTTCACTTTTCGGACCTCAAAGGATCCTATTTTAAGGTCATGACGTCATTTTTACAAAATTCCCTCAGGGGCTTTTTGAGATTCAAGGTTTTCTGGACCAAGTTTTTTATGAAAATGGGGGGGTACGGATCCTTATAATGCTATTTTTATATTTTTTGGTCCACTATTTTCCAAGTTATTGGCAAAACAATACTTCCAGGTGGCCAGGGGGGCCATTGTCTACAGTAAAATACCGTCAAATTCCCCGATGAAAATACATTTTTTATAAAATGGCCTTTTCAGTACATAATTTATCCCTTTCTGCCGCTGATCATAGCCTTTGTTTTGCCGGCGGCTATTTTGTTGTTCATGTACGGATGTGTCATTTTTATGCATGCTTATGGGTTCCGCAAGCAAATCCGCGAGGCCTATTCGTCAAGTGTATGGGATGGGGTGCGGACGTCGATCGCCTCGTTTTGGGATGGCTTCGCCACGATATGGCATGGTAATTTTCTTTTGATGGTTTAGTCTTTGACATTTTTTTAAAATGGTTTTTGATCTGCTTGAATCCACAAACAGAAAAAAAATTTTAATTTTCAATTGAATTCCGAAAATTCCAAGCAAAATTTATCTCAACTGTCAATGAAGTACCCCAAGTGCGACGCTCAGGTTTTGTTTAAATTTTGAACACATGTCGGTCATCAACTAAATATCAATTCCTGAAAGTTTTAGCTCGCGCTTTGCAAGCGCCGCCGAGATATTGAACGATATTTGCCGCCAAGAGAGTACGCTAAACGCGGAGAGTGGTCAGAGAGAAAACTCTTTTTGGCCATAACTTTGCTAGTTTTGCGAGGGAAAAATCATTTTTTTGTCGAAACATTACCCTCTATGGCAGTAATAGTCATGGAACTTTTCGTGCCAAAATTCGGCAAAAAAAATCTCAAATTTTTTCGAACTTTCGATCTAAAAAACTCGGTTGTTTCTGCAAATTGCGAGCCAGGATTCTCGCCTATATTTTAGAAAAAATTTTTCTAAATTTGTGCCAAGTTTCTCCAAAATCTGAGCGTCGTACTTGGGGTACTTCTCCTGTAAACCGAAATCTAGACTTTGATCTTTGATAAGTTGCCTTATTTGTCATCCAAAATAGCCGTAATGAATCAACCTGTTTCAGACTACGACGTCAAAGGAATCGACCACATTCCCGACCACGGGCCGGCATTATTTATCACATTTCACGGCACACTGCCATTAGATATCTATTATTTGATTTCCAAAGTCATTCTCTACAAAAACCGAACAATTCATTGCGTGGCGGACAAGTTTGTTTTCAAAGTGCCCGGTAGGTCACAAAAACTGCTTTTCTCTCTATAACGCCATCGAAATTTGATCCAACGCTTCTTCAGAATATGTAGTGAACGGTGTTGGCTGTTTCAGGATGGGGCGCCATTGTTAAATTATTCTGCGCGACGCCCGGCACCGTCGAGGATTGCATAACCAACCTGAAGAGCGGGAATTTGATGATAATTGCGCCGGGAGGCGTCAGAGAGGCGCTGTATTGCGATCCCGCCAAGTATAATGTGATGTGGGGACAGAGGCTGGGATTTGCTCGAGTTGCCTTGGGCGCGAACGTGGTAAGTCGGCCAGAAAATGATGATTTTATGTAATATTATACCGAGAAAATTAACAATTCAAACAGCTACAAAAAAAGGTCCAAAATCGAGGTCCCTCTGTTTGATATTCAAAAAAAAACATGTTAAATATTCGATATGAACATGAAAGTCAAGGTACTAGGGCAAAAGAACACGGAGAATTTAATGGTAAACAAATCATTTGGCTACACCTAAAAATTTTCGCGCCAGGACCCATGAAAAAACCCGTTTTTTTTCGGACCACCCTGTACTTGAGTTGGAAGGAACATGGAAGACTTCTCTTAACAATAACTTGAGAAATACTCTATCAAAATTTAGAAAGTTTGTAGTTTTGTGATCTACGCATAATTTATTTTTGATAACTTGTTTTTTGGCCAAAGAAATTACATATTTTCCATTACATCCTCAGTAAATTCCTATCACTTTTTACAAAAAAATCTCACCAAATTTTCAGCCAATCATCCCGGTGTTCACGACCAATTGTCACGAGTACATCCGCACGCCAGGCTGGGCCCGTTGGCTGACTCGAGGACTCTACGAAAAAACCCGACTGCCCTTGTGCCCAATCTACGGCGGCTTCCCCGTGAAAATGGAATGCCATCTAGGCGAGCCGATGTACTTTCCGCCAGACACTCCGCCGGAAGAAGTTCGAGATACGGTGAAAACGAGGGTAAGATCCGAAAATGAAAAATTTTTTAAAGGGGGTACCTTTTGTCGGAGACAAATAAAAACATTTTTTTTTTCTTTTCGAGATTTTCAAAATCAAAATTTGGAATGCAAAAAAAGATATTTTCCCTTTGAGATTGGCAAAAAAAACAGGCAAAAACTTTTTCTCTGACCGTCTCTCCTCATCTTGCACACTCTCTCACCGAACGTTGAATATATTGGCTCTCTCTGAAGAGCGAGAGATAGAATTTAAGACAATTTGAACGTTCAAATTTTCATCAAAGTCTGAGCATCGAATCACAAGAAAATTCAAAATTTTTCAAAAAAAAAATTCAAATTTTTCAAAAAAAAAAATCATCAATTTTTCCAGATTGAGGAGATGATCCAGCAGCACCAAAAATTGCCGGGAAACATCATTCGAGGGATCCGCCAACGGTTCTCAAATTCTTGTGTGTGCTGTTACGGATGCAAGTCGCGAAATCGGAAGTCAACAGCAGCGTCGGCGAACGAAAATGGTCATGCCGAAATAAATATCCCCCTAACCGAAGATATTCGACGAACCGAAGAGCAACCGGCGGTTATTGCGTCCATCGAGGAGGTGGAACAACTTGAGCTAGACGAACAAATTGAGGAAAGTGGACAAAATAATGAAAAAGCAACTGAAAAAGACGACAGAAAAGAGGAGAAATTGGTCAATAATGCTGCCCCGACTCCGCGAAATTCGGAACAAATCAAAGAAGATGTTGTGCAGAAACATGACGTGTAAAAATAAGTACCTCATAAGCCAAAATGGGTCACAATAGATTGTTGTTTGATCCGTTTGTATCCTTTTAAAATTATTTTTCATTTGTTGCCTTACAGTCATTTAATGCTATAAATTCCCGGTGCTCTCATTTCTATCTTTTTTCTTATATCAAGTATAATATAATATCAAATCTTTTATCATTTACTTAAACTTACAAAGACATATTTACAAAAACATGTACTAGCTCACGACTAACTCGGCAGAAGACTTGATACAGACCATATAAACGATAGAAACACCGAAAAAAGACAAGTGGAATTGATGAAAGAGAGTCGGAATTAATCCTAATCTGGTCCAAGATATTTCTCCATATCCAATTTAGTATCCTTTTCTATCTCTGAGCTTGGCTCTTCGGATATTTCGTTGCTTATCCGCGTTGGACAGTTGAGTTTTCTAAATTTCAAACAATACTTTTAAAAAATTTTTTTTTTACTTACTCTCTCATTTTTGGCACTCTTAGATTTGGTCGCTTCTTCCTCAACAGTCACTGGCCCTAGGTCAAACAGCTCTCTCAGGACTTCATTCCTCGTCAGATGGGTGTTCACGTCTCCTTTGACACATTGACAGAGATAATCGTACAATAATTTTGAGTGGCATCCGCTCAATTCCAATCGTTCGGCCTTGTTGAACTTGACGATAGATTCTGGTGGTCTTTCATTGAAAATGGCGTCGATACATTGCCTGAATGTCCACTTCTGCAAACGCTTGTCCTTCTTGGCGTGACTTTTCGCATAATCCCCACTCATTTCATCCAAAGTGTTCCTGAGTTGGGAATGATTGGGAAAGACAAAGTCCTCATCGATGCTTTGGACTGCAAGCTCATACAGAACAGCCAATGACTCTCCAACAGCCACTCTGACATCCACTGAATTCGATACATGGAATGAGCACAGACGAGGCTGAACTTCCTCAATGGCATCGGCAATTTGAGCATCATCACTCTGGAAATGGGATAAGTTAATATCGTCGATGTTTATGAACTTTTCCGATCCTAAAAACAAAAAGAAAACAACAAAAAAGAACTTACTCTCTCCAAAATCAACGTCCATGAAAAAAGAGAAGCCGCGAACAGATGTGGCAAGTCTGTTGTGGGCTTCATTGAGTACCAAGTTTGTCGAAGGGCGGCCAAACATTCTCCCCTTTTTACCGGTCGATAACATCCAAAATACGCGGTCAACCCCATCGCTTCAGCAGCTGCAGACCGCACGTCCTCCGATTTGGCTGGATCGGAGAATAAAGCTATCATGGAATTGAGAACTTGGTCCAATTCTTCTTCTATCTCAAGTCCAAATTGTAAAGCCAAAAGTTGCCCAAGTTTCAGAGCTCTCAATGATTCCTCAGTAGTGCGTCGAAGATTCTTCTCCACAATATCACAAAGAGTAAGTTTATGCTTGTCAATCGTGTCTGGAATGTACGAACGGCGAAGAATGGCGACGATATTATCCATGGCTCTACATCGATTATTCACACTGAAAATTAGACTTGTTTCTAAAATTTCAATCAAAAAAGCATGCCTAATATTTCGAGCCTCTCACTTTTTATCCAATGCGTTGTCTACCAGCTCACCAAACGAATCGACCGCCAAGAAATCGTCGTTCACATTGAGATCATCGGAATCTGCCAGAGAATTCTGATAATCCCCTTGAACCGACGACAAAACTGATTCCACATCACTGTTGTCCAAATCACGTGCTCCGGGAGGTTCTAAACAAAAAAACGTAGGCAAACGTAAAGCAACTTACTCAGACTTCCACTGGAGGGATTATCCTTTTTATTGTTGTTCTTTCTACCCATATTGAATCGATTGAAAGTTTAAAAAAGACGTCTTCCTGAGTTCATACGAGAAAGGCCTGAAACAACCACACGTAAAGGTCAAAGAGAGTCTAACTAAAAAGGACCGAAACAATCAAAGAATTTTTTGTAAATCACGTGGCGACTTGAATGTCTGAAACAATATCACGTAAAAAGCAAATAATGGACGTCTATCAAGTAGCGAACACTTTCGAAAGTGTTCGATTCCGTGAAATTTAGATTTTTTGTAAAAACCGGCTATACAAAAAATCCTTGCCGCGGCTCGTTTTCGTTGCAAAACGTGAAATTTGTTTGGCATATCGCAACAAAAAAATTAATCCAGATAAAATAGATCTCATTTATACTTCCTTTCGATGTTTCTTGATATTTACAAGTTTATTTGTCCACTAAATTTTCAATACATACATTAGAAACCGATAAAGACTAACCCGAACATGTAAAAGTTTCAGAGAATAATAAGCGATAGTATTGAATAGATTACTTTATAATTACAGAGTAAATCACATAGATTAATAGAAATATGGTTCAAACATTACTCAGAGTTACCCTCATTGTGGGAAACATTCTCTTGCTGGTCTTCTGACGATTCGGAAATCTCCTTATCTTCACCTTCTTCAGTGTCACTCTTGCCACCGAAATCCAAGGTCCGAGCTTTCACTTCATTCTGATACCGACGTTTTAGGATGGCAGAAGGCTGAGAGCCATGTGATTTGCGATAAGCCAGATTAGAATTGAGCTTCTGCGAACATGGAGACATGATGTTATCACTTGGTGAATGGACATTGATTTGATTTAGGGTTTTGTGGAGTCTTTGAATTGCTGGAGTCGCTTTGTTGTTCTGAAAGCAGGAAAATTGTCTTAAGAACATGCCACTCGTCTGTAAACTTTTGAATTGCTGACAGCACCAAAAGCAAAACACTTGCAGGAAATTTTTCCGATTTTCTGGACATCAATCTAAAGAGAGAACAACAAAAATAACAAAAGAAACTAACCTCAAGAGAAGTCTTCCGTATCGGAGTCTTCGGCTTTACCGCATCAGTATCCGTGGACAGAAGAGTCTCGGTCGTCTCGTCCAATCCAATAAGGTGATGTTCTCGTTGTTTCGAGTCTTCATCGATGCTCTCGACTGTGAGGTATTCCTTTGAAGTTTCCGATGTCATAATCTGAACAACAAAACGATAAATAACATGTCAAGCACTAAAACTACAACTCAGATGCAATTTTACAAAGGGAGAAGTCGGAATGCGCGAAAAAAGTTACAAAAAAAATTTCGAGAATTTCGACGAATTCGAAATGATTTTTTCGCGCTGAACGATTTCGCTTTGAAGCCCAAAAAATATTGGCATTCTGTTTTATGACATGGAGAATATTTTTGCAAATTTCCTTTCTTTTGTCGTGATAAATAGCGGCTGTAACAGTGTTTCCTTTTTCAGAGTTGGTTTTTTCGCGCGAAGTCTACTTCCTTCTCTTTTTTGACTTGAATTGTATATGTTTTAGGTGCATACGAGTGTAAAAACAGGACAGATCGGTTTGATGGCTTCCGAAGATGATCGAAAGTCTCCCAGGATTGATCCTGCAGTTTGGGTTGAGCAGTTAAAAAGGAAACGGGAGATCCAATTGAAGAATATAAAGGTATGTTTTTCATTCTTTGTTTTTGCCATTTAGGTACCCAGAAGTTTATTTCCCGTATGTTTCAGTTCCTACAAGATAATCCGCACTTGGAGGAAGGTCAGATTCGTCGCCTAGATTCGACACTGAAGAGAGTAACTGGGTTCAAGAAGAAAGTCAAGTCTATTGGATCAACTGTTTCTCCTGACAGTTTGATCGCAGATCTTTCCAAGTTAAATCTCTCTAACTACATTGATGAGATTGCCCAATGTGTTGTGGACTCCAAAATGAAAGTTGAGGATCTTGAACCGCTAATTCAATTTTGCGTCGCAGCAGGTCAGATTTATTCTCAATTTTCATCTCACGTGGTTGCGGAATTGAAAAAACAAATGCCAACAAAGAAGTCTGACACTCTAAAGAATCCAGCGAAACTCCGAGTCGATTTAAAGTAAGGTTTCATTCATTGTCTTCTGATTTTAGATTCCTCTCCGACTTGATTATGAATGGAGTCGTGAAGTCCGAAGGAATTCAACTTCTCGGTCAAGTTCTGGGCTACCTTATCCAGACAGATAAGGCAGACCATCTTAACATGAGTGTGCTGATGCCATTTTGCAAATTCTCCTACTTCGACTGCTCAAATGTTCCTCCTCTGTTCATCTCGTCTTATTGTATAGAAACTAATGACCTGGAAGCTGATGTTTTGTCGAAGAATCAGAAAGCAGCAATCAAAGGGTTGTTCGGCGAGTATTGGACCTCCCTTGTCGATCATCTGAATGACACGCGGACTAAAATGAACGGGTTATTGAAGTTTATAAAGCGTCAAGAGAGGACTCGAGGTATTTACATATTTTTAAATTTTATTGTTTTGAGTTTAGGTGATGCCTCACAGGATGATCGGAACAAATATGAAAATTTGAAGAGTCAATTTGATCGCCTTCATGCTCAGGCCACGGAGTTTGCTCCATGGATTGGAAAGGAGGTCCCTGAAATGCCAGAAGAGCTAAGTGATGATGAGGCCGATAACGCGGAAGCCCGCCGTCTTCATGTTGAATTGTCTGAAGGAAAGCAGTCTTTGTGGCCCGATGATGACACGAGAACATTTTATGAGCACTTATGTAGGTCTTGGAATAGGGTTCGGGCTTAGTTTTATATTACTTTAGACTAATTTATGCGGCTTTAGATAATGTGGAACATGCCACTCTGCTAGCTGCTCAAAATACCACTCTGCCAACTGAAGAGGAAAATGAACTTGATGGGGAAGAGATTTCCGAAGAATCAATCGAATCCGAAGTGGATAATGTCGACATGGAAGAGCTGGAATACCAGGACACCAACGATGAGGCAGAACAAATCCCGGAGCAAGAAACAGAAGAAGCGACGAATGTGGAGGAAGAAGTGGATACCCCAGCGAATGATGAACGTATGCTGTACTTTTTATATTAGTTATTGGCTTTTAGAAAACTTGTCTCCGTTTTTCCAACCGTCCGGGCCTTCCACCACGATGGCTGTGTTCTTACAGCGTCTCTCCAATGGAATTAACCGAGAGAGGATTGATGCATGCGCTGTGGAGTTCATCACCAACTTTAATAGAAGATCCAATCGGAAAAAGTTGATCCAACATTTGCTTAGTGCACCATACGATCGTTTGGACTTGTTGCCGTTTTATTCTAGGTATGTTGGGTCGATATTTGTCATGTTTGAATGCCTAGGGTTTGGAGATAATTTTTGATATTTTCGGAACTGAAACGATTGGGGAAACCGAAAAGTGTTATTTTTCTTCGATGCAAGTGTGAAATTAGGATAATCGAGGGTGCTGATTTCGAAAGTTACATTCATTTTTTTGATGGTTGCTTTTTTGTTTAAGTAGTACTCTAAAGTAGTAATTTTTTGATTTTTTCATGAATAATACTTTATTTGGGGGTTTTCAATGGTGCTGATTTCAAATCCAAGAAAATGAATAACATTTTTGAAATTGGCAAGGTCGAAAACCCCCAAATCGAGTATTTGTGAAAAAAATCAAAAAATTACTACTTTACAGTACTACTTAAAGAAAAAAGTCACTATCAAAAAAAAATGAATTTTATTTTCGAAATCAGTACCCTCGATTATCCTAATTTCGACACTTGCATCGAAGAAAAATAATACTTTTCGGTTTCCCCAATCGTCCCATTTCCGTTTGAATGCCTAAGGTTTGGAGATAATTTTCGATATTTTCTAGGTTTATGGCGACCATCAAACCCTCCGTGAAAGAAGTCCCACATCAAGTCTGTAACGGCCTTTTGGAGCGATTCCGCGCCTTCGCCAGGAAATCCCCGGATATGAAGAAGAGAACCGGCCCTCCAGACCGCTCCCAATGCATCGATGCCAAAGTTCATGTGTCAAAATATGTGGCCGAGATCGTCAAATTCAAGCTTCTCCCGAAAGCTGAAGGCCTCGCATGTCTGAGAAGCTTGCTGGTTGATCTAAAAGGATACAAAGTGGACATGTTGTGCGCAATGGTCGAGAGTATGGGGCCTTTCATGTACAAATCGCCGGAAAGTCACGCCAAAATGAAGGTTGTTTTGACTGTGATGAACACAAAGAGCCACAAGATTAAGGATTCTCGGCAAAAGGTGGGTTGAAAAAGAATAATTTTATTTTTACTTGATTTTATTTTGACTGGATATTGTTTTTTATGTCATTGTTTTTAGTTGCTACTCGAGAATGCATACTTTTGCGTTCTTCCACCGGAAGAAGAAATAATCCAAGTGAACAGACGACCCCCCATGGAGGAATATATCAGTAAGAATGTCCTCACGGGCCACAAACCACTTCGAGTTCTGAGAAGAGTCGACTGGCTGGATAGCGGGATTAGAGGTAACTGACCCAATGATGGAGTAGGATATGATTTTTTTCTTTTAGAATTCACTTTGAAGCTCCTCACCGACGCTTGCGGAGTGCCGTTTTCTGGCTTGGAACGACTGGCGAAAGTGGTGAGCGCGTTGTCAGATCATCAGCCATGGGTCGGAGTCTACGTTGTGGACGAAGTCCTCGAATTCATAAGATTGGCACTGGAAGTGGAGGACCCAACCCTTCATCAAAGACTCTTCTCATCAGTGGTTTACATTGGACAGTTGTTCAATTACACTGTTTGTGGAACCTTGGTGATATTCAAAGTGAGTGATTTGAGATTTGTTTTCTGATTTTTAGGTCCTGTATCAAGTCATCAGCCTGGGAATTACCACTTCGTATGGAGCTCTGTTGGATTGTGCCTTGAGGGTGAGACGCATTCGGCTGACAATTGAAATGGTCAAAGTGGTGGGCGAGTTCTTTGGGGATGGGAAATCGAAGGAGAGAATGGACTGCTTCTTGAAGTAAATCGAGATTTTTCCTCAAATTAATATTGGTTTAGTTACCTTCTCCTCTTTTATTACGACACGAAGAGCTATTGGAGCCAATACACGGAAGAATTGGGAGAATTCCCTCTGGATGTGGACTATGAATTGGAGAAGATTTTGAAGAAATTCAGACCAACGGAGAGAGATTCTTTCCCCAAATCCATCGAAGAAGCCAGAGAAGCCGTTCAGGCAATTCAACTTCAGTACAAGGACAAAGCGGAACAGCTGTTGAGAAGAGGAGAAGCACAAACCATTCACACGGAGACCATTGTAGAAGAGAAACCTCGGAAATTGTTCTGCATTACTGAAGATGATGATGAAGAAGGGTAAGACTGTTTGAGAAATGATTTATTCTTCATTTAGAATCATGAAAACGTCCCCACAACAGGCTGAAGAAGAGGCAGAACCCTCTCCGGTTCAGACCACCTTCAAAAAACAGTTTGATTCTTTTGGCGACGAAGATGAGGAAGAATTGGAAATTAAAAAGGAAAGTGTGGTAACAGAAGAAGATGAGGACTTTATGAAAGAATATGAGAGAGTTCTCTCGGAGACCTTCCAGGTAAGGAAAAATCTTTTTTTTTTCTTGGGAAATAGTATTTTGTGGGCAAAGTTTTGTTTTTTAGACCTCGGTCATCCCAAAGGTACCTGTAATTGATCTCGAAGTCCCACCATCGGCCAGACAGAAGTTCGAAAGGAAAATTACGTTCGGTAAGGAGTTTTTTTAGTTGTTTTGAATTTGAATTTGAGATATTGGTTGTTTTAAATTTAAATTTCTGATACTGAATGGATCACGGATCTGTAAGGGGGTTTTTTGCAAGTAACTCGTGAAATAGCGGATCAAAATTAATAAAAATTTGATTTGTGGAGTCATTCCTACTTTTTGGTCGAGCAGTTTTCATCGCCTTATCCCCTCAGGGAGTCTTACAGTGACGGACCTGATCCAGTGGCAAAAAATGTACCAGTTTGCATTCGGGAAGTATCAAAAATGTAGCAAAATACCTCCCTCTCCAAGTGAAAAAAGTCCGTTTTGCTCACGGAGGGGGGCGCTTTTGAAATCGGAGTTTTTTCACTTGCAGAGGGAGGTATTTTACCACATTTTTGATACTTCCCGGATGCAAAGTGGTACGTTTTTTGCCGCTGGATCAGGCCCGTCACTGTAGAAATTCAAGTTTTTCACTGATCCGTTTTTATTTTCGAGAATGAACAATTTCCATGGTTTTTTGTGAGTAAAACATGTAAATATGAGGTTTGTAGATTGCTGCAACGGTTTTTAATTTAACAGACTCTTCGGCAATCTGTAAGCATAATTTTTTTATGCTTTACTCAACTCAAATCAGGAGAGTTTACCGTTTTCGAAGAGAAGAATTAAAATTTTGCAAAATCAGTGAATAACTATAATTTCTAAGACTCCCTGAGGGGATAAGGCGATGAATATTACTCGTCCAAAAAGAAGGAACTCTGTTGACCCCACAAATGTAATTTTTACTAATTTTGATCCGCTATTTCACAAGTTATTTGCCAAGAAACCCCACCAAGTTCGTCTGAGCAGCGCCATGAATTGGCTGACTTTTTTTTGCATTTCAGCAGACGCGAACGAGCCCGCAGAACCAAAAGCCCGAGAGCCGCAGATGGCCCTGATGACCAGAAAAGGAAACCGAACCATCCTGAAAGCGGTGAATCTGAAATCCTCGGAGGGAATGCAAAACGCCTTGTTGGAACAGAAAGAGAAGCAAGAGAAAGAACGAAAGGAAATGAAGCACATTACTCTAGCCATGGACGAACGAATGTATCAACAACAAGAAGCGGATCTACTCGCCAATTCACTCAGCAATATGAGAGTTGTGGGACAGAGGTCACAGAATGGACCGAGCTTGCCATAGAACTTGGAGCAGGTCGACTGGAGAAGTATCGAATGATTCGGCGGGCAAAGGATGGGATCAAGCATGGTCGAACGGCTGATAGTGAGTGGAAGTCGGAACAGGGTCGAGGAAGATGGGAACGAGTCTGGAATTGAGTGCAATGTAAGTCAAGGTTTACGGTGTTTCACTGATAGGATGAGTAGGGAGAAAAAAAAGGTTTATTTACAAGGGAAGTATCCCTAGTGCGATGCTCAGATTTTCTTTAAATTTTGCACACACGTTGATCATGAACTAGGTATCAATTGCTGAAAGTTTTAGCTCGCGCTTTGCAAGCGCCGTCGAGATATTGAACGACATTTGCCGCCGAGAGAGTACACTAAACGCGGATTGCGGTCAGAGAGAACAACGCTTTTTGGCCGTAACTTTGGCAGTTTCGGATGGAAGAAATAGATTTTTTGTGGAAATATTGTCCTTTTGGTAGAAATAGATGTGAAACTTTTCGTGCCGAACTTCGGCAAAAAGTCTAAAATGTTCGCCGACTTTCGATCTAAAATTATCCGTTGTTTCTGCAAAGCGCGAGCTGGGAGTCTTGCATATATTTTAGAAAAAATTGTTCTAAATCTCTGCCAAGTTTCATCAAAATCTGAGCGTTGCACTTGGGGTACTTCCCCTATAAATAAACTTTAAGGACACGGTTGACCCACTTCATATACGATACGACAATTTTTCGTTTTTTTGTAACATATTTTCAGGTGAGTTGGATCTTTCCCGAGGACTGTCAGTGTCAAAATGCGTTCGAAATTGGGCATTAGATCCGAAACCCGCTAATCCCAAGTGACATAACTTATTCTTGTTTCCTGATATTTACCTTTTTGTTTTGTTTATTCTTTTTTTTTTTGTTTCGAGATAAAGTATATTTTATTTGTGAGAGGACGTTTTCAAAACATGTGTAAGCTTTACTGTTGATACTTTACGAAAAGGAATTTGTGTTTTTTATAAGAATTTTGTTTTTGAAGTTGTGTAGTTCCTCCCAAATACAAATGGGAAAAGTGTGTTTGGTGACGGTGGGATCGACCAAATTCGACGGATTGATTGATGAAGTGTTGAGACCAGCAGTATTGAAGCGATTAGCCGAGCTGGAATTCGACAGATTGGTCATTCAGTGTGGAGCTGGAGCGTCTTTTGAGAAGTTTAGTCACAAATCTGTGGTGAAAGAGAATGGAGATCAGAAAATCAGATCGTTAATCGGAGAACAAAAGACTCTGGAATGGCAAGAATTTGGGATTAATGTAAGCTTTGGAATTAGATCATGCTCCTGTTTTTTCTAAATGAAATTTTTTGCCGTAATATCCCCTCAGGATTATTTGAAATCCAAGTTTTCCAATGACTTCCCCAAATTATCATTTTTCAATTGGGGTCAGGGACAGTTCAGGTCAAAGATACTATGGATAGCGTCGGTTCGTCGATGTATGCATGGGGAGGCTAGAGAAGGCTTAGTTAGTAGAAATAATAAGATTGATCGGGTCCTAGCATAGTTTATCACCTGTTTTGAGGGATTTTACATGCACTCACATCAATAATGTCTAGATAAAACTTACGGATCTTCGTTTTTTGCCGCAAATTTTGGTCTTTTAGATGTTACAATAACTCAGGGTAAATAAAAATAACGTTAGTAATAGCTAAAATTAGAAAAAGTAGACATATTGCAAGTCTTCGCCAAGTCTCCGCCGCCCGTCCCACGGCTTTGTGAGGCCTCGTAGGAACATCCTAGAACCTATTCCGGGTATCCCCTCTCTCTACGCCCCATACCGATCGCAATAACTCAGGGTACAGAGAACTAACGATAGTAATAGCTAAGACTAGAAAAAGTGGACATATTTCAAGGCTTCGCCAAGTCTCCGCTGACCCTCCGCTGAGCGTCCGCCGACCATCCAACGGCTTTGCCAGGCCTCGTAAGCAGTTCCTACAAACTTTTTTGGGTATCCACCTTCCCTACGCCCCTTATCGATAGATTTTGTGCTGACCCGAATTGTCATCAACCAGAAAAGTCGAGACGCGAAAAAAAACTTTGATTTAAACCCCCTGAGAAGATATTCCGACAAAAAAATTAAAAAAATGTGAAGCCCGTAGATCCCTAAAAAATAATGTTTTGATCTCTTTTATTTCCCCAGTCCTTGGATATCAGAGTATTTTCATATTTTTCAGATCGTCCTCCTCCGATATGTTGACAGTCTGCTCCCTCTAATTCACCTGTCAAACGTTGTAATCGGCCATGGTGGCGCAGGGACAATCTTGGAAGTGACCCGAGCCAAAAAGACCCTGTTTGTTGTGGTCAACCGCTCGCTGATGTCGGATCACCAAACAGAATTGGCTGAGGAATTGGCCAAGACCAGGGATTTGCACTTTGTTTCAGAGCCAAGCGAATTACTGGATGCGTTGAAGAAGGATGTTCATCTTAATCCCAATGTGGATTTGCCGACGCAAGAAGAGCGACAAAAAATTCTTCGTGGCTTGTATGATAATTGCAATTTTGTAAGAGCTTGGTAAAAAAAGTTGGACAGAAATCCTAAGATTTTTAATTTGTATTTTCTTCGGAAGTCATTGCCCTTTATAAAATTCTAATGCCGTAAACAAAACGATTAAACCATGACCTTCAATGACTAAGCAGATAATGGACGGGTGGTTTTAGATGGTTTTTTGACCGTTATCAAGACTTTTTTGTAGGTTAGGGTGGTCGGACGGACCGGGAAGACTTCTTTAGTTAATAACTAGGGAAAATCTTGGACCAAAATTTTTTTAAAATTGGATTTTTGTGTACCGCAGCTACTCAGTTTTTTGGCTAATTTTCTCGGCCTGCAATTTTTATCGAAATACACCCTCAGGGGTTCAAATTCAAAGGGATTCAAAGGGGCAAAAAATGTACCATTTTGCATCCGGGGAGTATCAAAAATGTGGGGAAATACCTCCCTCTGCAAGTGAAAAAACTGCGATTTCAAAAGCCCCCCCCCCCTGTGAGCAAAACCGACTTTTTTCACTCGGAGAGGGAGACATTTTGCTACATTTTTTGATACTTCCCGGATGCAAAATGATACGTTTTTTGCCACTGGATCAGGTCCGCCACTGTACATGAGCATCTCTGCCACTAGACCCATCCACAATATCCCGTTTTTCTGTCATAAGAGACGATTCTAGAAAAAAAAATGTGGCAAAATGCCTCCCTCTCCAAGTGAAAAAAACTGTTTTGAAGGGTGCGCTTTTTAAATCGGAGTTTTTTACTTGGAGAGGGAGGTATTTTGCCACATTTTTTTATACTTCCCGGATGCAAAATGGTACGTTTTTTCCTACTGGTTTAGGTCCGCCACTATAGGTGGAAACTCGTTCTATTTCCAAAAAACCTTGAGTGGATTTGCGATAGAATTGTAGGTCGAAAAAATCGTACCTCTGCAGATCCCAAAAATACAATTTTTGCCAAGATTGGTCCATTCTTTCCCGAGACATTGGCGGAAGAAATCTTTTCGGTCCCTTTTGTAATCAGCATGTTTGGCCGTCTACTATTCTACTGTATTTTGGTGCTACTTCTCTTCGCAACGCTCAAAGTGGAGGCTCTTTGCGACGCCGATGTTTGCACGGCCAAATGTGCTCGTGGCTGGACTTGTGATGAGAACAATTCTTGTGTTTGTAAGCGTAAATAATCGAAAAAATGAAAAAAATAAACTAATATGATCCTTAATCACTCTGCTATTTAACTTCCGATTCATAAGCAGAATTTATTTTGTTCGGGTATAAATTAAATACAGATAAGTGCAAGGTTAAATAAATTCGCGAGAAATAGTTTGGTCGTCAGTATTCTTCGTCGCCTCCGGCAGCATCAGATGAGTCTATGGCGACTTCTTCGTAGTCCTTTTCCAGGGCAGCCAGATCTTCGCGAGCCTCGGAGAACTCTCCTTCTTCCATTCCTTCACCCACATACCAGTGAACGAAAGCGCGTTTGGCATACATCAGGTCGAATTTGTGGTCAAGACGAGCCCAGGCTTCGGCAATAGCAGTGGTGTTGGAGAGCATGCACACAGCTCGAGGGACTTTAGCCAAGTCGCCGTTTGGAATGACGGTTGGGGGTTGGTAGTTGATTCCAACCTAAAATTAGGTAGTTTTAGATGATATTCAGCCAAAACTATTCATCAAATCAATTGAGCCATTCTCATACATGAAACTGACCTAAAAGCGCAGACAAAAAATAAAATACTAACCTTGAATCCAGTGGGGCACCAATCGACAAACTGAATTGATCTGTTGGTCTTGATTGCGGCGATGGCGGCATTCACATCTTTTGGGACAACATCACCTCTGTACAACAGACAGACAGCCATGTACTTTCCGTGTCTTGGATCGCACTTGACCATCTGGTTTTGGGCCTCGAAGCAAGAGTTTGTAATTTCGGAGACCGAGTGGGATTCGTGGTACGCCTTGGCGGACGAGATCACGGGAGCGTAGGTGGCGAGAGGGAAGTGAATTCTTGGGTAGGGAACCAGGTTGGTCTGGAACTCCGTCAAGTCCACATTCAATGCTCCATCGAATCTGAGAGAAGCGGTAATGGAGCTGACCACTTGGGAGATGAGACGGTTCAAATTGGTGTAACTCGGTCTTTCCACATCCAAATTTCTGCGGCAGATGTCGTAGATGGCCTCGTTGTCGACCATGAAAGCGCAATCGGAATGCTCAAGAGTCGTGTGAGTGGTTAACACGGAGTTGTAGGGCTCAACGACGGCAGTGGAGACTTGAGGAGCGGGGTAAATGGAGAACTCAAGCTTGGACTTCTTTCCATAATCAACGGATAGTCTCTCCATCAACAGGGAAGTGAATCCAGAGCCAGTTCCACCTCCAAACGAATGGAAGATGAGAAATCCTTGAAGACCAGTGCAATTGTCGGCGGTACGGCGAACGCGGTCAAGAACAGTGTCGATGATCTCCTTTCCGACAGTGTAATGGCCACGAGCATAGTTGTTGGCGGCGTCTTCCTTTCCGGTGATCAGTTGCTCGGGATGGAACAGACGCTTGTAGGTCCCAGTGCGAATTTCGTCTAAAAACAGAAGAAAATGAAAAAGAAAATTGTCCACATACCAATGACGGTTGGCTCCAGATCGACCAAGACGGCGCGTGGAACATAGTGACCAGTGCCGGTCTCGCTGAAGAAGGTCGAAAAGGAATCGTCCGTTCCAGCCTGGGTGCCGCTGGGCAGTTGGCCATCGGGTTGGATTCCATGTTCCAGGCAGTACAATTCCCAGCAGGCGTTTCCGATTTGGACACCGGCTTGACCAACGTGGATGGAAATAACTTCTCTCTGAAAAAGGCAAACGTAATGCAACTCAAACTGGCTAAAACCGAGAAAAAAACAAAAATGAAACCCTTACCATGATGAATGAATACGAAAATAGCAGTTGATTCGAAGAGAGCTGAAAATAACAACTTAATTTCAACAAAAGGCGTTGGGAACAGATAAATATCGCGCGAAAACCACTGGGAACACCCTTGTGCAACCTTGAAACCGCAATGCTTGTTCGCAGAATTTCCGGAACGAAAAGCGTTCGACCTGACACGTTATACGATGAAAGCTGTTTCGCGCTAATCCGGATATGGGAAAAAAGGATTAAAAAGCTGTGTTTTTGGCAAAAATTAGAAAAGGAGAATATCTGAGGAGTCTTTATATTACTTTCCAAGAAATTACTGGTTCAATTTTTCATACAAAACGGGTGTACAATAGCAAAATCAACTTAGATCCCCTTAATCTTTCAAGGATAATATAACCCCTTCCTAAATCGAATAAAAAGCCCACAGATCAAATAAAACATGCATTTAGAGGGTTGCCGAGCGTCCGTATAGATTTTGCGCAGCACTCATTTTACAGGAGGATAACCGCAGAGAATGACCTTAGGCCCCGCAAAGACTGCGTTATTGGCATTCCGTTTTACAAAAAAATTGTTCAATTATAACAAAATTTTTGCTCGCGCAGGTTCCAAATACCTTTTACGTTACCGCGCCGTACTTACCCGTACTTTGTAAGGTTTTACCTTCTTTATTTTATCGTTTTTATTTACATTTGATTTTAGATGTATTGTTTTTGACATCTCTTTCAACAATGCCAGCTTTACAACACCCTCCACATGGAAAAAGGCCGCCATTTCCTGGCCATTTGTCTCATGGATCTCAACGACAGTCATTGAATAGCCCCCTAAATCTAATGGCACCTTCCCATTCTTCAGCGTCTTTGCATTCTCCACGAGTAAGCCTTACTATTTTTTTTGGATTTTAGGCAACAAATTTCACTTCAACATGAACTTTTTTTTAGTTTCAAAACAAAGATACCTTTCGTTACCCGATAACGGACGATGGAGTGAAGGAAATGCGGGTCGTGAGGACTTTTAAGGACAATACGGACAAGATCAATCATCTGCATTATAGTACGGATGGAAGATTTATGGTCACATCGTCGAATGACGATTCTATTTTGGTCTACGATTGTGGGAAGGGAATAAAAGTGCAGACCGTAAGCTATTTGAGGTGTTCTTCTTTTTTTAGACCTTACTTTTTTCATAGAACTTTCTTTTATAGGTTAAATCCAAGAAATATCATAGAACTTTTATTTATAGGTAAACTCCAAGAAATATGGCGCATGTTTTGTCCAATTTCTTCACACTCGGGGAGATTCTTCGTACAGTGTCGTTCATGCTTCCTCAAAGGTTGACAGTAAGTTATTTTCAATTTGGTTTTATGCTTTTAGACACGTTGAAATACCTCAGGACCGACAACAAACAATATATTCGCTATTATTGTGGGCATTCCCGGGAGGTGACCGCTGTGAGTGCTGCTTCCACTGAAGGCACCTTCTTGTCTTGTGCGGCCGATCACACACTCAGATTATGGGATCTAAACTGTTCGTTGGCCACGGTAAGCGCGTGGTATTATCATCACCAGATTTTAAAACATTTTAACATCCAAATTTTATTTATTTTTTCAAGTTTAGGCCGTTCTTCAACTCGAAAACACTCCAGTCGCCGCTTTTGATCGGGAAGCAATTACCTTTGCTGTTGGTGTGAATGGTCAACTAAAGTTGTTCGACCTACGACACTTCCAAAACGGGCCATTCTGGTCGACCAAACTGCCAAACGCATTGGACTTCTCGCATCTTCAATTCTCCCCCAACAACAAACAAATATTACTTTCGACCTATGGAAGTGAAATTTATTTGGTGGATGCGTTTAGCGGCGATGTTGTACACACCCTAAAGGGTTTCAAAAACTACGAAAAGAAGGTAGGCAGTTGTTTTGAGAAGTTTTCTTTGCGGGAAATGAGTTGAATATACAGTGTTGGATTTGATCCAGTGGCAAAAAATGTACCATTTTGCATCCGGGAAGTATCAAAAATGTAGCAAAATGCCTCCCTCTCCAAGTGAAAAAAATTCTCAAGGAAAGTGCTTCTTTGGGGTATGGAGTTACAGGTCAAGACATATATGGAAAAATCGCAAAATTTTTCTGATTCAGAATATGTAAAAGTTAGCTGTCTAATTTTGGTTTGTCAGAGTGAATCCTCAGAAATTTTCTCGCAACACCACACAAATCCCCCTTTTTTATATTGGAACTACTAATTAAGGTGCAGTATTAATCAAATTTGATATTTTAAGGCTTGTCAAGATGCCAGGGTTCACTTTAGCTCAAACTAAAACTTTTGATTTGGTAAAAACTTTGTCAAAAAGGCATTTACGTGGTGTTGCGAGAAAAGTTTGAGGATTTATCACTCTTACAAACCAAAATTAGGCAGCTAATTTTTACATATTCGGAATCAGAAAAATTTTGCGAGTTTTTTTATGTATGTCTCGACCTGTAACTCCATACCCCATAGAAGTACTTTCCTTGTCAAAACCGTGCCTCTCTTTTTGTGAGGGAAGGTCTTCAAAACGGAGTTTTTTCGCTTGGAGAGGGAGGCATTTTGCCACATTTTTAATACTTCCCGGATGTAAAATGGTACGTTTTTTGCCACTGGATCAGGTCCGTCACTGTAACATATTTATGTGCTTACAGCCGATATGCCTCCGTCCAACGTTTGCGCCCGGCTCTCGTTATATTTTTGGCGGATCCATCGATGGAACGGTGAATTGCTGGTCAGCCAAAAGTGGAGAACTTCTCCGACGTTTCCCCGCGCTTCACGCCGGCCCAGTGGAGAATGTGGGATTCCATCCGAAGTATTACACGTTGGCCTCGGCCTGCTCGGAAATGCGATGGTGGATCCCGACGTTCGAGGACTTTGTGGAGAAGCAGCCGAGAGAACGAAGAGATTCCGAAGCCGGACAGCACTTCCATTCGAATCCATTCCATAAACAAGGTTCTCATGGACATGGACTTGGCTCGACACATTCGGGACCAACCTCTGCTAATCCGTTCTCGAGTTCAGCAACTACGAATCCATTTTCGTCTCATCACAGCGGAGAAAAGGAACGCCACGGCTTGGTGAGTCATGAAAAACAGTCGTCGATTGAACGACTAAGAGAGGAAAGAGGCCACGAATTGAAGGCCAAGGCTCAATTACAACCGGTCGGGTTGGTTTCCCCGCAGGAGAAAGCTCTGCCCGTAGGGCAAAAGCCTCAGCCAAGCCCTACAGGAGTGTTACCTCATCCGCCGGTACCCCCAAAAGATGTGAGCACCAAAGAAACTTCTTTTGAATATCCGAGCGGACTGAGTTCATCTTTTTCGGATGTGAAGTCGAGCTCAGCCTCCTTGGAAATGAAGGCCAATTCGATTGCTTCGGATTTGAAATCGACGTCGGGAGTTTCGGAAGCAAGGTCGACCTCGATGTCCTCGGATGTGAAGTCGAATTCGACTTTTTCGGATATCAAATCGACTGCATCCTCGAATAAGGAACAGGATGATTCGTACGACCCCCTCAACGAGATCCTCAAAGGAATGAACAAGGAATTGGGACCATTGGCACTCGCCCCAACTCCTCAATCTTCGAGCGGCTCCGGACTTGCATCAGGCAGTCAACTGGCCCCATCAAGCGGATCCAATCCAGCAACGACCCCGAAAAGTGATAAAGAAAAGGATCGAGAACATCGCGACAGAGACCGTGAACACAGAGACCGAGATCGGGACAGAGAAAGGGATCGGGAGAGGGACAGAGAACGCGACAGAGATCGAGATCATCGCGACAGAGACCGCGATCGGGACAGCCGAGATAAGGACCGGGATAGAGACAGAGAATATCGAGAAAGGGATCATAGGGAACATCATCGAGACAGAGACAGAGATCGAAGGGATCAAAGAAGCAAAGAGAAGGAGAGAGATCGGGAATATCGAAATTGAATCGTCTGAGCTTTTAAGTACCCCAAGTGTAACTTTTTGATTTTTTTTTTGAAATTTGAGGGCGTGATCTGTATATGTCAACTGATAATTGCTGATAGTACAGTGGCGGACCTGATCCAGTGGCAAAAAACGTACCATTTTGCATCCGGGAAGTATCAAAAATGTGGCAGAATACCTCCCTCTCCAAGTGAAAAAACTCCGGTTTGAAGAGCCCCTTCTTTCACAAAAATAACGGCGCGCTTTTGAAATTGGAGTTTTTTCGCTTGGAGAGGGAGGTTTTTTGCTACATTTTTGATACTTCCCGAATGCAAAATGGTACGTTTTTGCCACTGGATCAGGTCCGAACAGAAGCGTCACACTTTGTCAATCTAGCAAATTTCCTGACCCTTTTAGACTTTTCGTCCACACAGTATCGATTGACCGAAAGATTTTAGATATCAAAATTTTTTCTTAAAGACTTGTTGGACGACGAAATTGTCCTCCAAGAATGAAAAAAATTTTTAGAACGCTATTTTTGCCTAGAATCCGAGATTGTAGCCAAGCAAAAAGCAGCCCAAGATTTTCTCCAAAATTCCATTTGTGACGAAACGCCGCGTTGATTAAATCTTGGTCAGCAAATAGCTTCAACTGCGCTGCGTTGACGTGCGTAATAATTGGGGTATCTATCTTATGTTTTACACTCTATTCCCTATCTTAACTTTATTTGTAAGTTATTGTAAATACCCCTCTACAAACCCTCATTGTATTATATTAAACTCCAAATGAGACTCATATTTATAACATGTTTACCGTAGATTTCATTAATAAAAACGATTAATGTGAAATGCCGGCGGGTTTACTCTCCTCTTCGAAGGTTTATTTTTGCTTGAGCAGCGGAGGGTTTTTTGGAAAATAACTTGGGAAATGCGGGATAAAAAATATGTTTTTGGAGCCTTCATATAACTTTTTACCACTGAAAGGCCCTTCGGCGAAGTATGTAAACGTCAATTTTAGAGATTTCTTTCACATTAAATGTGGAAATTTGGTCATACGAATAGTAGAAATTTGGCTAAATTAGCGGAAGACAGTGAATTTAAAAGACTTTGGGAAAAATATTATGGCAAAAATTATACCTTTAGAAAACGTAGGGCTCTGTGGATCCGAAAATTATAATTTTCGTTAATTCTGGTCCTGTAAATGAGCTAAAATTGACAAAAATTGTATTTTTTAGTCATATAGACTACATGTCAAAAAATGGAAGCCCTAAGGATTTCAAAATTGCATTCCTTATCAATACTGGTCTTTTAATTACAAAGTTATACATATATGTTGTATATGTAAGCGAAAGAAATCTTGCAAGTCCGCTGATTCACTTGCAGCAAAGCCGGTTATCTCGAATCTGTTTTTTTTTGCGTTTACAATCCGGCGATTTGAATACTTAACCTAAATTTCGATCAATTACAGACAAATGGAGAGAGTTATTCTCTTAAATAAACTTTTAATTAGAGCAGTTGACGGATTTTTAATTACTTTCTTCGCTTGCTGATAATTAGGGCTATCACGCAATTCGAAGGTTAATATTATACAGCCCTTTTAGTACGAGCGAGAGAGAGAGATTTTGCGGAATTGTTTAATAAAAAATTGGTTTTACGAGGGCCTTTAAAATGCCGCGGAGACAATACGATCATATTTTCATAAGTTCTTAATCAATTTTAATCCGTTTTCTTCCGGGAATCTGTCACTATTTGAAGAGTCTCGCTGCGATTATTAAACAAATAATGTTTTGGATTAAACTTTTATACGGGTTCTGGGTTCATTGACCTATAATATCTTACAAAACGGGCTTTATAAGATGTATTTTTGGTTTAGTATTTTTAAAATCCAAAATTCGAATTAACAATGGGCAGCTTGACCAGCAAGATTTCTTTTGCTAATAACTTGGGAAGTCACGGGTCAAAATTTACAAAAAATTATATTTTTGCGATTTATGTGCAGTTTTTTATATTAGGTTTAATCAAAATCTGTGGTTTTTAAAATAAAATGCGAAAATTCCGCTAAATCAGTGGAAACCCCTTGAATTTCAAAGATTCCCTGAGGGTAAGAGCTGCTGTTTCTTGCATCTGTTGCTTTTATTGCAATATACCCTCAGGGCATCTTTGAAATTCAAGAGGTTTTCCCTGATTTAGCTGAATTTTCGCATTTAGATTATTTTAGAAACGACAGATTTTGATTGAAACTATAAAGAAAAACTGTACATAAATCCCAAAAATATAATTTTTGTAAATTTTAATCCATTATTTCCCAAGTTATTAGCAAAAGAAATCTTGCTGGTCAAGCTGCCCATTATTAGTTTCCATTTCGGATTTTAAAAGTATTAAACCCTCTGTGACGCCCCTATTTGCTCAAAGAAATCTTGCTTAAACCCAACTAATTAATTTCATTTCGTTGCGAATTATAAGAAATTCAATTGAAAATTAATCCCTCTTCAACTGTATTACGCATTCTTCTGGATTGGCATTTTGATGAAAGTGTAATAAAGCCCAATCTATGTAGAAATAAATTTTGTTCAACGGTTTTTAAAGCGTCTTTCGATTAGTTTCGAAGGTACCTCTCATTGGTTAATTGAAAAGATTATTGGTTTTTAATTATTTTATAAATTTTTTAATATTTGCTTACCCTAATTTCTCGATACAAATTTTAATTTAAAAATCAGCGGGGAAACCAGTGAATTGGGGGTTTTTCGAAGTTGAGGTTACATAAGTTTTTGGAGGAAGTTCTTTTTTCACCGGGGTACCATACTCTTCATTTCTTTTATAGGACTGGCGGAAGCATAAAAAAATGATTGTAGGAGATGCCTACGAGGCCTGGAAAAGCCGTCAGATGGGCGGCGGATACTTGCCGAAGACTTGCAATATGTCAATTTTTTCTAATGTTAGCTATTACTAGCGTTAGTTTTTTTACCCCGAGTTAGTTATTGTAAACATATAAAAGACCAAAATTTGCGACAAAAAACGAAGATCCGTAACCTTTATCTTGATATTATTGATGTGAGTACATTTAAAACACCTCAAAATAGGTGATAAACCATCCTACGACCTAATAAATCTTACTATTTATATTAATTGGGCCTAGCATCCCCCGCGATACGGTTATTTTTAAACAAATTTTCCTGCAATATTTTACCACCCGTTTCCGACCGCCATTACCGTTTTCAACAGCGTCTGCAGATTTGTACCGCATTCCTCTCCGTCTATATTATGTTTCCCCGAAAGTAATGAGGTTTCGAAAGCCAAAAAGAGCCTCAAAGATTATTTGCCATTTTTTTTTTGAATTTAAAGCCAACACCACTGACCGAAAACATATTTCTTCGAAGTAAATTGAGTTTATTACGTTGAGCATACACAATTCTTTGGGAAGGCATTTTCGTATGTTGCCATGAAATTATCGTAATTAAAGGGAAGAAATGGTTTTTGAAAGTCGTTCAATTATTCTTTGCAGTCATGACTGTGCGTTTTATTGAATAGTAGCAGACATTTATCAATGGAGGAGATTCCAATTTTAGTACTAATTTCTGCATAGGCCACGTATAAAAGTTCTACAATTTTATCGAAAGTTAAATTGCTTTTACAGCTTCTCACCAATTTTGAGGTATTTTACATGTACTTACATCAATAATATCTATTAGGTTGTCCAACAAATAATGACCCTCTTCGAAAAATTTATTTTTTTGGTAAAATTTACCGTAATAACTGCGATCTATTTAATCAAAATAATTATCATGCGCTTTATCACGCTTGTTACAAAGTGCCAAAAATTTTTTTATGTCTGTAGCTTTGCAACCCTGGCTTCTGGAGCCGATGAAACTTTTTAAGGCTTTTTCAAGGGCGTCTTGATTGTCGAATTAACTACCACTGATGAAACGTGCTAGATTCTTGAACTGGTGGTAATGTGAATAGGCCAGCTTTGACAAATAGGCTGGACGAGGGACAGTCTCGTATCTCTATTAAATCTGGTTCTGGAGGGTCATCTTTCAAACTAGAGGTTCCGTGTAGCCGCTAAGAATTTTTGGACTTCTGCGGCGCATCGTTGAAGACAGACGCTGCCCCAAACTGTCTATCTGGATACAGTAGGGGATGGTGTCTACATTTTGGCCAGATTTCAAGAAGTTGTATTGTACTATGCCCATGCTGCACCATCAAGAACTAGTCATCACCTTGTTTTGGGGGGAGTCGGGCTTTGACAAGTGCCGCAGTGATACCCTCGGAGGACTCCGTTCAGCATATCTGGTCTGGTTGTCCCAGTAGGTCCTCTTTTCATCAGAGGCAACGTTTCGATCCAGAAAACGGAACGCAAACGCGAGAAATGTAAAGATTCCAATCTTTGCTTTGACCCAATAACATGGGAAAAAGTTGCCGAGCATTTTTTGAATTCCATCGACATCAAATGGTTAGCCGCCCATTATTTCAGCAGCCAGACAATGTCAGAGACGCGTTGAATATTGATTCTAGGATGTTCGTCAACCGACGACCTCAGGGTAAATTGATAAAGTTCGGATTCCGTACTTTATCTTTGGGTCCCTTGCCGTCAAATCGTAATTTTTAAATCCATCATTTCACCGTGTTCAGACTCAGAACACACTAGTCGAACATAGCGTTGATACTTTGCGTAGCTTCTGAAACTTTCGCATCCTGTTTTTGCCCGTAAAAGATGACAGCGCGAACCGACTTTTTTTTGATAATTTTTGATTAGGGCTAAATTACTGTAATTTGGTCCCAATATGACAAACGATACATCAAACGAAAGCCTGAAATCTCAGCTACAAAATGATATAATATTTCGAAATTCCATCATCGCTTGCCTTTTTTAGAGGCTTTAAACTTTGCCCCTCTCACAGAGGGTCATTATTTGTTGGACAACCTAATAGATAAAAGTTACGGATCTTCGTTTTTTGCCGGAAATTTTGGTCTTTTATATGTTACAGTAACTCAGGGTAAAGAAAAGTAACGTTAGTAATAGATGAAATTACAAAAGTGGACATATTGCAAGCCTTCGCCGAGCGTCCAGCATCCAACGGATTTGCCAGGCCTCGTAGACAATTCCTACAACGAATCGGCCAGATAAAAAACATTTTTTGTCGGTGACTATTCAACCCTCCAAAAAACAAGTTTTTTAGAAGGTAACACATGAGTTCCAAAAAAGTTCGAAATTTTCAAATTAAACATCAAAAAAATTAAAGTTTTTTCTACCAAAAAATCTCGACATTTTCCCCAAATTTCAGCCTAAAAATCTTGCAGATGTCTTAGAAAATAATCATCTAAGGCTATCCCACGTTTTATGACATAAATTTGAAGCAGTGTGCATGCTTTCCATATCAGTTCTTAATTCTTTTCACCGTACTCTTTCGAAACCGAGGAGAGTTCACACTTCACAAAATTTCGTAATGCCTCTAAAAGTCATTTATAGTTGCTCCGATTATATTTATCGTAATTTGCGTACCTTTGGAATATCTTTTATTTTTCCAGAAGCCATTGATAAACAACAAAAACAAAATAACAGAACGAGCAAAAAAGGGGGGAAATCGACATTACTTTTCGGCCGATGTGTGTTTTTGTTCAATTTAAAGATATCTTATATTTTATTGATTAAAATTCGGCTGGAGGTTTTACGATACAAATCGTTAAAGGACCTCACCAACTACATTTGAATCGCATTTTTACGGCTTGGAGGTGCGCTTCGCCAAAAGTTGCGAAGATCCCGCGAAAAAAACAAATACAAAAAATAGTTGAGAATTTTTCTCGAAAAATGCAAAATTGAAGAAAGTTCATGTTTCGAAGGTGCAGAAACAGCTTGTTGATCATGTGGATCCTGCCAACGCCCATTCCGATGCTCTTGGGGAAAGGCTGATGTAAGTTTTTTTGGTTTTCGCTTGGTTGTCCACATTTAGGTAGGATTGAACGAACTTGTGCAATATTTCGTCTGTTCGTTCGAAAAAAGCACGAGCGCAATGTTGAGGAGCAGCTATTAGACTCAAAGTTTGTGTGACGTCCATTTTCTTGCCTTGTTTGAGCTGCTTTTATCCATTTAGAGGTATTTTATATTGCTTTAGTTGGTTTTTTAATTTCAGAGTTGTTCAAACGTCTGCAACGACCCATGAAATGAAGGAACCGGCTTGACCACAAGGACCTGCGAGTGAATTAAAGCTTCTTGATCTAACGTGTTTCAAAACGAGAATGTAACTTAATATATCTTTTTATTATCTAAAACATCAATAAAACATTACTCATGCAGGTTTTGGCCAATTTGATGGTGTCGTTTTCATCACGTTTTCATCTCCGTAACAATCGATTCACGAAGTCAAGTCCAGTCTAAAACTAAATGAATAGAAGCAGAGAAATCACGTACCTAAATTTTAAACAAACAAGTAAAAAACACATTACCTCATACACAGATGACGTCCCTGACTCGAATCTTGATTCCAAGATCAATGAAGGGAACTCTTTTTCATGGGTCGTTGCAGACGTTTGAACAACTCTGAAATTAAAAGACCAACTAAAACAATATAAAATACTGCTAAATGGATAAAAGCAGCTCAAATAAGGCAAGAAAATGGACGTCACACAAACTTTGAGTCTAATACCTGCTCCTCAACATTGCGCTCGTGCTTTTTTCGAACGAACAGACGAAATATTGCACAAGTTCGTTCAATCCTACCTAAATGTGAACAACCAAGCGAAAACCAAAAAAACTTACATCAGCCTTTCCCCAAGAGCATCGGAATGGGCGTTGGCAGGATCCACATGATCAACAAGCTGTTTCTGCACCTTCGAAACATGAACTTTCTTCAGTTTTGCATTTTTCGAGAAAAATTCTCAACTATTTTTTGTATTTGTTTTTTTCGCGGGATCTTCGCAACGTTTGGCGAAGCGCACCTCCAAGCCGTAAAAATGCGATTCAAATGTAGTTGGTGGGGTCCTTTAAAAATTTATGTTTTTTAACGAGGAAGATGCCAAAAGTTTTGTGTCTTGGCTTTTCGGGTCGACGGCAGTTCGGGCGATCGGTATGGGGCGTAGGGAGAGGGGATACCCGGAATAGGTTCTAGGATGTTCCTACGATGCCTGACAAAGCCGTGGGACGGGCGGCGGAGACTTGGCGAAGACTTGCAATATGTCCATGTTTTCTAATTTTAGCTATTACTAACGTTATTTTTATTTACCCTGAGTTATTGTAACGTATAAAAGACCAAAATTTACGGCAAGAAACGAAGATCCGTAGCTTTTATCTGAATATTATTGATGTGAGTACATGTAAAATACCTCAACATAGATGATAAGCTCTCCTATTACCCGGTTAATCATATTATTTCTGCTAGAACTAGGCCTTCTCCTACCATCTGTCATGCATACAACGCGATCCGTAGAATCGTTGACCCGAACTGTCGCTGGCTCGAAAAGTCGTAGCGCCAAAAAATTTTCTTGTCGATTTTCTTTAAATATTCGAATTGGGCCACAAACTAATCCCTGGAAATTTATCCTCACGCCTTGCAGAGGCAGTGGAGATAATCAACGATCTTTTTCCCAGAGCGTATGCATATGTAATGCGGTAGAGAGTCGGGCAGACGAAAGACGTTTTTTGACTATACTTCCGTAAATTTCGCACGGAAAAAATTGATTTTTTGTTGAGGGGCTGTGCTCTCCACATTAAACAAAATGCCAACTTTCCAGACGAAAACAATGAAAAAAAATTTATTCGGCGAACGAAACACATTTTTCGGATTTGTCATCTGATTTTCCTCATAAAAATTTAATTTTTGATGCACCCTCATTCCCAGTAGAGACTGAAATTTTAATGTAAAAATCCCTGATTTTATCCGTGAAAAATTTTTTCGCCCTTCGCATCGATGGCGAAGAAGCAATCGTTTTCCGAGAGAGCACGCGAAATGAGGAGAGCTGGTCAGAGCAAAAATACCATTTTTCTTTCATGTCTTTCTCGAATTTGGGTGGTAAAAATAGTCTTCCGAGGAGATACTTCCCCTTCATTTTTGATTGTTGATTGATCTTGAAATTTGAGATTGGAAAAATTGCAAAAAATTTGAAGTCGAAATGCGATTCTCAGATTTTGATGACACAGCTAGAGTTTATATAACGCTTTTCTATGAAATATTTAAGTTTTTAGTTTGCGGTTTGCAGAAATAATCGAGATTTTTTCGTCGAAAATTGTCAGAAATCCAAAATTTTTCAAATTTCCGGCACTTTCAGCCGTAAAATTTCGATAATTTCTTTAACAAGAGCTAATATGTCAGTCTCAGCGCCGAATCTACTTTCTCGCAGATTCAGCTCCCCAACTTTTTTTATACTTCTGGCCAAATGTTAGTAATGTTTACCCCATCTTTTATGAATTGAATACTTTTTTTATTGTTGTCGTATAGTAATATTTTAAGACTTCTCTCCCTCTCTTCCCCTCCCTCCCTTCGAATGCATAAAACTAATAAAAATATTTTTATAAAGAAAAGGAAGAAGAGGACGAAGGAAAAACGTATTATTAATATAATACTATGTATATATTAAAAATGTTATCTGAAGACATAAAGTGGGAATTAGTTTTTTCTCCGTTTCGTTTTCGGGCTCGAATTTATATAATATTTAATACGGCGGTGAGGAAATGACAGGCCGTTTCGGCGCTTTTTAGGCGTGCCAGGGATTGGACCTGGGCCCCGGAGGGGTTTCTGGGCCGAATTTGAATAGTCACGACCGATCTGGCGATCAGGAGGGAACGTCGGCGAGGAAAAAAGAGGATTGAGGAAATCGAAAAGTATTATTTTTCTTCGATGTAAGTGTCGAAATTAGGATAATCGATGGCGCTGATTTCGAAAATGACATTCATTTTTTTGATCGTTACTATTTTTCTTAGTACTGTAATGTAGTAATTTTTTGAAGTTTTTTACAAATACCCGATTTAGGGGTTTTCAATAGTGCTGATTTCAAATCAGAAAAAATGAATAAGATTTTCGAAATCTGCACCATCGAAAACCCCTAAATCAAGTATTTGTGAAAAAAAGTTCAAAAAATTACTACGTTACAGTACTACTTAAGGAAAGAAGTAACCATCAAAAAAATGAATGTCATTTTCGAAATCAGCACCATAGATTATACTAATTTCGACACTTACATCGAAGAAAAATGATACTTTTCAGTTTTCCCAATCGTCTTTTTCCCCAATCGTCTTCCCCCGGGTCAGGAGAAGTGTTTGATAGAGGGTCGAAGCTCTGAAATTTTAGCTACAATTAGTCTCTAAAATAAATCGATGACCATCAACATGAAATTCAGTTTTAAATTGCTCAAACTATCAGGTTCGTCAACGTCAAACTGACCGGTCGAGAACGCTAAATTCTAAATTTTCTCCGGTCCAATTCCATTCCCAATGCCTTGTACGCACCTCTGTCGTGCAATATCAGATTAAAGTAATAACTATAATACTTTCTGGATTTGTAACAATTATCGGATTTTGCCGAACCAATTTCGCCACAATATTATTTTTAATCCGATATTTGAAAAGACGGTTGCGTAGCTGTTTCAAAGCTTTTGAGAGTTAAAACTGTTTTGGGATTGCGTCGAAGTTTGCACCAAAAATTTGCTCTTTGTTTCGTGCCTATTTTTACCATAGATGGCGATGTTTCCAGAGAAAATTATTTTTTTTTCGCACTAAACTGGCAAAGTTATGGCCAAAAAGGGCTCTTCTCTCTGACTGCTCTCCGTTTTTCGCGCACTCCCTCGGCCGCAAAGATCGTTGAATATCTCGGCTGCGCCTGCAAAGCGCGAGCTAAAACTTTCAGGAATTGATATTTAGACTATGCCCGACGTCTGAGCAAAATTTCAAGAAAATCATTGGGATTTTGTAAAGGATTTTGAGCGCAGTTTACAGGGGAAGTACCCCAAGTGCGACGCTCAGATTTCGATGAAACTTGGCACAAATTTAGAATAATTTTTTCTAAGATATATGCGAGAATTTTAGCTCGCGCTTTGCAGAAACAACCCAGATTTTTAAACCGAAAGTCGGCGAAAATTTGACACTTTTTGCAGAATTTCGACACGAAAAGTTTCATGCCTATTTCTATTGTAATGGGTAATGCTTCCACAAAAAATGAATTTTTTCCGTACGAAACTAGCGAAGTTATGGCCAAAAAGTGTTTTTCTCTCTGACCGCTCTCCGCGTTTAGCATGCTCTCTCGGCGACAAAGATCGTTCAATATCTCGGCGGCGCTTGCAAAGCGCGAGCCAAGACTTTCAGGAATTGATATTTAGACTATGCCCGACGTCTGAGCAAAATTTCAAGAAAATCTGACTATCGCCATTCGGATTTTGTAAGGGATTTTGAGCAAATTTTTAGCCAAACCGAAGGGCCCATTTTTTATTTTTTATTCAGATCTCCAACTTTTATGATTCCTCGGCACATGCACACCCTCCAATTTCAACACTATTATTTCGTTTTCGAATTTTCTCGAAATTAAATCCTACATTTATAAAGCGTTTTTGTTCGAATGAGAGAGGAATGTATTCTGGACGGATATCTCTTCTTAATTTATTAATAAAATATTAAATTAAAATTTTGTAATAAATCTAAAGAAGAGAATTGAATTTGGAATGGGGCGAAAGATATTATTTCCCCTGCCTTTGTGTGTGTATAATCGTATTTTTGACTGCGAAAATGTTTTTTTGTACACACATTTGGGTTGGGTGGGTTCGAAACGAGGCTTCCGATCTTGGCCCTTTTAATTGGGAGGCCTAACTTTTTTATAATGCATTTAAATTTATTTAATTTTGAAAAATGAATTTCTCCACGTAAGGCAAGTGAATTTTCTTTCAATTGTGCCCACATGATCTGCGTAGGCCACAAATTGATTATTGAAAACTTTAACTGTCGCTTCGCAGCCGACATATTCAACTATCGTTTTATACGAGAGAGAATTGGAAACGAGGGGCGGTCAGAGAAAAAAGCGCTTCTCGGCCATTGCCGAGTTTTGCCGGAAAAGCGTTTTTTTTTATTTTTTGTGTTGAAATCAAAAAATCTCGAATTTTCGGTTTTTTCGATCCAAAGACTTTACTATTTTAAATGCAAGCAAAAAATCCCGCATACAGTTTAGAAAATTTTAGTCATCATTTATCCCAAGATTAACCGAAATCTGACAAATTGAGTACTGCACCTTGAGTTAGGAGAAACCCATGCTTTTACGGACCTTCCTTTGCGATTTTTACAGTGAAGGACCTGATCCAGTGGCAAAAAACGTACCATTTTGCATCCGGGAAGTATCAAAAATGTGGCCAAATGCTTCCCTCTCCAAGTGAAAAACATCGTTTTGAAGGGCGCGCCCTTCCTTCACGAAAAAAGCGCGCGCGCTTTTGAAATCGGAGTGTTTTCACTTGGAGAGGGAGACGTTTTGCCACATTTTTGATACAAAATCGTACGTTTTTTGCTACTGGATCAGGTCCCCCACTGCATTTTTCCACCGGGTTAAGATCTTCGTTTTTTGCCACAAATTTTGGTCTTTTTTATGTCACAATGACTCATGGTAAACAAATCTAACGTTAGTAATAGCTAAAATTTGAAAAAGTGGACATATCGCAAGACTTCGCCAAGTCTCCGCCGAGCTTTCACCGAGCGTCGGGTTGCGGAATTAAAATGCAATTTTTTAGCGCAAAAAATCATCAAAAATTTGAACCCTCGGCATTTTTCAAGCCAAAAAAGACTCGATGGTGTCTGCAAAACATAATCTAAAAATCCTTTATATGTCTTGGAAAATTCTAATCTAAATTTGTCCCCAAGTTTCATCCAAATCCGAGCACTACACCTCACTTCCCCAACCTCTGCTGACATTCCCAATGGCTCTTGCACTTGGCTCTCCCCGAATAAACAATGAATTTCATAATACACACCCTTTTCCATATTAGTTGTAAAAAGCGAATGTAATAAAAGGATTCTGTCCTTTTTTTTATTTGTTCGCAACGAATTTTTTATTATTTTTTTTCGGACACAATTTTTTTTATTTCAAAGTCCGAAAACGGCGCCGTAAACATTCTCCATTTTCTCTCTCTCTCTCGGTTTATTTATGATTTTATTATATAGTTTATATATATGTGTATACACTCTTTCTCAATCTTCCTCGGATATCTGGTTCAGATCGGAATTTTATGACAGGATTTTAAAAAATCAATTTTTCGATTTTTGAATTTTTTTTTGTAAAGAAAAGCTTTTAGATTTTGATGAAACTTGGAGTAAATTTAAATAAAATTTTTAAAAATAAATGTTTTTTACAACATGAAAATAGAATATCTTTTTTAATTTTGAAAAAAATCGAATTTTTTCCACTTCAAAATTTCATGCTTCTGCAAAGCGCGGGTCAAAAATTTCGCATATATCTTTAAAAATTTTGATTAAAATTTGTACCAATTTCAAAAGAGTAGCCTCTTAAAACTTCAAAAAAATCCTCTGTTTTATAGAGTGTCCGTCATAGCACCGCTTTTTATACATAAATAAATTTGTTATCCGTCGGTTTTATTATAGTATTTCAGCCCTATTTCTCTCTTCTATCAATCCGCTTTTCAGAAATTTTTCTATAAACATCTTTCGCGTTTTTATCATTTCGTGCAAAAAACATTCGAATGCCCTTATTTTTATGGTATTTATTGGTTTTTTTCGAAAATAGTTAATGTCATGGGAGAGAAACTAAAGTTGTGCACTTTGCCAGTAGATTAATTTTTGTGGCAGGGTCTTATTATTATACCCGCATTCGCGTACTGTTGATTACGTTAATTGGCACGAATTTTCTTTGAATATTATATCCACTTACAGGAGCAATGGACAATATGGAGGACGCGTTGCTGTTTAATCCCTTGGGGACGTTGAAAAATCAACTTGATTTTGTTGGACATCAGGTGAGATTAAAGTTTTGTAGAGGTCTAATTTGACCGGTCAAGTTGTCAAATTGACCCAAATGAAAGGCTTGTGGGCCAATATGACTAGTAAACTCATCGGTCAAGTTGACAAAAATTATCTGTCAAGTGGACAATCTGACCATTGAAATTTCAAATATGACAGGTCAAGTTGACAAAATGACCCGTCAAATGACCAAACTAACAATAAGAGGTTTGTTCAAGGTCAATCCGAACGGCTAAGTTGACAAATTGACCAAAATGACCAAACAGACAGGCTTGTATTGTAGGCCAATACTACTGGTAATATGACCAAAACGACCGGTCAAATTGAAAAAAATTATCTGTCAAATGACCAATCTGACTATTGAAACTTCTAATATGACCGGTCAAGTTGACAAAATGACCCGTCAAATGGCTAAATGACCGGCCAACTTTCAAAAGTTCACCTTCAAATGACCAAACTAACAGGCTTTTTCGAGGTCAAATAACTGCTCAAGTCAACCAATCTTACCGCTTCGATTAGTAGTCAAAATGACTGTTATCTCTACCAATTAGACTAATAAAAAATACTTTCAGCTTGTCCGCCTTCTCCAAGCAATTGGCCAATCGCCTTGTGAATGCACGACCTGCGAAACTCATTTGCCCGGAAAAGCGAACCCAATGTCATCCGGTCAAATGATGGACCAACTGCAACGCCAAGTCTCGGTGGATCAGAAGTCTAACAACTCCGAACGTGCGCATTCGGAAGAGTCGTTTTCCGGACCCCTAAAGCCATCGCTGGGCGGCGTTGACTTGGCTGGGTTTCAAAGTGCGTTTCGAAAACAAGTGGTGGTTTTTGGTAGATAAAAAAAGATCGAAAAGGAAACCAAGAATACCCCAAAGTTCACTGATATCAAAGAGGCCCAGAAAAGGGGTCTTTTTCCGGTCGCTTGGGATATAAGAAATTTGCAAAAATTGTGTTTTTAGAGTTTGCAGAGCCTTCGCTTTTTCGGACTACTCTCATGCACTGAAACCATTAAACATCCCTCTAAATTCTAATCCACTTCTTGTTTTCAGAAGGCAATCGACGATCCAAATATTTTACCGAAGAAGCTAAACTAAAAGTCGCCGAGTACGCAGTGATTCATGGTGCTTCAGCGGCAGCCAGAAAATTCGGAATTGCGCCTTCCGTGGCGGCTTATTATCAACGAAAAATGAAGAAGAATTTGACGCTGGACCCTCGAAACCACAGTCAATACAATGGCGATGAAACGAGGCGTCAAGGAAGTACGGAGGATGGGGAAAGTGGGAATGAAAGTCCCCTAACTCCCAATGGAAATGGCTTCAATTTCGCGTTCAGACAAAGAGGAAGGCCCAAGCTGATTGGGGATGACCTGGACGCCGAATTGGTGGAGCATATAGTCGAGGTAACCATAATATTTAATATTCTAATCAACAAAAATTCCAGGTAAAACATTCCAGGCCCACTCTCAACATCACCGCTTCGTTTGCATTGAACGAAGCCAAGAATTATATTGCGCAAAAACGCCCCGAGATGCTGGAGGAGAACGGAGGCCCAGTGAACTTGAAGATCACCTGGGCCATGAAATTGGTGAACAGAGTGAATGAGAGATATCGGGAGAAGTACGGCGATATCATACATAAAATTTCGGCACAAAAATTTGATTATCATAATGACAATCAAAACCAAATCTTAAGTAAGTTTCGGTTACTTATAGCCGAGTTTAGGCTGCTTTTGCTAAAAACCCGGGAAATAACGGATCAAAATTTGCAAAAAAAAATATTTATGAGATCTATAATGAATGACAGGTCTCAAAAATATAATTTTTGTAAACTTTGATCCATTATTTCTCAAGTTATTAGCAACAGAACTCTTCCATGTTCGATTGACCCGCCCTTCATCAAGCTCTAATATTTTAAAATTTCCAGACGATCAGTTTCTGAAGCTCTTGGCTGGAAGCGAAATGATGAATTCGGACCTCATCGCCCAAATGATGCTCCACTTCCAAGGAGATCTACCAGCAAGTAAGAGTGATTTACTGACCAAAAATAACGACTATGACGTGACCAACAAGCCTTGTTTTCTAGCCACAGACCCAATTTCACTGAACGAAAACACAAAAATGGACTTGACGCAAACTCAGCGCGTTCCCAACGCCCTATCCCCCAAGAATTTCGGTCAGGAGAACCTCAATCACACCCTAGAACAGGAGCCGGAAGTTGAGAGCGAAAACAATGTAAGCTTATCGAATGAGAAAAAAAATTATATCATCAATTTTCAGGCCTACGCGAAAATATTCGATCTGATATCGGATGGGAGACAATTGCAAAACGACCTATAACCGAGGGGATTCCACATCAATTTCATTCAAAACCACACAAGATCTTATTGTAATAGCTCGTTCTGGTCTTTTTCCCCAACAATATTTGCTTCAAAACAGCCGAAAAAGTTGTTTGAATCTGCTGTCGTATATAATGGTATATTTTTTGTAACCATCTTTCTTGTATTTGTGAATAAACAATACCAACTTTTGATTCAAAAGTAATTTAAAGTAACATAAAAATGGCGTAAATCCAATGAAATCGAAGGGAACTTCCACAGAGAAAATACTTTATTTTGCAGAGACATTAATGAAACAAATAATTATTTAACGGATTTTTTAAGTGATAAAACGCGAAATTAACAATCGATTTTAATGTAACAAACGGTATTAAATGTTAAACGTCAACCCCGAGGTTGCGAGATTAGGAGCGGGAACGAGAACGTGATCTAAAATACATATTACTTTAGGAAGATCGATAATAAAAGGCCTATTTCGAAAATATTACTTACCTGGATTTGGATGGACTTCTTCTCTTTTCTTCCGGCGACTTTGAACGTGTTCTCGAACGACGTGGTGATTCGGAGCGACGAGGAGAACGGTCGCGTCTTGGAGATCGCCTGCGTTCGTCACGACCTCTGGGAGACCGAGAGCGGTAACTAAAAAGTTTTATATTACTTTAGAGGAGGCACGGAATTTTAATATTGTTTGTGGCGCAAAAAACAAAATCCTTTTTGGGTAACACACGTCCCTTGATGGAGGTGTGAAATAAACTAGCAAAAAGTGCGCTTAGAAGATAGATGTAGTTAAAACAGAACCACTTCTGCAGTTTTCCAGCATCGAAACGGCTTTTCTCCCTTGATTTTAATCGATACCACATCTACTGCACTTCAAAACCTTCTAGATGAATTATTTTTATCTAAACATCGAAAAAACAAAAAAAAGCTTACCGATCACGTCGATCACGACGGTCGTCACGGAAACCGCCTCTACCACCACCACCGCCGCCGCCACCACCACGGGAACGACCATTGGAAAGTTCAACTCGAGCTCGAACACCACAAAGCCTTCTGCAAAATAACATTTTAGACTTGAATACCTTCATGAAGATTTAATAACACTCTATAGGAGAGCTCAACAGAACATCCTCAAAAAAAAGAAAGAATCTCAGAGGCCTCACACAGGTCTCAAGCAAAAATAGGTATCCACATCACTATAACAAAAAAATTCCAGCTGAACTCAGCCAATTGCCCTCTGCAAATTAGAAATTGCGAGGTCAGGGTCTAAACCACAAAAGAGAATTGAAAAAATTGACTTACGCTCCATCCAATGCTCTGACCGCATCTTCAGCATCTCTCGGATCATCGAACTCAACAAACGCGAATCCCGGAGGTCTTCTGGCTACCCAAATCTTGCGAATCCTTCCATACTTGTGGAAGGCATCTTCTAACTCTTCATTCGTAGCATCCTCGGGCAACCCGCCAACGTAAACCTTTCCCGCACTCATATCGCCCTAAAATGGACCGAATAAATAATATAAATCGGCAAAGAAATGAAAATTTGGGAGAAATAAGCAGAAAACGACAAACTCTGTGTAGAGTCGATGTTCTGCCGCATGATGCTCGACGAGTTCGCGAAGAAGTGTTGTGCAAACGCAGAGAAAAGACCCGGGAGCCGGAGAAATTTGCAGAAAAACACGCCGTTTGGGTCCCGACGCGAAAAATTCTTCCTTGTTCTTCCGTTGCCACGGTGTCTTGGCGCTAAAAATTTACCCCTTTTTAGGGGAGAAGGGGTAGTCATAAAAATTTGAAAGGTTTCTTTGCAAATCCCACAAAAAATTCAGAAAAAATGAGCTTCGTGTCTTGTAGTAGACAAGCTTTTGGGAAATTGAGCAAAGCCAACGATGTAAATTATATTTTTGAAGTAAATCAGGTTTTGAAATCATTATTCAAAATTTTTTAGTCGCTTGAAAAGCCTTTTACAAGCCCTTCAATATTTGTTCAGAAGCATTGAAGTTATTTATAAATTTATTTTCAAAAGTAATGTTTAATCCTCACCGTTGCGAAGACTGCGCTCTACAAAACGCTGAAACTTGCTTAGCAACTGCTAAGCGTCTTTGTGGTTTCCATTGGCAACCATGAATTAATTTTTAGGTCCTTTTTTGAATTATGGCGTTTCATTTTCACTTGTGCTGCAAATTAATGAAATTTCAGGTCTTAGCCTATAACTTGCCGAATTTTTATTCGATTACAATGAAGATAGGGATTTTGAAACGAAGAGGGAAGCATTTAGACCATGCTTGGTTATCAAATTTGTCGTCCTTTTTTGTTATAAGAGAGCTCTTGATAGTGGGAGATGACCAATTTTTGCCAAGTTTTGGTCTGAAAATCGTCTTCAAATTGCTAGCTCAAAATCTCTCATGAGAATTTGAAAACTGTACTATAATTTTTTTCCTAGTTTTATCAATATCTGCGCACTGAATTTTGAACAAATTTCCAGTTGAAGACTTGGCATTTTTTGGATCCTTTTGTCAAAAATAATTCGTTCTGCAAAGCTTTACTGAGGCTATTCGAAGAGTAGAAGAGCAAAATTAGCTTCCACTCTTGGGCTAAAAGCATATCGAACCGGTGGCTCTTCTCCTCGTCCTGATTGATTTTCGATGTGCGCCTCGTAGAAAGGGGAGAGAGAGGAGAGAGAGCGGAAAGAGAGAACTTCCGTCTCTTCCTTTCTGGTCGAATCCCACACAATTCTCTGCCCTTTTTCCGTGGTGGGAAAATTTTCAAGGGCTTTAGAGGGAAGTGTAAGAGAAAAATTTTTGAAAAATCTTGTTTGCTAGATTTAAAACCAACATTTGAAATTTAAAATCGCTCAAGATTTGAGAAAAAATTGCTTCGCGAAATCGAACGCAATTGAAATTAAAATGTAATCGTTTTTTGAGCATTTCCCATATATGGTTTCTTTTTTGACGATTTTTGCATTGATTATCATAATTCGGAAGAGCACTTTTGAAATTATAAAACTTCCGCTCTTTGTAAAAATAAATTTTTTCGAGTGAATATTACACTGTGAAGAATGGATTGATTAAATTTGACAACAAAAGTAACACAAAATGAATGGAAACAAGAGAAATCACATTGCAAGTTGTTGAATCGAATAAGAATTGAAATTGGAATTGTATCAAGAGAGTATAATTTGTTGGAATTTTATCAACAGAATTTGAAAAAAAATTTTAATCGAAAATTTTATATTGAAGTTAACGCACTTTGAAACCCAGTGCATGAAACTATAGTTCAAGTCTAACTTTTCGATTTTTTTCAAATTTTCTAAACGGACGCTAAATAGGCCAAATATGAACCCCTAAAAATTTTAGCTCACAATTTCCAACCGCAGCCGAAATATTAAAAAATCTTTTTTCGAGAGAACGCAGAAAATGCGGAGTCGGGAGACGAAAAACATTATATAACTTTTCGAATTGCCCTCGGAAAAAATCGATTTTTTGTAGAATTTATATGCATTTCTCAAGTATTCGAGGATGAAATTTTCAAATTGAAAATCGAAGAAAATAAAATACTTTTGCGATTTTTCAGTCTTCTGCCTAAAACTTCGCAAATCTCTCAAAACTCGTCCATAAATTTCTCCCATCTTTCGTTGAAATCAAAGGCCTACACTTGAGCTAACTTCCCTATATTGAATACTCATCGATTCTTCTATATTGATTTTTGGTAAACATCGGAAAATCAAAGTTTGAATTCATCACACAGAAAGAAGATTGTTGATAAAAATCAATTGCGATTAATGGTCGTCACGAGTTCAACGCTTTCTGTGACCTCTCCTCGGATTGTGCGTTCTTTTCCGTCCGGTTCGGAGGCTCCTTTGTTGGTTGTGCAAAAAGAAAAAAAGGCGAGAGAAATTTTCAAGTGCATGTTGTTCGGGTTCGTTTGGCATCTCTATTTGTCTGCCGTCTCTTACGATTTCGAAACCCAAACAATAGATGTCGGTATTTGCATTGAGAATAAAGAACGATAACATTCATTTTTTCAGCGATAATTTTTATCGGTATTTCACAGTGTTTGATGATAAGAACTTTGAAGAAAAAGTTCTCGAAAACGCTTTCCACATATGTGTGTGTCATTGCTTGTAATCTCTCTTCTCTCTCTCTCTTGCTGACTCATATGCTTTTCTCTTCGCATCCGACTTTTGAAAGGCCTCCAAGATGACGCTTTTATCGGTAAAGGCCGTTTCTTTAACCGTCTGAGGGTCTCTCCGTACTCACAGTCTTTCTCAAAAAGGGAACAGATCCGCTTTGCGAGAGTAGGACTCCTCGTCACAGCGACTTTTTGCGCTTCTTTTCTCTCTTGTCTTTTCTTTTTTCCTCTCCTTTCTCTGTGCTCTCTCGCTTTCTCTTCCTCTCTCCCTCACTGCACCTGGAATGCTCTCCTTGCGCCCGCGGCGACCCGGCTTTCCACACACCGATCGCTTTCCTTCTCCCCTTCTCGTTTTTTTGCGGCGGTGGCGGATGCGTGCGGTGGGGGAAGGACACACATGTGTTGCCCATCCAGCCGCCCGCCGTCGATGCACACAAGACACCGAACGAAAGGAGCGGGCGAGCGAAGACAGAGGCGACGAGAAAGTGAAGACTGAAGAAGAGAGAGGGGAAAGTGGAAGCGGCTGCGGGACGACGTTTTGTCATATTTTTCACAGTGGCGTTTGTTTAATGCAATTCCCGGGGTCCTCCTCCTTTTTTCCTCCCCACCCCTTGCGCTCTAGGGCAACCGCGGATCCGGGCGATCCCTACCTGATCCCAAATCGACCGGTCGATTGTCGCGAATTTGCCCCCCGACCCTTGTTTTGGCCGAATGTTTCGCGGGTCGCGCCGATTTCGGAATCCGGAAAACAGAACAGAACTGACACAAACGCTGCGGCTTCCAGGGCTCGGAAAAATGAGATGGCCAGAAACAGAGAGCAACATGAACTGAAACGAAAGTTTGGGCAACGCTTGATAACCTGCGTGACGCAACAGCGCGCCTTCGTTCTAGGCTCGCTATGAACAGCTAAGCAAAACTTTTTTTCGGGAGACTTGTGGGTCACGTGCAGGGTTTTTCTTCCTTCTTCCCCCAATGGAAGAATGCATCGAGAACTTTCTGCTCTGAGTGGATTTCTTTAAATTTTACGATGAATTGGAGCAAATTGTATCGATAAACCGCCGCTTTTCTAGGGAATTGCAAAAAAATTGGCTGTTCAAGCGGGCCTAGGGCCGTGAGTCGTGATTTGACGCCAGATGTGTCCGATTTTCCCTATATCCCAGGCCCAACTAATTGTTAATTAGTCGTATTTTAGGGTCTAGACACTCCTACCTCAATTGTGAACCCGGTGCGCAGCGAATCGTGGATTCGTTGGCGAAATTCACACAACCCAACCCCAAGGATTCGCAGCGATCAAAGCGATGCGGATTGTAACACCCGAACCTAATCCCCTATAAAGCGGCACTCAACGGAACAGTGGTCAGAATGGCCGACGACTTCGACGAAGACATCAATCGGTAAGTGGAGATTTTTTGAGCAATATCTCGGAACGACTGAGTCGAAATTTGTCTAGGAATCTCGTTAGCCGTCTTAAGTCATCAAGATCAGGTTTTTCCCGTCCCAATGCGTGGAATTTAGCCGGATCAACGCGAAATCGTGTATAAAATAGGCCCAGAAGCTTGTTCTGCAAAACGCTACGCAATTTAGCCCCTTAGAAGCCGTTGAGCCCGCTTAGAATCGCCTAAAATCATCAAAAATCGGGAAAAATGGAGGTTAAATCGAAAAATTTCGAACCCCTACCGCTGAAACCCCGGGAGTCGGATCTCGGTCTGGACTGAAATTTTTGGACCAACCGCCTCCTGAACACGAAGGACCTGCATTCTGTTCACCACCCCAGCTCTCTCAAATTCTACGACGACGTTATACGGAGGGTGGGAGGTTTTCGAAAAGTGGGTGGAGTTCCGTTGCGACCATCAACTGTGCTCTCCGTCCGTCCCCCTTCGCAGCCAGTCGGACGCGTTGAGAGCGGTCAGTGGGCGGGGCGCGGACTGTTTTCGGTTCCCCCAATTTTGCGTTCATTCGTCGCCCGAAGAAACGAGAGAATGGGGCAAACGGGGAGAGCGCGACGAGGGAGAGGGCGTTGTTCGGAGGGCCCAGACATTTTTCGATTCGAAAAATATGAGGGCGAATGGGGAAGAGCGCAATGACTTCTCGGACACCCCGCCCCTCTCTGAGCAAACAGAACGCTCCCTGAATTTCGCTTCGACGTGCAAGTCTCGCCAATTTCACTATGATTTAGTGCTCTCTTCCTCCAGACTCACTGCTCTCTCACCGCCTCTAGGAATCTCGATGACAGGATGTTGGTCCCTCGCACGCCGCTCTCGCTCTGTACCCAACGTCCGAACGCAAAGAGAAGAATTATTCCGGCAATTGTCTTCGCAAAAAAACGGGGCGTGGCCTGGAAGACAAATCGAATGCACGGTGCAGTTTTCCATCGGTTTTGTCCCCGCGTTGGAAAGGCGGGGGGCAAATCGACGAGGGAACAAAACGCCGCAGAATTGGGACAGAACGCTCGCAAGTGCATGAAACTATAGCGCTTGTTTGTCATAGAACCCGATGCCGGAGGCGCGGTCGTGCAATTTGCGACCCCAACAACATGTTCAAGAACTTTGAACGGTGGTGACGGCCGATAAGTTGAAGGAAAGGCTAAAAATTTGAGGGCACTGATAGCTGCACCTCCAACATTGCTCTAATTGTAAAAAATCAAAAAAAAAAATTTCAAAAATAGTTGCTGGCAACTTGCCAAAACTTTGAAAGCGCTTTTTTAAGTGCTCTTGACGCATCAAGTATGCATTTCCACTAAAATAGAACTTGTTTGAGTTGATAAAAAAACGATACTCAATGGGAGATCTCGTACGAAACGTAAAACGAAATCAAAAATACAGGGTGGTCCAGCTAAGTTCGCGGATGTAAAATGCTTATAACTTTTTATAGGATTGTTCAATTTTTATGAGCAATAGCTCATTTTATTCCTTAGTAGTTGCCATTTTGTTTAAAAAAAATATCATTAAAAACGATCAATCCTACGTCGAGTTATGACCCTTCAAAGTCAAACATGCTTTTTCACGTAAATTTTTAAAAAAATTTAATTTTCAAAAATTTTTGAATTGCGGTGTCACCGCTCGCTGGTACCGGGAAATGATGGTGAACAGAGCGATCCCAGCTATCCAAAATTGGCCTAATTTTGCCAGTTTTGTTTTTCAACAAGACGGCGCGCCACCTATAGCGGTCCGTCAACTCCTTGACCAGGTTTTTCCAGGTCGTTGGATGGGCCGGGGATCTGCGCGGCAACCAGCTCCAATTGCTTGGCCCCCGCGTTCACCTGATCTAACTCCGCTAGATTTCTCCATTTGGGGGTTCTTAAAACAGCGGATTTTCATCAGGGATTGGCGCCCAAAGACGTGGAATTGAAGCGCGTAATCGAAGAAGAGGTGGAACGAGTTCGCCAGGAACAAATGAGGCGCCAAATTATGGAAGAATACCAAAGACTGGCAAAATTGGGCCAATTTTGCATAGCTGGGATCGCTCTGTTCACCATCATTTCCCGGTAACAGCGAGCGGTGACACCGCAATTCAAAAATTTTTGAAAATTAAATTTTTTAAAAAATTTACGTGAAAAAGCATGTTTGACTTTGAAGGGTCATAACTCGACGTAGGATTGATCGTTTTTAATGATCTTTTTTTTAAACAAAATGGCAACTACTAAGGAATAAAATGAGCTATTGCTCATAAAAATTGAACAATCCTATAAAAAGTTATAAGCATTTTACATCCGCGAACTTAGCTGGACCACCCTGTACAAATAAGGCCTAAAATAATTCGGATATCCAAAAAAAAAAAATTATAAATCAAGCTGTATTTTCCTGAAAATTGACTTATTCATCTTTCTTGATCTCCAAAATACATTCAATCAAAAGGCCAAACCGACCTTTATTTTTTCTGTTTTTGGAACAGAAAAATGCGGGAAAATCGCGCAGATACGAGAAAAAATGATCTGAGGTGCCCAAAATTTGTCGACTTTTTATGGACCTTGAGAGCAGTGTATGCGATTCTGAGTAAGTTCACCTAAAATTCAAAAAAAAAAATGAAAAATTACCATTTTTATTTTTATTGTTTTAGGTAACAAATAGGTGTAAGATTGCACTTTCGGTTCTGAAATTGTCTTTAAATGCTTTAAGATTAAAGATAGACCTGATACACGTCGTAGCGGAGCTGCATACCACAAAATCTCGAAATAAAAATTTCCTTTTAGCGATTTTTTGACTAAAATAATGTCTTTTACAGAAAAAGATCCAAAATTGCGAATGCTTCTCTCTGACGGGTGAATTAAAATTCTTTTAAGTCTGTGGCATCGATATTCTTCTTACAGTGCCTTTGTAACCCGAGATTTTGCCTGTTTTTAGCCATCCACATTACTTTAGTCAACTACAACAAACTTTTTTTTATAGAGACTGGTTCCTTGATGAGGATGAGTACCCAAAGCCCTCGCCGTCACAACACATCTTGGAGCCGCCGCAGGACGATTTGTTCAGTCAAGGCGGCTTCAATCAACCCGCTCCGCATCAGAACAACGACTTCGACCTGGTTGTTCCAGTGGAAGGTGATTGCGGAAGTGTCAGCGGGCAGAATCAGCGATTCAATCAGCCGGTGGTCTACCAACAACAACAGGGCTATGATGGGAAGGTGAGGAGATTACTTGTTGTGGGTATTGCAACTTTTTCGTTTTGATTTTTCCAATAAAATCCGTGACACTTCGAAATTTCTATGAAAAGTCAAAAAATAATTTATTTTGCTTTTGATAAGCGAGATTTTGGATACGTCAATGCAGTTTAGTACTTGATTTGTTTAACTAAATTTTACGTTTCAGCAAGACGACATAGTTCACCACTCTCAGCCGTCAACGTCGAGTCAACAGACCTACGAGATCAACGGTGTCCAATACGTCCAGCAACCGGTCTCATCCCAACCCCAGCAGTTCACCAGTCAAGACCAAGGCCAGGTGCAGTATTTTACGCAAGGCCAATTCGAGCAATGGGATCAAACGGGTCAGCAATTCCAGATCCAATACCTCGACGACCAATCCAACCAAGGGGAGCGGCAGCCGGCGCAACAATTTGTAAATGTAAATAATATACGGGTCAGTCAGGCGCAATCCCAACTCCCCCAACAGGTCCAAATCCCCGCCGGCCAAGTGGCGCAACAACTCTTGATGCCCGACGGAAAAGTGGTCCTGGTCCTCACGCAGCAGAACCAAGATCCCCAACAACCCACCGGTCAGTACATCCAGCAACAAATCGCGACTTCAAATGCGCAGAATGCGATTCAAGGACAAAATGTGGTCATGTTGAAGAATGGACAACAGCAACCGCTGAGGATAGTCCAACAAAATCAGTCGCAACAGCAGATGCAGAATGTGGAAATGGAGCAGCAGCAAAGTCAGAATGTAAGATTTTTTGTTTTTTGTAAAATTATAGGATGATACTTGGGATATTTTTTTAGCTATTAACTTGGGAAATTAGGTAAAATTTTTTTTTTGATTTTTGAAGATCGTTGTTTTTGGGCCACAGGGCTTATATTTTTTTGCTATATAACTTTATATTATTAATAGGCCCATTCCCAAAAATATAAGCTTTATTAATTCTGATCTTTTATCTCAAAAAAAAGCAAAAATAAAAAAAAAAATCACTTTTAACCCTTACGATTCAATTAATATTTTCTTCCCAGAAGCCAGAAACTCCCACAAAAAAGTCGAAAGCCAAAAAGCCCAGTAAAAAGCAGCTTGCTCAGATGGCCTCCCAGCAACAGCCACAGTATCAGCAGCAGAATTCGCAACCCGTCCAGATCACGCAAGGCATCCAAAACCAAGTCCAATATCAGCCGCAACAAATGCTCGTAATGAGTCCTCAGGTGCCGGTGTCGCCGACGAAAAATCGCCGCCCAAACCAACGATCTCAGCCGGGCCAGGTGGTGCAGGTCAGCCAGCCGGGCCAAATGCAGCGGCAGGTCGTGGTGACGCAGTCCGGCCAACAAATCCTCGCCCAACCCGGTCAACAGGGCAACATTGTGGGCCATCTGCAAGGACAACAATTCCCGGGACAGGTGGTCCAGGTCAGCTCCACCGGACAGCCCATCCAAATCCAACAAATGGGCCAACCGATGATGCAGATGCAACCCCAAGTCCAGCAGATTATTGTACCGAGCAAGGACGACATCATGCAGAAGATGATGTCCCTAACTTCGGTCAGGTTCAGCACCCCAGAACAGTCCGCAGAGTTTGGATCGGTGATGACGGAAATTGTCAGCTTGCCTGATGTGAGTTGAATTTTAATTTGAGCGGATTGAAAGTTATTTCTAGCCCTTTCGGAAAGTCGCCGGAATGAAATCCGCGACACGCACTGTGCGAAAAAAAAAGTTTTTTTGCACTGTGCAATTTCTTGCTTTTTGCACGGTGCAATAGGTTTTTTTGGACTGTCGCTCGCACCCCGACTTTTTTCGCACAGTGCAAGCTCCAAAAATCAGTCCGGCGACACGCACTGTGCGAAAAAAGTTTTCTTGCCTATTGCACGGTGCAAAAAGCAATTTCTTGAATTTTGCACAGTGCAATAGGTTTTTTTGGGCTGTCGCTTGGATCCTGATTTTTTTCGCACAGTGCAAGCTCCAAAAATCAGTCCGGCGAGTTGCCGGAAGGACTATTATTAAATGATTTTGACGATATATGTGCAAGACCAAAAATTTACTTCGCACTGTGCAATTTCTGGCTTTTTGCACCGTGCAAAAAGCGATTTGTAACACTAAATTCAATTTAATGGACCTGATTCCCTCAAGAATATTTGAAAAATTTATTTTGAATTTTTTTAGAACGCTCCTCCAGAGAAGTTGATCGAAGTCTCAAATCGATTGGACGCACTCATAGCGCAGGCCGAAAAGGAGACGGCGGATTCGAAAACCCAACCAAAACCGGTCAAAGACAACAAACCCAAGCCTCAGCGAAAGCCGAAAGTTCAGCCGAAGCCTCCACCACCGCCAGTCCAACAGCAATACGTCCATCAGCAAGGCCCATCCACCTCCCAACCCCAAATCATTCAACGACCGCAGGGCATTCAACGCCAGGACGTTCATTTCCAAAACCAACCTCAATATCAGACGGTTCAGCAGCCAATCCAACAAGTTCAACCGCAACAACAGGTGAGATGTTTTTTTATTTTGATGGGGAATATAAGAGCATTGGTTAAAAAAATTTATTTGGCTTTAAGTTTGGAAATAATGGAGAAGAATTTACAGAAATTTTTGGGGTCTTTATTATGCGAAAAAGTAGCCAAAAAGGGAATTAAAATTTTTTTAAAAACTTTAAATTTCAGCCAAACGCCAAAAAGCCGCGCCCAAAGAAGCTCACCAAGAAGCAGCAGCAAGAATTGGAGCGCCAACAACAGCTTCAAGACGCTCAAGGCAGGCCAGTCTACGTGGTTCAGACGGCCCAAGGTCCTGTTTACACGCAGAATGGCCAACAAATCGTCTTTCAATATCATCCCAGTCAAGGCTCGGCTGGAATGGGCGTCCCAATGCCGGTCCGCGCTCCAACTCCCATTGTTTTGCCAACGCCGAAGGAACTAGCGGCGATGGTCAAGAAAAAACAGGAGCAGAGAAGGAACAAGTAGGTTAAAGTGGATTTTAGTAATATTTTTGAAGGTTATGGAGAATTTTTTATGGAAAAAGTTTTGAGTTGGACGATTGGGGAAACCGAAAAGTATTATTTTTCTTCGATGCAAGTGTGAAATTAGGATAATCGAGGGTGCTGATTTCAAAAATGACATTCATTTTTTTTGATCCTTACTTTTTTCTTTAAGTAGTACTGTAAAGTAGTATTTTTTGAAGTTTTTTTTCACAAATACTCGATTTTGGGAGTTTCGATGGTGCTGATTTCGAAAATCTTACTTATTTTTTCTGATTTGAAAACAGCACTACCAAAAACCCAATCGAGTATTCATGAAAAAAATTCAAAAATTACTACTTTACAGTACTGCTTAAGGAAAAAAGTAAAGACCAAAAAAAGAATGAATGTCATTTTCGAAATCAGCACCCTCGATTATCCTAATTTCACACTTGCATCGAAGAAAAATAATACTTTTCGGTTTCCCCAATCGTCCAACTCAAAAAAATTTGTAAAAGGAAATATTGGGCTTCTAAAAATACCTGGAACGGGACCATAAATTGTTTTCGGCCAGTGAAAACGAGATTATTTACAGAATCGCCTGTTTCTTCAATGTGATCAAGGAGAAGCTGAACGAAACGGATTACATATCCCCATTCAAGGGGTTGGCCGATGTTTTTGATCGTCTTCTGCCGTTTGGGCTGTTGGATGAGCCGGAACATAGCGAGGAACATCTGAAACATGGTGAGAAAGTTTTTGGAAAATAAAACTTTTGAAAAAAAATTTTGTTTTTTTTGGAATTTTTCATGATTTTTTTGGAGTTTCAGTTGATCGAGAGCTCCTCCGGCACCAGGTTTACATGGACGCCAAGCTGAAACGAATCGAAAACAAGATGCGATCGATTTATTTCAAGGATGCGGTCGGAGAGAACGAACACAAAGCCGAACTGAACATGCTCCTCTACTTGGACGCGGAATACGAACGACGCCGTTTCGAAGCCGACAAAAAAGAAGCCAAACAAGATCTGGAGGGATTCTTGCGGGAGTCGGAGATTGTTCGCTTCGGCTCAGACGTGGATGAGGTCCAGGAGAAGATGAGAGCCCTCCAGAATCAAAAAGTTGAGGTCCCATCGACCAGCACCTACGAGTACAAAGAGTTTGATGAAGAATTCTTCTTTCGAGAAATCCCACGAACCCCCACCCCACCGACGGAGAAGAAAAAACAGGAGAAGAGGCACAAGAAGCCACAGTTTGGATACTTATATGAATCTGATGAGGATGAAGACGAAGAAGAGGACTCAGAATCAGAAGAAGAGGAGGTCAGACCGCAGACAGTGCAGTCCAGCTCGGATGAGTCGGAAGAAGCCGAGATTGCCCCTGATTTTGAACAACCAAGAGCTCCAGTCAACGTCCAACTTGATGAAGATGACGAAGAGGATGTGCAGTTTGTTTCGGTAAGAAAGTCGAAGTCGTCGGATATAGAAGTGATTGGCGAAGTTGAAGCGAGAACAGAGGGTAAGTTTTGAGGATTTTTTGAAGGAAAATTTAGCCCATGATTTTGGAGAGAAATTTTTATCAAAAAAAATTTTTTTCAGCGCTTCCTCAAGAACAACCTGATCGATCCCAGCTCCAAAATCAACCAAATCTGGGGTTCGATTCCAAACCTGGGCACTATGGCTATGGCCAACAGCCTAGCCTTCTGCCAGAACAGGATCAATTCCATCCCATTGCCGCCACTTCCCAACTGGATCGACAAATTCAAATTGACCGCGAACAGATCGCCCATGTGCAACGAGAGATCGAAGAGATGAAGCAGATGGAAAGTCAGTTCGCTCAGTCCCAAAACCTCCAGCCCTCCCCCAACCGAAGCTATCAACAAATCCACTCGCACCAATCCACCCATCCCCTCAGCCATCCCTCAATTCATGCGCCAACGCCGCCTAGTCGGCCACAAATCCACACTCCGGCCAGCCATCCGCACCAAAGCATCCCGACCCCACCAAGCCGCCAGAATGTGATGATGAACACTCCTCCCGGCTCAATCCCCGGCTATCCGGGATCCGTCGGAAAGCCGGGCTCAGCAAATCAACAGTTTGTTGGCAGCACAGGCCTCCCCCAGATGCAACGGCCCGGATCGGTGGGACAAATGGGACCTCCTTCCGTCAACCAACAACATTTGATGATGCAGAATCAAATGGGACTCCAGAATCAGCAAATCCAGCCGCAATTCCCTCATCCCGCTCATGCTGTAGCTGGAATGGGACAAAACAGTCAGATGACTGGAATGGCAGCACCGATTCAGCACCCTCAGACAGCTCAGATCCCTCAAATCCCTTCAAATTTGGGGCTGAAAACCCGTCAGGACAAACCGAACCGTCCCCTGGATAAACGAAATTTCCCGGACATCCCAGATGACCTAGCGAATATCGAACCGTTCTATGCGGCGAATGGACCAATCATGCCGAACGAACAAGGCCAATTCGAACAGAGTCGACAGTTCAGACGACAGGAAGAGGAAAAACGAATTGAAGAAAGGAACCTGGAACAAGAACGCCAAAAACGGGCCGATTTGGAACGAAGACAGGCTCATGACCTATTCCTCCAACGCCAACTCAAACAACAACAGGAAAAAATGAGATTGCAGAACGAAACACAGCCTGCGGCGATGAATGTTGATCGCCGAATTGGTAATGAGCCCCCTCAAAGGGAATTGGAAAAATTTTCGCAGCAAAAATTGAATGTGAACGAAGGACTTTTGGCCCTCCAACAGCTCCAAAAAGAACAACAGAGATTGGTGGAACAGCAACGAGAAGACGCCAAAAGACAAGAGGAGGCCAGAAAAGTCCTAGAAGAGCAAAAAAGAAGAGCTCAAGCCAACGATCAAGCCCGATTGCATCTGGAAAATGTCCAAAAACAGAGACTTCAGAACGTCAACCCAATGGCTGGTCTCCTAAGCCAACAAAAAGAGCTCACGAGAGAGATGAATCGCGATTCTGGAGCCATGAGAGGCATGCCGAAGCCGGCTGACACCTTAACTCAGCCAAATTTGCCGAAAGATTTGAGGATTTCCGGAGCTCAACAAGGAATTCCGCCAGAAATTGGCCCAAAACTTGACTTTTTGTCCCAGAAACCAGTCGAAAAACAACCCTTCGACTTTGCAGGCCTGAATTTGACCGCGGAAATGCAGAGAAACCTGAGCAACATGAACCAGGAGATGAACTTGCCATTCGGCGGAGAAAACCAAGCCTTGGTGAACTTCATCCAAAGCATGAATAAGAGCAGATTGGATGAGTTTCAAGCAAAGTCCATGCAGAAAATGGGAGATTCGTCGAGTTTCGGCGGACAAAAAGGAGCGCTCAATAGTCTGGTGGAACCGAAGAAGATGACGACTTCTCAAGACATTTTTGGTCGAAAAAACAGCCGAACAATGCCTCAAAATGCCTTTGGAAGCCAACAACAGCCCATGAACTCGCAGAAATTACCCGAAAAAGACGTTAGACTTGGCCAGACAAGCATCAAAGGCCTAAAATTGGTCCCACAAAGTCAGGCAACGGCCAAAGTTCCAAGCCAAGAAGAAAAAAGGCCCGGAATGGCTGCGAATTTGATGGAAAAAGCGGAGAAAACGGCTCCGACCACAAAAACGGTCGATTTCCAAGCCCTGAAAAACATCCCGAAGCCGACAAAGCCAAGCCAAGAACAGAAACTTTCGAATATCCAGCTGACGAATAGTCGATTAAAAACTGCGATTGGGGATCTTCAACGGAATGCACAATCAAAACCCTTGTCCGGCGGATTGGTTGGCCGCAATTTGACGCTTCAACCGATGAATCCGGCGGAGAAATTGAAGTTCTCGTCGGATATTGCCCCACCGAAATTCCCCACGGTCCAACCGCTGGCTGGGAATGTCGCGGCGAAGAAAAAAGGCGATGATCACGATACTCCCACTGTGGTAGGTTCAATCTTGATTTTTGGGGCAAAATTTGAAGGAAAAATTATGCTACCTTAACAAAAAATTTTTTTGAAAAATTAATTTTTCTTTTTTTCCAGAGTTCCAATGCCCAAATGCCTCTGAAATGGCGAATGAAACGAGAACTCATCGCCGCTCCCGCCCCTCCAGCCCCATCTCCCTCCGTTGCGCCAGCAAACCCACCTCTCCCATCACTGAAATTGAAAATCGCCCTCCCGAAAAAAGACGAAGAATCGGATCGGAAAGAGCGAAAGAAGCTGAAGAAAGAGGAAAAAAGGAAGCTCAAGGAAGAGAAGAAGGAGAAAAAGAAGCACAAGAAGGAACCGGAGAATTTGGATTATTTCCAGGCCAACGATCAGCCAGGCCCTTCGAATTGGAACAACAATGAAGCAAACGAGCAGAAACCCACTCCGATACAGTCAAATGGCGGCTTGAAACTAAAGATCCGACTTGGCCCCAAACCGGAGGAAGAGAAGAATTTGGGAAAATTAGAGAAGACGGAGGCAAATTTGGATTCATCGACCGGTCGAGTGGATAATGGAGTGGCAAAGCCAGCTGCTCCAGTTACATCTCAAGAATCACAGCTTGAACCAATACGACCATTGAAGATGAAAATTCGACTCCCGAAGCCGGAGCCTCCTCCAATGTTTGAGCCGGAAGAAGAAGGCCCACCCCAATTGGAAGCCCAAAAAGTCCCCAAATTGACCCTGAAATTCAAAAAAGAAAAGGGCGAAGAGCCGGAGGAAGAGCCGAAGAAGAAAAAGAAAAAGCACAAAAAACACAAACGCCACCGATCCCAGAGTCCGTCGGACGAAAACGAACGCCCGGAAAAGATCCCCAAAATCAGAATCAAGGCGTTGGCACCCCCGCCCGAGCCGAAAGAAGAGAAGCCGACGCCGTCGACGAGTCAGAATCCCTTTGCAATCGAGGCATCAACTCCGCAGTTTAGTGATGTTGAAGGTAAATTTTTTTTTGAAAAATACTCGGATCTTGTTGAAACTGTGAGAAGAGTTAGGTGAAAATTTCCTATTTTTGAACCCAAGGTTGATAAACTTGCAACTTTTCATTTGGGACAGACCAGGTATCTGGCCAATATTTATATCCAATGTTGCAAAATTGATTGACTGGCTAGCCAAGGGGTTACTCCGTGTTCACAACGGAGGATAGGTTGCTCATGACCAAGCTCGCGACATAGGTCGTGACCAAGGTCAAGGTGGTTGCCCAAAATTACCCGAAAACGGTTTCAATGTTGACTATGATCATCAGCACACCTTCTTTATGTTAGGTCTTCGCAAAGCTCACGATCTAGGTCGTGACCATAGTCAATGTGGTTGTGACCTGACCTAACTGAGATGCCAAAACCGTCTGAAACACACATCATGCTACTAGTTGTTCCAGACGGCTTTGGTGCTTCATTTGGGTCAGGCCACAACCACACTGACAATGGTCACGACCTAGATCGTGAGCTCGGTGGCGATCCGACCTAAAGAAAGTGTCTTGACCATCACAGTGAAGCATTGAGACCGTTTTCATGTAATTTTGGACAACCACCTTGACCTCGGTCACGACCTAGGTTGCGAGCTTGGTCATGAGCGGCCTATCCTCCGTTATGAATACGGAGTAATCCCCTTGGCTAGCTAGTCAACCAATACTGCAACACTGGATATAAATATTGGCTCGATACTCGGTCCACCCCAAATGAAATCTGTCCGAAATGAAGGCTAGCCGACAGTCTTTGCCATTTCTGGCAATTTTTCTCAATTTTAGCCATCCTTTTTTAGATTACTCCGACGACGAACGTCTGTGCCACCTCTCCAGCAAACTTCTGACCAAACTCAAATGACCGAAACCCCTTGTTGAAGCGCGACCGATAGGAATAGGAAAAAAATAGTGTTGCCATTTTTATAATCTCTCAATTGTTTGTTAAAATTATTGTTTGTTTGTTGCCTCATTGCTCCGAAATCCCATCACATATGTCCATATTTATTTATGTTTATATATACCGCAAAAGTTTTTGTCGATTTTTCCTTGTTTTTTTTGTCAAATTTATATCCGATTTTCCATGGAATCTCACTTGAACGCGAACTGTCTTGGACCAGATCTTGTAAATAATCATGTGGTCTTGAATTACATGCTAGTCAAATCTCTGTGTAGGACAACGACTTTTTTCGGCCTTAAAATGTAGATTATGTCCTTACAGTGACGGACCTGATCTAGTGGCAAAAAACGTAGCATTTTGCATCCGAGATGTATCAAAAAATGTAGCAAAATGTCTCCCTCTCCAACTAAAAAAACTCCGTTTCGAAGGGTTTTCTCACAAAAAGAGCGCTTCCGAAATCGGAGTTTTTTTACTTGGACAAGGAGGTATTTTGCCACATTTTTGATACTTCCCGGATGCAAAATGGTACGTTTTTTTGCTGTAACTGCAAGAATATGAAGACTCTTTAGCTAATAACTTGACAAATAATAGATGAAAATTTACAAAAATTGTAATGAGAATGCCTCTGTGCCTCAGAAAAAAATTTTTGTAAATTTCGATCCATTATTTCCCAAGTTATTGGCAAAAGAAACCTTCAAGGTTCGGCTGATCCTTTATTTTCGACAATTTCTACCTACAGAGGGCTCGTCACACAGAGATCTGACTCTACTAGTCTTGTAAGCCGAGATTTCGCGATTTGTCGTCTCAGTATTGCCTTTTACGCGCAGATCCGGCTCGATCTTCCTCCAAGACCGGGTCGCCGTCCGCTCAAAAATGTACCTCCCAGTGCCATTACCGTAAACTTATCGTCATACAATTCTATACACACGAGAATCATCACGCTTTCCTCTGCTCCATGTAATCGAATCTGACCCCCCTCTCTCTCCAATATGTTGATTCGTATTTTTTTGCGCCGAATTTCATACGGGATTATATTTAATTCTAATTAAATCGAATATCATCAAAACTTGTTAATCATGTTCTCAAAATAAAATGGATTATACTTCTGGAAGAGAGGACGTTTTTTAAGAATTCATTTCGCTGACAAGTCTTGGAGAGTTTTTATTTTTTGGCTGAAATTTTTTTACTGTCCAATTTTGGCCGACAAATTTTTGGGCAAACAAAAAAATGACAACTTCATCTCCTGGTACATGTTGCTCAGGTTTCTTTGCATTTCAGCGGTCAAATTCAGGCCTGCAAAGTCGAAGGGTTGTTTTCGACTGGTTTCTGGGACAAAAAGTCAAGTTTTGGTCCCATTTCTGGCGGAATTCCTTGTTGAGCACCGGAAATCCTCAAATCTTTGGGCAAATTTGGCTGACAGGGGAAGTACCCCAAGTGCGATGCTCAGATTTTGTTGAAACTTGGCACAGATTTAAAATATTTTTTTCTAAAATATATGCGAGAATCCTAACTCGCGCTTTGCAGAAACAACCGAGATTTTTAGATCGAAAGTCGGCGAAAATTTAGGACTTTTTGCCGAAATTCAAAAAGTTGCATACCGATTTCTACCGTAAAGGGTAATCTTTCCACAAAAAATCAATTTTTTCCTCACGAAACTGCCAAAGTTATGGCCAAAAAGCGTTTTTCTCTCTGACCTCTCTACGCATTGGGCGTACTCTCTCCGCGGCAAAGATCGTTCAATATCTCGGTGGCGCTTGAAAAGCGCGAGCTAAAACTTTCAGGAATTGATATTTAGTTGATGCCCGACGTGTGCGAAAAATTTAAAGAAAATCTGAGCGTCGCACTTGGGGTACTTCCCGTGTGAGTTAGAGTCTCAGCCGGCTGACGTTCTGAAGTCTCTGTTTTTGGACCTTTTCGAGATGCTGATTCCGGGTCATAAGTTGACATTTACTGTTTCATAATTGCCAAAGGAAATAATTAACATTACAATAAAGAGAGCAGTTTTCAACGGAAATGCCGACGCTTTTATAACTTCCTATTTCAAACAAAATGTTAATTTAAAAAGTTTCAAAGTTCTCTGGGTCTTTATACAACCAGACACGGACCACATGGTTGTTTATTTATTCCTGTCCACTTTTGGGCCGACAATTTATTTTTGAAAGTAAAGATTTTTCACAAAAATGGCCAGGATGTTAACTAATCGAATGCTAATTCTATTTTTGTCATTATGCGTCGCAGCCAGTCATGTGGCCAAGAAGCATAAACACTACGACGTTAAGAAGCTCGAACTCTCCAAGGATTCAAAGCTTTGGGTGGGAAAAACGGTTACAATTATGAGCTTCAACACTTGGAATATGGCCAAGGGAATAGTGGACGGCTTAAACAAGATCGCGAAGCATATTTTGATTAATAATCCGGACATTGTGGGATTGCAGGTGAGTTTTGCCAAGAGCTGTTTTATAGGAGGCTTGTTTGAAGTTAATTATGTCACGGCGCTACGACTTTTCGAGTCAGCGACAGTTTGGGCCAACAATTCTATAGATTACGCCCGCTTATCGTTGCATGGGGGAGGCTTGGAAAACGCTACGTTAGTAGAAATAATGGTATTTATCGAGTTCCAGGATAGCTTATCATCTATTTTGAGGTATTTTCCATGTACTCACATCATTAATATTAAGATAAAAGTTACGGATCCTCGTTGTTTGCCGCAAAATTTGTTCTTTTGTATGTCACGGTAACTCAAAAAAAAAAGAAGAAGAAAACGAATGTTAATATTAGCTGAAATTAGAAAAGTGCACATATTGGAAGTCTTCGCCAAGTCTCGCCTTTGCTGAGCGTTCGCCGACCATCCAGTGGCTTTGCCAGGCTTCGTATGCACTTCCTATAACCTTTTTTGGGTACACGCCTGATCTATGCATCTTGTCGATAGATTTTTTGTTGACCTGAACTGCCAGCGACCCAAAAAGTCGGGACGCGGTGCGACAACCAGTTTGCAGAGATATTTGTTAATTTCAGTCAAATAGTCTCCATCGTTTCTGCGAAACTCAAGGTAGAAGTATTGCAAAATTGCGTCGAAAACAATATCCAAAATTCGCTTATCTTTACTTTAATCTTTGTATAAATCCGAAGAATTTTTTGTTCCCTTTCAGGAAGTCCGCCATCACGATGAAATTCGACAAGTTACAGAATCTCTGAACAAGAATGATACTCAAACTTGGTCATACGTCTATGTTCCCGGTGAAGACACGGGCATTATCACAAGGCATACTGTAAGTCTCAAGCTTGAAGCAAAACTTGACTTGACTTGGATTACGATTGAAGAGCCTTACTTTATTTTATAGATCAATGTCAGCTCGATTTCAAACCTAACGGCCGGGATAGGAGCGCAGATCCTTTTGGACAATAAACGGAAGATAACCTTGTATTCAATGCATCTGGACTACACGCTGTATGGGCCGTATGCGCTCGCCTTCCGGACGTTTAATAATCTGTCCGTTGTGGATCATGCTGAATGCCATCCGGGTTACTGTAAGTGAACGGCAAGGTTGTGCAAACCAAGTTTTCGGCATTGAAAACCATGAGAATCAATCTATTCCAGGTCGATGTTCCAACATCAAAGAACTGGTAACGAGCGAGCATTTCAAGGCGGCGTTGGCACGATCGAAAACGGAGCCGTTGTTCGTTGTTGGCGACTTTAATGCGCCTTCTCATCTCGACTACACGCAGGAAACTCTGTAAGATTTGGCTTACAGAATGCATACTCCAAGAAGTTTAAGCCGTATTTAAACTTCGAAGTCCTTAAAACGGCCTTCGCCGGTAATAAAGTCTCCACTGAGCCTTCGCCGATGTGTGGAATATCCGCCAAGCTACCGAGACTAACAGATTATGTCCTGCTAGCTGTGGCAGACCTAATTTTATTCGTAGTAGGAAGTCGGAGAGGTGTAATTTTCAAAAAAGACATCAAATGTCTCCGCCGAAAAATGGTCTCTCCGCCGAGAGAAGAAAAAATTCTTTTGCAAACACACGATTTCGAATTTCAAATACGGCTCAAACTTCTTGGATGGCTGCAAACAGCACAAAGATACAAGCCAAATATTTTTACAAAATTTCTTAAAATACCCAATACTGTACGTAAAATTTCATCAAAATCTCAGCGTTGTGCTTCAAGAACTCCTCCCTGAAAGATCTCCCATCCTATCATCATCATTTTCAGTCCTCGTCGTGGCTTTGTTTACAACTGGCCGGCCACTTTTATCCTTCAAAATGCAAGTGGACTTGTTGACTCCTTCCGCGAACTCTATCCGGACCCCGTCAAATATCCGGGAGAGTCGTGGTCGACGGTCAACGAATTCCACACCTTTGGCGACTGGGAGTACGTTATACCGGAACCTCAGGACAGGATCGACTTCATCTTCTATAAAAGTAGTGGGCTGAAAACAGTGGCCAGTGGAAGGTATGCGGGCGATTTCAAACCCTATCCGGCCGATCCGTCGCTCAACGATTGGCCATCAGACCATTATGCTTATGTCTCCACATTTAAAGGATTTTGAAGAGTAATAAACAATTTGTTTCGGGCCACGAGTTTTCTGGTCGACGACGGTTCGGGTCGACACAAAATCGATCGATACGGGGTGTAGAGCAGGTGGATGGCCAAAAAAAGTTGTAGGAAGTGCCTACGAGGCCTTACAAAGCCGTGGGATGGTCGGTGGACGCTCGGCGAAGGCTCGGCGAAGGCTCGACAGCAACTTGGCGGTGACTTGCGATATGTCAAATGTTTCTAATTTTAGCTGTTACTGGTTAGTTTTCTTTACACTGAGTTATTGTAAAATATAAAAGACCAAAATTTATGGCAAAAAACGAAGATCAGTTACTTTTATCTAGATATTATTGATGTGACTACATGAAAAAATACCTCAAAATAGGTGATAAGATATCTTAGCCCCCGACCAATCTTATTATTTCTACTAACAAAGCCTTGTCCTAGTCTCTCTCATGCTTACAACGACGAACCAACGCAATCGATAGTATCGTTGACATCCGTAATATGATGGTTATAAAATTAATATAGCTCACAGATTTTGAAGGAACTTGGGTTCAGTCAAGATGAAATCCCTGGAAGATGTATGCAGTTTGTTTGTTGAGATGGTCGTTTGCAGAAATCATTGAAGTTTTTGTATCGAAAATTTTGACAAGGAAAGTACTTTTATGGGGGCTCCTACTTTTTGACGGGACATATCTCAAACAATCAGAAAAAATACGCTGATCAAGGATATATAAATCTTAGCTGCCCATTTTAGGTTTTTAGGGGTGAAAATGCCCAAAAACTCGCTTAATTTCCCTACAAAAAGCGCAGGCATTCGAAACGATAAAAAGCGCAGTCGGTCTCTTCCTTCGGAAGAGAGCGGTGTGGCCGAGTGGTTAGTGCCGTAGTCTGGGAATCAAGAGGGGAACGCCGCACGGGTTCGATTTCCCTTTTGGGCCGAATCAACTTTTTTTGAAGTTGAAGGTCGGAAAAATAAATTTTTGTGCCAAGACTGATTTATTACGTCTTAGAAACTCAATAAACATCATTTTAAGCCAAAATAAAAATTGTAAACCTGTGAAAAATTAAGCGAAAAGGGGTTCATATAGGACTTTAAGTCAACTTCCGATTGAGTTTTCACCCCTAAAAACCTAAAATGGGCAGCTAAGATTTATATATCCTTGATCAGCACATTTTTTCTGATTTTTTGAGATATGTCCCGTCAAAAAGTAGGAGCCCCCATAAAAGTACTTTCCTTGTGAGAAATTTTCAAAAATTTGAGAAAACTTTTCATGCCTAGCCTCTAGCTCGTCGATCAGAACGAAGTTGTTTTCCCGCCGTATGCTCTTATCGTCAGGTTCTGCAACGTGAAAGATTATTCTTCCCCCAAGATTAGCATGCCCTTTTTACCCATCGATTTTACCTTTTCATTCAAAGTATGTACTGCAAAAAAGTCGATATTTTGATAAAAAAAATCTTGATGATTCCATCAAAGTGCGAGTTAAAAATCTTGCATATGACATAGATAAGGCTGTTTGGGGCCAGAAATTTACAATGCCCTTATATAGTCATTGTAAATCGTGCCTTCAGCCCTTCCCATCGAAACCCACAACTCCTCAAACACCATGTTTTCCGTGGTTTGTTACATAACGCGTAGGGCTGTGAGGAATTTCTGGAGCGCGTTCAACACACGCCGCAAACCGGTCGGCGAGTTTTGATCGGCATTAAAAAATGAGCCAAGTGTTTGCGAACGAGTTGTGGCGTCATCGGCGATGTGTTCCTCTAACCGAGTTTCTTTCGCCTCGGGGCGTCAGTTACAAAAAAACACAACACCTCCCGAGCTGTCGGGGAGGATTTTTTTGATTTCCCTCGGACAGCTGGCAGAGTGATAGTTTTGGTTTTTTTTTCAACTTTTTGATAAGGGATTTTTCGAAGTGGACTTTGGAATTTGGTTAGCAGCCCCTTTTATGAGTAATCTTTTGAAGGGTGATGAAATTGGGGCCAAACTACGATTAATAATTAGTGATTGTGAGACATCTGCGAGAACTTTGCGATATGATTTGTATAAAAAACTCGACAGTTTTAGGTCAAACATTCAAAAAGTTTTTTTTTGAACTTTTGATTTGCGGTTATAAGTGGGACTGCTAACGAAATTCAGAAAGACATGGCCGGAATACGTCGTATATCTGACTGTCTATCTTGACGTCGCGACATTTGCGGACATTGATTTTATGGGCCATGCATGGGCATTGCTTTTTTCTCAAGATCTGCCTCTTACCGCGAAGTGAAGCCTAGGCTCTCTTACTAGGGAAGTGTACAAACGAACCCTCACCAAATGGCAAGTGTTGTACACCATTGGAAAGCCCTTGAAAAATGATGAAAGGTACCATTTTCATTTTTTGCAGAATGCCTCAGGGCAAAAAATTATAAACGGTTGATTTGTCCCTTAAGTAGTTACAATATCTGCTGTGGCGCAAAATTAATCTTATTTCAAAACGCTAAATGGTAAATATTGCTACTAGGTTGGCCTAAGAATCATTATGGAGCTTGGCGCGTGCCAGTAAAACCATTTTACATATGATATTTACTGGTTTTAAACAGCCATAACGTGAAAAAACACTTTTCACTTTTTTTAATTTTGAAAAACATGTAAGTTTGATGGTTTTAACCGTAATCGACCGTTTTCTAGAAAAATTAAAGCGTTTGTAAAAGCTTAATTCAAATATTATCCTAACTGTAAGAACGCAAAATGTTTTTGCCCAAGCTGGGAATCGAACCTAGGTTGGTTTGGCTTATCAGCCTGCTCAGCAACCACTGCACTATTGAAGCAACCCTCTTCGAGAATTTTTTCCTGCCCAAGAGAAAAAAAGATTTTTGTTGCGAAATTACCTAAAAATAATGAAATTTACAGTATGTCGTCGCGGAAAGGCATTCTGCAAAAAATGAAAATGGTATCTTGCACCATTTTTCAAGGGCTTTCCAATGGTGTATATCACTTGCCATTTGGTGAGGGTTCGTTTGTACACTTCCCTAGTTAGGCTACTTCTAACTATATATGTCTCTGGGTTGCTTGGGCGTTCGTTCGAAAAAATGTGGCTTCGGAGAGCGACGATTGGGGAAAAGACGATTGTTGAAAGTGAAAAGTATAATATTATTTTTCTTCGACGCAAGTGTCGAAATTAGGATAATCGATGGCGCTGATTTCGAAAATGACATGCATTTTTTTATCGTTACTTTTTTCCCTAAGCAGTATTGTAAAGTAGTGATTTTTTGACCGTTTTCGAAATCAGCGCCGTGAGTTATCCTAATTTCCACACTTGCATCGAAGAAAGGTAATACTTTTCACTTTCAACAATCGTCTTTTTCCCCAATTGTCGTGCCGCTTTGTCGTTTTATTCGTCGCGATGCGCCACAAATTTCGGCTAACCGCAGCTGCCTAGAAAAGCCGCTCTGCGTAAAAACGTTGCCTGCAAAGAGATTTCCGGCAAGCTGGCCGCTCAAAGAGCAGATTGAGAGCTTCTGTTCTAAAGGATTAAAATATGACACACATAGGCAAGATATAGGCAAGGCATGACTAACTAAAAAGAGTTGTAGGAATGGACTTTTATGGGGGCTCCTATTTTTAGACGGAACGTATCTTCAGAAAAAAAGTAAAATAATGCTGATTAACAAATATGTAAAGATTAGCTGCCCAATTTTGGGTTTCAGGGGTAAAAAATCAATCGCAAGTTGACTTATACTCCGCCGATTTAATTTGGACCAGTCTGAAACTTGAAAACGGTTATAGATATGAACTCCATTCCTTCAACAAGTTTGATCACCAGTCGACTCTATGTTCAACTGTAGCAAAATATTTCCTCTGCCTTGAGGCACAAGAAAAATATTCGGATTTTTTAATTTTTGCTGTCGAAAAAGTTTGGACCAGGGCAACAAAAATTTGCATTTCTTTATCACTAGGTGGGGTGAAACCGTGATAACTTGTGAAAATAATTGTGATTCCCTGCTGATTCTAACGAGCAGGAAATTCCGAGATCAGCGCTGTGTTTAAGGCCCTGAGGGCAATTTTTGAGAAAATTCCAAAAATTCCAGAAATTTTTCGCCCTAGCGCTCGAGTAAGAAGCGTAAATCGTCTTAAATTAGTTTCAGTGCAACCACAGTATAGCGTACATCTAATTGGATGACGTTATGAAATAGTTTTACATCCAAAATTTTTTGTTCTTGGAGGATTTGTGACTTTGAAACTTGGGTTGGCGATAATTGTGAGGCCACTGCGCTCAAACAACTGCTAAATCATACAGCGTTTAGCGTGGGACGTATGAGGGGCATGCCACACTTTTGTTCTGTGTCAAAACAATATCCAATTTACACGCGACAAATGCACAATAGACCGAACACTTTGATAAAAAAAAGTTTTCGTTGGCCCAGTCGAAACATGTTGAGAAAAAACAATTTAATGTGCATCAAATTAAGTTCTATCAGGTCTGGCTAGCACCTCTTAGCGGAATAAACGTATAATGTACATATAGGAACATCTTTTTTCACTTTCGAAAACTTTTAAGTAAGCACCCTCTTCTTAAATTTTTTTATCAAAGTTTTCGGTCTATTGTGCATTTGTCGCGTGTAAATCGGATATTGTTTTGACACAGAACGAAAGTGTGGCATGCCCCTCATACGTCCCACGCTAAACGCTGTATGATTTAGCAGTTGTTTGAGCGCAGTGGCCTCACAATTATCGCCAACCCAAGTTTCAAAGTCACAAATCCTCCAAGAACAAAAAATTTTGGATGTAAAACTATTTCATAACGTCATCCAATTAGATGTACGCTATACTGTGGTTGCACTGAAACTAATTTAAGACGATTTACGCTTCTTACTCGAGCGCTAGGGCGAAAAATTTCTGGAATTTTTGGAATTTTCTCAAAAATTGCCCTCAGGGCCTTAAACACAGCGCTGATCTCGGAATTTCCTGCTCGTTAGAATCAGCAGGGAATCACAATTATTTTCACAAGTTATCACGGTTTCACCCCACCTAGTGATAAAGAAATGCAAATTTATGTTGCCCTGGTCCAAACTTTTTCGACAACAAAAATTAAAAAATCCGAATATTTTTCTTGTGCCTCAAGGCAGAGGAAATATTTTGCTACAGTTGAACATAGAGTCGACTGGTGATCAAACTTGTTGAAGGAATGGAGTTCATATCTATAACCGTTTTCAAGTTTCAGACTGGTCCAAATTAAATCGGCGGAGTATAAACCCCTATAGATGTACATAAACCTCTTTCCGCCCAATTTTTCACAGGTTTACAAATTTTATTTTAGCTTAAAATCATGTTTCTTGAGTTTCTAAGACGTAATAAATAAGTCTTGGCAAAAAAAATTATTTTTCAGACCCTCAACTTCAAAAAAATTAGATTCGGGCCAAAGGTAAAATCGAACTCGCGCGGCACTCTCCCTCTTGATTTCTAGACCGCGGCACTAACCACTCGGCCACACTGCTCTCTTCCGGTGCTGAGAGCGACCGCGCTTTTTATTGTTTGCAATGTCTGCGCCTTTTGTAGGCAAACTTTGCCAGTTTTCTGGGCATTTTCAACTCTTGAACCCAAATTTTTTTGGGTTCAAGGCCGCTAATTTTTCAAATTTCTTGAGAGATGTCTCGTCTAAAAGTAGGAGCCCCCGTAAAGTACTTTCCTTGTTCATTCGAAATATATTACAAGAACTAAACTATTTTTGATTCAAGCCGTGCCTATGATTGATCTGTTCTCTGACCAACAACCATTTTTTATGCCTTCGAATTTATGTCTTCGAACATTTTCAAAACAAAGTTCATCTTAAAGCGAAGGTCAGTGAAATCTCCTGCCCATTTTAGCCGAAAAACCTTGTATCTCGCGAATTTCTTCACGAAAAGTCTCGAAATACTTTGAGTTTTGTAGTTGATGGTGCAAAAAAGAGTTTATAAGTAGTTCCAACTTCTCGAAAGTCTTGTAAACGACTTCTTCATCGAGTTTCGCCAGCCTGATATTACAACTGAACGTGCGTTTCCGTCCACGGAGTTTCTGTTTCAGCGCTCGCTGTAATGACAATTAGTATTATATGAGCGGCGCGTCTGACTATTTAATCTTTCACTCGATGAACCAGAAAGTAACTCACAAAGTTAAGAGAGAATCTTCTAATTCGGTTTGTTGTAATAGTAAGTAAGTTATTTAGGGGTAAACAAAGTGTAAAAAAAAGCCTACTGTACGGCTTTGTTTGATAATAAGTGGGGGAATGATGAAGTAAAAATTACAACAATTTTGGGAATAGGATTTACAAGCTTCATAGTTTAGATCATAGAAAAATTTTTTACTAGAGAGCCCTCCGGCGATTTTTAAGGGCACTACGATTTTTCGGGTCAGCAACAGTTCGGGCCGACGATATTTTTGATCGCATTGCATGGAGAAGGCTAGGAGAAGGCTTAGTTAGCAGAAATAATAAGACTGATCGGTTCCTAGGGCAGCTTATCACCTATTTTGAGGTATTTGTTTTACACGTACTCACATCAATAACGTCCAGATAAAAGTTACGGGTCTTCGTTTTCTGCCGCAAATTTTGGTATTTTATATGTTTTTATACAATGACTCAGAGTATAGAAAACTAACGTTAGTAATAAATATCTAAGATAAGAAAAAGTGGACATATTGCAATTCTTCGCCAAGTCTCCGCCGAGCCTTCGCCGAGCGTTCTCCGACCATCCAACGGCTTTGCAAGGCCTCGTAGGCACTTCCTACAATCTTTTTTGGGTCTCCGTCTGTCAAATGCCCCGGATCGATCGATTTTTTAAATATTATTTATAATTGAAAATAATAGAGTAGAACTTACAACGACTATACTTTTGGACTCCTCCGGGCTTCTAGAAAACAACTTTGTATCACCAAAAGGCCCTCCGGCAATCGGTAGAGACCAGTTTTATATATTTTATCCGTATTTGTTTTGGAATTGGACTTGAAAGGGAATTTTTATTGGAAAATAACGATTTCAGCTCACAACAATTACAGTTCTGGCAATCTGCGGGGTAATTTTAACACAACATTCTTCTCCATTATGACCTCGGGCCTCTTTGAGACCCGCCTTTTTTCATTGATTATGCTAGTGATAAAAAGCAGGCAAAGCAAGCTATATAGATCCTATAAAACGTTTGTACCACCCTTCTGTACATTCTTTTTGGAAACTTCTGGACAGAGGTTTTTTGTCTGTTTGATTGACATGTTTAATAATCATCAAAAACAGATCGATCACCAGACATGTTTACGTGCTGATAATAGACCTTTTAAACCCCAACAAAAACCAATTTATTTTTTGTGTCTGCTGCATTTTTAAGACCCTTGAACACTTGAGGAAGAAAGTCGAAATCCGAGTCTTTCGGCTTTGGAGCGCGCTTATTTCCCTCGTATATGCATAAAATACCCGCCCAACCTCACGGCTCTTTTATTATTTTATGAGCGAGGCCATCCCACTTTCTCCTCCGAGATCTTTCGGCGTTTATCCCTCAAGTTTGAATGGATTTTTTTCGCTTAAGTTGCGATCTTTCAGACTTGGAGATTTGGGGAGAATTTTAATTTAAAAACTGCAAAAATAACCGGGATTTTTACAGCTCAGACTTTAATGAGATTTGGCATAAATTTTTAACAATTTTTTTCAAGGCATGCATAAGATTTTCAGCTCGCGTTTTGAAGGAAACAACCGAGATTTTTAGCCCAAAATTTGGTTAAAATAGGACAATTTTTAACGAAATTTCGGCACGAAAAGTTTCATGCCTATTTCTACCATAGAGGGTAATGTTTCCACAAAAAATCAACGTTTTCTCCGTAAAATTGGCAAAGTTATGGCCAAAAAGCGCTTTTCTCTCTGACCGTTCTCCGCGTTTTGTGTGCTCTCTCGCTTCAAAAAATTCATATCTCGGCCGTCCTTGCAAAGGGCCAGCTCAAATTTAAATATGAGTGTGGCATTTTTTACACTCACCCTATTAATTTTTAGCCTACTCACTTTTCTTTTTTATTTCCTGTATAATTTTTTTTATCAAGAAGTCACATTTTACGCACGACGCTTTTGCCTCACTTTTTCGGACTTATCAGTATTCAAAATTGTTTTTTTGCCCTCTTACCAGCTGACAAACAATAATATTATCTGTCAGCGGGACAAAATTTTTAAAAAATATTATACCTGATAGCTGAAATTGGAAGGTAAAAAGTGCAAAAAAATTTTATCTCCATTTTTTGTAGGAAAGGAAAAATGATTTTTGAATATTCAAAATTTATTTTTGATGGCTCTTGTCGCGATGATATGACCTCTAATGGTATTATCGGCCATATCTGACTAGTTAAAATGGGCATTTGTATGGTTAAATTGATATTTTGCCTGGTTAAATTGGCCAATTTATCGGTCAGATTAAACATTTTGACTTATCATACAGACGATCAAATTTCAATACCTATCACTTTTTTTACTTTTTAAAAGAAAAGTAAAAATAATAATTTTTCTTTTAGTTTAAGCCATGGGCCAAGTTGGATCTCTACTATTTGGCCCTAGCTGGGAGAACAGTCGTCAAGTCCGCGTGGAAACTGGCCTAGTGGCCGGGAAAACGTTCACCTTCGAAAACGGCAAGCAAATTGATGCGTTTTTGGGCATTCCATTTGCAAAGCCTCCGGTCGGCGAGCTGAGATTTAAAGTAAGAAAAATTTCGAAATGTAATCGTTGCAAAAGCCTCGAATTTTAAACTTGACTTGTCATGCCAAACCCCTAATTTTTCTAGAAGCCAGAGCCAGCCGAACCCTGGTCGGGGGTCCGAGATTGCACCAACTTTGGACCTCGCTGTCCGCACGAAGATGTTTCCATCGAAAAGTTTACGAATTTTCATACGAAAAGCGAGGATTGCCTAATCCTGAATGTATTCACTCCAACTGTTGTGGACGGCCTAAAACCGGTGATGTTTTTCATCCATGGCGGCGGATTCGCGATGCATTCGAGTATGCATTATGGAGATTATGGAATTTGCAAGTAGGTTCGAGAAATGGGGCAGCGCTCGAAGAGCGAGAGCCGGATTTTTTGCAAATTTTGCATCAATTATCTGTCATGCTCAGAAAACAATTGCTGAAAATATTGGCTCTCGCCTGGAGGGGAGAGCCAAGATATTCAAAGATCACTTTCCGAGAGAGTACGGAAAAGAGCCTGCACAAAATTTTAATACAGTGGGGATCTGACGCAAAAAACGTACCATTTTGCATCCAGGAAGTATAAAAAATGTAGCAAAATACCACCCTCTCCAAGTGAAAACTCTGATTTCAAAAGTGCGCCCGCTCTTTTTGCGAGAAGCGCCCTTCAAAACGAAGTTTTTTCACTTGGAGAGGGAGGTATTTTGCTACATTTTTTATACTTCCCGAATCCAAAATGGTACGTTTTTTGCCACTGGATCAGGTCCGCCACTGCATTTCCAAATTTAAACCTCTCCCAAATAATAAAAAAACATTTTTTTCAGAAACCTCTGTACAAAAGACGTTGTTGTTGTGACAATTCAGTATCGCCTTGGCTTCTTTGGCTTCCTCTCCACAGGCGATGAGAATTGCCCGGGAAATATGGGACTCTGGGACATGACGTTGGCCCTAAAATGGGTCAATCAGAATATCCGCGAGTTTGGCGGCGATCCAAACAACGTTACCGTGTTTGGGCAGAGTGCTGGCGGAGCCTCAACGGACTACCTCAGCCTGTCGCCGCATTCGAACAAATTGTTTCATAAGTTTGCGCCAATGTCCGGCACTTCGCTATGCAGCTTTGCGATGAACGATTCGGCCCATATTCGCGATGTTAGCTGGAATTTTGCGTTGCAGCAGGGATTCATCCCACCAAAAGACGGTAAAATTTTTTTGGATGTTTAAAAAAATTTTTTTTTTGAAATTTCGACAAAACCTAAATTTCAGCATCAAAATTCGAGCAAAGCCGAGCGCTGGTCGAATTTATGCGCAATTTGCCCCCGGCTGATATCGAAATTGGAATGCTCGGTCGTTTCGGAGTCAACGAGGGCGGTCGACTCGATTTAACGCCGGTTTTCGACGGCGATTTCTTCCCAAAACCCTTTGCGGAACTACGCAAATTGGCACCTCCGAAGCCTCTGATGACCGGCATCACCGAAGTGGAGGGCCTTCTCTTCAGTACGTTGGTTTACCTGCTCATGAGGACCAGAATTCAGCGCATTTCAAGTCGGGTTTTTCTCTTGTTTTTGGTCGTTCCCCCTGAATTCGCATGCTGATTATGTTTTTGCTGCCCCTTTCCCAATTTTTCAGCCAAATTTACCGAGATGCCGCTAATTCTTTCCAAGAATACTTAGTTTGTCTAATTTTCATACGCCTTTGGCTGCTATGATTCAATTTTTAGCTGCAATCAAGCCGCCTCGCGGCTCCTTCAAAGAGGAAATCCGAAGACAGATCGTTTTCGATTTCCAAAAACGAAAAATTCATGATGCGGCCAGAGAAAAGGCGATCTTCGACATGTATCTGAATGAGGTTCAACGGAACAACCGAAGGCAGTATGTCACCGCTTGTATGACGGTAAGCCTTCTTTTATACTGCACGCAAAACTGAGTCCGGTGACCAGAATAGACCCTTCGCTATCGGTTTTTTCATTTCGTCTTGATTTTTACAGAGAAGCAGAGAAAAGACGTGCAAAACCGTACTCTCTCGCCCCAAAAATTCCCCATTTCTTTACCGACAAAAAGTTTTTTCGCGTCTTTTTTTGGAAAATTGAATTTTTTGTCGGCGAAGAAATGGGGAATTTTTGGGGCGAGAGGGTACGGTTTTGCACGTCTTTTCTCTGCTTCTCTGTAAAAATCAAGACGAAGTGTAAAAAACCGATAGCGAAGAGTCTATTCCGGTCATCGAACTCCACAGTTTGACATGCACTTTTTCGGATCCAGCTGACCACTATCATTACCTTTTTTAGTCGACAAGAAGGTCGAAAAAGAGATCCACAAGAACCAAAATATGATATCAAAAAGAGTTTTTGATATCAAATTTGGATTCCTCTGGATCTAGTCTTCTACCTTTATGTCGATTAAAAAAGCGCCAAAATTGAATCAAGAAATGCTCATCCGAAAATTGAACACAACTTTTCAGCTAATCTCCGACATGATAATCAACAATGGAGTCTGGGAGCTGGCCGATACCGCAGTGAGGTTACAAAAAGGCGCCCCAACTTATTTGTATTCGTTCGACTACCATAACCCGGACGGCTTTGGGTTGGCCGGTCTTATTTTCCCATTCAAAGCCGCTACCCATTGCTCCGAATTGCCGTATCTGTTCGGAAAGGGGATTATTGCGTTGTTCAGGCCGAGCGAAACCGACAATAAAGTGGTCGATTTCTTCACAACATTGTTCACCAACTTTGCCAAATATGGGTAAGCAAATTTGGCGATAAATTCAAGGCCTACAGCGGTGGATCTGATCCAGTGGCAAAAAACGTACCATTTTGCATCCGGGAAGTATCAAAAATGTGGGAAAATGCTTCCCTCCCCAAGTGAAAAAACTCCGACTTCAAAAACGCGTCTCCCCTTTCGGTGAGGGAAAGATCGCGCCCTTCAAAACAAAGTTTTTTCGCTTGGAGAGGGAGGCATTTTGCCACATTTTTTGATGCTTCTCGGATGTAAAATGGTACGTTTTTTGCCACTGGATCAGGTCCGTCACAGTAGCTAGCCTTTTTGCTTCACTATGTTAAAGAGAGGCTGAGAGCAGCTGGCAGTGTTAGCTATAATTTCTATAAGTTTTGCCCCATTACTTCCCAAGGTATTCGCAAAAGAACTCGTTCATCGACAAACAAAATCTAATCTTTCGAATTCCAGCAATCCCAATGGCCTTAAAAACCCACAAGGCACATGGGAACCACTCACTTCGGACCATCCAAACCGCTACTATCACATCGATGTGCAAGGTTCGGAAATGCGATCACAATTTTGTGGAGGACGTCCTCAGAAGTGGCGAGAACTCCTCCAACCTTGTGATTGTGGTCAAAGAGTGTGTTCGAAAGAAGGCCTCGAAGACCTGGATCAAAACAACAACGACTTCGAGGACAGACCGTTCACCAAATCCGATGCTTCCGCCGAGGTTACGCGATTCACACTACTTGAAGAGTATGCCGAGTAGTCTAATATAAAATATCAAATAACTTCTTTAAGAGCTCTGAAATTAACAGCTCTCGCATAACTTTCAAAACTCGGTCTTCCTCCAAAATACATCCTGCAAGATACTTACGAAAACATGGAAAATACGGTTATTCATCTTTGTTATATTGTACATAAACAAATAAATAATTTTTAATTCCCGATTTATGATCAAACAAGGCCTCTAAACAGGTGCAAATTCGATCCACAAAATCGTTATGGAATTCGGAAGATTAGAAGTTTTGGACGAAATGTCAACTTGTGACACTTCGTCTAATTTTAGGCGCGAATTTTTTCTGACTGTTTTCGCAGAAGAAAAAGACGAAATTCCGTGAAACCTCTCGATTCTTTTGTTTCATACAGCTCGTAATCCATTTATTTTAGTGGCTGTAGCATAATTACGAGATAAATTATATTGAACGTCACCTGAGGATGTCCTTTTTGACCAGTAAAGGAGATGGATCTCCGCAGCAGTCGAAGATGGACTGGTTGTGTCGAAGCATCGAGGAGGAAGCCCAGGCCTATCTGAATTCGCTAAAAGTCCCTATCGATGAAGAGTAAATCGTGTTTCTGATAATTTTTATTTGTTTAGACCAATCTCACAGCCTGATGGATTTTGGGGAAAATACTACGACAGATTGGCTTCTTATCAGGTAAATTGATATCTATTTTATTCAATTTTTGTTTTAGAAAGGCAAGGAGCGATTTATCCTGATCTCTCCAATTAAATGCGCATGTTATGGATGGCGACTTGAGGATAATGGTAATCTCAGGTGCGAAGATTGCCAAGAAACCCTTGTTTTCCCCGATTTTCAGACAGAATCTCGTCAAGAACAAGAGACGAGCATCCTTGCTGTGTAAGTGAACTGTTTTCAGTTTGAATTCTGTTTTTAGAAAGACAATTCGCAACTTATCCGAGAATCATTCGAAGTTGTGCCATTGGCGGGAAGGAGAAGGTCGGCCTTTCCGAATCTACGATGTTTCCTCCCGAATTCCTACGATTCAATTAGTCGTCGTGCCGGGAGCAAAATTTTCCTCGCAAGAGATTGATAATTCGGTTGAGGAATTGAGTGCGAATTATGAGATCACGACATCTCCGGAATTTTATCTTGCAGTTGCTGGATGGGACGCGTCTACGTAAGTTACCAGTATTTTTGTCTTGACATTTGCTTTTAGATCGTCTGTTTCGACCGTGAAATGTCGGGAATGTTTGAAAGAAGTGGATTTGAACACAGTTTCCGAGGAAAATCGAGATCCACTCAAGTGGCATGAGCAATATTGCCCGGTGGTTGACAAACACCATCTTTTATGGAGGGATGCGTTGAAAAATTATGCTGAATTGACTCCAAAGGTAGCGCTTTTTCTCGATCTGTGATTTTGAGTGTTTAGAAAGGAAGCGCGACCTCAAATTTGACTCAAGTTTATAAGGACATCACCTTGACCATGACGGATAAAGAACCGAATCTTGACGTGCCTTTAGACGATTTGAATACCTCAAATGCTGCTGTTGACTCAACTGCTGACCGATCGAGTAACATGGTTAGTTTTGGGGTTGAGATTAATTGATTGGTTATATTATTTTAGATCCTTTAATATTATCTTTGTTTGTAGGAAGCGAGTCTAGAAGCGGAATCAATACAAAATACGACAGAAAATGAGATAACATCGCCAACTTTAAATCCCGAAGGCTTTTTTGTGTCAGAAGAAGCTTTGGAACAACAAAAACGAGCTGAATTCTCCATACCACCACCTAAAGTATTGAAATCTCGTGCAACACCACCTAAAATAAAGGTACAACACTTCAAAGACCCTATTTATGAAAAGGAGTTGGGCGCAAATCCAGAGAAACGGCAAAAATTGGAAAATGAAGAGGATCTGTTGATTGTAAGTTGAGTTTTCGTTATTATTCTTATGAATTTTAGGCTGACAACATCCTTGACAGTGTCAATTCTCCGTCTGTGAGGTTGGCTGAGGGAGATGAAGCCATGTTGGACGAAAAAGAGGAGTCTTCATCACCTAAGCAAGTGGATGTTGATCATGATGAAGAAGAGCCGGAAAGGTGGGATTTTCTGCATTGTTTGTGTGAAATAATTGTCTCAGAAGCTGTAGAATTTAATTGGGAAGGTCATAGATAATGGGGTTGACGTCTTTGGGGGGAATTGAGACTAATTTTATATTGTTTTAGAGAGAAGATCCCGAAATTTCCAGAAAGTCCTTATCGAAAGCCTATATCTCCGGCTGCCAGTGATAACTCGGATGAAATTGTTTATCTTGATGATTCCGATGACGATGAAAAACAGTACGAAAAGGACTCGGAAGAAGATTATGATTCTCAAAATAATTTCGGCGAAGATTATGGAGAAGATTTGGATGAAGAAGAGACAGAAGAGCAAGATGAGATTGGTCTAATTGACGAAGTTGAAGGTGAGAAGACTCAGCGAGAGGGCAGAGAGGTGGAAGAGGACAGTTTTTCCCACGATAGTGATGTGGAATTGCAACCAAACACCAGCGAAGAGATTGATGAAGGTAAATTGATATAATTTTGATTATTATTGCTTCAAATTTTTAGATGTTGTGTCTGCAAACGAACAAGTGGACCATGAATATGATTCGGAACAGGATGGATACGAAGATGAGGACCAGGAAAATGATGGAAAATCGCGCGAATTTTATGAACATCCATCTGATGAGGAAAATGAAGATGAATCTGAAGATTATGATGAAGAAGATACAGAGGAATTGACTTTTAAAGATCAGAAAGAAGAGTCCGACTCGGATTCGGATATCATTTGCTTGGATTAGGCATTTCTCATGTAAATATTATATTAACTATGACCTCAAATCCACTTTTTTTAATTTGAATTTGTTGTTATTTGTTTGAACTTTGGCCTCATTTGGACTGAGCAAAAATATTTTCATAATCAAGCAGGTAGTTTGCGTAGATTTTAACACGGATTTTAAGGTTTTTTTGACATTGGAATCCTAGTATAATATAAATATTGTATGTTGTTCACGATAAAGTTGTTCGAAATTGAATTTGAAGTTGCATAGTTGAATAAGCTGTTGGTTAAGTACAGTGGATATTGGATTTTTGATAACTGCAAACACTTTTTTTAGTTACACGTGGAAAGGATAGGTGTCTGAAGGAGAAATTGGTCGTTTTTGGTGTGTGTTGGGTTGAGGATGGAGTCGAGTGCGTCGCAAACCCCGAAAGAGGTCTCACCGCTTCGGGAAAGCACGATTTTAAGGTCTTCCGAAGAGTCCACGCCCGCTAATACACCGGAATTTACACATGATCTCAAAGATGCAGATGAAACGAATGTTCCGATTTTGAGAAAAGTTCGCGCCATCCCCAAAAGATCTCGGACGTTGAAACGAGAGAAATTGGTCGAGGTAAACAGATGAGTATGTTTTTCTTATTGTCCTTGAACTTTTAGTGGGCCCTCAAATTCTCCTCCCCGAACTCGGAGAATGGAGAAAAACGGAGTAATCGGCGGAACAAAAATCGATGTGATACTTGTGGAGTAAGTCGATTTTTTATGTGGTTTTATGTGTTTAGCAAGGAGGACTGATCTACTGCTGCGATGGTTGCCCACTTGTGTTCCATGCCAACTGTCATCGACCCAAAATTCAAGTGACGGACAACAAGGAGCCGTTTTACTGCAGAAAATGCAAATTCTTGATGGATTATACGGAAGCGGCGGATGAATACGCGTATAAACAGGTGAGGAGAGATGAAACATAATTTGGAAAGTTAATTAGACTGTTTTTGGCAAAAATTTTGGAGGTTTTGAAGAAAATTATATTGTTTTAGGTAATAATTTTGATTATTCATTGAAGATTTGGATTTTTTTTGTGATTGTTCGTTTTTATGGAATAGAAGAGGTCTTAAAAATGATTTAGAGAGTTACATAGGTCGATTGGGTCAACCGTTATTTGTTTTCGGAATAAAATTATATTATTTTAGGTAACAGTTTTAATTTTTTTTTTGAATTTTGTATTTTTAGAAGGATCCTGAGCGCGATGAGTCCATTCCAAGGTTTTTTCACAACTTGTGCTTCAAAATGTTGACCGTCCGAGAGCAGCCGTTCACATTGCCGAAGTCAGTAACGGATCAAGTAGTCAAACTTCCAAAGGTGTGGGTCGGTGATACCCTTCCCAATTCGAGAAAGAAACGACCCGATCAAGACTCGGAATGCTACATTTGTAATAAGTAAGCATTATTTTTCAATTTTTTTTTTTTTTTTGAAATTTAGGACCGTCAGCTTCCCAAATTACAATAAATGCTTCTTTTGTCCGCTTGTGGTCCATCTGGACTGTCAGTTGGAACCCCAAACGGCTAGACGAATATACGCATGGCGATGCCCTTGTCATATCGAGAATTTTGTGGTGAGTTTTTGGAAAACTTGACCTTGTACTTGGATCAGCGGGATATAAAAGGATCAGGTGGTCGATAACATGGGAATGAATAGAACGGAATATGCAAAGACTTTAATTTTTAGGACCCCCAGAGGTCGCATTTTCAAGCATGCACCTTTTTTACTAAAAAAACGCTCCAGCAATCTGTGAACATCAGTTTTACATATTTTCCTAAACTTGAAGCATGAAAATCGGGCGTTTTTGAAATGAAAAAATGGTGAAATTTCTTGGCAAGAAACTTTTTCTTACCAAAAAAATCCTTCGGCAATCTTTAAGCACCAATTTTGTATGTTTTTCCCGCATCCAACCATAAAAATCAATCGTTTTTGAAATGAAAAATTAAAATTTGACAAGTCAGTGGAAAAACATGGATTTTCAAAAAACCCTGAGGGGATAGTACCACAAAAAAGTGTATTTCTAGGAAAGCTGGAATCTGTAGACCTGAAAAAAAAACATTTTTTTGTTAATTTTGGTTCATTCACTGGAACAAAGTTGACAAAAATTGTGTTTTTGGGATCTACAGATTCCAGCTTTCCTAGAAATTCACTTTTTTGTGGTACTATCCCCTTAGGGTTTTTTGAAAATCTATTTTTTCCACTGACTTGTCAAATTTTTATTTTTCATTTCACAAACGGTTGATTTGTATGGTTAGATGTGGGGAAAATTTACAAAATTGGTATTCACAGATTGCCGGAGGATTTTTTGATAAGAAAAAGTTTCATGCCAAAAAATTTCACCATTTTTTTCAAAAACGCCCGGTTTTCATGATTCAAATTTAGGAAAATGTGTAAAACTGATGTTCACAGATTGCCAGGAGTGTTTTTTAGTTGAAAAAAAGGTGCGCGCTAAAAAAATGCGACCTCTGGGGTCCTAAAATCAAGTCTTTGCATATTCTGTTCCATTCATTCCACCTCAGTTTTCATAAACTTTGAGTTATTATTTCGCAAGTTATTGGCCTAAAACTCTTCCGGATTTTATGGCAAAAAATTGATTTATGGACTAATAAAAATTTTTTGAAGGATAACATGCTGATTCACACCGAGTCCTTTGTGAACAGAGCCAAGATGTACAAGAAATACGCCTCCACGAATCCGAATCGCGACAATAATCGGGTGCTGCTGGAATGCGCTCAAAAATTGGCCAAGGAAGAAACGGAAAAACGCCAAATCTTGGAAGCGGCCAGCATTTTAGTGGGGTTAAAAAATTCAAAATCAGGGACGGGTAAAAACTAATTTTTTATTTGTTATTTTCTACTGTTTGTACATATCTGAGCTGTTAGAATACTAGATTTATATTGTTTTGTATTTATTTTTGAATAAAATGATTTTTTTCGATGAATTTTTGAGCTAAAAATCTCAAATAATAGAAAAAAGTTGAAGCCAAAAAATTTCGCATGTCTTCGGAAATTGTGTTGTAAATTTTCTCTCCAATTTTCTTCAAAATCGAAGAGCAAAAAATTAGAATTCCCAAAAAATTTTAATTATTTCTCAGAAAAATTGTAATTGAACTAACAGCCAGATTCTGTTGACTCCGAAATAATCCATTTTACCCCCTAGTATCTTCCCCATTCATCTCCGAAATTTTTTTTCTTCCGTCTGCTCGGCTCTTTTCTCTCTCAAAAAAGGGAAAAGAGCCCTTGAAAGGGGTAAAAGAGAAGATTTGCGGGGAAAGGGGAAACTGGGCTATTTCGAGGGATTCGCTCTTCTTTCAATGCGGTTTTCAAGCTGAATGCGAAATTTTTGAATGGATTTTTTTACTGACTCAAAATTATTTTATCTTCTGAGAGAGGATTTTTTCGACTTTTTAGTCTTTTTTTCAATTTTTTTGGATATTTGAAGTCGAAAATGGAAGCCCATCTGAAGAGGTCTTTCGCAATGTGAGCTTGGCGTTGGTCCTCGCGTTTTTGTTTACGGAGAAAGTAAATATTTCTCCGGTACAAGTTTGATGCAAAAACTAAAGTTTTTATGGGAAAATAAATTTCTTTTGGACAACTTTTTAAATTTGGATTAAACTTGGCAGAAATTTAGATTAAATTTCCTAATTTTTTTAATTTTTTAACTCGTACTTTGCAGAAATAACTGACAGGGGAAGTACTCCAAGTGCGACGCTCAGATTTTCTTTAAATTTTGCACACATGTTGGGTATGGACTAAATATCAATTCTTGAAAGTTTTAGCTTGCGCTTTGCGGGCACCGCCGAGATATCGAACGATTTTTGCCGCCGAGAGAGCACGCTAAACGTGGAGAGCGGTCAGAGAGAAAACACCTTTTTGGCCATAACTTTGGCAGTTTCGTGCGGAAAATTTTGATTTTTTGTAGAAACATTATCCTTTACGGTTGAAATAGGCATGAAACTTTTCGAGCCGAAATTCGGCAAAAAGTCCTAAATTTTGGCCGACTTTTGATCTAAAAATCTCGGTTGTTTCTGCAAAGCGCGAGCTAGAATTCTCGCATATATTTTAGAAAAAATTATTCTAAATTTGTGCCAAGTTTCATCAAAATCTGAGCGTCGCACTTCAAGTACTTCCCCTGTGAGATTTTGGAGAAAATTTTAAAAAATTATTTTTTTTGCGATTTTTTCTGGTGGCTTAAATTTTTTAGAGTTTATTAGAGGCGAGAAGAATAATATTTCTACAAAAACAACACTTTTTCATTTCGAAATTTGCAAAGACATAGGCAAAAAAAAATTTTTTTTGTCTGGTCGATCTCATCATTTTGCATGCTCTCTCAGCATTGCTCAATATCTCGGCCGCTAATCCAAAGTGTCAACAAAAATTTTCCGGAATTAATTTGTGATCTTTTTGAAGATTTTCTGTAAAATTTTTACAATTAAAATTTTTTTTTTTTTAAATTTTTTTTAAAATTTTTCTTACTGTTAGTTTATAAATAAATATCCCCAGAAATAATTGCGGTCCCTAAGCCCGTCCATTTGATCCGTACGCTTTCTTCGGCGTACTTTATTTGGGGTTGCCATGGTGAAAAAGCCGACGGATTTTACGTCGTCGCCCTGCGGGCATTTTTGTGTTTTCCTTTTTTAAAATCTACCTCGGAAACGGAATTGAGGGCGTAATTACTACAGAAGCTGTGTAAAGGGTGGGAAAATTATGATTAGGCTGCAAAAAAGGGTCAAGGAAATTGGTTGTCGGTGTGGAAAAGTTGCGAAAATTTTGAAAACCTTTCGTTGTAAGCATTGGAGAGGCTAGGAGAAGTCTTAGTTGGTAGAAATAATAAGATTGATCGGGTCCTGGGATAGCTTATCACCTATTTTGAGGTATTTTACATGTACTCACATCAATAATATCTAGATAAAAAGATTACTGATCTTTGTTTTTTGCCGCCAATTTTTGGTCTTTTATATGTTATAATAACTCAGGATAAAGAAAACTAATGTTAGTATTAGCTAAAATTAGAAAAAGTGGACATATTTCAAGTCTTCGCCAAGTCTCCGCCGAGCGTCCGCCGACCATCAACTGGCTTTGCCAGGCCTCTTAGGCACTTCCTACAACCTTTTTTGGGTATCCATCTGCTCTACGCCCCGTATCAATCAATTTTTTGTTAACCCGAACTGTCATCGACCCTGAAAAAATACCCACAAATTTTTAAGGCTAACAGGGGAAGTACCCCAAGTGCGACGCTCAGATTTTGATGAAACTTGGCAGAAATTTAGAATAATTTTATATAAGATATATGCGAGAATCCTAGCTCGCGCTTTGCAGAAACAACCGAGATTTTTAGATCAAAAGTCGGCGAAAATTTAGGACTTCTTACCGAATTTCGGCCCGAAAAGTTTCATGCCTATTTCTACCGTAAAGGATAATGTTTCTACAAAAAATCAAATTTTTCCGCACGAAACTGCCAAAGTTTTAGCCAAAAAGCGTTTTTCTCTCTGACCGCTCTCCACGTCTAGCGTCCTCTCTCTGCGGCATAAATCGTCCGATATCTCGGCGGCGCCCGTAAAGCGCGAGCTAAAACTTTCAAGAATTGATATTTAGTCCATACCCGACGTGTGTATAAAATTTAAAGAAAATCTGAGCGTCGCACTTGGGGTACTTCCCTTGTAAATCACAAAAAAAATTTTTGGAATTTTTTAAATTTTTGACCTAAGAACTTCTGCAAAGCAAAAGTTAAAATTAGGTTGTGTTTTTAAACCTTTGGTTTACATTATTGCCACTTTTCAGCAAAATCTGAGCCTCCCCCTCATGTGAATTTTTAGTGGTTTTTGTGTTTCTTGTGAGAAATTTTTTTTCAAGTTCCTGCAAAACCTTTCAACATGCCTGAAATAAAGTTTCTTGGCGAAGAAAACAACTCCTTAAGGCGTTGTCTTGGCAGTCCAAGAGAAGTTTTCCTAATTTCCAAAATTAATTTCTGTTCTGGGGCTTTCGAATTGAGTTCCCAGAGAAGTTACTTGCCTTCGACAAGATTAGTCGTTCTCACAAAGAGAGTGGTCCTCGATTTCCTTGCAAAAATTTGACTATACACCCCGAATTGTCCGTAGATTAATCCAGAAAAATTTAAGGTTTCGCTTTAGCTTCGAAGCCGAAATATTCAATAATGTTCTTCAGTTGCAATATTTTGGATCTGTTTTCTGAATTTTGGGCACACTTTGGGCAGAGGCCACATATTAATTCCTAAGATTTCTTGCTCGCGCTTTGCAAGTGGCGTCGAGAGATTGAACAATCTTTGCAGCCGAAAGAGTACGCTAAACGCGGAGAGCGGTCAGAGAGAAAAACACTTTTTGTCCATAACTTTGCTAGTTTCATTCGGAAAAAATTGATTTTTTTTGGGAACATTACTGTCTATGGTAGAAATAGGCACGAAACTTTTTGTGCCGAAATTCGGCAAAAAGCGTCAAAATTTCGCCGACTTTCGATCTAAAAATCTCGGTTGTTTCTGCAAAGCGCAAGCTAGGTTTCTCGCATATATTTTGGAAAAAATTATTCTAAATTTGTGCAAAGCGTCATCAAAATCTAAGCGTCGCATTTGGGGTACTTCCCATGCAAACCAAACTTGAAAAAATTTAAAAATTTTCGATCTTTTAAAATAAATAAGCATTTAAAAATTTATTTTTTCATTTTTCTGATTGACTTTATTTACTTTTACAAGGCAAAAAATCCTTGTTGCATACAGTTGCAAGCACTTATTCCCCCCTTTTCCCCCTTTTTTTTATTTTTCTCTCCTTTGAACCGTCCAGTTTTTTTCGCATTCTCCATCCAGTTTTTTTGGGTTCACCCAGATTTTGCAAAGGGGTTTGTGATGAGATGTTTCATTCGAGACGCTGTTTTCCTCCCTCCCGAATGCCACAAGACGCATGGAATTTATCTCGGCTCGACGTTTGGCGGCCATTTCACAGCCCAATTTAATCCGTTTCCCCTAAACATGACTAACCGACGTAAGCGCGGAGCGATTTCGCAATCTGTTTTTGAGTGATTTTTATTTTATTTTTTAAATTTAAATGATCGTGCTATCAGCGTATTTTACAAGCAAAAAGTGAATGAGTTTTTTATTGCCTATTGTCAAGACCTAAAAAATTTATTTTGCCAATAAATGTGCCGATGACCGATCAACATTAACAAAGTTTGGATTTCTGGGACCCTCAGGAGACCCAATTTAAACCCCGCGTCACTAAAATGCCCTCCGGCGGTCTTAATTTTTTGTTTCTTTTTTGTTTAGTCATTAGAAATGATGTGAGCCGGACCGAAAAGACTATTTCTGCTAATGCCTTAGGATAAAATAGATCAAAGTTTGCAAAATTTGAATTTCTGGAACTGTTACGGCTCACATTTTTTGGACATGTTATTCTTTCCCGCTACATTCCCTTAAGGCTTCGTTAAAAACAACGTTTTCCCTAGAATTTAGAATCCTTTCAATTTTGATTTTAACTATTGAAAACAGCCGGTATTTTTTTGAAAAACAGTTGCCGGGTGCCGTCAATCCATTCTAGATACAGTGGCAAAAGACGTACCATTTTTTTGTGCTCTGGATCTCGCCCTATTCCTACTAGCCTTCTAAAATCAAAATACGTACAGTGACTGGCCTGATCCAGTGGCGAAAAACGTACCATTTTGCATCCGGGAAGTATCAAAAATGTGGCAAAATGCCTCCCTCCCAAGTAGAAAAACCTCGTTTTGAAGGGGTCTCTCTCTCCTCACAAAAAGAACGGGCGCGATTTTGAAATAGGATTTTTATCACTTGGAGAGGGAGGTATTTTGCCACATTTTTTGATACTTCCTGGGTTCATAATGGTACATTATTTTGCCACTGGATCAGATCCCCACTGTACGGCCGGGCCGAATTATACGCTTGGTCAAGCGAAACAATTCATTTTTCAAGATTTTTGATGTGGTATTACGCTCATTATTTCCCCGCCAGACTGATTATGAGTTGAAAGGCGGTTTGAATAATTTGCAGTTGGTTCTGCGAGTCATTTCTCTATGCATTTGAAAGTATTGGCAAAAAAGATGCCTCTATTGTCTTTTTGGTGTGTCTCTTGATGTTCGCGATGTACAAGGAATGCATTTTCAAGGCTAATTTTAATTTTTTCACCCAAAAACAGATGATTTTTTGGGATACTATTTATAAAAATGATGTTTACAAATGGCCGGAGGGCATTTCAATGATAAAAATCTAAAAACTGAAAGGTGGAGTCCTTGGGGATTATGGAAATAAAACTTTTATCAATTTTGATCCAGTGTTTTTCAAGCTACTGGCAAAATAAATCTGTTAGTGTCAGCAGGGCTACAGTTGACGCAAAAATTATCGACCATGCTCGCGATTTACTCGGCGTTCTTTGGATTGCATTATTTTCATAAATCTCTGCCTTTCAGCACCCCACAACTATGCTAATACGACGATTGCCATAGACGTTGCAGTTAGGGTTTTAATTTTTAATCATCGCCATAAATGATGTCCACTTCACCTCAGTCGCAGCAGCCGGCCCAGCGGAGCTGCAAGATTACGACGGCCCCCATCGGGGAGCCCATCACGGAAGAGCAATTGAAGCTGAAGGATCATATTACGCCCGACGATGTGCTGCGATTACGGCGCATTACCGAGGGTGGGTCATTAGGACGAGTGGGGAGGGGAAACTAATTGTTTTTCCGGCAGGCAATCAAGAGGGAAGTGGTCCAAGTGCAACCCTCAGATTTTGATGAAACTTGGGACAAATTTAGAATAATTTTTTCTAAAATTTATGCGAGATTCCTAGCTCGCGCTTTGCAGAAACAACCGAGATTTTCAGATCGAAAGTTGGCGAAAATTTGGCACTTTTTGGTGAATTTCGGCACAAAAAGTTTCATGACTATTTCTACCAAAGAGGGCAATGTTTCCACAAAAAATCAATTTTTTCCGCGCGAAACTAGCAAAGTTATGGCCAAAAAGTGTTTTTCTCTCTGACCGCTCTCCGCGTTTGGTGTACTCTCTCGGCGGCAAAGGTTGTTCAATATCTCGGCGGCGCTTGCAAATTGCGAACTAAAACCCTCAGGAAATAATATGTGGCCTATGACCGACGTGTGAGCAAAATTTAAATAAAATCTGAGCGTCGCACTCTAAAAATCTCGGTTGTTTCTGCGAAATGCGAGCTAGGATTCTCGCATATAACTTAAAAAAAAAATATTCTAAATTTGTGCCAAGTTTCTTTAAAATCTGAGCGTCGCACTTGGGGAGACTTCCCTTCTCCTTGTATGGGGAAAAATTGAATTATACTCCCCGTACAATGTTTTGACCCCCCTCCTAACTCCGTCCAAAGTGTACTAATTCGGACCAAATTTGGTATGTAGTATACTCACAGGCTAGTAACAAAAAATAACATAGCTGGACCTACCTTATAGTTGAATATCAAAATCTAGGGGCAATTTTCAAAAATCACCTTAAAAAATCGAGGAAAAAGTTTTGACCCCCCTTAAAAAACTTTAGATATCGCCAACGGATGCCACGCAAACTTATTGTAATCGACGTCCCATACCTGAATACAGGTTAATATATGGTTTTCCGTTGAATGCTTTGTTGCATTTGAGTATTCAACGCGTTAAACCGTTTTTGATGTAGACCTGCCCAAAATTGTAAAAATCTTGCCCTAGCGCTTTCCTAGAGCTCTAAATTGGGTTTATATTATGTGCTTTAGACCTGTATTTACCTTCTCCTTTCAATAAAAGTGCATGGTGGCCTGGCGGTGTAGATTCGGCGGATACCCTCTTGTCATGCCCAGCCTTGGTGAGCCATTTGCTCTTTGACTCAAGGTTGAGATGTGGTCGTTAGGTCCTCAATGTAATCCTGAGACTCCTAGTTACTCTCAGTAATGTAAAATGTTTTGATTTGACACGTTTTGTAATGGGTTTCATTCACCTTAATCTTAAGTTTGCCGTTACTGTAGATCACCCCGAGTACTATTACATCCCCACCTCCCATTTGGCGTTTCATACGTCTCAAATGAGTATGGTGGGTGCTGTAGCGTCTTAAATTACCTGGTCCATCAAATGAAAGCCGTTTTTGGTGGCTAAAAATCCATTTGAAAAACGCGGGTTTTTCGTTAAGGTGCAGATCGGCGAAGTTGCGCCTGCAAACCATATGAGACCGTGTCAGCCGGAGTTTATTCTTTGTTTGAGAGTAACTAGGAGTCTCAGGATTACACTGAGGACCTAACGACCACATCTCAACCTTGAGTCAAAGAGCAAATGGCTCACCAAGGCTGGGCATGACAAGAGGGTATCTGCCGAATCTACACCGCCAGGCCACCATGCACTTTTATTGAAAGGAGAAGGTAAATACAGGTCTAAAGCACATAATATAAACCCAATTTAGAGCTCTAGGAAAGCGCTAGGGCAAGATTTTTACAATTTTGGGCAGGTCTACATCAAAAACGGTTTAACGCGTTGAATACTCAAATGCAACAAAGCATTCAACGGAAAACCATATATTAACCTGTATTCAGGTATGGGACGTCGATTACAATAAGTTTGCGTGGCATCCGTTGGCGATATCTAAAGTTTTTTAAGGGGGGTCAAAACTTTTTCCTCGATTTTTTAAGGTGATTTTTGAAAATTGCCCCTAGATTTTGATATTCAACTATAAGGTAGGTCCAGCTATGTTATTTTTTGTTACTAGCCTGTGAGTATACTACATACCAAATTTGGTCCGAATTAGTACACTTTGAACGGAGTTAGGAGGGGGGTCAAAACATTGTACGGGGAGTATATCAGTCTGTCGGGAAAATAACGGCGGATCGTCGCGTCAAAATGTCTTGCCTCGCCGCCATTCCCAGCCGCGGTTTAAAGTCGCAAAGCGATGATGGGCGATTCCGAGGCGCGACGATCCGCCGTTATTTTCCCGACAGACTAATATTGACTCAAAATTTGATCCCAACACGACCCACTTTCCAGGCTTTCTCTGCCGTTCCGAAGACAATGTCTACGACATTGAGTTCACGAAGTTCCGCATCCGCGACATTGACACCGACACAATTCTGTTCGAGATCAACAAGCCCACCCTGGAGGAGCTGAGTGCGCTCGAGGCCGAGGAAGACGATGAAGCCGACCTCAAAGAGGAGGAAAAAACGGACGAGGCTCCGCCATTCTCCCCGCGCTTCATCCGCTATTACTTTAAGCCTTCGTTTCTGCAGCTGAAGAACGTCGGCGCGACGATGGAGTTCAGTGTTGGCGATATGCCGGTGAACAAGTTCCGCATGATCGAGCGCCACTACTTCCGCGAAACGCTGCTGAAGTCGTTCGATTTTGAGTTCGGATTCTGCATCCCGCATTCCAAGAACACCTGCGAACATATTTATCATATTCCGCAGCTCAGCGACGAAATGAGTGAGTCTTTTGTGGGATAATTGGGATTTACTGTGTCAGCGGGGAGCTGGCAGAGTTCTTTGGCCAATATCTGGTTGAGGAGTGGATCAAAATGCTTTTTGGCCAAAAAATGGGAAGTAATTGAACAACCCACATAGAAATTATTGTTTTTGAATATCCAGTGACCCTTTCTTCGGTATAGAAGTTTTTTTAAACTAATACGTCCTACGGCAATCAGTAAACATGTCCCTTTTTCAATGGGACACCAGCAAAAGAGCAAAGCGTATAAAATTATAGGTAGCAGTTCGCCGGAGAGTTTTTTGGTTAAAAAAACGTTAATATTCCGAAAAGGGGTCCCTGTGGATCCCAAAAATACAATTCTTGTATTTTTGCTCCTCTATGTTACCAAGTTATTGACAAAAGAATTCTTCCAGGCCCGTCTCGCTGTCCACTTTTTCATTTTTCGAATGCAGTAGCTACAGTAGCCCGTTAACCCCAAATTTTATGGTTTGAGATACCCCGCAGTTTACGTGGGCGAGCATTAGTAATCGGTTTGCTATCTATAATAGACTGATAGAAAAACGATTACTAATGCGCAATTTCTCAATCAAAAACTTTTGATGACGCAATTAATGTGGCTGATAAGCTCTTGAGTTATCCTCAAAATTTCAGTGAAAGAGATGATCCAGAACCCGTTCGAGACGCGCTCGGACAGCTTCTACTTCGTGGACGACCGACTCATCATGCACAATAAGGCGGCATACGCGTATGACGCCAACGCCATGTAGCCCGTACATTAATTTTGTCTACTTGTCGATTTTAATGATCTCTGATAGTTTGATCTTTGTGTGTAGTGGTCTGCAGAAAGTTGTATATGCCAGGAATTTCAGTGGAAACCTAATTGCCAGTTAATAAACGGTTTATGACGGTCCAAAATTTTTGTGTTCATAAGGCAAAAGTAAAGTTTTTACAGTGATTTCTAAGGCATTACACTCGTCAAGGACTCAAAACCAAGCTTTATTTTGTAAAAGCAACTCAAATTACAGAGAATATTCACTCATTCCGCACCGACACATACGCTCCCCAAGTGTCCGGGAAGACCGGTCTCTTCTCGTCGTAAGTTGCGTCGTAGAACGTGGCCGTGGATCCGCCAAAACAGACGCCATTGTTCACGAAGAAGGGTACGCCGAGCACGAATGAGTTCCTGTAGATGTCGTCGTTTCTCTCCAACAGCAGCTCGCATTTCTTGTCATCGGGCTTGTCTCGGCGCAGCAACGCTTCGAACTGAATTTTGAATCGCTTTCCGTTAAGGCCAATCTCCAACTCCACTCTCTTATCGCAGTCCACAATATATTTCCCGGTCTCATTGACAGCGCCAACGGCGCTGACAACCCGGTCAAAGTAGATCAACGGCAGCCGGATCTTGGGGGAGCTGGTGTGAAAGGTCGCCATGTTGTATCGTTGGGTGACGTTGAATTCCGCGTCACCGATTTTGAAGGTGGTCGCGGGGACTCGCCAGTAGTTGTCCTGGTTGTAATAGTAACTCCCTTTGAGACGATCCTCGGCCACTCGGGCGCCGACTGCAACCACTGTCTGCTTGATCCTGCAATTGAGGATTAAGCGGGTGGAGAAGGGGAGATTTCAAATTTTGGACACGTTTCGGGCCTGTACAGGGTCTTTCAAAGAACGTGAAGGAAAGTTGGAGGCTATAACTTCCGGCGGAGGCGGCGCTGAGACTTCGTTTTTGGGATACAGCTATATCATAGGACCCAATATGTATGTATTACAGGACGCATGCAAGACGGAGTTTTCTATTTATTGGAAATTTACAAGCCGCTTAGGTTGAACCTGCTAAAACTCTCAGGAACGGGTCCAAATTCTCAGGCGACCCCCAAAAACAAAATACTAAGGGTTGTTGCAGAAATTCGAGCGTGTAAAATGACACACTAAACTTCCTAGGAAGAAATGGACGTCTTTCTGCCATGATTCTTCTTTTTTAATGGTAAAACTCGCGTCTCGACTTTTCGGGTCGGCTACAGTTCGGGTCATCACAAAATCGATCGATACGGGGCGCAGGGCAGGTGGATGCCCATAAAAAGGCTGTATGAAGTGTCTACGAGGTTTGGCAAAGCCGTTGGAGGATCGGCGGACGCTCAGCGAAGGCTCGGCGGAGACTTGCAATATGTCCATTTTTTAATTTTTAGCTATTACTAGGTTTCTTCACCCTGAGTTACTGTAACATATAGATGACCAAAATTTGCGACAAAAAGAGAAGATCCGTAACTTTATCTAAATATTATTGATGTGAGTACATGTAAAACATACCTCAAAACATTCCTACTAACTACGCCTTCTCCTAGCCTCTCTCATGCATACAACAACAAACCGAGGCGATCCATAGTGTCGTCGAACCGAACTGTCGCTGACCCGAAAGATCGCAGCGCCGTAAAACTCACTTTAAGTCGTCCGTAACACTTTGGTGCAGACACATTTGCGGATACCGGAACGACCTCACCAAAAAGTCCCCAACAGTCTTTCGATTATTCCGATTCTTCACAAAGCTCAGTCTTCCAGCTCTGAGCTTGCCATTGAACGCCGTCGTTCGATGCATTGCATTCCCTGCGCAAGTCGAATTGCGGACCAACCCAAAGTAGGCGTAGTGGTTTTTGTAGGGCAGTAGCGACATGTTATCTTGCGACATAACTCCACTCAGTCGACAGTAAGTTTTGCCATCTTGGAAACCGCTGCTGAAAAGGTAATCTCCGGCGCGATAGGTGCGCGACTTCTCCTCGTCGAAGGTGTAGTCTTCGCCCGCGAATCTCGCGAATCCCTTGGCTTGCCAGACGAATTCATCCGTTTCAATGGTGTCGATGATAAACGCGCGTGTAGCATTGTAGCCGGGGAAGGTTACGTTGATCGCGAAGTCGTTGATATAGCCGGAGGAAAGGGTAATGAAAAGGGCAAAAAAGTAGCAGGACTTCATGATTGCCAAGACTTTCTGGAAGAGTCTTTTGCTTTTATTCGAGGAGTGGGAGGTTTTCTGGGTTGTTGAACCCGCGTTATCTTCGTTGACATTCCTTGAACTTGCGTTGAAAGGTGTGGCCGGGAAGAATTGCGAAAATAAGATAATCGCCTCAAAGTTTTAAATTGCGTTTTGCAAAGGCCGATAAGTTTCAATGGCAAGAGCTCTTGCGAGAGAGAACGCGAAATTTGGAGAGTGGTCAGAGAGAAGACACTTTTTGACCATGGCTTCATACATATAACAGATTGTTTTAAAGACTTGCCGAATTTTATCAAATTTACCAACCTCTTCCGGCCACTCCCACCAGCCGGCTTATTGAACGGCGGAGAAGATAACAACAGATTGTGAGCACACTCGTGTTTTGTTACAAACTTGAGGTTCGTCGCCTTAAAATAGCGGCTAGCCCATCTATTCTTCGCCAATCATGAAGTCCTGTTTATTTTTGCCCTTCCTTTTTATCCTATGTCAGGGCTATATCAACGATTTTTATATTAATGTAACGTTCCCCGGCTACAACGCAACCCGTTCGTTTATTATCGATACAATCGGAGATGATGACTTTATCTGGCAGACCAAGGCGTACGGCGGAATAATCGGGGAGGAGAACACTTTTGATGAGAAGAAATCGAAGACTTACCATGGAGGCGGATACTACTTTAGGACTGATTTCGTGGGTAAGTTTGATTGCTGAGGGTTGACGGAATCTCTATTTTTTGGTCGAAGAAAAATGGCTCTCTCCAAAATTCGATATTTCCTTGACAAGAGACTCAAGATTTATTGCAAAGGTGTCCCCAGAAAGATGTCTGTAGAAGTCATGTTTCTTGAAAGACCCTGTAAATATCCCCCGTTTCAGATGGCGGCAAAAACTGCCGGATCGGTGGAATGATGTCCATAGACGACGTCTCCTTACTGCCTTACAAAAACTATAACGCCTACTTTGGGTTGGCTTATAATTCGACTTGTGGAGAGAATGCTCTGCATCGAACAACGGCCTTCAATGGGAAGGTTCGGGCTGGACGACTGAGTTTTAGGAAATTCGAAAACCCCAATCAACGCAAAGTTGGGCTTGCCTTGGTCGACACGTTCCCCCATAATTATCTTTGTCTGCATCAGAGTGTCACGGATGATTTGAAGTGAGTTATTAGGGCCGATTCAGAGACCTGGCTCGCAGCTGGTAATGCTCACAGAGAAAGTACTCAAATTGCAACGCTCAGACCTTGATGAAACTTGGCACAAATTTAGAGTAATTTTTCTAGCAATCAGGCATATGCGACACCCTTCGCACTTTGCAGAAATCACCGAGATTTTTAGTCAAAAAGTTTGAAAAAATATGATGCCTTTCTGTTAATTTTTACATCAAAAGTTTCATAGCTATTTCTACCGTAGAGGGTAATATCCACAAAAAAGATATGGCCGAAAAATGTTTCTTGCTCGGACCGCTCTCCGCATTTTACGCACTCTCTCGGCCGCAAAGATCATTGAATATCTCAGCTGCGCCTGTAAAGCGAGAGCTAAAACTTTCAAGACTTGATGTGTCGCCTATGCCCGGCTTATACGCAGAATTGAGAAAAAATCTGAGCGTCGCACTTAGAGTACTTCAGTTGTCAACATGAGCCGCTTTTATTTTGATGAAAATTTCCGCAGTCTCAAGGAATCCTAAGGGCGTATTGCAAAAAAACTTGCGTAAAACATTCAGAGAATCCTTGAAGGTCACATAAATTCAAGTCCTATGAAGTTCTTTCCATCATTTCCCATGCTATATTAGGCTTAGAGGTACAACCCTGCCGTTTTTTTGTTGTGTATTTCTCTTAGCTTACTTTGATCTGCTTTCAGAATCAGGCAAACTGCAGTGGCAGTTGGAGCAAAGGTTGCCAATAATCGCGTTATTGGGGAGATTCGTTACTACAAAGATTCGTACTGGCGAGTTCCGGCGACAACTTTGAAGATCGGCAAAACTGAATATGACGTGCAACCTTGGTCGAATCTTGCGACTTTCGACACCACCTCCGACAAGATCACCCTGCCCATAAAATATTTCGAGCTGGTGGCCAATGCAACGAACGCGGTCTACATCAACGAAACCAAGAAGTACATGGTGGATTGCGGTCAAGAAGTCGCTTTGGAGATTGGTCTCGACAAATTGCGGTTCAAAATCCAGCCCACGGCGCTTTTGCGGAGAGAAAAGGCGGATTACACGAAATGCGAGCTCCTCCTGAAGCCTGGGACCAGCCGGACCAGCAGCTACTTTACGCTTGGAGTGCCGTTCTTCGTCAACAACGGAGTGTGCTTTGGCCGATTGAGGATGATTTTTTATAACGCGAAATACGATCAAAACAAGCCTGTCTTCCCCGACACATGGGGAGCATATTTGTCGATTAGAAATGAATAAACTACGGTAGAAATTTATGCAGAGTGCGAGCTGGAAGACTGGTATGTGCCTTAGAAAACATTGTTCTACAGTGACGGACCTGATCCAGTGACAAAAAAGTATCCTTTTGCTTCCGGGAAGTATCAAAAATGTGGCAAAATGCCTCCCTCTCCAACTAAAAATACTCCGTTTTGAAGAGCTCACTCACAAAAAGAACGGGCGCGATTTTGAAATCGGAGTTTACTCCCTTGGAGAGGGAGGTATTTTGCCACATTTCTGATACTTCCCGGTACTTTATGGTACTTTTTTTGCCACTGGATCCTGTAAATTTGTGCAAAGTTTGATCAAAATCCGAGCGTCGCACTTGGAGTAGGTTCCCTGCAGTGCTTTGTAATTTCCGGGCCCCTTTTCGTTTCGCAGTTAGCATTTACTCGAATCAATTTATCATAAAAATGAGTCACAACTGTCGGGTCGAAAAAGGCATTTGAATATTACAGCGCTCCCTCCATATAAGGGCCGACGACCGAAAGTTTGGCCATTTCATTTGATCCGAGTTTCTGAACTTTTCCATTCTGCCAAACACGGGAATTTTGGCTCTGTTCACCTAAAATACGAGTGATGGCGTGAATGGGTTGAATTTCCTGGTGTTTGGATGTGTTGCGGGAAATCTCTGATATCTTTATTGGACAATACACAACTCCAATTATTACTTGTAGCAATGTAATTGGTGTCGTGTACTACCCTCAAAGGTCGTGGTGAAGTGTTGATATGAGTGTGTCTAGAGAAGAGGCAATATGTCAGTCTCGATAAGAGTCATGTAGCTCGTTTTTTGGCTGAACAAAAACATCTATGGACAAATTTTTTGAAATTGGCATTAACCGCATGTATAAGGTCAGAGATGGCTCGCAAAAAGCAGTACATGGATAAGATGCAATGGAATTCAATGCAATGAACTTTCTAGTACTATAGGCTACATGATGGAGTGAAATGCGGGTAGATGAGTTGAAAATCCGAGCCAGATTGGCCAAAAAATCGTCAGGGATAGGTATACACGGCCAAAAATATTGAAATAGTTGTCAAACCCAGCTAAATTTTTTTCACTAGCCGATTCCATGCGGTACTAGGTTCTTCGACATGCTGTTTCGAATGGCATTATCAGTTTTTGGATAGCTCTTGTCAAACCTTAGATATTGGCTTTGCGCGGCCAGCCATCAGAGTGCGAATGAAAAACGGGCTGCGTTTGGCCTTTTTTTGGTTAAAAAAATGGTTGAAGACTTCGAATTTAACTTCAAAACGCTTGTTAAATCCTCAGGAATTAATATGTGGCACAAGCAAAACTTGTGTTAAAAGTATAAGAGAATCCGAGCGTCACACTTTGGATCACTTCCCTAGCCCATTCAACGCAGGAAATTATAAGAAAAAATATCATTTATTCCTCTCAAACACCTTTAAAAGTCGAGACAAGAGCGTAGTGGTCAGACGGCCAATCATTATGCCAAACGTCCTGTGGTTTCGGCACGAAATCGCCGGCGTACGGCTCACTTGACACGGTCTTCAGCAAGCTGCTTTTGTAGAAAATCAAGTCGATTCGGTCTTGTGGTTCTGGGATGACATATTGAAAACCTTCGTAATCTGCGATCGTTTTCCACACCGTGGACCAGGTGTTGCCGGGGTGTTTAACCGGATCCGGATGCACCTCGCGGAACGAGTCGACAAGGCCGGTCGAGTTTTGAAGGATCTGAGTGGCCGGCCATTCAAAAGTGAAGCCGCGGGAAGGCCTGAAAATTGAAGAGAAGTCATCAAAATGGCTGAACATAATTTTGTACAAAAAAATTAACTTTGATCTTGTCTAGAAAATAATGAAACAACTTACAACGCCTCCTTTGTGTAATCGAGATGGGAAGGCGTGTTAAAATCGCCGACAACAAAGAGCGGCTCCGTTTCTGCGTTTGCCAAGGCGGCTTGGAAGCCCTCGCTAGCCAGAAGTTCCTGTATTCCCACGCTGCGACCTGCAATTTGCGTTTAGAAGGGAATTATGCCAAGTGCAACGCTCAGATTTTGGTTCAACTTGGCGCAAATTTAGATTATTCTTTTGTAGGACATACACGACACTCTTAGCACCGAGATTTTTAGATAGTGGGGACAAATGACAGATTTTTGTGTGAATTTTGGCATGAAAATTTGTATGTCTTCACCGGCCTATCTTCGCCAAAAAAATTAACTTTTTTCCATGCCAAACTGGCAAAAATATGGCCAAAAACTATTTTCCTTCCTGAGCCCTCCTCGTTTCGCGTACCCCTCCCCTCGCAATTTCGAAGAAAATCTGAGCGCTGAAATTGGAAGTCCTCCCTTGTCAGTATGTTAGCGTCTTACCGGTTATATTCCGCTCAATCTCGTCTAAGAACGTGAAATTGTTGAACGTTCGAAACAACGTCAAGTAAGGGCCGTACGATTTGTAATCCAGGTGTAAAGAGTACAATGTGGCTTTTCTGCCGTCGTCGAAAAGAATTTGGGCACCAACTGCTGAGCCGGTACGGACGATCGAGTCCCCGTTTATCTACAATTTTTCGGCGCTACGACTGTTCGGGTCAGCGACAGTTTGGGTCAACGATACTATGGATCGCCTCGGTTTGTCATTTTATGCATGGGCGAGGCTAGGGGAAGGCCTATACAGTGGGCGCCAAAATGATAGAGCCACTCAGTTTTTTTGGATTTATTCTTTTATGGTTAGGTGGGCCAAGCCGGCATAACGCATATATGCAATAACATGATAGACCTGCACTACGGCCACCATAACTTAGGTCTAGCCTGGCGCCAATCCAAAAAAAAAATCAAAAATTCGGACCTTCCCCCTCGGTCGACGCGTCAAAATGATAGAGCCACCGGATTTTTCTCCTCGGTGGTGGTAGGCGGGGATCTATTGGTACTGTAGTCTGTTAATATTAGTACTGCTATTCACTGCTGATGTGAAACGGTTACTGTAACTACCGGTCATACGGTAGCTTTTGGCAAATTTAGAAAATCTTCCAAATTTTGGGTAAAATTGACCGGAAATAAATTTTTCGACGGTTGTATCCGGATGGAAATACCTTCAAGAAATATTAGAAGGCCTATATTTTCTAACAGTAATTAATTTCCGTTGAAATCACATCGACCATAAACAAAGAATGATATTATATTACTTTAGTAGATGGACAGATTCTATAATAATGTCTATTGCTTATGTATGAGTCTGAGAAGCGGCCCCAGAACTTGTGGTACAATTGCAAAAGGACCATAGATTACTATAACAGGACCGAATTCAATAATTCCTTTATTCAAATTGCTAACGGTATTATGAAGTTTACCAAAGTTATACCCGAAAAAACGATATTTTGGTGACATGACTACCGTCAGAATATGATGGCTTCGGGTTTTGAAACGACGAGTGCGGATCTTTTTGTGCGTAACGCAGCATGATTAACTCAATAATAACGTAATGATAAACAACTACAGAGAAACTTTGGTGTAGTCATCTAGAGAACCAAAATTGCTTCTCTTGTGGCATTATTCCTAGGGTGTACGAGACTTTACAGCCTTTCCAGGTTAAACGGAAATATTCTATATCGTGTGTTGCAGTCTAGCAGGAAGTTTGTTTTTACCTCCATGTTCCCTCATTGGCATAAATGACATTATTATAGAATCTGTCCATCTGCTAAAGTACTATAATATAATTCTTAGTTTATGGTCGATGTGATTTTAACGGAAATTGATTACTGTTAGAAAATATAGGCCTTCTAATATGTTTTGAAGGTATTCCCACCCGGATACAACCGTCAAAAAATTTATTTCCGGTCAATTTTACCCAAAATTTGGAAGATTTTCTAAATTTGCCAAAAGCTACCGTATGACCGGTAGTTACAGTAACCGTTTCACATCAGCAGTGAATAGCAGTAGTAATATTAACAGACTACAGTACCAATAGATCCCCGCCTACCACCACCGAGGAGAAAAATCCGGTGGCTCTATCATTTGACGCGTCGACCGAGGGGGAAGGTCCGAATTTTTGATTTTTTTTTTGGATTGGCGCCAGGCTAGACCTAAGTTATGGTGGCCGTAGTGCAGGTCTATCATGATATTGCATATATGCGTTATGCCGGCTTGGCCCACCTAACCATAAAAGAATAAATCCAAAAAAACTGAGTGGCTCTATCATTTTGGCGCGCACTGTATAGTTAGTGGACATAATAAATAAGATTGATCGGGTCCTAGGGTAGCTTATCACCTATTTTTGAGGTATTTTACATGTACTCACATCAATAATATCTAGATAAAAGTTATGTATCTTCATTTTTTGCACCAAATTTTGGTCTTTTATATGTTATTTACAATAACTAAGAGTAAATAAAACTAACGTTAGTATTAGCTGAAATTAGAAAATGTGGACATATTGCAAGCCCTCGCCGAGCGTCCGCCGAGCCTCCGCCGAGCCCCGCCGAGCGTTTGCCGACCATCCAACGGCTTTGCCAGGCCTCGTAGGCACTTCCTGCTCCTGCAACCTTTTTTCTGGGTATCCACCTGCCCTATGCCCCGTATCGATCGATTTTGTGTTGACACAAACTGTCATATATATGAATATTACATAGACCCGAAAAGTCGGGACGCAACGGCAATTTTTATTGTTCAATTAGCCCATATACCTGGTGTTTTGTGAGCAATCCCCTATCACTATTTTCCACATGGACATACCACCAAACGCGACCGCTACTCCTGCTCAACGCATCTGCCATTTCCTGGATCTTTTCTCGGCTGCCAATCTCCTGATAATTCAATAGTCACACTCGACTCGCCTCACCTGCACACCCACAATATCCGGGTCGTTTTGCAAAATGTGTTTTGCAATCTTGTTGATGCCGTCGTCAACATTGGCGCCAGATTGCCATGTGTTGAATGTCATGATCGTCACCGACTTCCCTTGCCATAAGTTTGAAGCCGTTTTAGGGCTTTTGGAAGCAACAAAGTTAATCAGAAAACATACGAAGACGAGTTCGATCCAGATTTGCTTCATTTCCAAAATTTACACCACTCTTAATAAAAGGAAAATGAATAAATTATTTAGTTTTTTTTGTCATTTTATAGAACTCCTTGGCATTCCAGTCTAAATAACCTTGATGCAATTTCTGTAATGCAATTTCGATGAAAGGTTCCTTCAAAAACATTGCTTTGTAATTATAAGAGCAATGGTTTTGATCTGACACTTAAAGTTTAAAATTCGATGTCTTTAAAGGATCAGTTGAAATGTCAGAAAATGACTTTCTTTTTTAATACACCGCAGTCTGTATGAAGCAAATTTCATTGGGCAAAAGAGGCACCTGATCACAAAATGTCTACTACATATGAGTGAGCTTCAAGGTCAGTTATTGCCGATAGCTTATGACCTATTTTGAAGTACAGTGAGGGACCTGATACAGTGGCAAAAAACGTATCATTTTGCATCCGGGAAGAATCAAAAATGTGGCAAAATGCCTCCCTCCCCAACTAAAAAGAAACTGCGTTTTGAATTGCGCGCCCTTTTCTCTCACAAAAAGAGTGGGCGCGCTTTTAAAATCGGACTTTTTCTACTTGCAGAGGGAGGTATTTTGCTACATTTTTGATACTTCCCGGATGCAAAATGGTGCATTTTTTACCACTGAATCAGAACCCCGCCAATATCTAGACAAAAGTTACAGAGCATAATTTTTTGGATTAACTTATGGTTTTCTCCAATATTGTCAGTCCTCCGAGCCTTCTCCGAGCCTTCGCCGGACGTCCGCCGAGCATTCATCGGCTTTCACAATCCTCGTCGGCACCTCCAACCATCTTTTTTGGCTCTCCACCTACCCTACGCACAAAGCCGATCGATTTTGTGTGTCGATTATGTGTTGACCCAAAAGTCCATCGATTTCTTACCACAAAGAAGTGAAAAACGGCGAGATTTCATTCAAATTTTGAACACAAGTTTCCCATGGGTCGCTTATCAATTCCTGAAAATGCGAGCTCGAAACTTACAGGCAGGGCCGAGATATTCAGCGAGAATCTTCATGTCCAAAAAAAGAGTGGGCGGGATGCGGAGAGCAAGACAGAAAAACGGTTTAGGCCATATCTTGTCCTATTTTTTGCACTGAAAAAATTTTTTGTATGTAGAATAATCATCGAAGTTTAAGTACTTTCCTTAAAAAAACTACATTTTTCCTTCAAAAAAATACCGAATTCCCTCAAAAAAAGCATTCATTTATCATCAAATTTTCACAACTTTTCCTCGATATCGTTTTCCAAAAATCCCATTCGGTTGGACACGCACAATATTCTACGCTCATCAAAATGTCAAGCGACAGCGAAGCATCGAGCATGGGACGTTTGTTGTGGGACATGATCAAGGGGAACTACGACGGTCTGGTGCAAACAGGTGTAAGTCGCAAAAAATGGAATTTCTTGAGTCCCAAAGTTTGGACTGCCTTTAACTGTTGGACATACCATCCGCATAGGAGGCACGCCCTTTTCTAAAAATTGTAACTCATGGGTTGCAAAGTGAACCAAAATTTTCAACAACTTTGTAATGAAAAATAAGGAAAAAATCATTTTTTTGGTCTTAAAAAATTTACGCTATTTTTTCAAAATTTTTAAAAACAAAAAAAATTTTTTTATTTTTTTTAAATCTTGATAGAGTATTTTATATGTATTACATTTTTCAGACCCCTCCATTAACTCTAAAATCGGTCTCGGCCTCTGGCTTCGGTCTAATGCAATGTATCATGGCCCTAGAAGAGATCGGCGGGCAGAAAGTCCAAAAGGAGATCATCAAAGAAAAGAACCGTCTCCTCAACACCGCGGCCGACTGGGGGGACCTTTTGAGGGCCGTTGGGAATGAGATGGGACCGAAACGGAACATGGTCAAGTTGTTCTACAAACACGAACATGTCCTGCAAGCAACGCCGGAGAAAAACAATGACATTGCGAGGGCGGTGGGGGTGAATAGCTTTGAGCCGACGTTGCAGCCGCTGAATTTTGTGTCCGATCCCACTGGGAGGTACTTGAAGTATTTTATCGATAAGGAATATCAGGTAAAAAATTGGGGTATCCAAGTCAACTTTTCAAGTCAAAATGACGAAAAAAAAATTTCTTTTTTTTCTGCCACCTCTTTATTTTAGATTCTATTTTTTAGGTCAAAGCCAGGATCCCCGAAGTTGTCCCAGTCAACACGAGAATTCGATCGACTGCCCGATTGTTGGTGACCAATGGACTCGCCGTGGAATTGGATTGGGATTGTCCACTGGTCCCAGGAGAGGACAAGTTCTCCATCAAGCCAATGGCTAACGAACAAGACACTGTCAGGGTGGGTTTAAATTTTTCTTCTGCATATTTGCCGGACATACTGTAGATGGCTCAAAAATGAATTATCGAAAATTCCAACTCAAAATTCGCATCCGCAACGGAGATATTGCGAAAATTCGGGCCACCAGGATGCCAGGGTGGGGCATCTTTGTGGCCCGACTTGAATTGGCTATAACTTCTTTAGTTTTTGGCCAAATCTTAAAATTCTTTTTTTCCCTGAATCCTCAGACAACCCCATTTTGTTTGATACCAAATTTGTTATATATAGGTAAGTGTCATCTACAGTTATTGGATTTATTCTTGGAGTTCATTTTTTTTGGTCGAAATTTTTTGGGTTGTCTGAGGATTCAGGGAAAAAAAAGAATTTTAAGATTTGGCCAAAAACAAAAGAAGTTATAGCCAATTCAAATCGGGCCACAAAAGATGCCCACCCTGTAGTTTTTCGAGAGAGCACGTAAAATGAGGAGAGTCGGTCAGATGAAACGCGTTTTTGGCGTTTTTCTCTGCGGATTTGGCTCGAAAAAGAGTGATTTTTTGGAGGGAAATTTTACACGTAATTTTTGAACAGCTATGAGATTTTTAAAAAGTGAAAATCAAATATTTTTTTTTCATTTTTATTTATTTTTTTCTTGCAACTGTTACAGGTACCCACACTCGAATTGGCCAAAGATTGTGTCGATTTCCAGGTCAGTCCCGAGGTTTCAGCCATTTATTTCAATGGGAAAAATGCGAATGTCGAGGCTGTGGTGATTTATGTAAGTGGGGACAAGGAGCACGCTTTGCATATGCTGGATTATGAGACGATTGAGATGGCAATGGAAATGGGACGCCAGGTAAAAGAAGGTGTAAACAGATTTGATCAAAATCTGCCTTATTTTAGGGTCAGAAGGCCAGAATGACGTTGGTCTTGCCCCAGCCAAAGAGTGTGGAGCCAATCTCACTTCGCTTGGTCAACGCAAAAACAAAGTTGACCGGCGAAGGTCGACTCAAACGTGTTGCTATGAATTTGGTAAGCGAAATTCGGGGCATATCTCGAATTTTTAAAATTATTTTTTTAATAATAAAAACGATTTTTTTAATCAAAAAAAGTGATTTTTTTAATATTAAAAAATTTTTTTTTAATAATAAAAAGTATTTTTTAATAATCAAAATCGATTTTTTAATAATAAAAATTATTTTTTTAATAATAAAAACAATTTTTTTAATAATAAAAATCGATTTTTTTAATAATAAAAAAAAAATTTTAATAATAAAAAATATTTTGTTAATAAAAAATATTTTCTTAATAATAAAAAATTTTATTTTTGTTAATAAAAATATGCTTTTTCAGAAATCCCTATTCCGCCGTGGCAGAAAGGTCCGTTTTGGCCGATGTTTCTCCCCGAATAAGGCCGATTTCTGCCCATTCGAGACGAAAATGAATTTTGGAATGGAGAATGCGTTCCCATTGTACGACTTCTTCATGTACACACAATGCCATCCACATCTGGTGCAGGAAATCGACCGGTCGATTAAAATTAAATTCCCCAAAATTGAGAGGGAAGAGAAGAAATTGGAGACGAAAACGGCCCAGAATATCCGAGGAGAGGCCTTTTCTGGACACGTTTTCTTCTCCGGCGATGGGAAATTTGTCATCGCCGCGGAGGTAAGGGGATTTTTTGGAAGAAGAATGCTATTTATGGACTAAAAGTTTATTTTTAGGATAAAAAAATTAATTCAAATTGGACGAATCGTATTTTACAATTTTTTTTGCAGAAAAAGGCCGGCTCCGATGAGGCAGTTGATTTCAATAATGGCCTGAGGTCGATGTTGAAGAATAATCCGAGCGAAGAAACGTCCCAGACCGTGAAAAAAATTAAAAAGCCGCAAAAAGTCGGAGAAATGGGTTCAAATCGAATGGCAACTGCCGGCGATGCGGCTTCCCCTGCTCCCGTTGCTTCAGCTGTCCGTAAGTTGTGATTTTTTATATATGCTATGCCTTGTTTTGACTCTCCTATTTTTTTGGTTGAGCCTGAACTCTCCCCCTTTTTCAACTCTCCCCCAAAAAATCCGAACTCTCCCCTTTTTGGGACACTCCCCCATTTTAAAAATTGAAAAATTGGGAAAAATTAGGTGTGACATGTTATAAGATGGATTTTTTTTCACAATGAGAAAAATTAGGTGTGACAAAGTTTCCATCGTATAAGATGTCACACCTCATTTTTTCAATTTGAAAAAAAAATTTCATCGTATAACATGTCACACCTAATTTTTTCAACTTTCAAAATGAGGGGGAGAGTTAAAAAAGGGGGAGAGTTCTGCCGCAACGTTTTTTTTATTTTTTTATTTTTATTTTTTCAGCCGTGGCGAATCGAAAAGTGATTTCCTCGACCTACATCATGTACATCGTCTACCAGTCGCCAGAGGGTCCCATTATTCTTGAATTATCGTTGAATTCTTTGCTGTAAAACCGAGGGAATTTGTGGAAAAATTAAATTATTTTACTCTGTGATTTTGTTTGTCAACTGCCATGTTTTTTTTCAGAACTTCATTTTTGTACCCCTTGAATGAACCCTCCCCCTTTTTGAACACTCCCCCTCATTTTGAAAATTGAAAAAATGAGGTGTGACATGTTATACGATGAATTTTTTTTAGTAGAGGAAATTGGTCCCAGGTCCCACCTTATTCTTTTCAATTTGAAAAAATTTTCATCGTATAACATGTCACACCTCGTTTTTTCAATTTTCAAAATGGGGGGTGTTCAAAAAGGGAAGAGTTCAGATTTTTTGGTGAAAATCGAAAAAGGGGGAGAGTTCCGCCTTTTTTGGGGGAGAGTTGAAAAAGGGGGAGAGTTCAGATTGGGGCAGAGTTCAGAAAAAAGGGAGAGTTCAGGCTCAACCATTTTTTTATTTATTCCATTATTTTCCAGTATGAGAAATCTTAATTAAGAGAAATAGCTGCTAATAAAAATGTAAATCAATGTGATTTTGTCTTGAATTTGTTTAACTCCCCTCATTATTCGCATTTTTCCCTAAAATTTTTAACAAAATTTTCAAACAAAGTCATCATGTTTTCATTTTTTCTTCTACTCATTTTTGCCAATTTCCCGCATAAAACGAACGCTGAAGTTGGCGGCGTCCTCAACGTCGCTACACTGCACACTTGGCAGATGGGGAAGAACGTGAACGACCCGGTCCGAAAGCTGGGCGATATGTACCGCAAAGGCGGTCTGAACATCTTGGCGTTGCAAGACGTGGGGGGCGGACATGACACTCTGGTCCAGGTGCTGGATTATATCAACAACAAGTCGCATGAGGACGTTGTTCAGGCCTACCATTATCAGGGAAACAGCTGCGCTATCATAACCGATCTTGAGGTGGTCGGTGTGAAGGATGTGACCGAAAAAGATGGACTGTTTTATTCCCTGGGCCTTCAGTTGGCCACGTATATCACGGATGAAATTGATAAGTTTTAATTCATCGAAAAAAATTAATGGCTCTTGTTGCTCAAATATCTCCGATGATTGATGCGAATTTTGAGTTGTAATTTTCAATAATTAATTTTTGGGCTATCTACAGTATGTCCGCCAAATAAGCAGGAAATTAAAAAAACTGCTATGGATCGCTTCGGTTCCTTGTTGTATGTATGAGAGAGGCCAGGAGAAGGCTTAGTTAGTAAAAATAATAAGATTGATTGGGTCCTAGGGTAGATTATCACCTATTTTGAGGTATTTTACATGTACTCACATCAATAATCTCTAGATAAAACTTACGGATCTTCGTTTTTTGCCGCAAATTTTGGTTTTTTATATGTTACAAAAACTCAGGGTAAAGCAAACTAACGTTAATAATAGCCAAAATTAGAAAAAGTAGACATATTGCAAGCCTCCGCCGAGCCTTCGTCCGAACGTCCTCCGACCATCCAACGGATTTGCCAGGCCTCGTAGGCACCTCCTAGCACCTTTTTTTGGCTCTCCGCCTGCCCTAGGCCTCGCGTCGGTTGCTTTTGTGTTGACTCCAACTGTCGTCGACCCGAAAAAACGGGACGCGATTTGGGTCTCTTGCACTGAAAATTTGATCTTAATTGGCAGGAAAGCCGTTGAAAAAATTTGCTGAGATTTTGATAAAGCAACAAATTTAAGCATAAATTATTATACAAATAAAGTTTCCTAAATCTTCGCAATTTTACTACAATAGATTGGGCTGTGCTTTAACAGACGGGATTTTTAGTCCGAAAGTTGACGGAAATTTTTCACTTTTTTCGTAAGAAGTTTCTTTCATGACCATTTCTACCGTAGGCGGGAATGTTTCCACAAAATATAGATTTTTTTATTTCAAAATCGTCTGGCTTTTTGAGGAAATGGCCTAAACTTATCACAATTGTCATCGAAATCTGTGTTTCGCACAAAAAGGCGTAAAAACCAATGACTTTTTTCTATTTTAAGCGAATACCAAAAACGCCTCATCAATTTCTACTGTGTTCATTTGGATAATCAGTAAGTTGGAGCACCACAAAAGTCAATATTTTTATTCCTTTTTTCCAGGCATTACGGCCCTTACAAAGCCTTGTTTGACGGCGCCAGCACCGCGGATATTCTGGGCAATGAGGAGTTTCGCAAGCAACGAATGGACTTGTTTTTGTATTCCGACTCCATCCAAAATGATCTCCTCCGCTTGGGAGACGAGGGCTTGATCATTGCGGGCAATTTTTATTCACCCTCTCATCTTGATTGGACTGAAGCGACAAAGTGAGAGATTTGTAAATATTATTGTTCTAACAAGGGGGTACCCCAAGTACGACGCTCAGATTTTCACTACATTTTTCACACATGTCGAGCATAAACTAAATATCAATTGCTGAAAGTTTTAGCCCGCGCTTTACAAGCGCCGCTGAGATATTCAACGATCTTTGCCGCCGAGAGAGTACGCTAAACGCGGAGAGCGGTCAGAGAGAAAAACAATTTTTGGCCATAACTTTGTTAGCTCCGTGCGGAAAAAATTCATTTTTTGTGGAAACATTACCCTTTACGGCAGAAATAGGGAGGCAATTTTTTGTGCCGAAATTCGACAAAAAGTCTTAAATTTTCGTCGACTTTCGATCTAAAAATCTCTGTGGTTTCTGCAAAGCGCGAGCTAAGATTCTCGCATAAATTTTAGAAAAAATTATTCTAAATTTGTGCCAAGTTTCATCAAAGTCTGAGGGTTGCACTTGGGGTACTTCCCTTGTTAGCCTGCAGTTTACATGGGCAGCCGAAATAGTCAACGATCAAAGAAAGAGTGGGCGAAATGCGGAGAACGGTCACAGAGAAACCTTTCTTGCCCATATTTTTGCCAATTTCGCATGTAAAAAGGTCGATATTTTGGTGAAAAAAATGCGTTTTAAATCGACTCCGACATTTTGAAGCAAAAAATAAAGGAAAAAGTTTGAAATTTTTTGATTTTTCGGCATGAAATTCTCGATGATTTCTGCAAATCACAAGCTAAAAATGTTTTCTGTAAAGTCAGCTCAAGTTTCATAAAAGATCGCAAAATTCGAGCACCTCCCTTTTTTGTGGTACCTCCTTTATACACTGCCCTTCAGATCCAAGCACAAAGACTACGTCATTCCTTGGCCTGCAACGAAGTTGCTTCAAGAAAAAACCCTGATGAAAGACGCTTTTCGTGAGCTCAACCCCGATCCAATGGCTGCTCCAGGCGAGACATGGTCGACGGTCTACAAATACAACGACGATTACAGCAAGGACGAGCCCCAGGAGCGATTGGACTTTGTTTTTTATCGAGGGTTTAGTCTGAAGGTTCACGAAATGGCTCCGTACTCCGGCGAGACTCCGCTCAAACCCTATCCGAATGTCAAAGACAACGAATGGATTTCTCATTCTGCCGCCTTGGCTGGGAGCTTTATTGTTTCGTAAAAAAATTTTATTAATTTCAAATTTTAACGGCATTTTGATTATAAGGAAATAAAAAATTTGATGCTAAAAACAGTTTGAGACCAAAATAATCCTCTATACAACAATTTCAATTGTATATTATGTAGTATTTTCATAAAGCATCAAAAATCTCCTCCATTTCTTACCCCTTCTCTCTCTGAAAACCATTTCCAAGAGAGAAACAGCAACGTCTCTTTTAGTTCAGTGGTAGCGCTCCCGCTTCTCGCGAAAGAGGAGAGGGGTTCGACTCCCGCTGAGTGCGATGACTGTCAGAAATGACTTTCGTTCTTCTGCATGAACACTGAAGATAACCTTTATATACTGCTGAGCACGTTTTGCATTTTTTGCAATTGACTAATTTGTTTGTTTGTTCGCAGTTAGAAAAAAAGCAAAGATGACATTTTTTATTTTAAGTTTCAGTAAACATGAATTTCAAACGTATATTGATGGAAATGTCTAAAACATGATACTGAGATGGCTGTCGTATCTTAATTTACTTGAGTAACCATTCTTCATAATGAAAAACATCAACACATTTGTTAATCCCAAGTCCCGATGCGGAAGATTGAAATGCCAGAATTTCTTGGCATTGTGTTTTATGTTCCTCAACCGAAGAATTCTTGTTCCTCAAATTTGCAAAGACTTGCTACACTGATTGTCATTAGGTTACAGTCAATCTATGCGTTTTGATTGTATTAGGATATTGTTTTAGACATGACAAACACAGATTTCCCACGTGGTGGAGAGTTAAAGCCATTGGAGAACAAACGGCCAACCGGAACAAAAAGAAAGGCTACAGACGATGTGGAAGAGGTATGTTCTTCTTGTTACTCGTTTATTGTCTTAAGGATGTATAATTTTTCACTTTTCAGCCATCCAAGAAACGCGTAGTTGATGAACAATACGCTGATGTTTTTATTCAAAAATTGAAGAAAGAGCTCTTCACAACAGACGTTCGTGGCTTGGGAATAGTGCGAGAAGTAAGATGGACGCTTGTTTTTTCATTTTCTTTTAGATTAAAGATACGGAGATCATATTGGAGGCGGCTAGCGGGCTCTCCGTGAAAGTTCCCGTAAAACAGATGCCAAAGCTTTTTGTCAAGAGCTTTGGTGAGGTCGAATTGTCGGATGTGTACCAACTGGGGCAGTCGTTGGCGTTCAAGATTGAAAAAGCAGCTGGAAAGGCTAAAAGTGAGTGTTTTCATTATTCCTTTTGTTCTTCGGAAGGAGAAGATTGAAATTTTCTGTGTTTAGACGAAAAAGCATTGGCGTCGATTGATCCAGCTGTAGTTAACAGTCATATCGTCTCTGGAGCGCTGAAAAACGCCTTGGTGCTGAACGGAACTATCCAGTCTTTGGAGGGGAAAGGAGCTGTTGTTGATCTTGGTATTGGAAAAACAAATGGATTCGTCCAAACCGCTGATGTCCCGGACGCCTTCAAACCGTTGAAAGTGGGCCAAGTCCTTCTGTTTCGAGTCCGAAAGACCTCCAAAAAAGCAGAAAGAGTCGCTCAATTATCAGCTTTTGCCGATTCGGACACTTATGCGGAAGACGGCTTGGATCAAAATCAACTTTTGCCAGGAACTATTATTTTGTCAGAGCCGGAAAAGGTTGTTTCGACTGGCTTGTTCGTTAAGCTCAGTGACAGTAAGGTTTTCTTCTTTTGTTTTCTTGGTTTAGGTAGAGCAAAAAATCATTATATTACTTTAGATGTCCGTGCCTTCGTTCACAAGTCAAATCTCCCGCCCAGAATCCGACTAGACCCTTCTCGACTTGGCAAATCGTTGAGAGTTATCGTTACTTCCATTTTGCCAAACTCACCCCTTTTCACGTTGACCGCTCATCCGGATATAATCTCCACGAGTAATCCAGCCAAGAAGATTCTCAGGGACGAACATAAAGTTGGATCGATGGTTGAAGCGACAGCGTATGATGTCGACAAACTTGGCAATGTCTACTTTTATCTGGGTGATGCGGAGAAGCCAGAATTCGTTACAGCCAAAGCTTTCCCCACCGGATTTGATGATTACGAAAATGAAGGTAGGTGCTTTTAAAATTGGATTTTTATGATTTTAGTCTCGGAATTTGGCAAAGGAACAACCCACGAAATGAAGGTTATTGGCTATCAATGGCTGGAGCGAAGTCTGATATTGTCGAACAAAAAGGATGTCAAGAAACAAACTGTTTTGGAGATGAAGAACATGGAACCGGGCCGTCGAGTCGTTGGATTCGTTAAAAGTGTGAAACCTAAGGGTGTTATGGTCCGATTTGGAGCAAAAGGGGAGACAGAAGTTGTGGGATTCGTCCAGGCGGAGCATGTTTTTGACAAGAAGCAAAAGGATTGGATGCAATCGGTTGAAGTAATTATACTTGAGATCAGATTTTTATTCTTGATTTTATAAAAATTTTTAATGTAATTTCATTACAGATTGGCCAAAGAATGACTTGCCGAGTCTTGTTCTACGATTCGGAAAAGGAAAGGCTCTTTTTGACCGCCCGCCCGTCTCTGGTCAACTCCAATTTGCCAATCGTCAATGAATTTAGCAAAAAGTTTATTGGAGAAGTCACAATGGGGCAATTGTTGAAGAAAATGAGCTCAGGCGCTTTCCTAGTCGCATTTTACAACAAAGTGTGCGGATTGCTACCAGCACCGGAAGTCAGAATGTTCCCGGAAAAGCTGGATGTTAACCATGTTGTAAAATGTCGAATTCAAAAAGTTGACGAAGCAAATGAGAGAATTTTGCTGAGTTTGGGAGAGGAGAATGCAGCGAAAAGAGAACGGGAGATCAAGAAAGAAGAAGCGGTAAGTAAATTTATATTGTAGAACTTTGAAGTTTAGGCACTGAAAGCAAAAGAAGATGCGAAGAATGCAAAGAAGGCGGAGAGAATCAAGCAGAAGGAGGCTGTCAAGGAAGCGAAGAGGGAGAAAAAGGAGAAACGTGTGAAGAAACAGCAGGCTACACTTGATTGGGATATGGGAGAGTTCTCAATGCAAAATCTCTCAAAAGTTGGAAAAAATGGAGACGATATTGAAGTTAAAGAAGAGGATGATAAGGAAATAAAAGAAGAGGATGTTGAAGAAGAAGGTAAAAATACAATCTTTGAAGTTTTATCACCTCATTTTTGACACTAAAAATGACCATTTAGATTATGATGAAGGTGAAGCTGATGCTCGAAAGAAACGGTTTGAAGAAGCTGTGGCAGAGAACCCTGCAGACTTTGACCGACTTTTGACAATGTCTCCCAATTCCTCCGAGCTCTGGATCAAGTAAGTTGACTTCAATATTATTGATGTTGGTCTTTAGGTATATGACTCTGTTTGCAAGTCAAGGAAAGCTGAAGGAGGCCCGTGATATTGTCAAAAGAGCTCTTGAAGCCATCAACTACAGAGAACAGCAAGAACTTTTCAACGTGTGGACGGCATCTCTGAATTTGGAGCTGATTTTTGGAACGCCGGAGACCTTCAAACAAGTTTTTGAAAAGGCCACTGTCTCCATGGACGCATTGAAAGTCCACCGGAAAGTGATTGACATCTACAAACATCACAAAAAGACCACAGTAAGTGCGCTTGAAAGATGATTGATGGTGTTGTTTAGGAAGCATTGGAGTTATATGATCAGATGATGAAGAAATTCAAACATGATGATATTGAACTCTGGTTTGAGTATGCCCACTTTTTGTACGAGACGGAGAACGCGGACAAGGCCCGGAATTTGATGAAACGAGCGCTGGATTCGCAGCCCAAGAAGCATCATGTCTCGATTATGTCCAGATTCGCCCAACTCGAATATAAAAATGGAGATGCGGAGAAAGGAAAGACAATCTTCGAGAAAGTGCTGTCCACATACCCAAAGAAACTCGACGTATGGCATGTGTACGTGGACCTATCTCTGAAGTATGATGGAATCAGTGAAGCCAGGAGGATCTTCGAAAGATTCGTCCAAAATTCGGAAGTCCCATTGCAAAAGAAGAACTCAATGATCAAGAAATGGATCGAAATGGAGAAGACACATGGCGACGCGGACACGCTAGCACAGGCGAAGAAAATTGTTGGCGATTTGATGGGAAAGGATGAGTCGGAATCGGACGAGGAATAAAAGTCGATATTATTGTTGTTGTTATATCTTTTGAATCATATTCTTGTTTTCGTTGACGTTTTCATGCTTATTCTTTGTTATTGTTGATAAATACATAAGTTTTCATCTGTTTGATCAGTTAAAAATCACTTCCCAACCTAGTACAACACTTTATCCCAAATGGAGAATAAGTTTTTCAACTGTGGAATGGAATCGGTCGGACAAGTGAAACAACTAAACTGGGGATTTAATGCAATCTAGACGGGAATGGTTTAGGCGCTCTTTCCTTGGGCTTCCAGCTTCTTTCTCAAGGACTCGGGCATCTCTGGTGGTGGGGGACGAGGCAGGTTGAAGGCCACCTTCACCGAGTCGTAGATGAACCATTGAAGAGCGGTCAGGGTTCCGATCATAATGATACGAGGCAACAGTCCACCCCATACTCCTGAAAAGGTATTTTCAATTAACATTGTGCATGACGAACTCGGTATCTAAAGGCAGAAAACAAATAGGAAATAACTTACCAACTGGACCCAACTTCTTCAAAATATCGACGGCGGAAGCATTAGCGTCCTGGTTCAATTTGGAGACGACAGTATCAGCGGGATGCGAGACGACGGCACAGAAGACTCCAGCAATATATCCAGCGACGAAAGTCACCAAAAGCTGCTCGCTCTTGGAGCATTCGTTTCTTGGCTTGGGAACGACATGCTTGTACAAAAGCTCGACGGTTCTTTCGAAGCAAGCGAACTTCATCATCGTGTAGGGGATCTGACGAAGCCAGAGTGGGGGAAGTCCCTTGTAGAAGCCGGTGAGACCCTCGTTCTTGTAGATGAATGGAACGCATCCTCTCAGGGTTGGTGGAGCACCAGGAGCGGTTTGAATACGGACCTTGGTGGCTTCCATGGGAGCCAACAACATGTCGGCGAAGAATTCGGCCGAAGCGGAGGCAGCCAAATAGAGGGTGGTTCTCCATTGGTAGGTCAATTCGGGGCCAATGGCATCGGAATAGACGATCTTGAACAGCTCGTAGAATCCGAATTTGCCGAGACCTTGCAGAGAGTATCCAATGGCAGTTGGGGCCCATCCCTTGGCCAAGGCGCGGACTCCTTCTTCAGAAACGGTCGTACGGAACCCACCGAAGATTCCCTTGTACTTCTCGGGGTTGACCTGAAAGAATTGGACTTCAAATACCAATATTGCACTATTCGTCAGCCAAAGAAATTCGAAAAATAATAACACCGCAGAAAACTTCAATCACTCGTTGTTATGCCTAAAAACAAACAAACTAATCAAAGGGCCTACCTGAATACGGCATTTGATCAAATCCAAAGGAACGATGGCGGTGTGAGTGATACCACAAGAAAGGATTCCACCGAATCCGCAGAGAGCGTAGTATTTTCCACTTCCAAACTCCACTTCATCCTTGTTTCCACCAGCGCACTGAGCAGTCTTGGGGAGTCCGAAAGGGTTGACCTTTACGTTTCCGTTAGAAAGTTCTTGAACGAGACCTGGAATCAAGAAAAATAGAGGACTTGATTTTCCATTCCCCCAAACCCATAAAAAATAGGTAAGCTGGGCAGAATAAGACCCAAAAATTAGAAAAATAGGAAAGAAACATACCCATTTTGCTGTTTGATGCTCAATTCCACCAACCGAACACCTGAAACACAACCAAAAATGAAAAATGGTCCGACAGCGAGCGAATCCAAAGTACGCGACGGGCGCTCAAGGTGAAAGTAAAACATAGATATAAGAAGCAAAAAAAAAGAATATTCTGGAAGGTCGGACTAGACTTCCATTTTCGGCATAGAATTTACAGTTGAACTACAATACTCATCAAAAAATGAATAAGTATATTCAAAAACGCGATAATATATGCAAGAAACCACAGAACGAAGTAAAAAACGACCCGTCTCGGGAGCGAGACAGCCATGTTTAGAAGTCGGCCTACCTAAATTGGAGAAGATCAGAAAGGATGGGCGCAGCTCGCCGACAATACTTTCTGATGGAATTCTGCGGAATTGGTTTTCTGAGAGCCCGCAGCTTCGGATCCTGATTGTGAGAGTAAAATTGGAAGACTTGGAATTAGACCTCGGGCTATCAAAGCTATCTTGGCCGTGGCCTCAGAATATATGAAACATGCATGTGACGGAGCGCTCTCACTTTGGCACAGAAGTCATCTTGTAAAGGTTCATACCCGGCATTGCTGAAAAAATATATTAGAGTAAAAATAGGACAAAAACAGCACAACAAGGCTATGTATGAGGCTTGCAGTCTTGAGGCGTTTAAAACAAGCTTCGCAAGAAAGTCTGGCAACCACAAAATAGGGGTGGCACATTTTTGCCAAGTTGTTACGGGGCTCAATTCCGCATACTGAGTACACTAATTAGTGCACTAACAAAACAAAAATTTTTGGCATTCTTATTTTTTCGAGATTCGGCTTACTCTGGGCATACTGTACTTTTACCGCAAGTTTTGTATCGCAAAAACTAGACGTTCCAGAAAGTCGGGAGTAGTTCGGATGGATTGGTATTGTCATTCTGAGCAAGTAACTTGTTGACAACTTTTTTCTAAAGTTTTGCCCGAGGCCAGAAAAATTGATTTTTTCGATCCGTAGTTACAGTAATCCAGATTTCTCAAAAATTTTTCAAATTTTGGCGCTTTTTTTAGAAGTGTTTTCCATTACCGTTCGAACAAGCCTATGCGAACGCCTGTAGAATATCTCCTGGTGCAGAACCAGCCGTCTAAAGCTTGCATGTACCGAAAATGTGTCATTCTGACATAGTCAAAAAACGGGTTAGAAACTATATTTTTTCATGTTTCTGCCACTTCTCTTAAGACAATGGTAACTATTCACAATACGTACATGTATATACGTACATGTGCATGTTTTTATTTTTATCTCTGGTTTTTCACCTCCGTCCAAGAATAGTTCGTTGCCAACAAAGAAGGTACAAATCTCTTCCTAAAATAACGCACTATTCTTTGCAAGAAAACAGTATTGTGCTGGAACGACTCCGACAACATCTCGTCGTCCGTGACTAACATAATTTCCATTTTATTCGATTTGAACCGTATTTTCGGCAGTACAATTGTTATGTCAAAATGGTGGCCTTATTAAATGGGGCGTCATAAAGACAATGGCACTTGCGGATGTTTTCGAATTCTCAAGAGTTTCGCATTGTACGGCAGACACGTTTTGTGGCTGTTGCTTTTGTTCTTGAAGGTGGGATGGCTGCTTTGTGGGGCTTATCATCATTTCAGACTGTAATTTGCCCCGATTTAGGGGTAACCGACATTTGCGGAGACTCAGTGGGGATGGGTTCTGTTTTTTTTCACAATCAGATGCAATGCCATAGAAATGTTTCATATATTTGTATACCACTACGTAAGAGCCTTTTCTTACATTATACTTCCGTTATAACGAGGGAATTTCTCATGGTGAATTCACAAAAAAAAATGTCCAACTTTGGCCAACATTCCGGCTAAAAATTTCTAGTTTCTGCCACGCGGTGGTTATGAATAGGGAATATTTCTCGAAAACGTAACTCAATAATAAATTTACGTCTCACTTTTGGCACTTGGCCCTGTTAATTTGTCTCCTCCAGGTACGCAGGCCCCGTGAAATCTTGCCTTGCCTTTTCCGCTTTCCACTTGAGGAGACTCCCCTTTATTTCAACCTGTCATTAATTTTTAAATTACAACTCTCGTACTTGAAGGTCCGTGCTTTCGCAGAACACTTCTAATTCGGTACATGGCTTGTTTTTTTGATGACTTCTGGAATTGAAAAATACGGAAGCGAGAGGTGGTTGTGTTTGTAGGAGCCTTGTTTCAGAATTTACAGTAGTTTGGAGCTGAAATGGCCAATTGTTTTTGTTTTATTTGTATTTATTTGAGCGTGAAAGATGTTTATGGCCAATAACTTAGGAAATAATGGATCAACATTGCCAAAGATTTAATTTTGGGGAACTAACAGCACTCTATGTCTCATCTTTGATGTTCTTGTCGTAATATCTCCTCAGCGGGCTTTTGAAATCTTAAAATTTTGGCCTATTTAGTCAAGTTTTCAAGAATCAATGTCGCCTAGGCCCAAGCTGTGTGAAAATTTATATGCACACTTGCGGCCAACCACTTTGCGGGCACATGAAAGTGCACAAACTTTGTGGTAATATCTTTTCACCTTGCGAAAAAAAACCACTTGATTCGAAAACTAAAGACTTGAAGATCCCAAAATTATAATTTTTGTAAAATTTAGTCTATTATTTCCCAAGTTCTGGCCGAAATATATACAATATAAATCTTGCACTTCATGCTCAACGAACCAATCAATTTTCCCATTTCAGGAAATTTTCTGTGAAATGCAGGAAGTCCTCGAAGACGCTTGTCGCATTCGCTTTTTGTTAAACCAAGGGAAACTGAACTTTGTGAACTACACATTTATCGCTCTTGAAGTTGCTGTTATATTCGTCACGCTTGCAACAAACAGTTTGTTGGTGATTGCTGTGAGGAAGACAAGCTTACTGAATACGTTGGTCAAATGCCTGGTAACGAACAAATGGATTGCGCTGATCAGTTATCTGCCAACAAGGTGGGAGCTAATTACAATTTGAGTCTTTTTTGTGAGGGGTTTCATGAATGCGTTCCAACTTTTCGGGTAGGTGACAGTTCGGGTCATCACAAAATCTATTGATACGGGGCGTAGGGCAGGTGGATACCCAAAAAAGACTGCCGAAAGTGCCTACGAGGCCTGGCAAAGCCGTTGGATGGTCGGCTGATGCTCGGTGAAGGCTCGGCGGAGGCTTGGCGAAGACTTTCAATATGTCCACTTTTTCTAATTTTAGCTGTTACTAACGTTAGTTTTCTTTATCCTGAATTATTGTAACATACAAGAGACCAAAATTTGCGGCAAAAAACGAAGATCCGTAACTTTTATCTAGACATTATTGATGTGAGTACATGTAAAGTACCTCAAAATAGATGATAAGCTATCCTGGGACCCGATGAATCTTGTTATTTCAACTAACTAAGCCTTCTCCTAGCCTCTCCAATGCTTACAACGAAAGGTTTTCAAATTTTTCGCAACTTTTCCGCACCGACAACTAATTTCCTTGACCCTTTTTTGCAGCCTAATCATAATTTTCCCACCCTTTACACAGCTTCTGTAGTAATTACGCCCTCAATTCCGAAAAGTCGTAGCGCCTTCATGCAAATTCTCTGACCACTCTCTGAATTTCTTGTATTCTCTCGCCGCCAAAGACTGCTGAATATCCTAAGCTCGACATGCGACGCGCGGGTTAGAATTTTTAGAGAGTGATAAACGGCCTAGTGTCGAGTTGTACGCAAAGTTTAAAGAAACCATGAGAGTTTCAATTTGAGATGCTACTCTTTTAAAATGACAAGTTGGTGTCGTCAAAAAAACTGTGTTTTTCCTCGAGCTATTTATTATTCAAGATTTTCAGGCTTTTCACCTTGGCCGGATACCTTGGATATGAGCTACCACGCCTAACAAACATGCTGATTATTGCATTCCACTTTGTATGTTACCAAACCCTTTACACTGGAGTTCCATTCAGTGCCATTGCAGTGCAATGTTTTTCGTTCGGGTGGTTTAGAAGTCGACAGAGTACGGTGGTGATATGCATTATAACAGTCGTATTGACCTGGACATCGGCCGCTTTCTTGGCATTGCATCCGAATATTGGTAATGCGAGCTTTTTTTTCTTTTTTCTGTTTTTTTACAAAAATTTAATTGATTTCAGACCTTCTTGGGCCCGCATTTACATTTTACGGGCCTCTTGTCAGTATTGTGCTTAGTATCGGGGTAAGTTTAGGGTCAGGATTATGATCAAAACCTTTGACAGATTTGCTACCGTGTCATGAAAATGCACCACAAGAATTACAGGGTTGATGCCGTTGGAAATGTAGCGAGAAAAACTGATGTAAGTCTTTAAACCGAAGCACAATGCCAGATGAAACTTGGCATAAATTCAGAATAATATTAGGTTGGATAATAAGTTATGACCATAATTTTTTAAAATTCCTAAAATTTTAATGATGCTTTTTTCCGAGTTGAATAGCATACCGCTGGGTAGGGTGGAGACAGTAGGTTACAGGAACAGGAAACTTTTGCAATAAAATGGTCATAACATATTATCCAACCTAATATTTTCTAAAGTATATGCGAGAGTCCTGGCTCGCGCTTTGCAGAAACAACCGGGATTTTTCGATCGAAAGATGGCGAAGATTTGACACTTTTTTCCGAATTTTCGGCACAAAAATTTTCATGCCTATTTCTACCAAATACGATAATTTTTTCACAAAAAATCAATTTTTTCCGCACGAAACTAGCAAAGTTATGGCCAAAAAATGTTTTTCTCTCTGACCGCTCTCCGCGTTTAGCCCACTCTCTCGTCGTTTTCAGGTGAGCGTCAACATCCGCAGTCTCCGACTGCTGACTACCGTATGCCTGGTGACTACAGCACGTATGCTGGCTTCCATCATCGTTTTGTACATCGTTTTTCAGACTTTGCTTTTGCAGCGGTGAGTTGCAAGTCTTTTCCGTCTTATTCGCACTTCCAGAAAAGACCTCGACAATGCTCTACGATTGGAGCATTTCCATTACATTGTATTTGAGGCCATCGAGGCGCTGTTGGCTCTTTATTTGATTGGCACTGAGCCAAGTCTGAAAAAAGCTTTCATGTGAGTTGCAGACGCTTCCGCAAGGCTTACAATGAAAATTTAAGGCAGTTATTTTACAGACAGCCCACACGATCGAGTGGACGGATGCAGAATGTCTTGGGGGATCAGATCTACACGGCGAACAGATCAGAAGATCACTTTATACAGCTGAACGGGCAATGGCAAACAAATAATCTCAAATCGAAATGATTACAGGGTGAAAACAGTGTTGGTTGGACGGCTTTAGAGAGAAAAGGTATGACACACTTTGACAACCACAAAAGATACAGCAATTTTTAAAATGGACGTATATCCTGCAGAATAGGCGTCGGTGTTCCGCACAGGCCGCTCATCAGGTCTCTGTTGCTGCATTAGGACATTTAGGCGCGAAAACTTTTCAAATTTCCCTGCGGGAATGTCTGCGCTGACCCGGCAACTTCAAGCAACCATATGTCCGCAACTTCTGCAGCTAGCAAACAATTTTTGTAGTGAGTATGTTCGCATAACGTAGTAGTTTCATGCCATGGGTACCTTTTTCCGATAAACGTTCCCAAGCCGAGAAAAATCGAAGAAAGAAGATGTCCATTCTTTTTTGAATCACCCTGTACTTTTGTCCAACACTGTAGGATAGAGAACACTTTTTCTGTCGACTACTCGGAGTATAGAGGACCAAAAGTAACAGAAATTAAATTTTTAGTTGCCGCAGTGACTCTGTTTTTTCACCCCGAGCAATGACATATCTTGGATCCTAAAAAATATAGTTTTTGAAAATTCCAAAAAGTAAGGCCTCTTAGGGTCGCAAAAGTTCATTTTTTCTAAATTTTGTTTCATTATTTACCAATTGTTAAGCATAAGATATACTGTTCAATTAGATGGAACGTAAATTTGCGGTTTCGAAAGGTATCGTATTTGCGAGAACTACAAGTTACATGTGCGGAACAAGCATATGTAACTTGTAGATTGCTCGTGGGTACGTCTGTTTAGAAATGTAGTCCACGGAGGCATCGTTTTTCGAGAGATTGCTGCCACTTGTTGTTTTGCATGTTCTCTGTCGACCGAGATTTTATATATAGGATCCACAAGGGAAGTGTTGGAAGCATCCTAAATGCTGTCCTCCAATTTTCTTTACATTTAACATGGAGGTTGTGTATTGGCCGTATAGAAAACCCGTGCATGTTTGAGCTCGCGGTTTGTAGGGGAAGATGAGATTCTCGGCCATATTTGGCGATGAGAGACTGCGCGATATGCGGAGAGTGGGCAGAGAAAAACGGGAGCTTTTCGGCCAAAAGAGAGACATTTAGCGGCGCGCGGAATGCTTTCTGGATACAAGTAGAAACGCTCTTTATCAATGGATCATGTCTTGCGTTGTAAGGCGGAAATTTTGTTTGGATAAACTTGCAAAAAAGTACTGAATTTTACCAGACTTTCGGACCCAAAATTTCGGTTGCAGTAACGTCGTATGTATCAAAAATTTTAGTACAAACTTGAGTCGAGTTTTGTTAAAGTTCGAACGCCGCACTTCGAACACTTTAATAGAACAAAACTTCTGCTTCCCGCTCTATTCTTCCATTACTTTTGCCTTTTATAGACCATGGGCGATCTAATCAGCACTTGTGTTGCCCGCCTAAGGGAGTTCCAGTTGTCCTGGGAGCCCAAGGAATACGATAAAATTGACCTGGCCTTGTTTATTTTGGAGATGATGGCCATCGGTTATGGGATGTTTACATACTTAATGTTGATGATTCTGGTGCTACGAACACGACTCATAAACGTGCTCACAAAGACTGTGATTGTGAATAAATGGATTAGTTTCAATGGCTATTTGACAAGCAGGTAAGGGGAAGAGAGTTGGCAGGACCGTGGAAACTTTTTATACAGCCGTGGAACTTTTTATACAGAATAAATCCAATAACTGTATTTGACACTTACTATGTATAACATATTTTTGGTATCAAACAAAATGGGGTTGTCTGAGGATTCAGGGAAAAAAATAATTTTGAGATTTGGCCAAAAACTAAAGAGGTTATAGCCAATTCAAATCGGGCCACAAAGATGCCCCACCCTGTACTAAAAAAGGAGTTGCTCAAGGCGAAAACACAGAGGTTCCACAGTTTGCTGAAGACCTTCAAAGCCTTCTAAAAATGCTGTTTCTTCAGGTTATTCATTATTATGTTTCCAACGTTGGGTCTTCCGGACGTGATTCGAATGATATTGCTTCTTGTTTTGTTCATCACATTCCAAAGTTACTACACTTCCGTGATCTATGTAGCGGTTATCACACGACTTTGTGTGTCATTCCCTTTTTTGTTCAGAGGGATAAGACTTATCATCGCTACAGTTCTTGTCATTCTGGGCGTGTGGCTCTCGGCAATACTCTTCGTTGGCTGTATTACTTTGTGTAAGTTTTCGAGGTCGTGAAAAATTGTAGCGTCGGTTGTGATTAGTTTTATTGCAGGTTTAAATTACCATTTTTGATGAGTTTTATTTCAGACCCGCAGTTTGGCATGGACATCTCCGTTTTTCATTTTTCAGCTATAATAACCAGTCTTGCGGTAAGTGGGTCCTTAAATTATCATTTATTAGAATAAGGCGTGAGTTGAGACGCTCCGATTTTCCTAAAACGTGGGGTAATTTAAGATTAATTTAGATGGAATTTTTTTTTTTGAATACATGTAAAATACTCCAAAATAGGAGATCTATTCTAGGACCCAATTATTCCTTTTATTTCTTTTTCAATCGCATGTCTTGATGAAAACCGCTCCCGCGTTTGCTTCGTTCGCCGCGTCTTTTCTTTATTTCTCTGCGCAAAGAAACCTCTTCTCTCTCGCCTCAATGCCGTACCCATTTCTTTTCCGATTGCCTTTCCTGACCCCTTCCTCTCCTCCACGACTCATAAACTTACCTGGCTGGGAGAGCGGCACGATCAAGAAGGTGTCGCCTCCACGGTGAGGCCCTCCCATTGCACTTTGGGGACGGGTTGACCTGTGTGGCAGCTCCGAGTTGGGGTTGGCCAACAGCTAAATTTTTGCGTTTGGAGTCTCCGGACTCCCTATATTTATAAACTCAGAGATTTATCATTAAGAACATGCCATAAAAGCAAGCATTTTGTATCCAATTTAATTTGACCTTCAGATTTGTCACAAAATCCTAAATCAGAGCTCATTGGAGTACCGAATTAATGCCGTTGGGGATCTCAAAAGAAAACATGAGGTGAGCATTTCAAACAACCAACAAAGACGATGTTATTGTTTGCTATAATTACAACACGTTTCTCAAATGCTTTCAGGCGTCGGTGAACATTAGAAGCGTCCGAATCCTCTCGATAGTGAGCGTCGTTACCACATTTTACACGACATTCTCGCTCTCACTGATTTATGGGATGATCTTCTTTGACGTAAAGTGCGACATATATCATTTTACTGACGTTACGATAACTGCACATCTATTTAATCTAAACTAGTTTAGATCGGAATTCGCTAGCGTGAAGCTCCCACGGATCAACAATATTATATTCGATGTTGTTGAAGGCTCCCTGGCGGCGTATCTTGTCCTAAAAGAACCTGCCTTGAGGCATAATTCCAGGCAGGTTTCTCCAGCATTTTATTTGATCCGACTTCAGGATCTTCCGTCATTTTACGTCGGTGAAAAACGTGCTTGGTGTCCAAATCTACACGGAGAATAACGCCAACGATCATTTCAATCAGTTGCAGAAACAGTGGATGAATTGGACATGAATGAGCAGGAATTTTAGACGGTTAGGCACACACTACAGCAAGCTGTAGATCTCATCTCAGGATAGGAATTTTGATTTCAGTGATTTCGAAAAATAAATCGAGTCTTTAATTCTAAACGACGTCTTTCAGGTTAGGTATTTTGCCCAAATTTTTACATGCGGGTTTTAGCAGCTTTTCAGCAAGGCGAGAGATTGCAATTTCGTACGGTCTAGGGAAAAAAATTAATCCAAATTTTCAAGCTTCGGCATGACCTACAGTAGCGGACCTGATTCAGTGGCAAAAAACGTTCCATTTTGCATCCGGGAAGCATCAAAAATGTGGCAAAATACCTCCCTTTCCAAGTGAAAAAACATCGTTTTGAAGGGCTCCCTCACAAAAAGAGCGGGCGCGCAAAAAATCGGAGTTTTTTCACTTGGAGAGGGAGGTGTTTTGCCACATTTTTGATACTTTCCGGGTGCAAAATGGCACGTTTTTGCCACTGCATCAACCCGGCACTGCAAGTGTTGCTCTTTGATCATCCCGTGCGATTTTTTAAGCGCGAAATTTACTGTACAATCATTGAACAATTAATTTTTGAGTTCAAAAACACAATTCTGTTCTACGAAGCGCAAAATACAAGGCTTTCATCACAGCAGCACAAAATTGCGGAACTGAGGCACTTCTGTTGTTTGTGGCCCCATTTTTGTACTACACAGTTCTTAGAAGTGAAGAAAAGCAGACAGCCCAAACTATGTTCTCAGATTTAGAAAGACACGTATTATAAGAAGTAATGTTACATGGTCTAATTTCATCCAAAATAAAATCAATTACTTCTGCAATAACTTCTGGGAGTACAAGGCAGTAATTTCTTTGTTTATTCGATTAACATTCTGTAAAATCTAGACAACAGCCAACGGAAGATTCCTTGTACAATTTAATGTATTATACATTGCTTTCAAATTTCACGGTTTCCTCATTCCGGTAGAACGATGCAAAAAGGCTGCTGACTTTATGGGAAGGTGTCAGCCGGGCTTTGAAGACTTCTTTTGCGAATAACTTGAGATAATAGTATATCATACTGTATGAAAGGTTACAAAACTGGCATTTAAAAAGTCATTCAACTCCAGCTGCTCCTCAAAGCGCTGAATTGAAGAGAGAAAAAGAAATTGATCCAGAGAAGCTAGGATTATCTTATATGTATATACACAATGCATCATAACGCTGTCCCGTTTAATTGCTGTAGAATCTAGTAGAATCCTTTCTGTTCAAATCCCTCTTCATTCATGAAGTTTCCGTCGATACGATCGACTTGGCCATCGAAGGAATCATCGTCTTGCTGATTGGCGTATTTCCGCATTCTCTTTCCACTTTGCAACATGACGGATCGGGTGACGGAACGGACCAACCAAGTCATGTTCAACGCGGTGACAGTCATCTGGAAATCATAGAGGGTAGATTAAGCATGAATGAAAAATGATTTTTTGCGGGGTTTTTTGGAAGTTTCATGTCAACCGATGTACTAAAGGTATATCATTTTATTTGGGGAAGTGCTCAAAGTACAACTGTCAGATTTTAATGGAACTGGGCACAAATTGAGATTACGCTTTTCTACGACAAACGCAAGATCTTTATCCTGCGCTTGAAGGATGATCGATATTTTGAGGACGAAAAAATTTTTTGGCGATTTTGTTAGAAGCTTTTTTGAAGGTACCCTAAATTTTTTTTGAATTTTTAACCCCACTTCTACTAAAGATGACGTTTCAAAGAATTATTTCGTCGTGAAACTGGCTATGGTAAAAACTTTTTTCTTTCTGACCGCTCTCCGCATTTTGCGAAGTCTCTAGGCTGTAAAGACCGTTGAATATCTTGGCCCTCTCTATCAAACCCAAGCTAAATCTTTCAACAATTGAAATATAGTCTAGACAGGCCACGTGGGCCAAATGTTGAGAAAATCTGAGCGTCTTCCCTCAACCCTCCCAACTTACAGTTCAAGTTCAAGAAGCGTCGTATCGACGGAAGAATGTGATGACTGAAACTAAAGGCCCTCGTTTATAAACCATTTAGAATGCCCTTTCAAATATTTTACATCCCAGTTGGTCACAATAATGTCTAATGTTAATTAACGGCGTTAACTCGAATGTGGAGTGTTTTCGTTACACACTTGACCTTAATATTTGTTTAAGATGACAAATTAAGCGATTTTGTCTAATTTGATTTCCTCTTTGTGCTCTTTGATTATGACGATGTCTAAATCAAAGAACAGGGTTCTGTGGTCTGTGTGGTCGATAGAACTTAAAAATATTGGTCGAGCAAGGATTGGTCTCTAATCAGCTAAAGCCGAAGATAAAACAAGGAAAAAATCACAAAAATTAAGGTTTTATTCCTTTGAAATCTTGCATAGAGACTCTTTATACATTGTATATCAATTACTGAAAGTCTTAGCTCATAAGTTTCATCAACAACAGAGATACAATCTTTTGTCAAGAGATCACGCAAAATGGAGAGACTCGGCCAGGCGAAAAAAGTCTTTCCGTAATACCTTTTCGAATTCCTTTCGGAAAAAGAAGATTTTTACAAGAAATGTTACACAACCCAACTGTAATAGACGCTTCCAGAGCTCTAGAATTTTTTTGCTCGAAATAAAAAATGGTCGATTTTTTTGTTCAAATATATATAAAATTGTCGATAACCTGCTTAATTACAATTTCCAAGACGATTTTTTTAATTACAAGACCTTTTCAGGCCTTTCTCCGTCATTTTCAGTCATTCTCTTTTACCGTCTTCAGCACGTCGAAAAAACCGATAATTATCGTTGCGAAATGCCACAAATAAAAAAAATATTTTTTTTTCGGAAATCCCGGGTTTTCGAGGTTTCCCGGATGAAAACGTGGCCGTAATTGGCTATGTAGAGGACTGTTTACATATTGGTGCTCAGTATCATTATTTTTTATACGATTTTTATCGGTTCAACGAGAGGAAAACGGCCTTTTTGCTCGGGAAATGGGAACAAAAGAGGGGTTGCGTGGCAATGGATTTTGTGGTGTAGCCGTCGAATTCAGACGTTTTGTGGGAACTGTTTCGGTGCAAAATTAGAGGGAGCTACTTGTTTTTTTTCAGAATATTTTATTTTCAGATTTTTGATTTCAGAAAATTTTTGAAATTTTTTGATTTTGAGATTTTTAGGGTAAAATAAGGTCGATAAGATGCTGCTGATTTCTTCCGAATGTTCCATTTCTGGCTGGAAAATCTTTGGAAGATGTTTTTTTTATTTAAAAAAATTTTTTGATATTTTTGATATTGTTTTGATACTAAAACAATATCAGATTGATGCTAATTGGGCTTATTATGGCCACTGCTTCCGGTCATTGGATTTTCAAACAATTTATTTGAGAAAAATTCAGGACTTTACATTTTTTCTGAACATTTCGAGATTTGTTACCTAAAAAATCCTAAAATAAGGTTAAATGATCATTTCAACGCCGCGTTTTGTTTCTGATACAGTTCACTTAATCTAAAATGCAGTTTGAGATTGATTTTCCATGATTAAACTTGCAAAATGCTTGGCCGGAAACAGAGATTTCCCTTTTTTCGGGGGGTTTCAAACGTTTGCCACGTTTTTCTCTCGTTTTTCGCTACAGTTTGACAAAAGCGGATGGTTTTACGTATAAAACGTTTGAGATTCCTTGTGATTTGGCCGTTTCAGCTTTCGAATTTTTCGGCTTTCCCCCATATTTCGATGAATTTTATATTATTCCAGATCCAAAAATGGCTCTCTCTTCTTGGGCTCGTTTCCTCCGACCGAAACGGAATACGGGAAGGAACTTGTATATAATAGTCCTTTGTTTAATGGTGGTTACGTATTTATACACCACCAAACACGAGGACAGTCGGCAAGACTTGAGGGAGAATCTGGTTCAGGTGGAGGAGAAGAAGAAATGGGAACTTTATGGTGAGATTTTTGGATTAGAAAAATATGAAAAGTGGTGGCTCTGTGATTTTCATGGAATATGGGACAAATTTGGCTACCTTTCATTATGGCAGATCGGGTATCGGGCCAATATTTATAACTAATGTTAGTTTTCAGACCAAAAAACGAAAATCGAGAATTTTCGGCCTAAACATTTCCAGACTTGTTTGGAAATTTAAACCTAAATTTGTCGCAACCTTTCGTTTGGGGCAGATTTCATTTGGCAGACCGGGTGCCGGGCCAATATTTATATCCAATGTTGCAAAATTGGTTGACTAGCTAGCCAAGGGGGTTGCTCTGTGTTCACACCGGAATATCGGCCTCTCATGACCAAGCTCACGACCTAGGTCGTGACCGAGGTCAAGGAGGTTGCCTAAAATTATCCGAAAACGGTCTCAATGCTTGACTATGATGGTCAAGACACCTTCTTTTTAGGTCAGCTCGATTTTTGGCACTTCAGATAGGTCAGGTCACAACCACGCTGATTATGGTCACGACCTTGGTGGTGAGCTTGGTGACGACCTGACGTAAGGAAAGTGTTTTTTGATGTTCAAGCCACTTTCTTTAGGTCGGGTTGTCATCAAGCTCGCAACCTGGGTCGTGACCATAATCAGTGTGGTTGTGACCTGACCTACCTGAAGTGCTAAAAAATCGAGCTGACCTAAAAGAAAGTGTCTTGACCATCATAGTCAAGCATTGAGACCGTTTTCGGGTAATTTTAGGCAACCTCCTTGACCTTGGTTACGACCTAGGTCGTGAGCTTAGTCATGAGAGACCGATCGTCCGGTGTGAACACAGAGTAACCTCCTTGGCTAGCACAGTTATCCAATTTTGGAACACTGGATATAAATATTGGCCCGACACTCGGTCTGCCCAAAGAAATCTGCCTCTAATGAAAGTTGCGACAAATTTAGGTTGAAATTTCTGAAGGAGCCTGGAAATTTTTAGACCGAAAATTCTCGATTTTTAGTCTGAAACCGAAAATCGAAAGTACTTCTTTTCGAAGTTTTAGGTACCTCTTCTTTTATTTTTAGTCGTTTTCAGATGGCCAAGACCCGTTTGCCGACTTGAAAGACCGACCGAAGAAGGATTGGGAGGACCAAAGCCGGGTTATTTCGGATGCTCAAAGATCCGGACCTGGAGAACAATCGATCCCAATCATTCTCTCGGATGAAACGGAAGAGCACAAGAAAGAACGAGTGAGTTTTTGATTTAATTTTGGATGGTTTTCGAAAAAGAAGATGCATTTTTTTTCCATTTTTAGAAAAAAATCTTCCTGGACAATGGCTTTGACGCCGTGTTTAGCGACATGATCTCGCTTGACCGGGCCGTCAAAGACTTGCGTCATCCACAGTGCAAGGACCTCCGATACATCGATAAACTCCCCAGTGTCTCCGTCATCGTCCCTTATCATAATGAGGTGGGAAAATAATGTGATCTCTGAGGGCCTTGGAAATTTAATTTTTTAAATTTTGATCCATTGTTTTCGGAGTTACCGCCGATATAAAGATTTTAGTTATATCTAGCTGGGTTTTGCTGTTTTTTGAATTTGGTTTGCTGAAATTTGGAGTATTATTTTTCAGCATAATACGACCCTTCTCCGCACGGTGCATTCGATAATAAACAAGTCTCCGAAGGAAGTGCTCCATGAGATCATTTTGGTGGACGATGACAGCGATCGCGCATATTTGATGGCTCCGTTGGATGATTATTTGAAATCTAGAGGCTTGGACAAGCTAGTCAAGGTTATAAGGCCAGGGTATGTTGGACTTGACCTTTCTTTTGAGATTTTCTTATTTTAGGACATAAATTTTTTTGGTATTTATTATTTTTTTGCTTCAGAAAGCGTCATGGATTGATTAGAGCGCGTCAAATTGGAGCAGAACACGCGACTGGAGAGATCCTGATCTTCTTGGATTCGCATTCAGAAGCAATGCCCAACTGGATCCCACCGCTTGTGGAGCCGATTGTCATGGATTATAAGTGAGTTTTGGATGAAAAGAACGTTTGTTTTTGTCAGCCTAATTTGAAAGGTTTATTTGGTTAATAATTTGGGAAACAAAAGAGCAATGTTTGAGCAAGATATACGTTTGGGATTTCTATTGTTTGGCATGGAAATTTTTGTTAAATTATTATTTTTTGTTATAAAAAGTATGGTGCCAAAAATGGGGGTTTTTTTGGGAATCCCAGAAATGTAATTTTTGTCAATGTTGACTCATTTTTTCAAGTTATTAGCGAAAAAAGTCTTCCAGGCTCGTCTGACCTTCCATTAATAATATTAAGAGTATAATTTATAGAACAGTGGTTTGCCCGTTTATCGATGTGATCGACTGCAACACGTTTGATATTCGACCTCAAGATCAAGGAATGAGAGGGTCTTTCGCATGGAACTTTGATTACAAACGCCTTCCATTGCGCCCAAAAGACCAAAAATTGCCCACAGACCCGTTCGAAAGCCCGGTTATGGCCGGCGGATACTTTGCAATCAGCGCGAAATGGTTCTGGGAACTTGGCGGATACGATGAAAAGCTGGACATCTGGGGTGGAGAACAGTATGAACTCAGTTTTAAGGTAGTTTGTATACTTGTTTTGGGGGTTCTGGGGAATTATGAGTTGGAAATTTGAAGTCGAATAGGTCTGGACGATTTTTTTTTTTTTTTTTTTTTTTTTTATTTTTTTATTTGGGAATAAGGGATTACAAGTTGAAAAGCTTGATTTTTTTAAGCCGAAAAATGGAGCCCTTGAGCTCCTAGACATGTGACTTTTGTAAATTTTGATCCATTATTTTCCAAGTTTTTAGCAAAAAAATTGCCACACCCGGCCATCCCCGTTTAGGTATTTATGATAAATTTTAAACATATATTGTAGGTGTGGCAATGCCACGGCCGTATGATCGACGCCCCCTGCTCTCGAGTCGGCCATATTTATCGCTGCAAACGGCATGGCGAAGCGACTCCCTTCGGATTTGGCGACTACCTGTCCCGGAATTACCGAAGAGTCGCCGACGTCTGGATGGACGAATACAAAGTTCACTTGTTCAAACGACGACCCGGAATCGAAAGCGCCAAACCGGGAGACCTGAGCAAAATGTTGGCAATCCGCGAGAAATTACAATGCAAATCGTTCGATTGGTTCATGAAGAATGTCGCCGACGATCAGGACTTTTATTACCCGGCGGTCGAGCCAGAACCCTCAGCGAATGGTGAGAGAATTGGAGTCGGGAATGATGGTGTCTGGTTTAGGTACGGTGAAGAACATTGGCAATGGAAAATGCCTCGATGCCCTGTATCATTCGGACGGAGAACGGGTCGTGATCAATCAGTGTGGTCCAGGAGAACAGGTGAGGACTTTTGAGTTCAGAATTTGGCGATTTTCGGGAAGCAGAGAGCTCAAACGGGAACTGGGACGATTGGGGAAAAGTATGATTGGGAAACCGAAAAGTATTATTTTTCTTCGATGCAAATGTCGAAATTACGATAATCGGGGATGCTGATTTAGAAAATGACATTCGTTTTTTTGATTGTTACTTTTTTCCTTAAGTAGTACTGTAAAGTAGTAATTTTTTGAATTTTTTTCATAAATACTCGATGTAGGGGTTTTCGAGGGTGCTGATTTCGAAAATCATGTTCATTTTTTCTGATTGTTACCTTTTTCATTAAGTAGTAATGTTAGGTAGTAATTTTTTGAAAATTTTTTAAAGGTACTGGTTTTCGAAGGTTCTGGTTTCGAAAATCATGTTAACTGTTTCTCTAGTATTAAATAGTACTATGTGATACTATGTATTACGAGGTGTAAATATCAGTACTGAGCACCAGAACAACACCACTAACACCTAAAGGCCACACTTTATTTTCAAAAAATTACTACCTAACAGTACTACTTAAGAAAAAAGTGACAATCAGAAAAATGAACATGATTTTCGAAAGCAGCACTATCGAAAACCCCTAAATCGAGTATTTATGAAAAAAATTCAAAAAATTACTACTTTACAGTACTACTTAAGGAAAAAAGTAACAATCAAAAGAATGAATGTCATTTTCTAAATCAGCATCCTCGATTATCCTAATTTCGACGTTTGCATTGAAGAAAAATAATACTTTTCTGTTTTCCCAATCGTCCAACTCCGGCTCAAACGGAAGGCTTGTTTAAGGCAATAATATTAAAAATAATGAAGAAAGTTTTCACCCAGCTTATTTTAGAACTTCAAACTGACCAATTACCTGGATTTGAGGACCAGCGAGAAGTGCCTGGACATTCCGAAGAACTCGAAAAAAGCCCCGGTCGTACTGTATCACTGTCATATGGGGAAAGGAAATCAAATGTTCAGGTATGTCCCCGCTACCAAACAGATTCTACACCCGACCACCGGCCTTTGCCTGGATTCGGACTCAACAACGGACGAAGTTTTTGGAGCCGTTTGCGATACGGACTCAAAAACACAGAAATGGCAGTTCGATAATGTGAATCTAAAATTGCTGAAGGAGAGATACGCCAACGAGAAGGATTTGTAATTATTGAAAATGCCTGAAATTTGTCTCCGCAGAAGGAAAGGACCTAGAAAGTTTATTTTGTCGATAACTTGGGAGGTGCTGGATGAAAATCGACAAAAAATTGAATTTTTGGGACCTATATGGCCTCATTTTTTGGGTGAATAATTTTTGTAAAATCCCTTTGGAGGTTTGAAATCTAAGGTTTACCGTTTACAGCCGAAAAACGACCGAAAAAATGAACTCCAAGAGTAAATCCAATAACTGTAGATGACACCTTCCTATGTACAACATATTTGGTATCAAACAAAATGGGAGATCCTGAGGATTCAGCGAAAAAAAGAATCTTAAGATTTGGCCAAAAACTAAAGAAGTTATAGCCAGTTCAAATCGGGCCACAAAGATGCCCCACCCTGTATTTCGTCAAATTTTTATTTTTTAATTCTAAAACTGCTTATTTTCTTGATTTGATGTGGGTAAAATTTATAAAAGTTATATTTACAGACTACCAAATCCTTTTTCAGTAATAAAAACTCACACTACTAAAAAATTGAGCCCAGAAGTTCGAAAAAAATAAAATTTTTGTAAATTTTGATCCGTCAAAAATAATGGATCAAAATTTACAAACGATTTCATTTTTTGGAACTTCTAGGGCTCAATTTTTTTGTAATGTGAGTTTTTATTACTGTAAAGGGGGTTGGAAGTCTGTAAACATAACTTTTGTATATTTTACCCGAATCAAATCAAGAAAATAAGCAGTTTTTGAATTAAAAAATAAAAATTTGACGAAAAAATGGTAAACCTTAGATTTCAAAGCCCCCCAGGGGATCTTACAAAAATTATTCACTCAAAAAATGGAGAGAATGTAGACCCAAACATTAAATTTTTGTTGACTTTCATCCAGTACTTGCCGAGTTTTTAGCAAAAAAAATCTTTTTTTCCGGGTTTGGAGGCTATGTTTTTGATTTTTTTCCTTTTTTTCGGACTTTGACGGGTCAAACAAACGTGATATTTTTTTTGGTGGAAAACTTGACAGTCTTACATATCAATTTGTTCGAATTTATTTCCATTTCTTTTCTTCTTGTCCATTCCAACCGCGCAAACCTTTTGTTGTTATTATTTATTAGTAGATGTACAATGTTATTATTCGACTTATAAATAAATCAATTTTCAATCACGAGAGATTTGACATGATCTTCAAAATCGATTCGTCCTCCCCTTTATAGCCGGTCAGTCGAGAACAACTCGCCGGCAGCTTCTCAATGTTCTCCGAAAGCACATGCCAATCGTAGATGTCCGCCGCATGCCACTGAACATAAGCCCGCACCAGCTCGATGGACACGTTCGCCAAGGCGGACGGACAAACTTGTTTCACAATCTCTTCGTGGCAAGCTATAAGGGGTTTTTGAAATTTGTCATAATCAGCGCTGCGCCTCTGGCAATGCCCATACAGTGAGGGACCTGATCCAGTGGCAAAAAACGTATCATTTTGCATTCGGGAAGTATCAAAAATGTGGCAAAATGCCTCCCTCTCCAAGTGAAACAACTTTGTTTTGAATGGCACTTTCTCTCACAAAAAGAGTGGGCGCGCTTTTCAAATCGGAGTTTTCACTTGAAGAGGGAGGTATTTTGCTGCATTTTTGATACTTCCCGGATGCAAAATGATACGTTTTTGGCCAATGGATCAGGTCCGCCACTGTATCTCAAATAGCGGGCTAATCCCGAAAAAATATTTGCAAAAACCCATTTCAACCCACTTTGATAGCACTCCTGGAACCCGCACAGCAGACTCAGCTCGGCCTCGTAGTTGTCCAGCTCATTGTCCGAGAAGACTTTCCCCAAATTCGCGCGAGACATTCGATTCTTCTCCTTTTCGGCGGCGTCCACGGCCTCTTGGTGGCATTGCTGATCGCATTTCAGGAAATTTAGAGGCTCCGCGTCTTCCAGACAAGGCCTTGCGGTCACGAACATTGTCCGTTTGAACTTGCAAAGGAAGTTGGATGGGGAGAAGACGCGATCCGCGGACTAAAAAGGAACTCTTTTTTCAGCTTTCAGAGACGAATTGTAATACCTGATCATTACACTTGTCGATGAAACATTTGGTCTGTTTTTCGGAGATGTCGCAGTATTTTTCGTAGCCCTCGTAGTCGAGGATCTTTGGATGGAAGGGGAAATCGTAATAGTCCTTGACGGAGAGATTAAAAACAGCCTCAAATTCGGACTTCCATTCGTCGTTGCAGCTCTAAATACCACGTATTTTAGACAATTGGCCACATTTATCTTGCATGAGAAAATTATTGATGATTTTAGACATAAAACTACATATATTTATGTTAAAAATGTCATCATTTTTGAGGTGAAACTCTTACTTGAAAGCATTGAGGATCGGACTCATTGGCGCCACTAGCAAACATAAAATCACGTTTTACTCTTTGGAAATTTTCATACGAAGCCAGCTGATTCGTTAGATCGAGGTTTCCGCGTTGAAATCTCAGCGCTACTTTCTGCCTTTCTTGCAGGACGAGATAGGTCAACAGCGATGCCAGGAGGAAAATGCAGATGACAAAAACAAGGCCAGCGGAGTGAAATTTGGCCATACTCCTGAAAAGCGAGAGAGGTTATATAGGGCACAACAAATACAAAATTTCCAAGCCAATCAAAACATATGACTTTTAGCGGGATCAAGAAGATATTTTATCAAAAATTTGGAAAATAATGAATGAAAATTTAGAAAAACCGGATTTTTGAGGCTTCTTGGGCTCTTATTTTGCCAAAAATAATTTCTTACCAATAATGGCTCTTTTAGTAATTTGTAAACATCACTTTTTTAAAGAGCATTCACATCAAAACTACATCGAAAATCGGACGTTTTTGAAATCAAAAATGAAAATTTGGCAAAATTAGTCAAAAAATTTCGATTTTTAAATAAATCCTGAGGAAGTGTTACAAAACAACAACATAGTCAATAAAATAGATGCTCTGTAGGTCCCAAAATCACAATTTTTGTGGATTTTGGTCCATTATTTCGCAAGTTATGGGCAAAAGAAAGCTTCAGCGTCCGGCTCATGACATTTCCCTTACGAGTAATAAAGACCTTATTCTTCGTAAAAATCAAAACTCACTTTCACTTTTACTTTTTCCGTCGGCGGATCGACTGACGCGATCGATATTCCCTTATCCATCTTGATTGAAGCGAGAACCGACAAACCGATGCCGCCGTTTGAATCGGCGATTACGCGAGTGGAATTTCGGGACAATAAAGAAGAAACGACAACACACATTTACAGTGTAGTCTGTACAATAAAGAAAAAACCAGATTTTCTTCAAATTTCGCGGTCATGGTCCACAATTGCCACATATTGATTCTTTGAAATTTTAACATTTTCTTCGTGGAAGATGCCCGGATATTCAAAAATTTTGACAAACATTCCGATACAAAAAATCCGTCGGATCGGCGGCACTTCGGGTCAACACAAAATCGATCGATATGTGGTCTAGGGCAGGTGGATGCCCAAACAAAGGCTGCAGTAAGGGCCTATGAGGCCTGGCAAACCCGTTGGATGGTCGGCGGACGCTCGGCGGAGACCTGGCGAAGACTTGCAATATGTAATCTTTTTTTAATTTTAGCTATTACTAACGTTAGTTTTCTTTACCCGGAGTTATTGTAACATATAACAGACCAAAATTTGAGGCAAAAAACAAAGATCCGTAACCTTTATCTGGAATTTATTGGTGTGAGTACATATAAAATATTCTCAAAATGAGTGGTAAACTATCCTAGGACCCAATCAATCTTATTATTTCTATTAACTAAGCTATCTCCAAGCCTCTCCTATGCATATAATGATCCATATTATCGTTGAACCGAACTGTCGCTGAGACGAAAGTTCGTAGCCTCCAAAAAATCCCGGAGAACCATTGAATGTGAATACTGTAATACTAATACAATCAGATATATTTTTATTTTATTTATTGCGGTCATTATTGTTAGTTTTTCCGTGTCGTCAGAGTAAAACGCCATTCCCCGCCGTACGGCTCTTTAAAAACAAGCGATAAGACAAAGGAATGGCCACTGGCGCGTTTCTTAAAATAGCCATGGCCACTCCGCCTCTCTTTGAAGTTTCCCGAATTTGGCTTTTCGAACTCGCTGGAGAAATTTTTTACTTTATAAAAGTCAATTGAGATGGCTTGAAAATCATCAATCTTTTGCAAAGTTATTTTAAAAGCTCCGTGGAACTAACGGTGTTAATAAGTAGTTTTGGCATTTTTTTTGTATTCTAATCCTCCCGAACAAACGCCAGAGGAAATTATAAGGCTTTTTTCGAATTTTAGACATATTAAATTTGCTCGGCCTAATGTGAATTATACGCGAAATGCAGTCGTTTTTATGCGGTATAGCGCCCAGAATTAGCGCTAAAAAGGTTTTTGAAATATTTTAAAAAATGTGTTTTATTTTTTGCCGACATTGACCAGTCATAATGACCGTTTTGGGAAGTCCGGCAAATGCCTTGGAAATGCTCAAACTCCAATCCTTGGTGCAAATTTCCCCTCGTATTTACAACGACCTCATCCCTCAACAACACTGTATTTCCTGTTGATTAGTGAACATGCGAGATGGACGTTAGTACTCTCCATTTTCGTCTCCGAGTCTCCTCTCCTTTCCCCGCAGCATCCCGGCGCAAAAAACGCAGCAAAAAAGAACGAAAATTATTGGCTTTGGACGGAAAGCTCTACATTTTGCCTACGGGCCCAACCTTCAACTCTCCCTCTCTTTCGTCCGTTTTTTCGTGCTTCGCGGAAATATTTCGAGTAAATCCATTTTTGGTAGGCATGGCCCGCCAAGGATTGGGAATGCGGCGGGGGATGAGGGAGGACGGAGGAGAGGTTCCCAGCGGCGTGTTATCCGCGTGCGTGATGTCAACAGGTGTCTGGGAACTTGGATTTGTAGGAGCTTTTTGCAGCTTAAATGCTGTAAGAAGGTTTTTTGTCGCTGAAGAAATACACTAGAATGATTTTTGATGAATCTTACAACAGACTTAGGCTTTACTTGAATTTTTTGATGGGTGATCTTCAGACTCCCTTTGATTTTTGCCGTATATTTAGTCAAAACCGTATACCATTTACTGGAAGCTTTAGCTGGTGCGTTGCTTTCTAATAATTGCGGTCTAATACTGACGGTTTTGGTGCGGAAAAAAATCTGTTTGTTGGGAATCTCCTTTCGGCCCAAAAATCCCGGTGGTTGCTGCGACACGCGAGCTAAGACCTCACATATGTCTTGAAGAAGATTTATCTATGTCTTCATCAAATTTCAACAAAATTTGAGCATGTAATCCTATATTATAGCCCTTCTAGAACGAAAAAATTTTCTGGTTTCTTGTGATTTTTTGTACAGAATTTTCTTTCACATATTTTTCCAACTTCCTTCCACAATTTACATTAATTGTCCCAGCTCAATCTTGATAAGATCTCTCCAAAGTGTCGTGCGATTCTCGCGGCTCTCGCCGGACCTCTCCAATGCCCGCAAGGGAGACGTTCCGGCACTCGAGATGGACAACTCGACTCTTTTTAAAGTTCTCGTGGGATGGGTAACCGTCCTCGACATTCGCCGGCTTTGTGACCACTTGTAAAGTCTTGGGAGGCCCGAAGCGCGCTTTTGGCAATGTTAACAATGTTTATTTCTTTTTGTCATTAGAAATCTCACGAGGATATAACGGATTTTCCAAGTCATTTATGTAATCCGCGGGGCTCAGATTATCAATCTTTTAGAGTCAAAAAATTCTCTCTGCGAAAACGATAAGTGACTTTTAAGGATGAATTTGCTAAACAGGGTTTTTCATCTGGATATAGGAGATATCTTTGGCCAATAACTTGGGAAATAATGGCTCAAAATTAACACAAATTAATTTTTTTGGACCTTGAAGGACCAGAGTTGTCCGAATAAAAGTTTTTGTTGCTAAAGAGCCCTCAGGATATCCGTGAAACCAGTTTTTTATGTAGAATATTCCCATACCTATATAGCCACAAAATACAAACCCTTAGGGGATACTGCGGCCAACATTTTTGCAACTTTTGCTCTATTATTTCCAAATTTGTTAGCAAAATCTGATTGCCAGGTTCCTACAAACATATGTATGGTCTTTCTTATTTTACAGTAGATCCAAATAGCTGTATTCCTTCAAACAAAAAGCCATGATACGTCTTCTTCCCTAGATATTTATATGTACATATAACAGCCATACATCTCCCGTTTATTGCGTTTTCCTATCATTTCTTTCCAGCGTGACATGACTAATATTAAGACCTTCTCAGAGTCCGGCCAACATGAGAACAAGAGCCGTTTCTCCCCATAGCTAGAGGTTCCCTTTATTTGATCCCCGACATCTTTCAACCATCCAAATTTACCCTGTAATTGGGATCAACTGCAAACTAATCCGGAAAAATGTATAACGATCCTGCCCAATCATCATACGCCCAATACAATCAATATGGCCAACCATCGCCGGCGCAGCAGAACCTTCACCGGCCCAGTGTACCCGGCTCTTCTGTTATCAACAGCGCTCGAGGGGATTTTGCAGTTCATGGGCAACAATACCCTCCGACGGCGCAAAGGCAGCATCAGTTGAGCGGACAGCATGCCCAAAGACAGCCAGCGGATAAACGCCAGCAAAGAAATGAGATGATGATGAGCATGAGGTAAGGGAATGGGATAGTAGTAGGCGAGCTTTGCAGGGCTATTTTCCAATCTTCTACAGTCGGAAAAAGAACAAGAAACACGCTCAAAGCCTTCGTGGAAAAACGGGGAAAAATCATGTTTATAAAGACTGCATTACTTTTTGCCTAAATGTGACTATAGAGAGCTCTGAAATTGTTTTACATATCTAATTTTTCGGTGTTCTACTGAGGGCCTTCTTCAGCAAGTTGATGGGTTTTTAGCTCCCCATTTTAACTAACAACCATAAAAAATCAACATTTTAGAAAACATCGATCCTTGGACGGCTCACAATTCCTCCGTGAACTGGACCATCAAGCTCCGCCTCCACCACCTCCCTCTTACGGTGTGCCCATAAATGATCCCTATGCGTACGATCAGTATCCCCAACGGCCGGACATGCAGCATCAGCCGTTTCTGTCGAATATTGGAGCCACAGAATACCCAGCGCCCTAGTAAGTCACCAAGCTTTTATTATGTTTATATCTCAGGGCTTATTTTGCTGATCATATGGGAATTAACGTATTATAACTAGCATCTAAAAATTGATTTTATTGGAACTGGTAATGTGCTTCATTGGAAGCCAATTTTTATTCTGTAATATCGCCAAAGGGCCTGAATTTCAATATGTTTCGAACACGATCGAGCATGATGTAAAAACATGCAATCTGCATGAAAAAATAGCTTACAGGCCGAATGAGAGCCTTTAGGCGATATGGGGTTCTAGGCCAACAACTGTGGTCCTAAAGCGCCAAAAAACTTAATTTTTGCCAATTTTTATTTTCTTTTACATATTTATCAAGTAATCAGCAAAAGCAACCGTGGTGCATCTAACTTTCACCGTTTTTCAGCCTCTATTAGTTACATTATAGAAATGGTTTTTTTTCAGTCTCGAAACCGCCTATAATCCAAAGCCACAAGCCTCGGGCCATTCCTACGCCAACGCTGACGTTGAGGTCCTGAAAAGAGAGAATGCGGCATTAAATGAGAAACTCAATTACATGATGAATTCCATTAAGTCTTTTTGGTCACCCGAACTGAAACGGGAGCGTCAGGGACGAAAGGAGGATGTCCAACGACTCCAACACTTCCAAGACAAGGTCATGCATCAAGCAGTAAGTCCAATTCTTTTCTGCTTGCGCTGTGGTTCAGAGAAATTTAATTTCTGGCGATTTTGCTACAATTTGCCGGCAGTCACTGTAACTTTTAGCGCCCACTTCAGAGCGAGATCCAACACATCCGTCAAGAGCTGGATCGCCGGGAAAAAGACATCACCGAACTCATGGGCGACACCGACATTCTCGACATGGAAGACGAATTGCGGCAGCTGCGAAAGCAGCTCGTAAAGGAAAGGCAACAGCATTACAATGCGGCGGTTACAATATCGCCTCCGAAGGATTATACGGACAAATCGTTGACTTCCGCGGAGTATCACACAATGCTCATGAAGCTGGAGAAGTCGGAAATGGCACTGACCGAGAAACAAAGGGAATTGCAAAGTGCTGAACTCCGGTGAGGAATTGGTTTTATTAGGTTGTCCAGAAAGTTCGTTCGTTTTTTTCACTGCTTTGTTTTCCGAAGATTTTTTGTTGTTTGGCAAAGGATATATATTTATTTGATACAGCCAGTTTTGTAGAGGAGAAAAGGCTGTATCAAATAACTATATTCCATTTGCCAAAGAACAAACAATCCTTGTAAAACAAAGCAAAAAAAACGAACGAACTTTATGGACGACCTAAAACTTGGGATGAACCTTGAAGCCTTATTTTCTTAATAACTTGCGAAATTTTGGGTCAAAGTTGATAAGAATTATAGCTTTTGAATCTACAGGGCTTCAGTTTTCCTGTGTATAGGTTTTTTTTTCTCGATAATCCTTTGCTGATCCACTTCTCATTCGAAGAAACCACTCTAACTTTCAGTCTAAAAGGCGCGGAAGAGCAGAACAAAGAGTTGGAAAAGCGTTTGGACATTGTTGGCAGATCCAACATAAGTAACGATGCGCAAGTCAAACTGCTTCAAGATGACGTCAACATGTTACGACAGAAGTTGGAGACCCGAAACCAGTTAATCGAGAGCAAGGAGAAGGCAATACGGCTGCTGGAAAAGGATGTGGACGCGTTGAGACAGCAACTCCAAGAGGCTAACAAAAATTTGCATGTAAGGGAGGTGGAGGGGCGGTGTTTGAAGGAGAAATTGCTTGATTTTCGAGGTTTTTAGGGCCGAGATTTTTCTGAAAATTTGAGGCTACTTTTGTTGATGATTTTGCAGGCAAATAAAATAGTTCTGTTTGCGAAAATATCGAGATTTTCAGGCCGAAAAATGGGCTAAACTCGACACTTTTCCTGCATTTTTGTGACTTTAATGATCGTTGGATATCTAGGCCACCCTTGTAACGAAAAACTTGAGATTTGCAGAAATTAAAATCACCCCTAGTTAGAATATTTTGTGAAAATTTGAGGATGCTCTGAGACTTATGCCCCCGGTATTTCCCCATTATATCATGGGGGATTATGCTCAAATAAAACTTCATTTTCTCAATCTTCAGGACCAAAAGACCCGGACTGACAATCAGCAAATCCGCGTTGATCAACTTGAAACCCTCTTGCGAGAGCGTGAGACCGAAATTGAACGCCTAAAACAACGGCTTCATCAACAACCGTCGACTCGAATCGAGTCGGAACTCCGCCAACAGGTTCATAATTTGGAGCTGGACAAGCGGAAGCTCCAGGAGCAAATTGATAATATGCGAGTGGAGGCGGAGAAGGAGAAACAGCAGCAGGTAAGCCGAGGCCTTTCGACCATAATATCAAGCTGGGCCTAGGGTTGACTGAAAACATGAGGAAGCCCAAAAACTGTGATGTAAGTGCGGCTAGAGAGTGTAGAAACTGTAGAAATAACTAGTCAGCACGTAGTAATTTGCACAGTAATCTTAGTTGTGGGCAATTGTCTTCTATTGTGAGTACCTATCATAAAAGAAGGGCAGGGAGAGTCAGTCGAATATATATGTAATATTGGGCTTCTTTTGTAAATAACAAGGGAAATAATAAATCGGAATTTACAAAAATTGTATTTTTGGAGCTCACCTATCCATGGACAAGTAACTTTTTGCCGTTACCGCCCCTTGGGAAACTTGTGAACTTCACAGTCTTTTTAAAAATTTTCTAGCCCGGATTTTGGTGATATAATGTCATCCAACATAAGTTAAGAGACTTGGGCGTTGTTCAGATACGTTTTTTTAAATTTTGATCTATCGCTTTATAGCTTATGATACATTAGAGGTGCAAAAAAGAACTTGTTTCTTAAAATTTCAGTTTTTTCACCATTTCTAACGGCATTTGTTACAGATCGCCCAAGGCCATCTAAACAACAAAAATTTACTGCAGAGCAACTGAAGTCCTCTAGGTCACAAAATTATAGTCGTCGTAAAGTTTGATGCATTGTTTTCCAAGTTATTGGCTAAAGAAAGCCTCCATGTTCGGCTGACAAAACCCTGTAGAGCACGAAAACTAATTTCCATGTTGATGTAAACCGAATTTTTGTTTAACATTTGGACCCAAGTTACGAAAAGCTCTTTTTAAATCTCATATTTAGCTTCAAGTTTTCCAAGACGAAACCAAGCAACTAAGGTCTACCATTGAGTATCTGCAGAAGGACCTCGCGGATCGACAGATTTTGTTGGCGTCGCAAAACGAAAAGATCTCACAGTTGGATGCGAATGGAAAAGTGATTGGGGACAAGTTGAATGCGGATGGGAGCTCGGGATTTGCAATTAAAAACCATTTGTCGCATTCAGAAGGCCTACAAGGAGACCTGGATGAGGCCAGAAAAGAGGTCGACCATTTGTTGAGGACTGTCCAAAATCTGGAGAAGGAGAAACAAACGCTGCTCAACAAGTTGGCTGCTAATAAGTAAGAGATCTATTTTTTTTTATATTTGAAAAAGAAAAGTTATCAAAAATGATGACAAAATTTGTTTGCGCAGTGGTTCAATTTTGGAAAGGTAAAATTCTTGACATTTTGCCATCGGATTTCCTTCAAATTTTTATTATTTTATCTGTTCTGAATAACCCTCAAGCTCTGAAAATTTTAGCTCACGTTTTTCAAAAGCAATTGAGGTATTTTAAAAGTATATTTAAAAGTAATTATGCATGCCAGAGACAGTAAAAAATGATGAGAGACGGTCAAAAAGGCCCATTTCTTGAAAGATCGCAAAATTTTTTGCTGCCTCCGGAACACGCTGGTTTAAATTTTCTAGGGGTTAATTTGTACTCCTCACAATTTTTTGTTGATAACTTCGGTATTGTTTTGCCTAGACATTAACTGCTTTTTCAATTTTTTCAATTCTTTTAAGGTCCTCAGACAATAGTACAGCAATAAGCAAGACCACCCCTGATTACTCCGGTTCTTCTTCCTCCTCCAGAAAAGGCGATAGCGCGTTGAAAATTCGTATTGATGAGTTGGAAGAGGCGTTGCGGGAGTCTGTGGGCATCACCTCCGAAAAGGACAAACAACTGAGTGAACAGAAGGCGCTTCTTCAACAACTAACCTCACAGATAAACGAGCTGTACAAGGACCCCTCAAGACGGCTCAAGGGAGTTAAGACGGATGCTGATGTGAAAGCATGGGAGGAAGAGAGGCAGCGTTATCAAAGACAGCTGGTAAACCTGAGGTAGGATATTTTGAATGCGATTTTTGTACAGTGGGGGACCTGATCCAGTGGAAAAAAACGTACCATTTTGCATCCGAGAAGTATCAAAAATGTGGCAAAATGCTTCACTCTCCAAGTGAAAAAACTTCGATTTCAAAAGCCTTCTTTTTGTGAGGGAAAGACGCGCCTTACAAACGAAATTTTTTCACTTGGAGAGGGAAGCATTTTGCCACATTTTTGATCCTTCCCCATTGCGAAATGGTACCTTTTTTGCCACTGGATCAGGTCCCCACAGTATAATATTTATTCAACAAATAATGTCATCATAATTTAATATTCAGAAAGGAGGTGACAATGGCGGCAATAAGAGAGAAAGAGGCTTGCATTCAACTTCTCCAAGGTCCTCCGGAAAACATAAAAGAAAAAATTGAGATCCTAGCAAGGCAAAAAGAACAGCTACGGCATCGTCTGCTAACACAGAACAATGAACAGTACAGCACATCCGAGAACGGCCCATACCTGGCGAATGTGTGGATGGCCGCGCAGCAAGAGCCCACAACAACTGCTTATCCGGTTCAAAAGCCTCTAGCCACAATCACATCACAACTCCCGCCATCGCTGACAAACGGGACAACAACGACGTCGGCCGCAATGAACCGAATGCAGCACTATCAGCAACAACCGTATTCGAATTATGTTAGTCAGAGCGGAGCGGCGGCTGGTACCGCGACTCTGGGAAGAGCGGGGCTTGGAGCGGCGGCGGCTGCAAGACCCGTTGCAGGTATGATTGGGGAAATGCTTAAAAAAAGGATATTTCTGGAGCTGGTGTTTTAAAAAAGGGATATTTCTGGAGCTGAGGTATATAGAGTTTGATAAAACATATGGATCAAAACTTTTAAGGGCATATGCAAGATTTTTAGCTTTAATTTTGCTGAATCCATGGGGATTTACAGGTCAAAATGAGGCAGAACTTTTTGCTTTCGAAGGATTCAGTTTTCAGACTTGACTTTTTCTTTTGTCAGTAAACATTGTTAAGTATCTCGGCTCCTAAAGCGAATGATGAGCTGAGATTTTAAGCCATTGATTTATGGGCAACAGGCATTCAAATTTGACGAAAATTGTCTTTGAAACCGGCTAACTAAAGAACATTGAGCTCTTTTATCTCGTAAAACAAGCTTTATCCCTTCTACTTTGCAGGTGTTACCGCTGGCGCCGTTACAAACCCGGTGAATGTGGCTATTCCGGCCTACGGATCGGTCCCGTCCGCACCGGCGTCTTTCACTTATGGCAATAGGGTAAGCCTCCGTGTATCCAAAAACTAACAGCTTTAGGAAAGTTCTATCGAAATTAAATGGTGATATTTCAGACCGACGGTGTTGATGACGAAGGAATATGGGCTTAATCGAATGCCCGAGCAATTGAAAAGCAATATTATGAACATTTACTGCCCAAGATTTTACACGTTTAATGCCAGGAGTATATCAGAATTTAATTTTGGAATAAAAGGAAAAGGTTTTTTCGAAGGCTGTTGAGTATGACAACAAATTACTGCCGGTCATACTTGTCTTCCATTTCTCTTCAAACCTTTTCGTACAAATTCAACACTTCAGCCACATCTACAGCATCTTTCAACGCGTTTAGAGTTCGCTGGGCAATCAGAGCCTTCTCTTCAACGAATGTCTCACTTTCTGTTTGATAAACATTCGTTGTCAAGTTGTACAACATCGCCAGAGTTACAGCAAAATACACTTCCATGGCTTTATAGAGTTTTATGGCCTAAAGTAGAAGCTAGAAAACCTATGACATTAGACTCACATCTTCGAGTGAAAACGGAGGTTTTTTTGACCGCTTTGCATACAGCAAACAGAGATGATTGTAATATGATGTCACAACTTCTAGCCAACAGTCTGTTCTTACCTCGGCATCAGAACAAACGCATATTAGTTCACACAAATCTTGCATTTGGTTGCCTTAAGAACGAATTTTTGTTAGGATTGAGTTCTGGCTGTGTAGAAAAAATTTGGTGGAACTGAACCTCTCTATATACAGGGTGCGGCAATTTTTCGGCCGGATTTTAGTTGGCCATAACTTTTTTAGTTTTTATGCAGATGTTAAAATTCTTTTCTTCCCTGAATCCATAGACAACCCCATTTTGTTTAGTACCAAATATGTTATACCCGTTCATTAGACTACAGTAAAAATTCGGGACAAAGAAAAAGCTCTAATTTTCATAGCTGACAATGGAATTACCCCTAATGCGACTATCAGATTTTCTTTAAATTTTGCACATGGGCCGGACATAGGCCACACATCAATTCCTAAAATTTTCAGCCCGCACCGCACAGGGGCGACCAAGATATTCAACGATTCGTTGCGGTCAGGAAGGCACATGAGTGGTCACACAGAAAAACTTTTTGGCTATATCTTCGCAAGTTTTGTGCGGAGATAGCTGATTTTTTGTGGGAACGGTATTCTCTATGGCATGAACAGGCATGAAACTTTTTACGACAAAATTCGTAAAAAAAGTCATTTTTTCCGGCGATTTTCACACACGCCGAAAAAGCAGAGAAAACGAGCGAAATGCCAACAACTATGAACTAGGTCCCTGTATATATAACACATTTGGTATTAAACAAAATGGGGTTGTCTGTGCATTCAGGGAAAAAAAGAATTTTAACATTCGGATAAAAACTAAAAAAGTTATAGCCAATTCAAATCCTGGCGAAAAATTGCCGCATCCTGTACTCGAAAAAATAGAAAAAAACTGAAACCCGCCTGTAACAAGCAGACTAAGCGGCTTCAAAGATAATTATGGAGGACTACAAACCATGCATCAATTCTACAGCGAATACACATTATGTACAACAAATCCCAAAGAAATTAAAAAAACATTTTCCAGAGAGCTTTTGTAGCAGGGAGGTACATACAGGGTGATTCAAAAAAAATGGACACTTTTCTTTCTTCGATTTTTCTTGGCTTTGAATGTTTCTCGGAAAAAGGTACACATGGCATGAAACTACTACGTTATGTGTACATATTCATTGCAAAAATAGTTCACTAGCTGCAAAACTTGCCGACATATGGTTGCTTAAAAATTGCCGGGTCAGCGCACCCATTCCCGCGGCAAAATTTGGAAAGTTTCCGTTCCTAAATGTCCTTAGGTTGTAACCGAGACGTTCTGAGCGGCCTGAGCGAAACACAGACGTCTATTCTCTCGGATATTATAAGGATTTAATCCAATTCTTTCGGACAATGAAAAACCAGGGGCCAAAAGTTAGGCAACTAGCCAGGAAAAATCAACCCTCATATGGGCGCTCTTTGAAAAACTATGATCTGCTGAACGTGGCCAAAGTTTTAGAACCAATTCCATTTATATCACGTTTACTGCTCTATTTTGAGTATATTAAACGCATTTTTAACAATAGTACCCTTCAGTTGGCAAAACTGCAAGCAAAATTTCGACTTTTTTGACTTTTTGATGGGTCATCGCAATGATGCTTGGATTCTGAAGGCTAGGTTTGTTCAAATTAACGGAGACCAATTTAAAATTGAAGAACGGACTTATATCACTATCGTATAAATGCAGCTTGTCATAGTTGTGCGGCTTGTTGAAAAAAGCCAACGAAAAAGCAAAATTTTTCTGATCAAAAAATATCGGCGTCTCTGGGTATAGCCGGCTAAGCTTTTATGAGCCCAGTACATGGCTAATGCTAGCTACAATCACATCATCTGCTGGCCCATGTAAAGCAATGTTAATTGCCTCACAGGAATCACTTTTTGCCGTTATTAGCGCAAGCCAGGCCGCCCTGCTAAGTTTTGAAACCCGATCATCCCAAAAATCTAGAACTATCTGGATGGGTCTCTTGTGGACTACGTTGCGAACCGCTGGAGTGTTATTAATAGAATAGCGTCAGCGTGTTCGCCTCTTTAGATTCCCCTTAGTGTCTGAATAAACAGTCAACCCGCAGTTTTATCTGGCTGTAAGAATTCAGGCCGTTAAAGATTTTTGGACCTACAAAATTTTTGGAAAATTTGGTCAGAATATGGGCTGACCTAATGTTTTGGCTCGTACAAGCCGTTCAGAAAAAAGATTTTAAAAATTGAAATAGGTGTCATGAAGCAGGATCGTTGACGATTGTAAAAATTTTTTTCTTTCCGCCGACTGCGGTATTCGTGGTGGGATACACCAACTTCAAAAGTTGTCCATTTTTTTTGAATCACCCTGTATTTTCTAAAAATTGACACTTGAAACGCATGGAAATGTTTGTTATAGGCGGGCCTTGTAGTACAACATTTTCTGCCAAAAAAGTTTCACTGTAAATTCTTTTTTGGTCCTATGCGATACAGTCAACAGAGGCTGAACTTCAGCTACATATCATTTCGCATCCGGGAAGTATCAAAAATGTAGCAAAATACCTCCCTCTCCAAGTGAAAAAACATCGATTTCAAAAGCGAGTCCGCTCTTTTTGTGAGGCATTTTGCAGCATTTTTTGACACTTCCCGGATGCAAAATGGTAGACTTTTTGCCACTGGATCAGATCCGTCACTGTATATCAAGTTCTAACGATAAACGACCCACCTTCAAACGCCATTTGCCAATCAACGTATGCTGCAATTCGATCACCAGAACTCCCATCCTTTCCTTTTTCAATAATCAAATTACTCGTCCACAAGTCTCCATGACAAAGAGTTACAGCGTTTAGTCGTTTTGGTAAAAGTTTCATTGAAAATACGGCAAGATTGTGCAAGTCAAGGCTCTTCAACCGCTCAGCGAAAGGACGAGCACCTACAACATTCACAACTCTTTTTTCAAACAACCGTACTACCTGGAATGTCCTCGGCAGCATATTCCAAACATTTCTGCATCGTTTCAACACCTCGGGCGTCAAATTTGTGAGTTGCAAGTTTCCCTTTCCACAACGTTTTGTCCAATTGATCTACATGATCATGCAAAACTGCCATGTCTTTGGCGGCGTTTAGTAACTGAATCTTTGTTAGACTTGAAGCCAGTCCAATCGAAATTCCATCCACATATTCTAGAAATAATGCTCCAGGGCAGAGGCGATTATTTTCTGGCGTTTCAACAACAGGACGTCTCTCGATGTGATACGATTTTGGAATTGGGAATCCGGCAGAGTGCAACGATTTCAGCAGCTCATAGGTGAGACACTCTTTGTCATGCAACGATTTGGAGAATTCGAGGAAATGTTGAAGAGCTTCCTATGTATATATAGAGATATGACTTTTAGAGTACAACATTCTTTTCTAACAAGGAACGTGCTTTTATAGGGGCTCCTACTTTTAGGAGGGACGTGTTTCAAAAAATCCGTAAAACATATGCTGATTAAGAATATATAAAAATTAACTGTCCAACCTTATATTAGAAGCAAAAATTGCTAGCCAAAAAATTAGAATGACAGATAGATTTAATAGAAAGTTGGACTGCTAGCCCAAAGCTTGTAGTAGCAGCTAAATTTCCAGTTTAAAAATAAAAGTTGCCTTTCCGGGCAATTTCGATGATCCACGCCAATCCCATGCTAACTTACCCCAACCATCTTCATGTTCCTAGCTCCTTCCTCCACATATTTCATCGTGGGAATCTTCATGATCAATTTGAAATTTTTGATGACTTCATTGCGCACATATTCAATACGGATCAAATAAATAAATGATTGATATCCCTTTCCTTCCGGCAATCTTTCCACTTCCACCTGGAAGTAAATTTTAAAAACGAAAATTTTTTGTTTAATTTCAAGCTCACACTTATCATTCCTTGGTAAAAGAAAGTATCACATTTTTGCAAACTTTTCCAAAAGATCTCGGTTATTTCAAGGTGCGAGCTCAAACTTACATTCTTGATCAGTCTATTTTTACATGCCTCGCCAATGTCATCATCACTCTGACAAAGCTTCTCAAGAATCCATTTAACGGTATATCCACTGTTTCCAATGTAATCACTTCCTTTCATATTAAAATCACTCCAAACTTTTAGTTATTCCGTTCTTAGAATTGAGCAATTTTCAGTTTGAAGTGGTCTTCATAAATCACACTTTCCATGAGAGTATTTGTTTCGAACATTACAAGGGGCGGTTGAAAAATCACTTCAAGACTCCGTTGACAACTAAAGGGCAACAAAAAGGATCGAAGTTTTGTAGTAAAAAAGATGGGGTTCTAAAGTTTTGTTAAATCTATAACATAATTTTTAATCAAAAGTGCAGCGAATGTTTGAAAAATGTGGCTGTTGTTGACATCCAAGGAGCTTAAATGTGATACAACTTGGCATGAAGCCTCTTTAAGATAATTACAATGCTTTTAGACGATGTGCTAATAATAAAATTGTCGCAGTTTTTAGACGGAATAGGACTGTTCTGCGAGCTTGAAGAGCACGTACAGCTACTTTTGAATCATTGCGGCATGAGAGAAGAAATGTCCAAAAAATGCCTTGAAAGTCTCAATGGCAGCGGAAAAATATTCTGATGATATTCTAAGATAATTATTGTGTACTAATGATTACTTTGCTGTCTGCATTTTACATATGTTACCTCTGTTTCTGCGGCAAGACACAAAAACTTTTGTGACATTTCTTTTCACAAAAAAAAAAAAAAAAAAACATTGTTTTTCTCCAAAATGGTTGAATGGAATTAACTATCCGAAAGTTCAACTATGGCTTTACACAATAGCTTTCCAACTACTGTTTCTACATACGTGTAACATTATCAAGAGCAAGATGTCCACCAGTCTCGTGGCATTTTTTTGCTTCGAGCGCCCTTTCTCACAGCTTTGTTTTTTTATTTTATTCATCTTCTTTTTCTCGGTGTTTTCTGAGTAATACACGGCCATGTTGAGTTGGTAATAAAGAGCAATGTTTATCCAGAAGAAGACTTGAAGGACTTTGAACATTTACTTCGCCTAAAAGACAAGAAGTCAATGGATAATCACAGACATTGTTATATCGTGCTTTTTACTACTTGGCTCAAAAAATTTCACTGTAAAAAAATAACAGCAAGAAAAATTTTTGGTGACGTTCTACATGTGTACTTATAATTATGTATTTTACTGCAAGCCATCCGTTTTTTGCAAGATTCGAGTTGTATGATAACGCAGTCTTTGATTGTCTGTGATGCAACGACAGAATTTTTCTACTGATTTTTTTCGGAACCCTTTGATTTTACCCAATTTTTGTCTGCGATCGCCCTAATAAAGATATAAATACCTCTCTCCTTTTGCCGGAACCAATTCCAAATAAGCGTCCGATCTTCTCCCTCGCTCCCAGCTTTCTTTGTCCACTTTCGTCCACTCCTCTACCTTTTTTCACCTGCCATGGACTCCAAACCTTGCTCATCATCGTCTCCTTCTGATGACAACAAATCTGTGTGGATTTTGGACAAGTTAGGGGAATTGGAATACATTCAGGAGTTCGATCAAGCCTGTTTCAAGGATTGTTTGGGGTCGTTGGAGAAGATAATGAACGAATCCGAGGACCTGTTGAAGGAGACGAGGAAGTACAGATCCAAGAAGAATACGACCAAATTGAACGGTCTTTTGCGGGAGACAATGCGGTAAGTTGAGTTTCGTATCTTTATTAGATCTTAATAATAATAATTCTTATTATTTTAGTCATTATTCCTCTTGATTTTTGGTTATTTTATGTATAAAAAATCTTTTTTAGTCATGCCGTTGGTCTGATCGTCTTCACCAAACTTTTTGTCCCCCAAGAACCCAAGAAATGCTCAATTTGCAAAGGAAACATGACAAAGAACAAGGAGCCACTGTACTGTCTACAATGCATTCAACCCATCGGATGCAAGAACTGTATGTGTGAATGGACAAAGAACTTTCGAAGAGAGCTCATCAGATGTTTCAAATGCCAAAAGAAATCGTTCAAAAAGTTCCCGCTCTTTTATCACTGCCATTGATGACTGTACACATATGGATTGTAAATAATAAGTAGTAATTATAGATCAATTTTAATTGTTTTTTATGACTTTAACAAAAAATAAAGTAATATAAAATTTTACCTAGTGTAATATACAAAATCTTTAATAACTAAAAAACGTACAACCACATTAACGTGCACTAACTTTCAATCGATAGAGGACATATGTCCGAAGCTGGAATGGACGACATAATTTAAATTCACGTACAAACTTCCTCGAAATTGAACATTAGACCTATAAGACTACGTCCCGAAGAATGTTAAAATTTGGGTCAAATGATAGTGTAATTCAATCAAATTTGATGTTTAAAAATACAGTATTATAGATAATATTTTTAGCTTTATCAACCAAAGATCGCCGTGTTTTCACGGACTGGGAAGGACTCACACTACAATGTTGTATATGACTGATAAAGGGAGGTGATGATCTCATAAAAAGCTTTATAACTATAAAACAAAGCTGTGAATCAGTGAAAGGAAAGAATTTCGAGTCCATGTTGACGTAAAAATGATGATAATGAAGAGTGATTAGGCTTGGGTGTAAAAGGCGCCTATAACTACAAGATGAAATAATTGAATGATTAAAACCACACCCTTAATCTTTATCACTTTATTTGAGTTTAATCAAAACTACAGGGTCTTTGAAGAAACGTGAAGGAAAGTCGGAGGATATGAAGGCAACGTGTTGGGAGTTTCCATCCCTCTTTTCAACGTCAACTCTGTCAAAACTGCCGGAAAATTCGACATTTCTTTGGTGACTTCAACCGAAAAAAGTAAAGAATTTCTCGATCACTTTGAACCGAAAAACACTGGTTTTTAAAGCGAAAGGGACCTACTTCAGAAGGTCTCTGTTTGCACTTTAAAATCTTGTTATTTACTTGGCCAAAATTATGTCGTTTAAAAATACACATCTCAAAAACGAAGTCTCTGCGCCGCCTCCGCCAGAAGTTAGAGCCTACGATTTTTCTTCACGTTTCTTGAAAGACCGTAGAATGGAATTATTGCTCTCTGGACAATAGTGACTGGACTCAGAGAGCCAACACTGCAGAGTGAAATTGGTAATATCTACAGCAATTTGGCTCAAAACATATCCGAGATCTCTAGCTTCTCTTGTAAAACATTTATGTCGCAACTCCCAAGTACAAGACAACAACTAACATAATATTCAAAACCGCAGTGCTCGCTGAATCACCACCTTTTCCTCCATCTCCATCTCCACCTTCGTCATCTCTTCCCGGAGGTATATTCTTTTCCCATTTCGGATCCCGCTCAATCTCTGTAGCTGACGCCAATCCGATCTCAAATTCAGAAATTTCTGCATTAGTAGCCCTCAGCGCAATACAGTAATCGCTGAGGAAATTGTCCCCCAAAATGAAATTGGAGATTTCAAATTTTTGAGATTGAGCGTAGGCGGAAAGCTCGTCGCGATACTTGTTTTTGTACTGCGCGAAGTTGGTGGAATTGATCGGAAATTCTCCGTTGCCAGTAATCAATGCCAAATTTGGGAGGTCATCAACGACTTTGACATTCTTGAAGTACTTTTTGTAGACTTCTTTTGGGACCGTGGTTAGGGAATCGAGTGAGAATTCAACCGTTCGATTGTCGAACACCTCATCGGCAAGTTTTATACTAAAATTAAATTTGATGACAATTCAATAAAAGGTTGTAAAAACTGTTGCGCAATTTCTCACCCTGCCTTGATCTTCCATCCTTGATTTCGAATCGTTGGGAAATAAGTGAAGCTGCCGCAGCCGTCTAAACTTTCCGCGCCCGTACTGAAAACACCTTTGGGATTCACGCGCACACTGGTTGGCTAAAAATATGTAGGAAGCAGCTGCAGAAAGCCAACAATTTTTTTGCAGGATGATGCTATAGACAAGGGAAAATGCGGGATACGGTTTGAACTGTTAAAACAAGGACTTTTCTACAGGGTGTTCCATCTTTGTGGCCCGATTTGAACTGGCTATAACTTCTTTAATTTCCAGCCAAATTTTAAGACTCTTTTTTTCCTGAATCCTCAGGATCTCCCATTTTGTTTAATACAAAATATGATATACCTTTTCAGTAAAATACAGTAAAAAATTGCAGCCAAAAAAATTAGTATCTTCTTTCACTGTTCTGTTCAATTCAATTCAATTTATTTCCGATGATCATCTATCAAAAGTAGAGAAACGGGCCATGATTCGGGGCCAAGATGGGGATGTCACGTCGGTTCTCCAGTGTGCCAATCCTCAAGAAGGTCCTGCCACGGGTTGAGCTTCTGCCATCCTCCGGAGGGGTTGTTGCCAGCAACGGCATCGTCGGCAGGAAACCCAACCGCTCACCGCGGTGTGAACGGAAGGAATCTGTTCTGTAGATGCTCAAATTGAAAGCCTTTTGACCCTTTTAAATTTTCGAATTTTTCATTTTTCTATGGGCTTTAGAATTTTTGACTAGATTTTTGCCGTAACTTTTGAAATTTTGAATTTTCAAAGATGGAACACCTTGTAAACACCTTTTGTTTCTGGTAGGCTTACCAAATACTGCACAAATGGACCTCTTCTGAAGATGATTTGCTTGGTTCTTCCCATCTCGCTGAATATTTTCCTCATCGTAAAATCCCTATTTCCAGCCACAAACAATCCCAAAACTCCTGGAGCATCGAGCGGCGCAGGACCGTAGGCTTTCGTTATGACATCAAACGTAGCATTCCCATCCGGACTTGTAAGGTCGGTCTCCAAATACCCTTGATATTGGTCGCCCGTATACGCCTGATATTTGTAGACTATTGAAGCGTTCTTTGTGCGTACGGCGTTGTAGATGCTGTAAAAGCGATATCGAGATGATGACTTTTTTTATAAACCTACTCGTTATCGTATGTCGGACTTATCGGGGAGTTTGTGCAATTTGCTGCGCATTCTTTGCCAAAATAAAAGCTAAAAACATATTCAATTTCCAGTTTTATTTTGAAGAATTTGATTGGATTTACGGCAGTAAACCAGGAATCGATGTAAGGGTAATCTAGAAAAAAAGATTAGAGAAAAAAAACTATAGTTATAGCAAATAATAATGTCAAGGTACTCACTTCCATCATACTCAAACCTTTTTGCAGCGCCCAAATTGAGTGAGAATGCGCAACATAGGATCAAAAAATACATAACAATCTTCATTGTTCCTAATTATGAATGTGTACATATAAGGAAACTAATTTTTCAACAGACTAGTTAACCGCCTCAGCCTTGATTCTTCTTTATTCATTTTCGAAAAAAACACGCGCTTTTCGATAACACCATCTTTTCCACAAACCCGTCATCTCCTCTGTAAACGGGAGACGCAAGATACAATGAAGGAAGCAGTTTGACTATAAAATATACAAATGTACTTAGATCAAAACAAAAATGATGACGAATTAAATGAGCATGGCAATCAAAGTCAACAGAAGAGCAGAACAGAAAACCTAAGGGTTGGCTAACGAGGGAAGTACCCCAAGTGCGACGCTCAGATTTTTTTTAATTTTGCATACACGTCGGTCATGAAACAAGTAAATAGAGATCGATTTGAGATTGATTCATGTTTTATAAAAGTCATGAGGAATGAATTATAAAAGCGGAGAGTTTGAAATGCGAATAACAACGAGAGATAAGCATTTATCATCGCTCAAATTAAACTCACTGGAGAAAAAAGCTTTGAGGAGACTAAAACTGTAGTGCAATATCTGGTCGATAATTCTTAAATTTTTAATTTTCTCGGCTAACAATAAATCTCAACAATAATATTGCGAGTTGACTCAAGTTCAGCAGGAAAATTAAGCCGATCCAAAGTGCCACTTTCAACATGGGCGGATCGTCAAATGAGGTCACCATGATCGTAACGCACAGCATCAATGGGCCGATTATGCGGACAAAAACTGAAAATCGGTAGAACAAATTAGATTTTAATCAAAACGGGCAGACTTCAGCTGCTTTCCTACAACAACTCCCACTCACTTGAAAACGAGGAAACACAGCCTGGCCGCGTTAAATTCAGCGTATCCCTTTCACGATAGAGAATTCCAGTTATGAACAGATAATAAAGAGCTCCAATACACGTAACCACTTGTAGAATTATCAAGAAGGTACCCTGAAAATGTCTCAATAATGTCATCGTCGAGTCCTCAGACCCCAAAACTTAAGTCTCAAAATTTCTGACCCACCTGTTCCTCATATTTTGAGAAGTCCCTTGCCAATTTAGGGCAAAAATTTGCAATTAAACAGAAAAATGTCGAAAGTGCCGTATAAATCAGAGTGATCAGTAAGTACCGATTAATCTGCACTTTGTTCATAACAATTTTTAGTTGAATTTATGATAGAAAAGCAGAGAAAAATAGGAATGAACAAATTAGAAGGCATTATCTAAAGAATCGAACTCGAAAAGAGCACAAAGCTTGGTTTATTCTCTGTGTCTGAGGCACACCTTTGTTCCAATATTGGACAAAGAACGAGAATTAAAATTACATAGTTTATGGGGCTAATTGGTTGCTCAAGATCTGCCGAATCTTTGTTTTAATGGGCCTTAGTCATCCATCCTATCAGCCTTATCTCTTCCGTATCAGAGATTGCCACGGCTCCGGCTCCGAGCCGAGAGCCAGAGCCGGAAATTTTGGGTACGGCTCCGGCTCCCGAGCCCAAAGTCGGAGCCAGGCTTCTCAGCGTTCAGAAAAGTAAAAATTTCATGACCTGGTTAAACCAAATTGCTTGAAAAATACTGGGAAGGATGTGCTGCATACAACTTGGCTCCAAAACGTTGGGTGTATGATCTCTGGCACTAATAACTTTTATTTTTGGAAAAATATTTTAGAAAAATTTTCATGGGAGCCGGGAACCGGAGCCAGATCTGAAAATTCGGCCTTGGCAGTCTCTGTTCCTTATTCAAGATATTGGTACCTAATATTGATTGTGGAGACTCTACAGAACGCGCGTCCGCACAGCTTACAATAATCTTGATATGAAAGAACGCGGGCTTTGACTGACCTTTCGCTTGGGTAACGCGCGCTAAAAGCTCGCGCGACAGTTGATAGATCATTGGGAAATTTATAAGGTGTGAAATTAGAACTCTGTTCTTGGCGTCAGTGCTGCAAAACAACAATCTCTGAGTCCAAAATTTGAATTGTCATCATTTCGCATATATTTCTAATCCTCGTTTTTCTCATATAAAATATTACTACTCTTCCCAATTTGCAAAATGATTCAACCTACTTGGCTCCGACTAGATTCTCCCGTAAGTAAAATACACCATTATTGTCACCCCGCTGATTTCAGATTTGGTGTAAAGTAGCCGATTACTTGGATGTAAAGTCAATCTTTCGATTATCAAAAACAAACAGCTATTTCGAACAGCTACTGAAGAAGCGGAGAGAAGAGATTTACAAAGAAATCTGCTGCCGTTGCCGTATTTATAAACTGGAGAATGAGAGTTGGGCTGAAGCGTTCGAACAGTAAGTTTTATTTTGGAAAAGATTTACTCTAGAGACCTCTGAAATTGCTCGTTGCTGAGTGGTTTATATGTACTATTATAGTTTGTTTTACAGAGGTTTTACTGTATTATATCTTTTAAAAATCAAATTTTAATTTTAAGGAGTCCCCAACGAGAAATTACTGCTCCTTTTGGAGGCCCTGGTATTGTGGACGGCCCGAACTATCTGTTTCTCGCCTTTGATCCCTTCGAGAGCTCTTCAAGATTTGCCTTTATAGCTGAAACTCATGTCATCGTTACGGATTTTGATGTCGGTAAACGGTTTTATCGCTATTTCCCCATCGATTACCACCATACCGGCGAGGATCAAGTCTGTTTGTTGATGGGAGGGAAGATATTAAGTGCCTACGTAGGTTATTAAGACAAACTTGTACAAACTTACATTCCTTTCAAGTACAATCAAACCCAAACTTTGCAAGTCTACGAGGTTGATAGTCAAAAACTCCTAGCTGAACAGAGATTTGGCCCCGGAAGTTATCAATGCCACGGCTCAGTTATGGATGGAAACCGAATTTTTAACGTGATTACCAGAAGATTTCATCAACTACCAGGGGAAGACGAGTACTATCTTCATTACTCTTGCTACAAAAATGGAAATCAATACTATCTAGTGTCGGCAAGACACGTATTTTACGCATTCAGCGCAGAGGAAGAGAGGCTAACAGAAGTGATCAAGTTTGATAGAGCGACTTCGGCGTTTTACATGATGAAATCACACACTGTTGTTTTTAGTAGGTTTCTTTTCACAGTAATGGTAGAAATGGTCTGTCACTGTAAGCTTTGCAAAAAAGCAACTTTTTTTATGCGGAAAAAGCTATGAGGAAGCCAAGTTTCCCTGGTCGACTTTCCTTATATTTTGTGTTATCTATGCCTGGCAAAGGCTGTCATTTTAAACAGACTTATTTTCTTGAATTAACAATGATTTCCGACGTTATTAAAAAATTTTTTTTTAGATGATCGAATAACAACTACTCATCATCACTTCCCCTCTGGCAAAACAGTTCACACGGGCCTTGATGGGCAATATGGACCCGAGGGATTCACCAAACTGTGTGACTTCGCTTTTATCTTCGGAGTTGGGTCTTACAATGACAACCAAATTCTTTACGTCTACAATGAAAAGACGGAGGAATGGGTTAGAAAGTGTAAAAGATTCAAGAACATTGACTTCTGCCCTCTGCTGTTGTTGCCTCAATTTCACTGCAATGGCGTTCGGAAGGTGAAGATAAAGAAAGAAAGTGCGGAAGAGGTCTACAAGTTCGTCTATTTTCACTGTGAAGGCGGCGAAGTTATGTACAGGGTTCTTGATGAGGGAGTTGATCGATGGGAGCAAAGTTTTGATTACTTTCCGATGCTGGAGGAGGAAATCAGGACAAAATGGATGGGAAGAAGACTTGTGGACGATATTTATTCTGTTCAGAACTAAAAATAAAGGCATTTTTTATTTGATGAAACTTGGCACAAATTTAGAATAATTTTTTCTAAGATTATGCAAGAATTCTAGCTCGCGCTTTGCAGAAACAACCGAGATTTTTAGATCGAAAGTCCAAACATTTGTTTTCGTGGCGTGACGCGACCAGAGTTCCGTGAAAAAACGTTGTGTTAGATCAATTTGGCCCAAAACATATCCGAGATCTTTAGCTTCTCTTGTAAAACATTTATGCACCAACTCCCAAGAACAAGACAACAACTAACATAATATTCAAGGCTGCAGTGCTCGCTGAATCACCACCTTTTCCTCCATCTCCACTTCCACCTTCGTCATCTCTTGCCGGAGGTATATCCTTTTCCCATTTCGGATCCCGCTCAATCTCTGTAGCTGACGCCAATCCGATCTCAAATTCAGAAATTTCTGCATTAGTAGCCCTCAGCGCAATACAGTAATCGCTGAGGAAATTGTCCCCCAAAATGAAATTCTCGGACGTTCGGAATGGCTGAAATTGAACGTAGGCGGAAAGCTCGTCGCGATACTTGTTGTTGTACTGCGCAAAGTTGGAGGAATTGATCGGAAATTCTCCGTTGCCAGTAATCAATGCCAAATTTGGGAGGTCATCAACGAATTTGACATTCTTGAAATACTTTTTGTAGACTTCTATCGGGACCGTGGTTAGGGAATCGAGTGAGAATTCAACCGTTCGATTGTCGAACACCTCATCGGCAAGTCTTATACTAAAATTAAATTTGATGACAATTCAATAGGGTTGTAAAAACTGTTGCGCAATTTCTCACCCTGCCTTGATCTTCCATCCTTGATTTCGAATCGTTGGGAAATAAGTGAAGCTGCCGCAGCCGTCTAAACCTTCCTCGCCCGTAGCGAAAACACCTTTGGGATTCACGCGCACACTGGTTGGCTAAAAATATGTAGGAAACAGCTACAGAAAGCCAAAAATTTTTTTGCAGGATGATGCTATAGACAAGGGAAAATGCAGGATACGGTTTGAACTGTAAAAGCAAGGACATTTGTACAGGGTGTTCCATCTTTGTGGCCCGATTTGAACTGGCTAAAACTTCATTAATTTTCCGTCAAATTTTAAGATACCTTTTTTTCCTGAATCCTCAGGAACTCCCATTTTGTTTAATACCAAATATGGTACACCTTTTCAGTAAAATACAGTAAACAGTAGCCGCCAAAAAGAAACTAATACAGGGTTTTGTCAAAATTCCGAGAGAATCCGCATATGAGTACACGAACTTTGGCCAGAACTGAAGGAATGCTTTCCACAAGAACCATTCGACGTATTCTGGAGGTTGATATTCATTTTTTATTCTTATTCTAGCGTCATATTTGGAACTACTCCAACGCAGTTTTTGCCATATTTGGCATCAAAAAAAATGGAAGAATCCCATTTTCGGACACACCGGGAAAGACGGGAAACAACCGAAAAAATGAACTCCAAGATTAAATCCAATAACTGAAGATGATACTTACCTATGTACAACATATTTGGTATCAAACAGAATGGGGTTGTATGAGGATTCAGGGAAAAAAAGAATTCTAAGATTTGGCCAAAAACTAGAGATGTTATAGCCAATTGAAATCGCGCCACAAAGATGCCCCACCCTGTATTTTGTCAAATTTTTATTTTTTAATTAAAAAACTGATTATTTTCTTGATTAGATGTGGGTAAATAATATTTACCCTGCACTGGGTTTTCCAAATCACTGCACATCGATTTTTGCAGTGGTTTACGCCTCATCGGCGAGGACGGAATCCAAGAACTTCTGTGACCATCTATATATGCAAAAGTTATGTTTACAGACTACCAAATTCTTTTTCAGTAATAAAAACTCACACTACTAAAAAAATTGAGTCCTAGTTCGAAAAAATTAAACTTTTGTTTTTGATCCGTCAAAAATAATGGCGTTTTGACCCTTTTAAATTTTCGAATTTTTCATTTTTCTGTGGGCTTTAGAATTTTTGACCAGGTTTTTTCCGTAGCTTTTGAAATTTTTAATTTTCAAAGATGGAACACCCTGAACTGTTTATTTCTTACCAAATACTGCACAAATGGGCCTCTTCTGAAGATGATTTGCTTGGTTCTTCCCATCTCGCTGAACATTTTCCTCATCATAAAATCCCTATTTCCAGCCACAAACAATCCCAAAACTCCTGGAGCATCGAGCGGCGAAGGACCGTAGGCTTTCGTTATGACATCAAACGTAGCATTCCCATCCGGACTTGTAAGGTCGGTCGCCAAATACCCTTCATATTGATCGCCCGTATACGTTCGGATTTTGTATCCTATTGAAATATTCTTTGTGCGTACGGCGTTGTAGATGCTGTAAAAGTGATAGCGAGTTGATGACTTTTTTTTTAAACCTACTCGTTATCGTATGTCGGACTTATCGGGGAGGTTGTGCATTTTGCTGCGCATTCTTTGCCAAGATAAAAGCTAAATACATATTCAATTTCCAGTTTTGTCTTGAACAATTTGATTGGATTTACGGCAGTAAACCAGGAATTGATGTAAGGGTAATCTAGAAAACAAAATTAGAAGAAAAAGACTGTGGTTGTAGTTAATAATGTTAAGGTACTCACTTCCATCATACTCAAACCTTTTGGCAACGCCCAAATTGAGTGAGAATGCGCAACATAGGATCAAAAAATACATAGCAAGCTTCATCGCTCCTAAGGAAAAACTAATTCCTCAACAGGCTAGTTAATCGTCCCAGCCTCGATTCTTCTTTACACATTTTCGAAAATCGTCTTATCTATGTTAATAATCGCACGATTATTCCACCATCCCAACATGGATTCAGCCAAAAGAAGAACACCTCCACTCAGCTCCTCGAATTGTTAGATCTGTTAACAATGTCAAGGGAGAAACGCAAACCCAAAATACTCTACTAGTCCGTTCGTAAAGTCGCTGGAATGATTTCGGCGACGCGCACTGTGCACGAAAGCTCAGGGTGCGGGCGACAGCCCAAAAAAGCCTATTGCACTGTGCAAAAAGCCAAAAATTGCACAGTGCAAAGTGAACTTTCGGTTTCGCGGAGTGCATGTCGCCGAAAACATTCCAGCGACTTTACGAACGGACTAGTACTTCGACTTCAAAAAGGCTTTTGATCTGGCGGGTAATTCAAGGATCAAAAAATACATAGCAAGCTTCATCGCTCCTAAGGAAAAACTAATTCCTCAACAGACTGGTTAATCGCCCCAGCCTCGATTCTTCTTTATACATTTTCGAAAATAACACCCGTTTTTCTTGATAACACCATCTTTTCCACAAACCCGTCATCTCCTCTGTAAACGAGAGACGCAAGATACAATGAAGGAAGCATTTTGATGTTTGGCTATAAAATATACGTACATTGATCAAAGCAAAAATGATGACGAATTAGATGAGCATGGCAATAAAAGTCAACAGAAGAGCAGGACAGAAAACCTAAGGGTTGGCTAAGTACCGATTCCTGAAAGTTTTAGCTCGCGCTGTGCAGGCGCCGCTGAGATATTGAACGATTTTTGCCGCCGAGAGAGTAAACTGAACGTGGAGGTCGGTCAGAGAGAAAACACTTTCTGGCCATAACTTCGCTAGTTTTGCGCGTAAGAAAAATAATTTTTTTTGGAAACATTATCGTTTACGGTAGAAATAGGTATGAAACTTTTTGTGCCGAAATTTGGCAAAAATTGTCAAATTTTAGAAAAAAATATTCTAAATTTGTGCCAAATTTCATCAAAATCTGAGCGTCGCACTTGGGGTACTTCCCCTGTTTCATAGCTACTAGTCCGTTCGTAAAGTCGCTGGAATGATTTCGGCGACGCGCACTGTGCACGAAAACTCAGGGTGCGGGCGACGGCCCGAAAAAGCCTATTGCACTGTGCAAAAAGCCAAAAATTGCACAGTGCAAAGTGAACTTTCGGTTTCGCGGGGTGAATGTCGCCGAAATCATTCCAGCGACTTTACGAACGGACTAGTAGAAATAATACAAAAAGTATTTTGCTACATTTTTTTATGCTTCTTGGAGGTAAAAATGCTACGTTTTTTGTCACTGGATCGGATCCACCACTGTATAACCATGTTACGTAAAATTACCTACATCTTAAACCTGTGATGTAAATGAGCTTAGTAACATTTATTATTATTATAATATCATCAACAAAGCAGTTTAGTCCCAAAAATAGCCGCTACAATCAACCGGAAGCTCAGAACTGCAGCGCTTGCCTCATCACCTTTGCCGCCTCCATCGTTGCCATTATCGCCGAGTTTAGTCCACTTCGGGTCATCTTTCAATGGAGTCATTGGCGCCAGGCCAATCTCAAACTTCTTCAAATCATTATCAGCTTTCAGGGCAATGCACCAATTGCTTAAAAAGTTCTCGCCAAGCAAGAACTGCCCGTTTTCATTCACATCTGCATGAACAATGAGCATCTCATTGCCGTAGTAATTCTCAAAGTTGCTGCGATTAACAGCGAATTCATGGCCCGAATGGATCAAGGTCAAATCGGGCAATTTGTCAGGGTCTGTGACGCTGTTGAAGTGTTCTTGGAAGATTTTTGATGGAGCCTGGGTGGCTTCATGAAATGAGAAACCAACAACTTGGTTGGCGTAGGTCTTATCGCCCACTTTGACGCTGAAAATAAGCTCTAAGTAGGCAAGATTTGAGGTAAATTTTGATAGTAAATATTTGCGTTCCTCGTGGTTTTTTTACTTCATATATAGATGATCTTTACCTTGCCTTCACTTGCCATCCAGAGCCTTCAGTTGGCATATATGTAAAGTCGCCACATCCACTCAGCTTGGCCTCGTCAAGTGCGATATGTCCATGCAGATTGCTGTTCATCTGCTTGTCGCGCTGAAAAAAATAGAAAATCTTCGAGACGGAGACACACCGCAAGTTCGAATCCGCAAGTTCGAATGACTAAAGTTTGAACGACCTCCAGTTCGAACTACCTAATGTTCGAATGACCGTAACTTTGAATAACCTAAAGTTCGAATGACTAAAGTTCGAAAATGAAAAAAAGTTAATTAATATTTAAATTATAATTTGCATATAATTATTTTGCAAAATACACTTCCTCTTCAATCATTCATTCATCCTCTACGATGGAGGTTGGTTGACCGACAACGAACGCGCTGTTCTTCATGTCGACCTGATCAAGATTCGTCATGGCGCCAATCCAACTGTGTCTTTCTCGGGATTCGTGGCTTTGTGTGGTGGATTTTGCTTTCTTCAAAACAACTGGAGGTCGTTCGAACTTTGGTCATTCGAACTTTAGGCATTCGAACTTGCGGTGGGTCTCCTTTGTCGGGAACGCCTACCGCAAGTTCGAAAAACCCCAAGTTCGAAAACCAAAAGTTCGAATGCCGCAAGTTCGAATGCATTTTTTATATTTTCATATTTCGAACTTCCGGTTTTCGATCTTTTAGTTTTTCTAATTTGAGGTTTTCGAACTTCTAGTATTCGAACTTGCGGCATTCGAACTTTTGGTTGTCGAACTTGGGGTTTTTCGAACTTCCGGTAGGCGTTCCTTCGAGACACAGCGATGCCTTTAGGCACGAATGCTCCCGGACTTACCACGGTCTGATAGAAAGGCCCTCTTCCGACGATGATCTGCTTATTCTCTTTCAAACTTTTGAACAGCCTTATTGCTTGAGATTCTGGATTGTTTGGATCGACGTTTAAGCCGATGATTCCGCTGTGGGAAATAAAGAAATTCTTGGAGCTGCTCTCCACAACGTTGAAAAGTGCCTTGTCGTCCGCTTCTATCAAGGCCGAGCCCAAGTACCCCCGGTATTCGGTGGTATGCAACGTTGCTACGCCGAAAGATATGTCGGGAGTTTTACCAGTCGGACTTGCTGGGTATTTACTGAAAAATGTAGCTGTATTATCATCAAAAAGCGATAAGTTTTTACTCTGTTGCATGGAGAGTTGATTAAGGAGCGCAACTTACCTTCCATCGTAGGCCTTGCTCTCTGGAGTCTTTTGCGTTGTGCAGTTGTAAACTTTTGCACACTCCAAGCCTATGAAAAAAGTCTCGAACGTTTCTATTTCGAGATCAGCAGTCTTGAGCTCCGTGTCGTTTGCAGAGAATTTCACAAAAACATGAGGCCTGTCTGCAAATTAATATAATGGATAGTTAATGGGAGTTATCTTCACAAATATCACGGTCAATCAAACTTACCTCCGATGTAATAGTAGGTTTTTGAATACACGAAATTCTGCAAGAGAACCAAGAGGATTATCCTGTCTAAGTAAGTCTTCATGGTTGAAAGCGATCATAAGATACAAGTGTCGCGAACAACAATCACTCTTTATTGACCATGCCACTCCCATTTCTTTTTGCTTTGCTTCTGAGTCAAGAAGATCACACAGTTCTGCTGATAACAATAAAAATTGTGCTGAAAAGGGACTTTGAACATAATCATCAGGCACAGGGTACAGGTCGATTAGATAATTTCGAGGATTTGCTATATTATAACACTACGTACAGCTAGCGTAACAAATCGTCTCAAAAGCCAAAGAATTTTTATTTTCAAGGTGATGAATTGTCAAATAAACCCTTTCTCTATTACGTATATACAATGGCGGACCTGATCCAGTGGCAAAAAACATACCGTTTTGCATCCGGGAAGCATCGAAAATGTAGCAAAATACCTCCCTCTTCAAGTGAAAAAAGTAACGATAAGATTTCAAAAGCGCGCCCCCTTTTTTGTGAGGAAAACGGTGTCCTTCAAAAAGAAGTTTTTTAGTTAGAAAAAGAGGCATTTTGCCGCATTTTTTGATACTTCTTGGACGCAAAATGGTACGTTTTTTGCTACTGGATTAGGTCCGTCGCTGTATCATATTAGACCCCACTTTTTACAAATGGGTATCACCGATCCACAGCGATACAATTCTTTGATAAAGATTCATTTGAATATCATAATATAACATTGTTCTGCTTTTAGACAACAAGTCTTTTTATTGCCACAACTAAAACCATTAGTAATATGCATATCCCTCTTTTGTCAGCTGCATTGTCATCGTCATAAAAGTCATCATCATAACTGATCCACGGTGGATCGCTTCTGATTGGCTCACTTTTCGCCAAGCCCAGCTCGAATTTGTTTGCGGCCTTGTTTTGCCTCAGGGAGATGCAAAAGTCGCTGAGGAAATTCTGGCCGAGTAGAAAGCCGTCTTCGGTGTCGTTTTGGTGGATCAAGAAAGGCGTTAATACATTGTGTTCGAACCCATAGTACTGCACAAAATTGAATGGAGGAATGGTAAAGTCCTTGTTGTTGAAGGAGATTCCGAAAGAAGGGAGATCGTCGACCTTGTGGATTCCAGTAAAATATTTTTGAAAAAGATTCAACGGGATCTCGGTGAAGTAATCGAGTGAAAATCCAATAAGTTGGTTCTCATAGGTCTCGTTGCCAATTGTCACGCTGAAAAGTGCGAAAAAATTTATTTTTTGATTGATTTTTTAATGCCCAAAGGCAAAATTATGTATCATTTTGTCGGGAAAATAGTGAGCGCTCTATTGCATCGAAAATCGCATCGCCGCCGAGAAATCGAATTGTGTTGCGGCAAAATCAAATTTCTTTTCACTTCAGCGATGCGATTGGCGCAGCGACATATTTTTTCACTATTTTCCCGACAAACTGATATTCTCTCAATTTGCAAACAGCACTTGGTTTGGCTCTATGTCTCTATGTATCGCCAAAAATACGCAAAGTTGCACTGCAACTTGAAACTCACTCTGCTCTGATCTTCCACTGATCATCGACAATATCCGTGTGAGAAAACTCTTTACAACCTTCCAGCATTTCTCCGTTGATTGAAAACCTTCCTCGAGGGTATTTTCGACGCTTTTTTTGCTGCAGCAACAGTCTTTAGTGATGAGTGATTGTAAGAGAATTAATGCTTAAGGGGAAGTACTCCAAGTGCGACGCTCAGATTTTAATGAAACTTGGTACAAATTTATGTAGAATAATTTTTTTGACATACGCAAGACTCCTAGCTCGCGCTATGCAGAAACAACGGAGATTTTTAGGTCGAAAGTTGGAAAAAATTCGACACTTTTTTGCGACTATTTTTATGAAAAGTTTTATATCTATTTTATATTTCTACTGTAGAAGGTAATGCTTCCACAAAAAAAAATGATTTTTTCCATACGAAACTGGCTAAGAAAAGGCCAAAAAAATGTTTTTCTCTTTGACCGCACTACATCTTTCGTGTACTCTCTCGGCCGAAAAGACCGTTGAATATCTCCGCTGCTCCTGCAAAGCGCGAGCTAAAACTTTCAGGAATTGATATTTAGTCTACGCCCGATGTGTGTGCCAAATTTAAAGAAAATCTGAGCGTCGCACTTGGGGTACTTCCCTTTTTAGGAGAGTCAGCAAAATCGGAAAACTTGTACCAAAAGAATTGGAACTGTCACCTACCAGAAACTGAAGGAAAGGCCCTCTTCTGATTATGATTTCCTTCGTCTCCATCTCGTTGAAAATCTTCTCAGCGGTCTTCATATCGCTGAGTCCAACCAATCCCTCGTCGTCGAAGGCGATTGCAGGCTCCGCAGCAAATAGAACGCTGAATTCAGAAGTCGGATCGGCTTTGTTAAACGGGCTCCTCATATACCCTCTGTATTTGGTTGCATTCAAAGTGCTGCCAGCGACTTCAAAACTTTCATTTTGGGTTATTATTGTGCCCTTATATAATCTAGAAATGGAAGGTTTTGTAAGCGTTAGATTTGGTATTCTTACTGTTGATCGTAAAACTTTTTGTGATAGTAAGTTGTGCAAGTGTTTGCTTGGGAGCATTCTTTTCCCAAGTAAAATGAAGTTGCTTCCTGAATGTCTAATCTAGTGTCCAGACAGCTGCTTTCATCGTTGCTGAAGCAAGTTTGGTAGAGAGGAGAATCTAAAAAAATAGAAGTTTAATAAAAAGGAGAAAACAGTACGAGAAATAATAGCAGTGAAAAGCGGTAATGCAAACCTAGACAGGGTCTAGATACAGTGTGGGTCATAATTATAGCCGCACTTTAAAAATGAGTCTAACTTTTGTGATTGTGAATAGAAACGTGCCATATTTGGCACCAATGTGCATCAATGTACTAGAAATGATGTCCCAAAAAATTATTTTGAAGAGTTTCCGTATTTTAGAGAAAAGCTCCAAAAACCAAAATTTTGAGACTGCAGAGTCCAAAAAAATCCAGGCAAGTTTTAGAAGTTCTCCTTTCACTTACTTATTTGGCGAGGAATCCTTTTGCTGCTAAAGACTCTACAGTTGCTGTACAAAGGCCAAAAATTCATTATTACATATTGCAAAAGGCTGGACAAAATTTTAGATTCAAATTTGACAATAAAGCCTTGTAGATATGGCACAACGCCAGCTAGTTATCTTTCAAAAATCATGGTCTTAATTTAAGCCAACTTTCACCCAATTCTCCTTGTCCCCGTGAAAGATATCCATTGTTAGATCTACATTGTTTTATGTCTAGTCTCATCCAAGACGATCTACAGAAAATGGAACTCAAAAAAGAATCTAAATTTACCTCCGTAATAACTGATGACTTCTGCACTCACGACTGACGTAAGCGCTAGAACAATAAGTGTGGGGATTGACATAGGTGTCTTTTCGAGAAGGCGTTAAATTTCCTCATAGTCGGACGAAACAATAAACGTTTATTCCCCCAAGCCGCACCTTGATAAGGCTTTTTTCGTCAAAAAATGTGAGCAATATTTGTTATCTTTGCTTTGAAAATATTTGTTTTATGACCATTTTTTTTTATAAAACGCTGTTAATTTTAAAAAATTTCGTTTTTTTGGCTTGGGAGATTTTTTAATTCTTTAGGAACAACATACAGCCCTTGGTTTATAAAATTTTTGACTTGCTTTTCAGCTTTAACTTTCGGTCGATTTTGGTCACGCTTACTTTGTGGTTGGAAAATGACCCTTTTTTTACCAAAGTCGACCAGCTCTTCCCTCTTGTACTATGATAGAAATTCCAAGGGGGAGTTCAGACCATTTTCCTGTTAGATGGCCCTCAAAATAACTTTTCATGCATGTTCTATCCAGGTCATACGCCAATTCCCTTAAACGTGAGGGCAATAAACATTCAGCAGTTTTTTATGTATATATGTATAATAAATAGAAAAAATCCATAAGCTTACAGTGGCGGACCTGATCAAGTGGCAAAAGACGTTCCATTTTGCATCCAGGAAGTATCAAAAAATTTAGCAAAATACCTCACTCAGCAAGCGAAAAAAACTCCGATTTCAGAGCCTTGCCCGCGTTTTTTTGTGAAGGAAAGGGCGCGCCTTTCAAAAAGGAGTTTTTTAGTTCGAGAGGGAGGCATTTTGCTGCATTTTTGATACTTCCCGGATGCAAAATGATACGTTTTTTGTCACTAGATGAGTTCCATTACTGTACATTATAATGTGTCATAAAAATTTTCGTGCCAGATAAAACATAAAACGAAGAAAACTAAACGCGAATTTAACTTCAATCCGTCTTTGTCGCTACTCCCAATTTCTTTCCATCTTGTGTCATCAGGTAATGGTAGCTTTTTCGACAACCCCACCCAAAATTCTCTAACCTTGTCGTCACTTTTCAACGAAATACATAGATCTCTGAAAAAGTTATAACCCAGCAAGATCTCTTCGCTATCATGAGGCAAAGCCAGAACTTCGAATTCAGTCAAGTTGAGATCTGTAAAGTTGTAAAAAATGGTTGAATTGACAATAACTTCAACTTCCGATTTCTTTGCAGTCAAGTTAAGCGAGGGTAGATCTTCTGGAGATTCGGTAGTGTGAAAGTGTTCTTCGAAGATTGCTTGCGGGAATTGAGTGAGTTTGTCGAGAGAGAAGCTAATGGTTCGGTTGGGATATGTGGTGTTCCCGAGGGTTAGGCTTAAATAGAAGGGATTTTGGAGAGGTTTACAGGGATTTTTAAACTAGAATTAACATCAACAGTGACGGAGTTGATCCAGTGAGAAAAAAAGTACCATTTTGCATCCGGGAAGCATTAAAAAATGTGGCAAAACGCCTCCATCTCCAGTCAAAAAACTCCGGTTTGAAGGGCGCGCCCTTTCCCTCACAAAAAGAGCGCTTTTGAAATCGGAGTCTTTTCATTTGGGGAGAGAGGCATTTTGCTACATTTTTTGATACTTCCCGGATGCAAAATGATACGTTTTTTGCCACTGGATCAGGTCCGCCACTGTACATGAGCATCTCTGCAACTAGACCCATCCACGATATCCCTTTTTTCTGTCATAAGGCACAATTATATATATAATAGGACTGAACCTTATATCATTGTGAACACAATCGGCCGCTAGGGGTTTTCTGACCATATATAGTAACCCTGATTGTCTTAGCTTTTCCATAATTTTGAATTGTGTATTGCTACTTACTCTGCAGTAATTTTCCATCCACTCCTTGGATCAATTGTTTTTTCATACTTAAATGGCTGACATCCCAGCATTTCTTTTTCATCTGTTGTGAAATCGCCGCTCAAATATTTCTTCTCCAGTTTTCTGTCCCTCTAAAAGTAAAAAAAATTTCAGACAACATCGTAGACATTAAAATAGAGATCGTCACCAATGCCATAAGGTTTATTGGAGTAAGACAAATAACTCCAAAACTTACTAAAGTCTGATTGAACTGACTTCTCCTAAAATTCATTTGTTTGTGATGTTGCATTTTCTCGAACGCCCTCACAATCAGCGATGACCTCATTTCCGGGTTCACGGCAAGCCCAACTACTCCAACATGCTTCATATCAAAGCGGCGACTAGCGGATGTAACTACACTGATATTAGCTTTCCCATCCGTGCCATTAAAATCTGTGTGTAAATAGCTGGTGTATCTTTCAATATAAAGATTGACGTTGTCGTATGTTGTGGTGAATCTCTTGCCAGTAGGAAGCCCATTGAATTTGCTGGAAATCACAAGGTTTATGATGACAAAAACGTTTGACTTTATGGGGAAAATAAACGTAGTAGAGGGTCAAGCGAGATTTCAAGACAATAAAAAACTTGTGCGTACTCGGGATCATATACATTTCCAGTATTTGGTGAGCAACTTGCATTTTCAGCACAGACTTTCCCCAAGAAGAACGTATCAAAGTTGTCAATCTGCAGATTCACAATAGCATAATCTTTTGTATCACTTGCAAATTTAACAAAGATATATGGGGAATCTAAAAATCAGAGATGCCAGATCAAACAGCAAATATCACGTACCCCCAACGTAACTCAAAATTTTTGTTTCAGCGATAATAAATGCAGTAACCGTGAAAAGAATAGTTAAAATAACTGCCATTGTCGGCAAAAACAACAAGATTTAGCAATATTAGAAACAATTAAAATTCATATGACATTTTCAAGTAATAACATTCTTTTCGGTGATAAGCTACGTCCGGTTTAATCGGCGTAAAAAATATCAAGTGAGTTAATAAAATTAAAAAAGCTGACAATGAGGAAAGGCTTTGAAGTCTCCGTCTATAATGTGCATTGTTTAGTTTAGGAATAAATACTCTTCCTATGCCAATTCACCTCTACAGATGCAAGGGATATTTTACTGCAATTACAGACGGTCTACTGAGGAAGGAAAGTCAAGAGTAACCGTCTGGTGTTCGAATTCTCTAATAAAACTTTTAGTCAAAAAATAGAGCTCCATTTAATGTGCATAATGACCGACTAACTTTCTTTTTTCACACTAATTACATCTCACATCCTCCTGAACGTTTCGTGTGCTGCCCGGCCACCTTTTTTCACGCTTTTCAAGCGTGATGTTATTAAAAATCAATTCGATTCGCCGCAGGGCAAGGGCCCAAAAATTTCATTTTTTTGAACACAAAAGTGAATGTTACAATTTGATTCGAAATTTTGCACCCCATGCTTACTTCTTTGGGATTCAAAGAATGGTCAAGAAATGCATGTTGTTTGAAGCCCCAGAAACGCACAATGGACGCTTCTGCTAGTCCGTTCGCAAAGTCTCTGAAGTGATTTTAGCGGCGTGCATTGTGAGAAAAAAAAAAGTTTTCTTTCTACTGCGCAATCTGCTTGATTTTTTCACCGCGGTTTTTTGGGTGGTGGCGCGCAATCTGACTTTTTCTGGACAGTCCAAATGTCAAGAATTACTTCAGAATTTATTTCAAAACATTATTTGAGAAAACGAAAAAAAAATACATACGACCGAATGGTCAGACTAAGAGCTCAAATAGACAAACCTACATAAAAAAAGCAAACAACACAAAAATCAGCCAAGCACTAACAACAATACGACCACAAACATCGGGCTCTCCATTGTCCTCGTCATCACTCTTGTCATTAATAATAAACCATTCTGGATCATCATGCAAAGCCGGACTTGTCGCCAAACCAATCGAAAACTTTGTCAGCTCTTTGTCATCGGCCCGCAGTTTTAAACAATAACTTGCCAAGAAGTTCTTGCCCAAGACAAATTCGTCATGTTGATTAGCCACGGCTTGGATCGTAAATTTCTCCTGTTTGAAGAAGTCGTAATGCTCAAACGCCGTTGAGCTGATTGTAAAATTGAGCTTGTTGTATGAGAGAGTTAGCGGCTTCAGTTCCTCCGCTTTTTTTGCTGGCTCAAAATGTTTTTCGAACACTTTCGGAGGAATTTTTGTTGTCCTGTCAATGGAAAATCCAACAATCTGATCAGAATAGAGATCATCGCCAATGTAAACACTGAAAAAATGAGGGGTTTTTTGCCGATTTTAAAGCCGCAATGCAATGAAAGGCGTATACTTACTCAGCTTTTATTTTCCAGCCTTTGTCGGCAATGGTGCTTGTATGTTTGAACTCCTCGCAACCTCTGAGAGCCGGTGTGCCAATGGCAACGTTGCCTTTCACAAATCGTATCTCTTTCTTTTTCTGGAAAAGACACAGTGTCGGACCTGATCCAATGGCAGAAAATGTTCCATTTTGCATGTAAGAAGTACCAAAAATGTAGCAAAATACCTCTCTCTCCAATCGAAAAAACTTCGATTTCAAAAGCTCTTTTCATAAGGGAAAGAACGCGCTTTTCAAAACGGATTTTTTTGGTTGGAGAGGGAGGCATTTTGCCACATTTTCTGATACTTCCCGCATGCAAAACACAGGGTAGGCCACTAAAACTTTCCGTCCTCTTTTTTTAGATTTCTCCGCGGAGACTCCGCCGATTTTCATGAAATTTAAATTTTTCTGGAGCTGAGATGCGCCATTTTCAACCGGTAAAAAAATTGGAAAAGAAAATATCCTGAATTGACCTTTCCATGCCTTTCCAAAGTTTCTGAAAATTATTTTCGAGCCGAAACCGCTTGCTCACGACGTCAGCGAGTTGTGAATGTTTTACGCCGCCGAGATATCGAGCGATTTTTGCCGCCGAGAGAGCACGCGAAACGTGGAGAGCGGCCAGAGAGAAAAACGCTTTTTGGCCATAACTTTGGCAGTTTCGTGCGGAAAAACTTGATTTTTTGTAGAAACATTATCCTTTACGGTAGAAATAGGCATGAAACTTTTCGTGCCGAAATTCGGCAAAAAGTCCCAAAATTTTGGCCGACTTTCGTTCTAAGAATCTCGGTTGTTTCTGCAAAGCGCGAGCTAGGATTCTCGCATATATCTTAGAAAAAATTACTCTGAATTTGTGCCAAGTTTCATCAAAATCTGAGCGTCGCACTTGGCGTACTTCCCCTGTAAGTTTTAGCGGTTTCGGCTCGAAAATAATTTGCAAAAGCTTTGGAAAGGCATGGAAAGGTCAATTCAGGATATTTTCTTTTCCAATTTTACCGGTTGAAAATGGCGCATCTCAGCTCCAGAAAAAGCTAAATTTCATGAAAATCGGCGGAGTCTCCGCGGAGAAATCTAAAAAAAGAGGACGGAAGGTTTTAGTGGCCCACCCTGTAGAACGTTTCTACCACTGGATCAGGTCCGCCCTGTAATCATTTTGAAGAGGTGTGGAAACTTAATTTCTTCAAAGCTTTTTTCAGCAATAACGGCCGACTTTTCAACTCACCAGCCTTTGCTCGAAAGGCCCTCGCCTAAAGATGACATTCTGAGCATCTTTGTTCTCTCTGAACAGCCGCATGATCGCTGAATCTTTCTTTTTTGGGTCCAATTGTAATCCATAAATAGCCGTTGCGTATGGAGTGTAAAATCTCCCGGAAGCTTCAACAACTATAGGTATTGTCGCGTTTTCTTCAACTCCAAACAGCCCCTTTATGTAGCCCTGGTAGTCGGTCACCGTCAGACTGCTTTGATCGTATTGAATCTCGCGGGTATTCCCTAGTTTTTTTCCATGGTACTTTCTAACAGAAATTGTAAGAACATTGTAAGATTTCGTAAGGTTCGATGTATATATTTCGGTGCTATAGGCTTACTTTGGATCATATGGGCCGCTGCCAGATGCACAGCGGCATTCTGTGCTTTGAAAGAACGTCACGACGCTGTTCAGATCTAACTTGGCTTTAGTCCTTGATGAAAAATTGGATGAGTAGAAGATTGGGATATTAGGGCTGTCTGAAAAATAATGCTATGTGTGAAAAAAATAATACAAAAGACAGAAGTTTTGCCCTTGAAAACAGTATGTATAAAACAGAACTTACTTCCACCATATGCAAAATACTGAAAGGCATCGGCACCATTCGAAATAAGCAGCAGACAAACCAATGTTTTCATGCTTCTATTCGCGGAATGAGTCAAGACATGATAAGGTAAAAGAACAATCGAATTTTATCGGTTCTTGTCGCTTTAGGGACCGAATATGAAAACGCTGCGACAAGGCACACAATAAAACACAAGAAACATTTGTCGCAGAGGATAGATAACCTAGTTGTAAATACTAGGAGATAACTGATAGAAGATGTTTTAATTGACATATAAAAGTAATGATGTCATGTGACATTGCTTCAAACAATTATGTGATAAGCTTTCCGGAGAAACTTTTTTCTTTATTTTTGTGGTTGAGGCTTGTGAATTGAGTTTGTTGATAGCATTTTTGTAATCAATTTCTTGTTCAAAGTATAATAAAAGGACTGCAATACAATGCTCAACATACAGTGGCAAAAAAGGTGTCATTTTGCATCCGAGAAGTATCAAAAAATGTGGAAGAATACCTCCCGCTTCAAGTGAAAAATTCCGATTTTTGAGGAACGCCCTTCAAAACTTTTTTTTAGTTGGAAAGGGAGGCATTTTGCTGCATTTTTGATGCTTCCCGGAGGCAAAATGGTTCGTTTTTTGCCACTGGATCAGGTCCGTCACGGTAGGTCAAGGACCCACATTTATAGGTACCGATTCCTTTCATTTTTGAACGAGAACTCCGTTTTGTAGTGCAACTGCGTTAGATTGAAACTCTATTTCATGCATATGTAGTATGTATTTATTAAACCGCAATGTTAAAACCGCTGTTTTTCTAAAAGTTCAGAGAAGCCAACAGTGTTAAGTTCGTAATCAAATGAGACGCAGTATTCACGGAAGAAGGGTTCTCCAGCGGCCCACTCCACGTTGTCTGGATTTGGGTCCAAAGCGTTCGCATGTATTTGTAGGTCTCTTATTTTGTCAGCTACGTTGATGGTACGAAGTGTTACATTGAGAGCAAATGAGTTGCTGAGAGCGAAAAATTGTCGCTGATTTATATCAAATGTTGTAAGATTCACGGTATATGTGTTTGAATGGTCTGATTGCTGAAAAGTAATCGTCTGTTATTGACATTACTTGGTGCAGCTTACTTTAAACGTCAATGCCCCGGCGTTGATAAAGCTGAGAAGGACATGGCGAGGCATGTAAATTGAAATGCCTTCTGTCAAGAGCAACTGAAATGTATATAAATATACATGTACAATATGTCAAGCGCTTATGCCATTTCTTAGTGGCTTGTAGGACCTACTCTATATTGCCGGCGCGACTCGTAATCAAGAAATCGGACTCCTATTGCGTCTAGGATCCACTCACGGTCACCAGCGGCTTTAAATTCGGCCAGTTCATTTTTACAGTCCTCTCGTTTGTAATCTCCAAACATTAATGCGCATCTTCTATTTTCGTGAGAAAATACAATTGTGAACAAAGCATAGTTTATGTAGCCGCTTTCCTTCAAAGCGTTGACAAAATTCTTTGAGGCTGAATCACGGGCGAGACCAACTCGAGTCCTAGGATGTAAATACTGTATTTTTTGATATAATAGGGCGCGCCCACACTTGCGGGCAGCTAGAAGAACCACGGAGATTGTGCGGGCATGTTTGATAACCAGCCAACACTTGATTACTGTGGAAAAGGATTTGGCAGTTAGATGTTTTTGAAAACAGGGAGTAATCAATGCAAAATCTCTATCACACTACGTAGATTGCGTGAGGAAACTCGTAATTCTCACCGGAAAATATCGGCTTCACGCAAATGTCGCGACCCCTAAGAGGGGCCCTCAGTAAAGGACTCCTCTTATGTATCCATGCTTACAGTGATATACCCCACCCGGCGTTCAACACACTCGTATAGACATTTAACGCCAGAGGACCCAGGGGTGCCAGAACCCCTGTCCTATCCCTAGCCAGTTCCAGGTTTTTTCGCAACCGCCTGACTTCCGCGCGATCCCTCGACTTCATGGAGAAATCGGGAGACTGACTTTTCGGTCCCCCCTCTTTCGGTCCCCGCCTTTTTCAGATACTACTGATGACACACCGAGATTGCTGATTCCGATGAAAGAGTACATGGAAAGAACATGGATTGGCCTTCCAGGTCTACTTCTAGGAGATAATCGGCAAGTTCCCCTGTTTGAAATTCCATTTTGGAATTGCTATGAGTATATATACTATGATTGATTTGCCTAGGACAAACAACAATGTAGAGGCCTGGCCCCGTGCCATTCAACAAGCAGTCCGCCAGAAACGTCCGACAGTATAAACCCTCATCAAGGTTCTGAAGCAGGAAGAAGGCGGAGACCGAAAGTGGGGGACCTAAACGTCCTGACCCCGGAGAAATCAGCCGAAAGGAAGTGGGGCATGTTGACGCTAATCCCCAAATTTGCATAAGTTCGCTCATTCCTTATAAAAGCCAAAGATCTGATCATTTTATAATCAATTTTCCTGCTGTGGTGCTAAATAAATACTCCTTATTGGTATTCTCGTCTTCTCCTACCGGTCGATCTCACATCAAATCCCATTCCCCCTGGTCAGCCAGTACACAGAATCCCTGTCCTACCCCTAGCCAGTTCCAGGGCTTTTCGCAACGGCCTGACTCCCGAAGAGATCGCCGCCGCGATGGAGTAATAAAAAAACACTTATGGAAGTTTGAGGGAGATGATGTGGAGGAAACCACCAGCCACCGGACAACGTCTACCTGAGAACCATTTTATGATTATGCGAATTTCGATTCCGTTTTTATCTCGTAGAACTGCCTATAAAAGACACGCTAACAGTATGTCTTGAAGTTCGGCTTCTGGGTTTAGTGACAGGCTTGGTTAAGGGGACTTCAACACCCCCATAAAGAATTTTTTGTCCTGCGATGTGAAGAGGCCAAGACCGGATAAAACTTTTCTTACCGGTTCATTTATAAGAATTATACTCGCAAAGGCCGTGCCTTTTGCTGGTCTTGTACAGTGACCGGCACCCCTCTTATGTATACATGCTTACATTGATATAGCCCACTCGGCGTTCAACACACTTGTATAGACATTTAACGCTATTTTCAAGGTACCCAAATCCATTGTTTTCCTGGCCGAATCTTTGAAAAATATTTGGTCTTCAGCCCAAACACCAAGTGATTGGCCGTCCGCTGACTTCCAGTAATCGTTGAGGATATTCAATTTCGACGAATTATGCAAATACTTGTTGTATAGTGTAACACAACGCATTGTCACATACGTGTCCATAATGCAGCACATTGGACTACAGTAAAGCGAGCAGAAAGTGGCTAAACGTCAGAGGATTACTGCGTTATTAGTTATTGTGCTCACGTAGGTTGCAATATTTGGCGCATTTCCCATAGGTGTTGTTGCATTCCGCATCAGAAATGCTGATCTCAGAGGTCGTCAAGGAAAACTGCAAAGCCATATCTTGTTTCCCCGTCCCAACGAATAAAGTGTCGGCTGAAAACTTGCAAAGGTTACACGTTAGTTTTATATTTATAAACAAGGAAAACATTGCCTACACAATGCTACCATCGAAGTTGATACTGGGATCTCAACAACACTTGTTGCTGCAAGTCGTTGACATAGTATCAAAACAAAAGGGAAGAGAAACATGTAACAGTTCATCGAGGAAATTAAATAACCAAATAACCGATGAAAGGGAATTATGGCTGATAAAAGACCCTTGGACTTTATCGGCTTACAACATATAAAGCTTGGTTTCTTAAATTTAAAGACGATTACCGGATTAAAAAAGAAATGCAAAAACATAGTTTTATGTACGTAGAAGCACTAAACTTCGCCTTTTTTTAACTTTGCGAAGATAATCGTCCTAATGTAGTCTAACGTTACAAACTAAGAATTGTGTTATAATTCTAGCTATGGAAATTTCGCAAATCACATTCAAACGTACCCTGATTAATAAGCAGAACAATAAACATCCACAGGTTTATCCTTAAAATAGCGTAACTATTATATATTAAAAAAACTTTGTCTTTTACAATGGCGGACCTGATCCGGTGACAAAAGATGTATAATTTTGCATCCGGGAAGTAACAAAAAATGTAGCAAAATGCCTCCCTCTCCAAGTTAAAATACTCCGATTTACTAACCAAAGAAAAAATTATGGATGATAAACAAAGGTAAAAAATCAATGACGAACATAATGGTTTACGTAGAAGTTTATTATCATCTTTTGATTAATTTTGCAAAGGCAGTCGTATTCCTAACATAGTCCAACGTCACGCAGTATTCCTGGAAGATCATGTTGCCGGCTACCCACTGAACATTGTCCGGATTCGGATCCAATGCATTGGCGAAGAAGGTGAGAGGATATTCATCGTATTGAAAAGAATCGTAAGGAATTTTGAGAGTCCCTTCTTTGACCTTGAAAATTATTGGCCGAGTTTTGTCAACGAGGGTCTTGTTGAGCTTGTATTGATTCCCATCGGCGTGTCACTTTATTCTTTGATCAAAATCAAACCCAAAATTTCAAAACAACGGCAACAAAAATCAGCGACAAGTTGAGACAAGTCTTGGCCGACGCTTTGCCTTTGTCATCGTCGTCCCCTGGGTAGTCAATCCACTTCGAATCCGAATCCAATGGCTCACTTGGTGCCAGCCCCAGCTCAAATTTATCGATGGCTTCGTTGGTCTTTAGGGATATACAAAAATCGCTGAGAAAATTCTCTCCCAGCTCAAAATCTTCAATTCCATCGGCTTGAGGAATCGTGTAAACAGTCAGTTCCTTGTGTTCGTGGTCAAAGTATTGAACAAAATTCTTTGGCGGTATTTTGAATTCGGTGTTTTGGAAGGTAATAGAAAGCGACGGAATCTTTTCAGGGTCCTTAATGTCGTTGTAATGCACTGCTTGAATTTGCTTGGGGATGGCAATAAAGTACCCCAAGTTGAAGGTAATTTTCCGATTTGGATAGGACTTCTCTCCGATCTTAACACTAAAATTGTATTAGGTTGGGGAATAAGTTCGTAGAGCTTTTTATTGTTTTGTTTTGCAAAGATTGTTTGTTGTTTGGCAAAGGTTATATATATTATTTGATACAGTTTTTTCTCCTCTACAAAACTGTGTTTTTAGTTTTTTTTGAAAATTTAATTTTTTATTATTTTTTGGGCTTAAAACGTTTTTGAGGTCCTCTTCGCCATCGAATTTTTCACCTCGGATTTGGTTTGACAGAGACCGGAAAAGGTGGTAATCGGTTGGCGCAAGGTCCGAGAGTATGGTGGATGCTAAATAACCTCCCATTCGAACTCATGGAGTGCGGTTTTGACGACTTGTGCAACATGAGAGCAAGATGACTCGTGGAGCAAGATGACTTGGCCTTGATTTCAGTCGAATAGCCCCATTTTCGAGGTGTAGTTGGGCATCATATAGCTCCTTGTTGACGGTGGCGTTCTTTTGAGGCATGTCCCAATGCACCATGCCTTCCCAGTCCCCCAAATGCAGATCATGGCCTTTTTGGGTGGGGATCTTGCTTGACTGTCCCCTGGGGCTACCCACTCCAGGAAACAGTCAACATTTTGTTTTATATTGACGTACAGACACCATTTTCATCCCCGAAGATGATTCGATACAAAGACCGCCGTTTGCGTCCACGTACTGCTCGGCGAAAAAAGCAGGTGTCGAAAACGCAAATTTTTGCCTCCTAGATGGTTCACTTTTAAGCCCAAAAAATAATTAAAAATTAAATTTTCAAAAAAAACTAAAAACACAGTTTTGTAGAGGAGACAAAACTCTTTCGAATGCATATATAAACTTTTCCAAACAACAAACAATCGTTGCAGGACGAAGCAATAAAAAAATCGTTGCGGACTTATTCCCCAACCTAATAAGTTTGAGATGTGATAATAATTATCAAAAATATATTGATGAATGTCAGCCTACTCAGCTCGAATTTTCCATTTGTCATCGATGGTATCTTGATAAACAAAAGTACCACAACCTCCCAGCTTGTCTCCATTCGTTGAAATCTCACCGTGAGCGTAGTAGCGACGTTGTTTTTGCTAGAAAATCTTGTGGTTATGCAAGGGATTACCAACTCAATTTTCGGCGCTACGACTTTTCGGGTTAACGACTACGGATCTGTTCGTCGTTGTATGGATCAGAGAGGATAGGAGAAGGCTTCGTTAATAGAAATAATAAGATTGATGCTCTAGCTTATCAGCTATGTTGAGGCATTTTACACGTACTCACATCAATAATATCTAGATAAAAGTCACCAATCTTCGCAAATTTGGGTCTTGCATATGTCACAATAACTCAGCGTAAAGAAAACTAACGTTAGTAATAGCTAAAATTATAAAAAGTGAACATATTGCAAGTCTTCGCCAAGCTTCCGCCGAGTCTTCGCTCAAAGTCCGCCAATAATCCAGCGGCTTTGCCAGGCCAGCACTTTCTACAACCTTTTTAGGGTATCCACCTGCCCTAAGCCCCGTAACGACCGATTTTGTGTTGATCCGAACTGTCGCCGACCCGAAAAGTCGGGACGCGAAATTTCTATTATTTTGGCTGATGTTTTACAAGAACGTCAACTGTCAGTGTTCCCACAAGCCACTGAACTTACCAAAAATTGTGTAAACGGTCCTCTTCTGAAGGTCAATTCCTTCGTTTTATCCATTCCTGCAAATATCTGCTTCATTGTCTCTCTATTCTCCAATCCGATTACTCCACTGGCTGCCAATCCAATTGGTTTCGAAGTTTTTACAACAATATTATATTCAGTAGTGGCACTGGGCCCCAGTGGAGTTTCCAGATATCCCCTGTATTTCTTCCCTTCCAAATTTGCGTTGTCGTATCTTAGGGAGACTTCTTCAACAAAGGTTGCGCCGTAAACACTTCAGAAAAGTAGAGAATTTAGAAACGATGACTTACTCCGAATCATAGGTTGTTTTATGGTTGTATCGAGTGCAAGTCCCGCTTTTTGCGCATTCCTTGCCCAGAACAAAGCTGGAAGGGGATTCTAGCTCGACGATTACCGAAAAGTTGACATTATCGTCTTTCTTGAATTTAATGTCGACAATTGGGGCTTCTAAAAGGACAGGGTTTTAGCGAATTTTCAGCATACATGTAGAGGTATAACTTGAAAGCTTGGTCCCTCAAATTCCAGAAAAAACAGACTTTCTATAAAATCTCAATCGAAATAACCCTTACCTCCAATATACTTTATAATTTCCGAGTTTGCAACAAAAACCAAGCCTAATAGCACAGTCCAAAACGACTCCATCCTTGACGACTAAAGAATAATATCAAAGAAAGGTTCATTATTCACCAAAATCATGTGTGAATACGGGCTTAGGCCACTCCCTATTACTTAAGGAATTGAAAATTTGCTGTCGCAAGGCGACAAATCATTTTGCATTTTCATCTTTTGAAAGCCACAAAAGTTACTGATAACTGTATAGATAAGCCTTTGTTTAAACGAAGATAGTCATTTTTTATTGCAACCTCTACGCTTTTTCTGAACAACAATAGTTTGAACAATTACCATGAAATATATTACAATATTATTCAGTCTACGAGTGGAATCTTCGCCATGGTTTCTGGGCGTCTCCGCGCTTCGGGCAATTGCAGTATCCTCGGTCGGCGCCGGGTCGTCCTTCTCCGCCGCGTGGGCCGGGCGCTCCGTCTTTTCCGTCTTCTCCTTGGTCTCCTGGTGGTCCATCTTCTCCGATGGGGCCGGGCTCTCCGGGTTCGGGGGTGGGTCCCGGCTCTCCCGGATGTCCTTGAGCTCCGACTGGTCCGGTGGGACCCTTCGGGCCGGGAAGATTGTTGACTTTGCGACCGTCGCGACCATCGTGACCGGGGCGTCCTGGGGTTCCGGCCTCTCCTGGCGCTCCCAAATCTCCTTGCGGTCCCATGGTTCCGGGGTTTCCTGGGAATCCGGGATGTCCGACGATTCCAGGGAGACCTTGTGGACCGGCTTCTCCGGCTTTTCCGAAGGGTCCAGGAGGTCCTGGTGGGCCTGGAGGACACTTGATACAGCCTCCAAGTTTGGCGTAATTTCCGATCTGAGCAATTCCGGGGCCTCCCGGTTTGCCGGGCTTTCCGTCCTCTCCGTTATCGCCATTTTTGCCGGCGATTCCGGGTGCTCCTACCGGGCCTGGAGGGCAACGGTTGGATCTGCGACTGCAGCCACAAGTGGCTTCTCTTTTGTGGCGGCCGAACAAATTGAAAGCTCCAGAATTCAACGACTTTCCATACGAAGGGCCTTCGATGTGGAGCATTCCACTCCACGCATCGTTGGCGACGGCCTTAAAGTCGGCCATGTCGTCCAGCAGCTCGGCGTAGATCTGGTTCATGTCGATGTAGAGCATTGTCATCGTCACCAGAGCGCCGAGAACGAAGACAGCGCTGGCTGCACTCGTTATGCAGACAAATACTTTGCCCATGGCTGCTGGAAACATAATTTTTGACATTTTTCAACTCATAAATGGATGAAAATAGCTAAAAACGCGCTAAATGAAAGTAAATTCCCGAAAAAATAAAAACAATTCCCAAATCCTCACCAGTGACAATGCTGTCCTCAAACAATGTGGTCGTCTCCTCCGCATCTTGCCTCTTTTTAAACCCATTCGAACCGAGACCGCGCGCGGCGAAGGTCGTCGCGGAATTCCACGGTGAAAAGAAAGAAAGTAAAAGTCGCAGTAGTCTACTCGCGAATTATTTTTCTTACTCAATCTCACTGCTTTTTTTAACAGCGGTTCCAAGCCGCTTTTCTTGGGGGAGATTCTTGAAATTCGTCGCTGAAGTGAAACAGAACGACACCTCAGGGAAATGATGATCTCAAAATAGAGTGATGAGTGTCATTATACTGACAGATTATGATGTTTTGAGCTTGAATAAGCTGAGAAAAGTCTTGTTTTTTGAGGAGATTACAAGAGAAATTGCACTTTGTGTTTGCACTGTGCATTTTTTGGATTTTCAAAAGTTTTGAGTGGAAAAATTGAAAGATTTTATATTTTATATTCCTCAAAACTCCCCATTACTTTTTTCACGCCGATCTGGGTTTACAGTAACGGTAATATACCCAAATCTTGTCGTAATATCGGCATTTTTTTCAAACTCAAAAAATAATATAAAACCTCATAAAAAATAATATTATTCATCCTTATTTGCGTTTATAATTTACTCGGAAGGAACTCCAAAGATATAATCTTGACCTATACAGTAGATAATATCATCCCAACACCAGTAAACAGTAAGTATTTTCGTTTACTTACCAAAAATCAACAATTTTAGTAAACGAAAACAAATAAAACAATGTCTAAGGTTCAGTCTATGAAATTCCTATGAATTTAGCTGGTAAATTCTTTGATAAGTCTTTTCTTAATGTTGGGTATCAATTTCAGATGGTCCTCCGCGCACTGTCCAACGCCTTTGTCTAGTTTCTCCTAAAAAAGATCAGATAATAAAAGTGGAAGCTTGTTACCTGAAAGACGGCCATTTCCTTCTCCGAATATTTGTTGGGGTCAGGTCCGATCTGTTGAATGGCTTTATCGTACGTTGTTTGAGCACATCGACTTAGTTGGTTCTAAAATTCGAGGAAATTATATTGTTCAGGAGTCTAATCGGAAAAAAGTGATAATTCATGGCATTCCATGGCAAAAAAGCTTTGAAATGCTGCACGAGGGGATAAAAATTATTTCTTTTTCTATTGTGCACCTCTTCGCGGCTATTGGGCATAAAAAATGCTATAGAAATCATGTTCAACACCACTTTTATATACCCAAACGCAAAACTCTGCATACATTTCCAAGCTTCTCCCTAAAATTCAACAAAACACCAAAAATCTCACCTGGAAAGCCGTCAGTTCTTGTTCCAACGTAACTTGAGCTTTATGAAGAGGACCATTACACCTTTCCACACATTTCTCGATTGACTCCCTGCTCCCAACCTTATCTTCACAGCATTTTGAAGAGCATGTGAACATGTTTCGCTGAATATCACGAAGATACAGTTTGTCCAGCTCATCCAGCAGACCATCAACGGCAGCCTTCATTTTCTTTTGAACTGCCTCCATTTTGAGCTGAAAAAGAGATAAAATGAGATAAGATGGCTAAAACAAAACGAAAATAAACAAAATTCGAATCGAACACAATTCACAAACTTCTGAAAGCTCATCTCCTATCTTCTCAAGAAGGATTCCAACGAGAAAAGAACAAAATACACCTAAAAATCAAGGTTACCCATCAAGCTCAACATAGATTAATATTAAATCCTATTCTCGTCCGTTTGCTCTAAAAATAACGCAATTTTTAATACAGAAAAGATGTTTTCATCAACAGACAACTTGCTTTTCTTCCAACATTCCTCGAAATTGCAAGAAAAATTATTTTTTCCTCATTTTTGTTGGCGAGCTGCGTCCACGACTAAGCAGGCTGCGAGAAAATATCGCGGAATGCGCCCTCTGAATAGCGGAAAAATGTGAATTTGAAGTCAAAAAAAGCGTTGCACTGAAAAACTTTTTTAATCTTTTTAGTAGTTGTAGTACATATAGTAGACAAAAAATTTTTACATTACTACAATGTAAAATTTATTTATTTATCGATAAAATACGTTTCCAACATTTGAGTAAACCAGCAAAACTTAAAAAAATCAGCAGTTAATATGCTTTATCTCGGCTCCAGGCGCCAATCGATGCAAAAATTCCACACAAACCTCTGAATCCGAGGTTGGTCGACTAGCACTGTAGATCACCGTCAGATGAGCATTATGTTGCGAATCGGCTTTCTTTTCCTCATCAGACTGCCAGAGGTGTTGGAATTCTTCGTTGCGCATCAGCAGACGGGTGTATTCCTCAGCGATTATAATTTGCTCGACATTATAACGGTCCAGAACATCAAAAAATCTCGAAGCATCCGGTTTTACTGGAGATCCTTCGCACTGAAAATTAAAATTTTTTTTTCAAATTGAAATTTGTCAACTACAGTACGTATACGTCTCAATTTTATTTTTTCGAAAGTAAAATATGGCAAATGAAGTTTTCATTTTTTGATTTATGTTATCTATGATGACTAATGTCAAAAAATCCATTTTTTCCTGAAGTTTTCAACAGAACTTTAATCGAAAATAATTTAAAATAAGAGAAAATACTCTCTACTTCCCAAACATACCATCAAAAGTGGTGTGTCGGACATAGGCGCCGCCAAAATGCATGATAAATACAGTAGATCATCAGAATCGGCCAACAGCCAGATCGGCCCAGCGCTTCGATCAATTTTTGTCGCCAGCAGCTTAGACAGTAAAGCAATTTGCCCTACGGCATATGGCTCAAAAATGTATTCGCCATTCCCACTGAAATTGATTTTATGGACCAAAATTTATATTATACTACCCACTCTCGTCTGAAGGTCTGAAAAATCGGGTCCTCACTGTCCATCCACTCAACTTCACAGCGATCGTCAGCGTCCGCCATTTCTTCGTCCCATTTGTAGTCAAAACCGGGGTTAAACGGGACCTATAACACGAACAAGTCTTATTTTGCGCCATAAAACCTGAAGAATCTTACATTTAGCCCGTAGAACGGGCGTTTCTTCAGCTGGAACGTTGGTGGGGGCTTTTCGGGGTCGGCGCCGACATGCTGGATCATCAGGATCTTTGGCCGAACATAATTTTCATCCACTTCTTCGCCATTGTCTTTCAAAATGTTCTCAAACACCACTTGGTCCACCAATTTCTTGCTCTCTTTTATAGTGTCGCCGAGGAAGAATCCGTCCAAAGTGACGATCGTCTCAGGCTCGGCTAGTTTGAAGAGCTGCTTCAGGGTGTCAAGATCATGATGGACACTTGCGTTCTGAAAAATTATAAGAAAAACGGTGGATTCTACTAGAAAATAGGCACAGAGGGAAAGTACCCCAACTGCGACGCTCAGATTTTGATGAAACTTGGCATAAATTTAGAATGATTTTTTCTAGGATATATGCGAGAATCCTAGTTTGCGCTTTGCAGAAACAACCGAGATTTTTAGATCGAAAGTTGGCGAAAATTTGAGACTTTTGCCGAGTTTCGGCATGAAAAGTTGTATGCCTATTTCTACCATAGAGGGTAAAATTTCCACAAAAAATTAACTTTTTCCGTATGAAACTAGCAAAGTTATAGCCAAAAACTGTTTTTCTCTCTGACCGCTCTCCTCGTTTAGTGTACTCTCTCGGCGGCAAAGCTCGTTCGATATTTCGGCGGCGCTTGCAAAGCGCGAGCTAAAACTTTGAGGAAATGATATTTAGTCTATGCCCGACGTGTGTGCAAAATTTAAAGAAAATCTGAGCGTCACACTTGGGGTCAAAAGACACGTCAAAAGAAGTGAAAAAACAAGGAATCAGGGATCATTGATTTTTCACGAAATGTCGCCGAATTATCGAGTCATAAAAGAAAACTTTCCCAGAGAAAAAGTCTTTTTTTCGGGAAAAATATTTTTTTGAACTCGATAATTCTGTGGCACGTCAATTCATAATAGAAGGAAAAAATTCCCGCCCCTTTTTGGTGATTCGTTCAAAACGAAATGTCACTATCCGATAAAACCCATTTTCTTATCTTTCTTCTTCCTTTTCGAGAAAAAGCAATTGTTTCGGGCGAGAAAAAGTGGCGATAATTTTGCGACATTTGGTCTCTCTTTTAAATCAATGAAAACGATACGAAGTTTCGAAACGGATCAGGAAATGCGCTGGATTGGCGTGTGTGGCCCCTCGCAAAAAATCAATGATCCGAGATTCCTTGTTTTTTCAATTTTCTAAAAGATTTTTTTTCGACGTGTACTTCCTTGTTAGTCTTCTCCAAAAAACCCACAATAAAAGTGACAAAGCACCCCAATCTTGCGGCCCCCAAAAGCGCGATTGGTAATTGCGCAACCGACGGCATATACAGTAAGACACTGCTTCCTTTAGTGGCGCCCATGTTCCTGAGGATATTCCCACACTTGTTGACGACAATTGTCATCGTTTTTATACTCATCTCCATTTGATCGTAGACCCGTCCGTCCACGTAACTCCCCTCCCAAAAGAAGCGACAATCGTTCTGATTCTTGAGGAGGTTCGCGTCCAGACAGTCGTAGGACAAGTTCAGGTAGTAGTCGCCGCTCTGAAACGGAGTTATAATCCATCAGTTTGGGCAGATATTACAGTAAAACACATAAACTTTCAAAAACTCTCACCTTCAAATTAGGAACTCCACATTTATCGAGCGTAAAACTGAACTCTCCCTCTCCACGACGAGCACAGGTCATCAGACATTGCATCCAGAGAATGTGGTCGCTCTTGTCCCCACTCAACGAAATCAACAAATTTCGATATTCATTGGGATTGTCACACTCCGAGGATTCGGATTTCATGGAAGTTGTGGGCGACAGCACGTCCTTCACCTTGGTCTGAACAATGTTCGGGACCACTTCGGAGACGACGTCGGTGACAACGTCGCGGACCTGAAGTCATCAAAATTTAGTTTTCTTGCTTACAGAGGAAGTACCCCAAGTGCGACGCTCAGATTTTGATGAAACTTGGCACAAATTTAGAACAATTTTTTCTAAGATATATGCGAGAATCCTAGCTCGCGCTTTGCAGAAACAACCGAGATTTTTAGATCGAAAGTCGGCCAAAATTTAGGACTTTCTGCTGAATTTCGGCACGAAAAGTTTCATAGCTATTTCAACCGTAAAGGATAAAGTTTCTACAAGAAATCAAATTTTTTCCGCACGAAACTGCCAAAGTTATGGCCAATAAGCGTTTTTCTCTCTGACCGCTCTCCACGTTTCGTGTACTCTCTCAGCGGCAAAGATCATTCAATATCGCGATGACGCTTGCAAAGCGCGAGCTAAAACTTTCAGGAATATTTAGTTAATGACCGACGTGTGTGCAAAATCTAAAGAAAATCTGAGCGTCGCACTTGGGGTACTTCCCTTGTTAGTTTTTTTTTGCCAAGTAACCTAATATTTTCAGGGTCTTTCAATAAATGAAAGTCGGAGGCCATAACTTTCGGCGGAGGCGGCGCAGAGACTTCGTTTTTGGAATATGTATTTTTAAGCGACATTATTTTTTGTCTATGAAATAACAAGATTTTAAAGTGCAAACTGAGGTCGCTACGACGTTTTGAAGTAGATCGTTTTCACCCTAAAAACCAGTGTTTTTCGGTTCAAAATGATCGGGAAATTTCGGATTTGTTCGGTAGAAAATCACCAAAGAAATGTCTTTGAAAATCATCAAAGAAACTTCGTTAAAATCTTGTTATTTCACAGACAAAAAAATATCGATTAAAAATATTATACATATTCCAAAAACTAACTCTCTGCGCCTCCTCCGCCGAAAGTTATAGCCTCCGACTTTCCTTTCTTGAAAGACCCTGTATATAACTAAAGAAGGTGTAAATTTGGAATTTCGATTCTCAACATGAAATTGGCATTATGCAGCAAGGTCCGATTTTTGCTTACAAGGGATGCACTGCAAGTGCGACGCTCAGATTTTCTTTAGATTTTGCACACACGCCGGTCATGAACTAAATATCAATTCCTGAAAGTTTTAGCTCGCGCTTTGCGGGCGCCTTCGAGATATTGAAAGATCTTTGCCCCCGAGAGAGTACACTAAATGAGGAGAGCGGTAAGAGAGAAATCCGCTTTTTGGCCATAACTTTGCTAGTTTCGTGTGGAAAAAAATGATTTTTTGTGGACACATTACACTTTACGGTAGAAATGGGCATGAAACTTTTCGTGCCGAAATTCGGCAAAAAGTCTTAAATTTTCACTGACTTTTGATCTAAAAATCTTGGTTGTTTCTACAAAGCGCGAACTAGGATTCTCGCATATATCTTAGAAAAAATTATTCTAAATTTGTGCCAGGTTTCATTAAAATCTGAGCGTCGCACTTGGGGTACTTCCCTTGTAATTTTGGTCCCTCCGTGCGACAATAACCCATGAGAAAACAAAGGTTAGAAATAGCTAAAATTAGGGAAGGTGGTCATATATCGTTAGTAAGTCTTTGTCAAATCTCCGCCAAGCCTTCGCCGAACGTCCGCCAAGCATTCAGCGGCTTTCACAGGCCTCATTGCACCTCTTACCACATTTTTTTGGCTCTCCGCTTGTCCTAGACCTTATATCGATCGATTTTGCGTCGATCCGAAAAGTTGGAGGGAATTTTGGGTCTCAACACGAAATTGGCATTATGCAACAAGGACCAATTTTTGCTAAAATGTGTCCTAGAAGAGATCTACAGCATCTACGGGATCGATTTTGTGTCGATCCGAAAAGTCGGGAGGAATTTTGGGTCTCAACACGAAATTGGCATTATGCAACAAGGACCAATTTTTGCTGAAATGTGTCCTAGAAGAGACCTACAGCATCTACGGGGACTGAAATCCAAATTTTGCGTCCGCCCGACCCTCCGCTTACCTTGGCCGGCACAGCGCTCATGACGCGCCGCGACAAGTCCAGTTTGTTCAGATTGGCCCGGAGTCGGAACGAAATCTTTCCCGCCGCCTCAAATTGCAGGGGTTATAACGAAACGAGCCGAAAGTCGGGAGCCCAAATTAGGCCAGTAAATTCGAATTTCGGAGCTCAAAAACAAACAGAATTCCACTCTACGGACGTATTCAAATTTCTCACGCGCTGCTGAAATGTTTTCTGCCCTAGGGCAAAATTTTTCAAATCGAAAAAAATAAAAAAATTGAAATTACAGTATCAAGTACAAGATTCGACAAGTCCAAAAATGGAAAGAAAATGATCGCCAAACATTTTTTCGGCCAGAACTTGCACTGGGGCCATCTTTGAGGCCCAAATTGGCCGATATTTGGCGAGAATTCGAGGAGCGATCACCAAGTGACACATTTCTCGCTCAATTATAATGTCTTGAGACATCATGCTCTTTAATTCGAGGAAATGGTTACATCACAAACGCATTTTTATCCAAATATTTATTCAAAAATTCAAATTTTGGGTTTTTAAAAATTTTGCACAGTGCAGATTTGTGTTTTCCTTGCACCGTGCGGTCAAACAAACATTGCACTGTGCATCAAGGATTCTCTCATTTCTGCACTGTGCAGAATTCCCTTTTCGCCAACTTTCTTCGCACTGTGCAGTCATGTTCTTCTCGACGAAAAATTCCCTTGCCGACTTCCTCACTCCATCCCTCAGCGACCTCCAATCGCTGGTCGAGAATGCGGCTTGGCCTCGTCATTCCGAACCCATCCTCCCACTCGCGACAACAGATGACGAGCAGCGACAAAAGACGGGAGGAACAATCAACTCGCGACAAAAGTCGAAGAATGCCCAGTCATTTGCGACCAACCACGCCAATCACTCGCCGATTGGGGTCGTTCGCGACAAAGCCTCGACCACTCGCACTGTGCAGGCATCTTGCGACAAGTCGGCCGTTTGACCTCGTGTCGCTCGCGCGTTCCGATCGCTCGACGCGTTTTCTTCGAGCTCCGCGCGCCATTGCATTTTTTGCCGCAAAAAAGGGGCGAATCGTCTTGGACGTTTTTTTTGCACTGTGCAGTCGGATGATTGGGTGCGAGTGGGTGCATTGTGCGGACATGTCGCCGATTTTTTTGAGTGCAGCTTGCACTGTGCAGACTTTCAATGCACTGTGCAACTCATTTTTTCGTGCACAGTGCGGCATTCAACTGTTTTTTTATTGCACTGTGCAAGCCATGTTCTTATTTTCGCACCGTGCAAACACCAATTTCGGTCTGCACAGTGCAATTAACCGCTGTTTTGCATAAAAAATCCCTTTCTGGCCGTAAAATTTGGCCCGATTGGTCGCAAAATGACGGCGAATTCGTTATAAAAGTCCCGTTCTTTTTGTTACAGCCCCTTTTTAAGGGTTTGCAACGTGGAAATCGTGAGAAAAAAATTGACGGTGCACTGTGCACTTAAAAAAAACGTATTTTTTGATTTTTTTCGTTCTTTTCATTATGCAAATTGTCTTCCATAAGTGTGTGGGCACTTTGGCCATGTTTTAACTGCCATTTTTTGTATATAAATACTACATTTTTCGTATTTACCGGTAGTTTTTTTAACTTTTTTTGACGAAATTTCTGTTTCTCCGAATTTCCGCGACCGTTCAAAAAATGATTTGTCATCGCTTGACGGTTTTTTGTTTCTTTTTTGATTTTATCAGCCCAAATTCTTCTTCAGCGACTGCAGCGACACCCCCCGATTTTTTCATAAAGTCATTTTTAGGGTGGTTTTTCGAAAAAATGAAAGCCGAATTTTGAGGAAAATAGGGGATTTGGCTCTTGGCGAAGCTTTTTTACGGCTTGGAAAGCAAAATGTCAAAAAAAAAATCTGTTTTGAATGCCCTAGAATACTGTAATTTTTGACAAAAAAAGACTCAAATTTTTGTAGCAGCAGATAGTACCGTGTTGTCGCAGATTTTCCGTCGATGGAATTTAACCTTGAGCGCGAAATCGAAGCGATCGATCACTCGGATCGAGCTTTTTCACTCGGAAGTGCACCAATGATGAAGTTTTGGGATATAAACAGCATACAGTAGAAAGTGGAGGGTGCAAAAATTATTTCTTCAACAGCCAATCTGGTCTAAATCTTCTTGCTATAAAAGTTTTTGTTGGAAAAGTGATGTTAACTGAGAGAAAATTCAATTTTTTGGGGGATTTCTGGCCTAAAAAGAGGTAATTTTTTTGATTTTTAATAAAAAAATTGATAAAGAATTTGAAGCAGTGATGGGCTACAGTACTGTTAACAACATATTTTACTATTAATTATCTTGTAAAATCATAAAATCATCGAAAATTTGACCTTTCCCCTAATAGTGTGTGCGCTGACCCGGCAACTTTAAGCAACCATATGTCGGCAACTTTTGCAGCTAGTGAACAATTTTTGCAATGAGTATGGACACATGATATAGTAGTTTCATGCCATGTGTACCTTTTTCCGATAAACATTTAAAGCCAAGAGAAATCGAAGAAAGAAAGATGTCCATTTTTTTGAATCACCCTCTTAGTTGATCTCCAAAATCATCATTTTTCTTTCATTTTACAAAAAATCTCCGTAACCAATTTGATTCCACGGCCTTATTACCCTCCAGTCTGCACGATTAACCCCTCGCTTCCAGCCAATTCCATCAACAATCCCATTTATTCGCCTCGAAATTTAAAAGTGCACCCTTTTTCCAGATGGGCCTTGTCTGGACCGCACGAATTACGCAACAATTTCCGTTTCCATTACTTTTTGAAAGCAATTCGACGCCGTTTTAGTGCCCGTCTTGGGCCTCGTAAACTTGGGGCACTCGCGTTCCTGAACGCAACATTAAGTCCGATGAAAGTTGCGGCGGTTTGGAGGGAAAAAAGTAATGAGTTCGACCGGAAGGAGATGACTAAGGGGAAAAATAATGCTGTCTAAGGTTTGCTAGGGCTTGTGTTGTCTGGAAATTACAGTAGGTCTGAGAAAAAAAGATTTTTTTGATAGTTTTTAAACGAAAATATTGAATTTTGGCGAAAATCATCGTGAATTGGCGGAAAATCTCCAAATTTCTACCAAAATTACCAGTTGGAATCAATTTTTTTGCATACAACATAAATTGTAAGCCTCTACACTGACGTTAACACAATTTTTCCTTCCATATATTGCCCTCAGGTACAGCTGCGGCCGTTTAAAGATTGATTTTTTAACCTTTTCCTCCATTTTTTCACTTTCCATCATTTTTCAATTTAAGCCGCAGTTGAACTAACCAAGTATTCCCTTCATCCGACCCTCTCATCCCTCTCAATTTGTATACAAATCCATTTTTTGTGCAAAACAAAAGATTAGGCACAAAAAATGCCGTCCTCGCCTTGGGTGGTCCCGCCAAAAAACCCCTCCGATTTTTTCATACATATTTAACACGAGCCGTACCTAGTTACTCTTGGACACATTTCGGGTGGAAAAAGCCTCCGGCTGATGTGTGATTCGGGACAACTTTCCGGGTTCTTTGATGGGTTTGGAATGTGAGAACGGGCGGCGAGTTTGATGTCATCGTTCGGGGACTTTGAGGAGTTGTAGTTTAAAGTCCGTGTGCTGGCTTCGATTCGGAGCGGTGTAAAATGTATTACAGCATTGTGAAGGGTGTGGGAGGAACGTGGGGAGGAGATTGGGAGGCTGCGCAAGAAGAGGAGGGCCAAAAATAAGAACTTAAAAAAAGGCGAAGTAGTGAATGTTACTGTAAAATTTCATGTTCAAAGTGGTGTAAACTTGATGTTTTTTACAATTTTGGCACTATTTTTCATAGTATTTGATTTATTTTTTGGCAGACAAGCCATTTTACAAACAGTTTTTATAATTTTTTTATAATTAACACTATGCCTGAGGATGTAAAATACTAAGAAATGGAGCCATCTAGAATCTCCGTAGCCGTCCAGATAGACTTCAGAGACTTCAAATAAACGCCACTTGAAAGGCTTAGTTTGTGCTTTGAAGGGCTATCCGGGGTATCCACATCTTTTTTAGGACCTATGGAAGTCAGTAAAGATTTTAAAATTTTTTTAACACCTCTTTTCATCGCTCTCCAACTGTTTCCACATTACAGTAGAAGCCCTAAAACATCCACCCCCAACTTCCATTATCCCTCCTCCAAATCCCTAATCTCCATTGCATTCCGGGCCCGCAAAAACGGTTGTCCCGAAGAACTCGGCGTTCGTTCGGATGGGCCGAATCGTTTTGCGTCATTAAGAGTGCAGGGAAAACAAGAAAGAGTCTGAGCCCTGTGTGTGTTTTTTGGGAACCACTCATTTCCGGCCATTCGTTATGGAAATCGCTGACCTCAGCGATTGGGACTTGTCAAATGGGAGAGGCGGCGGCCCAAAATTAATGAAACATTGCCGGGAGGTGGGTCGGGAGGAGGTGATCTTTTGAAGATAATGGAGAGATGGATCAATGATTAAGCCGCCGGGAGTTTGATGGGCCAACAAAAGAGTCTTACTGTAGCATTTTAAAGGGATTTTGACCTACTTTTTACAAGTTTAGTGTTATATTTTAATAGATAAAAAACTCAAATTTTGATGATTTTAAAAATTCGCAAGTTTTTGGGTCTCACCACGAAAACAATTCTATTTGAAATTCCCTCTACCGACCCTTGAATTAAGCCCCAATCTTCACAAGTCCACTAGATTTGTCAATTACAGTAAATCTCTCTCTATCTCCCGTTTAGATTGATGCCAAATTCCGATCCATTTTTTTGACGTAATCTGCAAAAACAAACCCTTTGGACTACGATCACGATGCCTGAACTTTTAGCCAAAATAAAAAACTCCAAATTGTGCTAATATTTTATAGAAGACTCGTGTGGAACCCCGGGATTAATCAGTCCGGATAAACTCCTAAGGCGGCTTTTGTTTTGTGACGCAAGCCTGTACGATGGAATTTTATAGTGCAATCCGCTTTGCAAGTTACAATTCCGGGTTGGGAAGTGCATGTACGCAGATGTACGAAGACTTGCAAATGGCTGGGGATGTTTCTATCGCCATTTTTGCTAATTCTGGGCGGTATTTTGTATGTGTATTTTGGGGTTTCCTTACTTTTATAAGCCAAATTTTATTCCATATTTGAATATTCGATTTGTCAGCAGTCCTCCCGTTCTTTGGTCAAGGTAAAACAATACGTTTCGCTGATCAAAATTCCCTCCAAACCCCATACCTCAACTTTTGGGCCCGTCCTCGGCGAGGCCTTGAAGACTACGGTGAGTTCGGATTCCTGATCTCATGCCGGACTTTTACTGCACCAGATCCATCGCTCTCTTTAATGATGCACACTTATTTTTTAGTGCGAAAACTTTTTAGGTGGCGTTATTACGGGGGGAAAATCGCCAGACTCTCGCCTCCAATTTGTCATCTTTCGAACGGGCCGCGAAATAAGTGGCAAAAATTTTTGGCGATTTTTCAAAATTTTTGAAGTGAGATGTCGGAAGAGGGAAGACGAAGACGACTGACAAATTAGCCGCCGATTACCGGTGGGTACGAGCCGGCCCGGGCTTTCGGAGGGCGGCCGGATGTGTCTACGGTAGCTTGTTTTTCGGAGGGCTTGTTTATAGGATGTTCTTGTATGTTTTCCCAAGTATTAAATATGTCTTTGCACTTCAGTTTAGGCATATTTTGACATGTTCAGTTGTTGTCCTTCAGTCCTGCCTTTGCCTTTTTAGAGGCTCACTTAAAAGTCTGTGAAAACGTACTGAATGGTCTTTGAAGGGATCCTTATGTTGCGCCTCGTAAAAAGTACAGTAAGGTCAGTCGACTATATACAATAGTTGCGATCGACAAATATCGCGCGGTCTCTCCGGAGAAGGACTGTTTTTAGACTGCGACACAAAATGCATCAACTTTTTTGGGTCTCTCAAAGTCTTCACCTGATCTCCAACTCGCGTCTTTCCTACCGTAGGAAGGTGCT